CACGCCGGCACCGCCTGCCTCGCGGCCGCGACGCCCAGCCCGGCGAGCGATCCCGCCGCCAGCGCGCGCGTGAGCACGTGCGTCGCGAGGACGACGTGCGGCACCGGCTGGTCCTCTGCGTACGACGTGTGCGGGAAGTAGCGCGACATTACTCCGTGTCGTTGTTGCGAATAAGTCAAATCAGTACTTTGGGGTGGCGATGCGGCAAGAAATTGCGAGCGAGGTCGAGCGAGGTGGTATGAGGGGAAGAGGAACCAGACCTTGGACTTGACCTTTGTGCCCCAGACGACGACGGATGACGAACGAGCGGGTGGCTCCACGCTTTTATGACTTGAGAGTACGTACGTAGTATTTGCCCTGCGGCGGAATAACGCCTGCTGCCGGTGGCGCTGGGCTGGGCGATGCTTCCGTCGTACAATGTCTGGTCAACTTCAAATGCTCGTGGTGATCATGTCCCGTCGACTAACAAGCGGCCAATCAGCCCGGCGCTGTTCGTGATGACGCGCCCCGCAGAGAGCACGAGTGGGGACTACCGGCTCTCGGCTGCTGGTGGTGGGCTGACTTCCCAAGTTGACAGGTGCGGGTCTGGCGGGCAGCTTGCACCTCCAAAGGCCGACGACGACTCTGACATGCCATGCCACGTGTGACATGTCAAGAGGCTTCTCATCGGCCGTCATCCATCAAACGCGAGGCTCCGAGAGGATACACGGCAGGCCACAGAGATTGAGCACACGAGAAACCTGTTAGATGCTGCCCCCGTTTGCAGTAAACAACGTAAAATCGAGCGCTTCCATTTTGAAATATACCTACCAAGTATGCCATTACCAAAAAAAAGCCCCATCAAACGCCGTCTGCAAACCATATCAAGATGCATGCCTCTCGCCGCCCCAATGCCGTCCCTTTCTTACTCGTCCTCGTCCGTCATTTCCATCATGCTCTCGCCTTTGTCCTCGTCGTCCAGCAAGGTCCTTCTTCTAGTGACCCTCCCTTTGCCCTTGTCGAGCATGCCGCGCCCAGCCCGGCGTCCATTGACTCGTTGCGCCGCCTCCAACTTTCTCTGATCCAGGTGGCTTTCGAAATCGGCCAGATCGTCCGCCTCCTCCTCCGCAGCGCCATCTGCCAACACCGTCTCCTCGAGCGCCTTGTTCAAGAGTTCCGTGGCGATGCTGTCCTGCGGGTTGATGGCTAGCGCCTGATGCAGCACCGACACCGCCTCTTCCGGCCGGTTCTGCTCCATCAGGATGAGGCCCTTTGCGCTGAAGATGGCCGCGTCCTTACCGCCCAGCCTTAGCACGTCGTTGAACACATCCAGCGCCTTATTGAATTGCCGGAGTCGTCTGTACGCATGGCCCAGGTTTGTCTTGGTGGCAACCCATGCCCCCGGTTCGCTGTTGATCTCTTCGGCAATGTCAAGAGCCGCCTCAAAGTATTGCACGGCATCTCGGGGACGGTCCTGGTGGTACTTGACAATGCCCATCTCGTTGAGCAGCAATGGGTCCGTCTTGCACAAACCGTATGCCGTCTTGAGGAATTCCTCCGCCAGCGCCATGTTGTTGAGGGCGTGGTTTTGCATGCCCAGAAAAATCTGCGGCAAGTGAGTGCCCATGAAGAGGCGTGCGGCGGTCGAATACGCCGAGATGGCCTGGTCATGCTCTCCCTCGGCGGCGAAGGTGTGCGCAAAGCCAATCCAGGCCGGTCCGAAATGAGCATCCATCATACTAGCTTTACTAAAATATCGACGGGCTTCCGCAATCTTGTCAATCGCAAAATAGTAGACACCGACCGCCAACCACGTGCATGGCTCCTCGGGGTGTGTGTCGGCGAGGTCATGCGCCACAAGAAAGAGCAGGTGCTTCATTCTGAGCTCGTACAGGCAGGCGAGATGCACTGGGTAAATGGAGAAATTGTACTTGTCCTCTTGCAGGATCGCGTTGGTAATGGCGAGAGCGTCCTGGTAGCGGCATTGCGTGTACAAAAGGTCAGCCCGCGCCAGTTGAAGGTCGGGGTTTGTGGCTAAATGATAATGTGTCGAGAGAGAATCGTACGCCGTCTCGAAAGCAGCTGGGTTTCGGTATTTTGACAGCCTGGTAGTGTAAAGCATCTTGGTAAAGTCTGCAGCTTCCTGCGACGAAGATACGTCTCCCGAAACGGATATCGAGTCAAAGTCCAAGCTCTCGAGGAACTGCCATTCTTCGTCTGGCGACAGCAGCGAATTCTTCATCAGCTGTTGGAAAGCCTCAAAACACCGAACATCGATCCGCACAGCGTCCTTGTAGCATTCCTTGGCTCGATCAAATGCGTTTTGTTTGGCGTAGCATATCCCCCTCAGGAAGCACATGGCGGCCTCGAATCGTCGGTTGGCGGCCTCTTCCTCGTCCACCTCGCCATCACGCCGCCGATTGCCGTGGCGGGGCTGTGACTTGCGCTTGTTGCTCCCGCCGTTGGATATCAGGTGCGTAGGGTTCCGTTCTCCGAGAACCACGAGCGCCTCTTCGTAGCGAGACTGCTTGATAAGGCAGTGGCCTGCGAGGTAGCGACAGGATGGGTTCCGGGAGATGAGGTCCTGTTTGGAGAGGAAGGCTTGAGCGCGAGTGTAGTTGCCCGTAGCAAAGTGGACTTGGGCGAGCCAAAAAGCGTCCTGGTCGTCGTCTGGAGATGTGATATAGATGACTGCGTTAGGGCTTGATGTAGAGCACGAGAGACTTGTTCAAGGACAGGACTGACTGGTCAGGGCCAAGAGCTTGTCGCCGATAAAAATGGCCGCATCGTACTGGGCTTTGTTCAAGGCATCTTGCCGCCAATCCCTCAAGAATTTTTCCATACTGTGGCGCCCATGGGTGGGAGAAGAAATGGAGCAATAAGACTTATTGTAGACGGTGGTGTCGCGGGGTCCGAGGCGGCATGGTGTTGCCCGTTTGCAATCACCAGCCCAACATTGAAGTCAACCGGTGTTTGTTGCAAGCGCGATGCGAAGCGCGTCTCAATTGGTGGTGCAACAACTGGGCACATGCAGCACAACAGTCGACAGCTCCAGCCTCCAGGGGCGTGGGCTGAAGACCAGCGGGGTCTGGTAGCTCCAGCGCACACGCCCCCCCCAAAGTCCTCCATTTTTGTTTGCAGCTAGCATTCAATGTTGGCAAAAGTCGACCCAAGAGTGGCCGTCGCCGATGCAGGACCCTCAATGACGGACTACCAATTCGACTCACATTGGGTCAGCCATCCATAAATTATTTCCAACGGCATAATTCCCCTCCATCCCTTCTTACGAGACCCGATTCAAACACCCACAAGCACAACCCAGTCAATTCAACACAATGGGATCCCCCCTCCCCGTCCGATCGGCGGCTCTCGCCCGCGACACCAACGAGACCAAGATCCAACTCGCCATCAACCTCGACGGCGGCGAATTCCCAGCCGACACGGATGCCCGTCTGCTCAAGGCCACCACCGGCCACGCCTCCCAGTCCAGCAAGTCGCAAATCATCTCCGTGAACACCGGAATCGGCTTCCTCGACCACATGCTCCACGCGCTAGCCAAGCACGCGGGCTGGAGTTTCGCAATCAACTGCGAGGGCGATCTTCACAGTTCGTTTGCCCCCTTCCAAAAATTCGAACCGTGCATAGAAAGCTGACCCGGCTCTGCGGATAGTTGACGACCACCACACCGCTGAAGACTGCTGCATTGCTCTCGGATACGCCTTCAACCAGGCACTCGGGAGTCTCGCCGGCGTCGCCCGGTTCGGATACGCATATGCGCCGCTGGACGAGGCCCTTTCCCGCGCCGTCGTCGACCTGTCCAACCGTCCCTACAGCGTGATTGACCTGGGGTTGAAGCGCGAGTGGCTGGGGAAGCTGAGCACCGAGATGGTTCCTCACTGCCTGCAGAGCTTTGCGCAGGGCGCCCGGGTGACTCTGCACGTCGACTGCCTGCGGGGCGACAATGACCACCACCGGGCCGAGAGTGCGTTCAAGGCCTTGGCTGTGGCTATCAGGATGGCTACGACGAGGGTTAAGGGCAAGGAGGGTGAGGTTCCTAGCACGAAGGGTACACTGAGCGCTTGAACGGGGTGGGTTGGCTTTTACGTTAGATACATGTCGGAGTTTAAATGTCTTGAACAGACGGGGTTTACAATCTAGAGGCCAAAAAAAAGTTCTCATATTCCCACTTTATTGGCAGTGCCTGGTGTGTGTTAACGCGGCATGCATTCTATCGCAGTGATAAAGGCGTGTGCTTGGATATGAAACGCCTCGGAAAGATTCTATAAAACTGCCAACAGGCCTCGGGTTCCTGTAACCAAGACATTGTTCAACACTCAGGTCCGGTAATCACCATTGATGGTAACATAGTCATGGCTCAAGTCGCAGGTCCAGTGCACGGCACTCTCATCACCAGTGCCCAGAGACACTAGGATCTCCAAGTCTTCCATCTCTAGAATCTCGCTCGCCCGCTTCTCATCGACAACCTCCGGCTCACCATTTACCAGCAGCTTGAGCTCCTTGGACCCGTCGGTGGGGATGAACGAAACGCTCGTCTTCTCGGGGACAATCTCGGGAACGTCATTGACAGGCTGCCCGGGCTTGGAGATGAGCGAGTAGCCAGCCGCGCACAGAATACGGCCCCAGTTGGCGTCCCTGCCGTAGAGCGCAGTCTTGACCAGCGGCGAGAGGGCAATGGCTCGCGCGACTTGGCGGGCGGATTCTTCAGACGCGCTGTTGACCACGCGAATGGTGACAAACTTGGTGGCGCCCTCGCCGTCGCGGACAAGGTACTTGGCCAGGTCAGTGGCAAAGTCGGTCAGTACCGTCTGGAAGGCATCGTAGTCGGGCGACTGCTCGGACGACACCTCCTTGCCGCCTGCGGCGCCGTTTGCCAACAGCGCGACGGTATCGTTGGTGGAGGTGTCCCCGTCCACGGTGATGGAGTTGAAGGACCTGTTGACGGCGCGTCGAAGAACATTGGTCATGATGCCGGGGGCAATGGGCGCATCCGTGGCCAAGATGGCCAAGAGCGTCGCCATGTTGGGCGCCATCATGCCGGCACCCTTGGTCATGCCCGCAATGCGGTACTCGATCCCCGGAGAAGAAGGGAGCTCAAACGGCCTGGACATGAGCTTTGGGAAGGTATCAGTTGTGCAAATGGCCGTTGCGCAGTTGAGCCAGTCCTTGTGGGTGGCGCCGGCGCGATGGATGGCCAGGGGAATATGGTCGACAATCTTTTGAATGGGCAGCCTGCAATGCACGTTTGTCAACGTAGTCTCAAACAAGGCAATGAGCCTCGAGCAGTTCGCGCCTCACCTCTGACCAATGACTCCTGTGCTCATGACGATTGTTGAGTTCTCGGTGCCGACCCGCTGGTCAGTCGTCTCGGCCATCCTGGCGGCATCTTGAAGGCCTCCGATGCCGGTCACGGCATTCGCATTGCCCGAGTTGACAATGACGCTTCGCAGACCAGCATTGGATTTTCTCTGAAGCAAGGTTCGGCTGAAGGTGACGGGAGCAGCCTGGAACTTGTTTTTGGTGAAGACGGCCGCGGCAGCGCAGTCGCGATCCGACGTCACCAGAGCAATGTCGGGCTTGCTGGTGTTCCCCGGCTTCACGCCACAGAAGACACCGGCGGCTGAGAAGCCCTTGGGATAGGTGCCTGAGGTAGGGACAAATTTGACCTTGTTGGCCGGGACGCCGTTGGTGGAAAAGGCGCGAGCAAACTTCATCTTGGGGGTGATGTGACGAGGTGAAGTTTTGCGTGAACAAGTCCGTGGCCGGATATCTGGTGCAGTGTCGTGACCCGTGACTCAATTCACCTCGGCACTGCGTCGGGAGATTTAGCATCACCCCGCGCGGTTTGATACGGTATTCTGTACATATTCTTAGTCTTTGGAATATACAAATCACCCTGCCGTGCGGAGTAATTTTTGCTGCATATTTTATCTATTTAGGTGCTGCTGTGAGCTTATGGATGCCATCCGTGAATCTGTCGTGTGGCTGGAGAGCATCTACGGGACTAGACCTGTCTGGAGTACGATTTCGGAGCCATCAAAAACGCCACGAGGCATATTTGAGCTGCAAAATTGAGCCGGTTATTCACTAATTTGGTTCAATTTATTAACAAGGTTTTCGGTGTTTGCACAACAAATCAACAGGCTGCCTGCAAGCCGAGTGCACAGCTAAAGAACCTTGCACTCCAGATAGTTCAGAAAGCAAAAAGCAGAGACAGCACCAGAAAGGATAATCCCAAGCCAGTACTACGCGGAATCTCCCTGTGTAAGATTCTCGTCCGTCGATAAAGTTCCCCTTGCGTGATATCTGGTCAAAAATGGCGCCGCGAATCTGCATTTTTCCACGTGCGGCTGTGGAAGTCACAGTTGATGCCTGGCAATACCAACCAATCAGAAGCTCAGAAGCCGCCCCTGTCCACCCGTGCCTGCAGGCCAAACAAGCAACATGAAATTACTTACATAAGCATGCTGATCTGGGGCGAGGAAATTTTGCCTATAAAATGTCGCCCTGCGCCCCGTCCTTTCAGTCTTCTTTTCTTCCTTTCCTCTCCATCCAAGTGCACGGGCGTTTTCCTTCTCCCTGAAGCGATGAGCTGAGAGAGGAATTTTGCTAGTTGAAAACTATAACAAAACCGCTCCTGTTTGATTTATTCGGGCAGGGAATTTTTGGAACACTTTGACTTTTGTCTTTCATTGCGACTGGTCCGTTTGAGGCTGGCGTGAAGAAGGGTCTAGAGTAGGTGGGAGGAACGGGGCTCGAGAGTAGGAATGCAGGAGACAGTACTGTGTATGGAGAAAGTGATGTCGTTTCCAATACCTACTAGGTACCTTAACTGCCCGATTCTGTTTTCATGCCTCGATCAGGGCAAGATGCGGACTGTGGTTGGGGGCGCACGGGGTTATGTGATGAATTTCCCGCCGTGACGAGTGGTGGTGATGCTAGTGCCCTAGCTTGGGGTGTCCTTCGAAATTTAATCTCCCTAGGTCACGCGTCCATGAATAGAAATATATGGAACTTCTTTTTTTCGACGTTCCATCCGTCGTGATGCAGGTGCAGCTCGACACAGAGCTCGAGGTATCGGTGCTGAAATTTCTTGGGCACTTCAATGTTTGGCCGCAACTCTCTCGTGGGCGTTTGGTGGTTAGTTAGTACGCAGGGCAATATTAAAAACATGAACGGAGAGCAAAAGTGCACTTGGGCCATTTGGCAATTATGGTATCGACAGTCAATAAACCTAGGTATATACACACCATCTCAGACCCTCAAAATAAAGCCCATTAGATTTTATCGTCAGTCCAAAAGCACTTCTCAAGCTCGCTAGTCCTTCGACCATGATTCCTGCACTCCTGCACATCGACGCACAAGTGTTGAGCCACTTGCGTGTGGGCAGCTCCTTAGCGCGGGGCATCCCTCCACTCAACTGCGGTGACTCAAACTTTGGCCAGCGGCAAGTTAAAAAGACCAGACGCCAGCTTCGCCATTTTGCACACTCAACTTGCTAATTTCCGTCAACTTCGAAACTGCATCCCGCAACACGTCTAGCTAGCGATTCTTCACTTAACAATACGCCTGAGCCGAACGAACTGCTCTCACCGACTCCCTGTTGTGCCCCTCCCTAGCACGCAGCTCAAACACCACCAGGCATAATCATAATCCTATTGACAAAATTCAACAACACTCCCCTTCCGACCCTCATGGCTACAGAGGGCGGCCAGACCGCTCCCGTAGGCGACGCCGCCGCGAAGAAAGACCAGAAAACCCGGGGCCAGCCTAAAACCCCCCAGCAACCAGACCAAGCTGCATCCTCAGACGCCCCCGGCGAGAAGACTCTATCAAATGCTGAGCTGAAGAAGAGAGCCAAGGAGGAAAAGGCAGCTAGGAGAGCACAGGCAAAGGTTGCGCAGGTCGCAGCACCTGCTGGACCTCCCGGGGGACAAGGCGCTACTGGCGACGCAAAATCTGGCAAGAGCAAGGCAAACAACCCCAAACAAGGTGGTCTCCCTGTGCCGAGCCATCACAGGTCTGCTTCGCGCTCTGTGCTGCCGCCTGTTGCGAAGGAGGTTGTGAAGCCCAAGATTTCAGAATGCTATAGCCACTTGTCCATGGCGAGGAGGATTGCCATCACACAGGCAGACAAGGACGTTCATCCCGTTGTGCTGGCGCTGGGCCAGCAGATGAGCACGTTTGCAATTAGCGATAGTACCACGAGACTTGAAGCTACTCTTCTGGCCTTCAAAAAGGTATGAGCCCCCCAAAACATGGTTGTCTCTTTCTTCGCCTTCTCTACGCTATGCACGTTTCTGACAAAAGGGCCTAGGTCATCGATGCCTACACCACTCCCCACAGCAACACATTCTCTCGCCACTTCACCTCACACGTTCTCAACCCTCAAATCGAGTACCTCACCGCCTGTCGACCAATGTGTTTCTCCATGGGTAACGCCATCAGATGGCTCAAGCTCCAGATTAGCAAAATCGACATTGATCTGCCCGACAGCGATGCCAAGAAGGTTCTCTGTCAGGCCATTGACACCTTTATCCGCGAGCGCATCATCCTTGCCGACTTTGTTATTGTCAAGACGGCAGCGGACATGATTCAAGATGACGAGGTCATCCTGACGTATGCTCACCACAAGCTCGTCGAGCGCTCGCTCCTGCAGGCCAAGTCGGACGGAAAGCAGTTCAAGGTCATTCTTGTCGACGACCCATTCGACCGCGTGGGTCTTGAACACGCAAAGAACCTAGCCGCCGCCGGCATCCCCGTCACCTACGCCTCGGATATGGGTGCCCTGCGATCAAATCTGCAAGAAGCTACCGTTGTATTCGCCGCCGCAGAGGCCATGTTCAGCAACGGCTCCATGTACGCTCGCGCAGGTACCTGTGACGTTGCCACCGTTGCGACCGATCTGGGCCTCCGAGTCGTGGCGCTCAGCGAAACAATCAACTTGACAGATCGAGTGTCCATCGACTCTCTCACGTATAACGAAATCGATCCCGAGAGAAGCACAGGCGAAGAATGCAGGCTGCTGTTCGACACCACAAGGGATAAATTCCTATCCATCGTCGTCACTGAGCTGGGCAGCTTGTCAGCCATGTCGGTGACTGCCATCTTGCGCAAATTGGAGGAGCTGTAGACTAGACAAGAACCAAAAAAAGAAGGGAAAAATATAGAAGCCATGTAATATCCCACTACTACTAGCCTTTTCATCCACGGTGTATCATTGTGACCGCGCCGTCTCAAAATCAAATACAAGCATCAAAAGAAACCTCTGTATTCCATGCGCTCTACCCCATATGTACAACTCTTACAACCCCAAATTTCACCCTATCTTATGAGGGCCTAGAAGACACATCAGCCCGGCCGTAGCCCAGTCGTCGCTGGCCGTAACGGCCCCCCCCCTCCACTCCTAACTCCCTACTGCAGAGCAGCCGCATCGCCCCTCGCATCGCCAGCCTCCCTCTCCGCCTTCCTCTTGCGCTTCTCGAGCAGGAACGCCTTGCGCTCGCTCAGCATGGCGCTCTGCTTGTCGTCGATGCCCTGCAGCCAGTATCCGAACGAGGCGCCGCCCAGAGCGTACGCCGGGTACGCCCACAGCGAAGACTTGTTGAAGAAGGGGCGCATCTCGATTCCGACCTGCCAGAAGCGCACGGCGAGGCCTGCATCGCCGCCGACGTTAGCTCTGCTTTTTTTTTCCAGACTGGCGACATTTCGTTGGGGGACGGGAGGGACAACGAACCGAAGCAGCTCCAGAATGCGATGCGGTGAACCATGGTGGGTGGTAGGTCGCTCCGGAGGGTGATTGACCGTGTGGATTGAATTGAGCGAGGGAATTGGTAGTTTGCTGCCGCTCGCAGGTGGTCTTGGTAGCTAGCTGGTGGGATGAGGTTGTCGTGATGGGGTCGATGGAGTCTTGGTTGTCGGAGTCAATTTACGGTCACGTGTGGGGTCACATGCACTTGACTTGTACTACCACACGCGACGGACCTCGTCCACGACACTGGGAAGCTCTAGTAGGTGGGAATTGATTTATTGATAACATCAAGGCTATTACTATGGCATCTATCATTTCTCATAAGATGGTTCTATGCACAACACAAAGTCTATAACACGACGCCCAGGCTGGGCTATGTATGTACACTCATCTCGTTCTAACGCCAAGCAAAAAGTACATTTCAACCAAACATATTATCCCGCCTGTTTGAATTGAGCGAATATGGCGGCGGCGGCGGCATTTCGGATTGAGCAGAAGCGGCGTGAGCCGGTAGTCGGGGAAGGTGTGGTGGCACGGCGGGGGGTGGTCCGGTGCCAGCCATTTGCGTGACCTTGGCAACCATCTTTGCCATGTATTGCTGGATAAATGACTCCCTATTATCTTGTTAGTGACTCAAGGCTGACAACAATTGACACATGTATAAGACTTACGTATAGTAGCTGTGATCCGAATTGTGTGGCGACACAAGGTTGTGAGCCAACTCGTGAGCCAGCACAACCCACCACCAGGTAGCAGCTTCAGCTTTGCCGCTTCCACTCTGGACCTGTGCAGCATGCAATTGTAGAAAGAACCGAAAGTTACAGAATATGCTGCCGCCCGTATTAAATGCAATAGTCCCCCCTGATTCGTCGTAGAATATGTGCAAAACCTTGGGCGACACCGAGTAGATGCCACCAATCTCGACTAGCAGCGACGCGAAGGAATTGATTGGGCCGGTGTTGGCCGACAAGAAGGTTGCTGCGTCGCCTTGCATAGACTTTGCTACATATACCTTCATTCCATTAGAAGACTCTGCCGCAAACGTGATGTTTTGAGCCGGAGCTTTATCGCAATATGTGGCTTGTTCCTTGACCTGGTTGACCTTGGGCTCCGAGAAGACATGGTCAGATCCGTGGGCTCGAGTCGCTTTGACGGCGTTGAGGAGATTTTGCTGCACTACAGCAGGACTAGTGACCCGCCCATCATCTTGTTGGGGGCGTCTGGCATCATCTTGCTGCGGTCCAGTGGATGAAATAGCCCCGTTTTGCGTGGTGTTGTTCTCTATAAATTGTTCCAGCTGGTTCTTGGCTTCATCCTTACTTCCATCTTGGCTGTCAAATCCTAGCTTGCGACTGAGGCTGGAAAACAGACCACCCCCCTTCCTTGACTGCTGTGAGTTGTCCGTCGCAGAATCATCCGGTGAGCCCCATGCACCCGGCATAATCGGTTTGGCCGGCTGTTCTGGAGTGCGAGCAACTTGCCTGGCTGCCTCGGCTGCGCTTGGGAGTTCGCGAATCTTGCTATCGTCGGTTGCTTTCCCCTGTTGGGCCCAATCCTGCTCCCTTTCTTGGATCCTCTTCTGCTCTTCTTGTAGTGCTTTCCGTCTCTCCTCTTCCGCTATCCTTGCCTCGGCAGCTTTAGCACGGAGGATACGGTCCACATTGTAACCACGTGCCCGGAGACCAAAAAGGTCCAATGTAAGGAATGGTTCAAAGAATAGGTAGGCTTGTTGGTTCGGCCGGTTCAGGAGCATTTGGCAGACGGCCTGCCCTACTTGGTACATATCTGGCTGATTGTCATCGGCGACGTACAAGACCCAGGCTCGATCCTCATAGGCACCAGCCGCGGAACGTTTCTCTGTATGTGATTGTCGATGCCCTTTCAATGTGCGGCGCAGAGCTACGGAGCGAACCATCTCTACACGAAAGTTCTTCTCGAGCCACTTGGCGTCGTGCTTGACAGCATCGCGTCGATAGCTTGCGTACTCGTAGAGAAAGATTTTTGATCTCTCCACAACATGCTTCCGAAGTTGTTCTGCCTTTTTCAGCTTAGCCGTATGTGGGCCAATCCGTACATCTTCCTGGACGATACTGCTAAGCTTCTCAGCGCCTAGTTGGAGATAAAATGTTTCCAGGGCGTCCTCTTCTGGGGCGCAAACTAAGTATTCCTTGAACAGCCGGTAGCTGATAATATCGTCCACGACTACAATTTGACTGGCCGAGGCCAGCTGATATTGCTTGATTGGTGTTTCATCCTCGTCCAGGTCTATCAAATCGCCTTTGTTTGCCGGCGCTATTTCCTTATACGCCAGCAGACAAGGGGCCATCCTTAGTTTGCGCCACAGCTCCTTGTCGCGATGAAGAGTGGACGATGCTTCGGCAAGAGATTTGAGGAGATCCATGTATCTCTCTGGGCTTTGCAGCACGCTGAGTAGCCTCGCAGGTTCAGTGCATGTCATATGTGCAACTTCAAGCTTGGTAGGCTCGCTCTTTGCTCCACAGTGAAACAGGAACGAGTTCGCTTCCTGGCCAAAGTCGACAAAGTCAAAAATATCGCCATATGTTACAGACTTTCCCAAATATGCCCGAGATGGGTTGATGTAGGATACCTTCTCGCTAGACGTCGTGGATGACCCAACCATGCTTGGCCTCGAGACTGGCACAATAGGAGAATTTCTGAGCTTGGCTAGGCTATTTTCGCGGACTTCGCTAATCCGAGAGGCAAAGTAGCCAAACAAGGTGGTGGCCGATTGCTGGTCTTTGGGCGGACTGGCTAGGAGACGGTTGACGCAATCGACCATTGGAGGATCACGGGCAACACCGAATTTCTACGATTTGTCAACTTGCAATTCCGCGGAATATGGATTAGGGGGGGGGCTCTTACATTTGCGTGGTCATGAAGGTCCCTTCTAAGGATGTGGAAACCAAGAACCGCGGCTCTCTCGTTCGTAAAACATGCTGAAGGTGCTACAAGCTGTGTACTGCCTTGCAAGGGGAGAATAGGCTTGCGGGCCTCGCTCATATCAAACACTCCGTACCGGTTAATGTGGTGATTTGCAATAAAATAGGTCATGGCCGAGTTGCGCAATGCATCATCTTTGGCTGCCATCATTTCCACAAGTTCTGGTACGGAGGGAAACGCCCGCAATCCAAGCACAGTCAAGAATCTCGCCTCAGGACTGCTAGCACGAAAGCTACCAGGAGGGCCTGGCCACTGCAGAATGGGAAGTCTGAGAACACGAAGTGAGTCTTTGGGCTCAAAGAGCTCAGACACTTTGTACAGTGACTTTGATGCCTCTGTTGATTCCATTCCTTTGGGCCCCGCTTCGGCAGGGCAGAATCTTGTTTCTGTCAATTTCTTGAGATCATCAGAAGGGATATCATTCTGTACAGAAGCCAGGTACTTGATAAGCTCCATATGACTCCATTTCTTCTGACTGCTGTCGCCAGAATGGGTCAGTAGTCGTGTAAAAATAGTTTCCAGGTCTACTGTCTTTCGCACACCAACAGCTACCAAGAATTTATCCTTGACCTTTTCACATCCTTGGATAATGGGCAGGTCATCAAATAACTTGACAGACGGAAAGAATGATTCCCCGGGTCGTTTCAAACCCAGCTTGGTAGGCATTACCGCATGGCTTTGAACCAGCGAGGCCAGGGCCGTCTTATCCTTGTTGGCGATTGTATCCCAGTTCTTGGCAAGAATAATGAGCACCTGTACAGCGAACTTTGAAGATTTCGTCACGCTCTCCTCGTCTGGTCTATGGTTCGTCGTTTCTAGTAAATAGCGGAACCAAGGCAGGACCTCTAGTGGTTCCCAACCCAGAGCCTGAAGTTCAGAATGGTGAGAGTTGGTCGTGAGAGAGAACGGAACAGTTGTTGGTGGTATTGGCATATGCGCCGGAATGATGCTTAGACTCAAGTAGTTTGTGATGCTGCCAAGTGCGACAATGCCGCCTTGGGATTCTCCGTCACCCATCGTCGCAACAGCAACCTCGAGCAATGCGGCTCTACTGCCAGGGTCGAGCTCGCCGCTCAAACTCTTCTTTCCTGCCCAGGAGATGAATTTGATCATTTGAGATTTGCTCAGCGCCTTTGCTTCAAGCTCCTTCTTGACATCAGTGACCGTAATGTGAGATATGAGGCCAAAGTCTATCAATTTCTTAACAAACGGGGAGCTCTTCATCTCTTCGGGGATAACAGGAATGCTCTCCACAAAACCATTGAGCTCATCCGATCCGAGGCGAACATGTGTGGTCTGTAGCACACCTTGGCTGGAGAACATTTCAATGGACGCCTTATTGAAACATGTCCAAAAGGCTTCTTCCATTATCTGACCGACCTGATTGCTAGGTGTCGAGTCACTGAATGTGAACGTTTTCAGAGTGTGGAGGGCCTCTGGCATAAACTTGGAGATGATGGTGTCGGAAATTTTCTTGCCATTTTCGACAGCTGTTTGCATCCTGCGACTCAAATCGTTCATTTCATTGGAAAATGCCAATCTGGTCACAATTCCAGCTGCTCGAAGGAGCTCCACGTTCCAGGTCCTGACCCATCTTGCGTTAAGATCAATGGCTTCTCGTTCCACGGTCGGAATGACTGATGGTGCCGAGACATGCATCCCAGCACCGGTTGTCTGCATGGTTGGAAATCCAATAAAAATACGGCCCCCGGGCTTCTTATTCGGCAGAACGGAAGCGAAGACATCTGTAGCCTTTAGAAGGGCGGCATCAGTAGCGGAGCTCCCAGACGCCCCAGCTTCGTCATATGACGCCGTCAGGACGGAGATCTTTGTTGTCTTCGGCGGAAGCTTCTTGGTGGCTCTCTCGAGTTCAGAAGCAAAAGAAGACGACACATTGGTTCGTATGGAGGCGGAAGTGGCGCTCAAGAATATTGTAGATGTATTCGGCTTGGTCACATCCTCGGCAATTTGTGGCTGCACCAGATTATCCTCGCTCTGCGCCTTGGAGCGCAATCCGGCCTGTGAGGCAGTTGCGGTTAGCCGTGCAAAAAAGGATCGAAGAGATGGCGCTTCGCTTGAGCTGTATGAATCTGGATTTTTTGCATTTGACGCCGTGGTTTGTGGTTTCCACCCGATAACACTCATGTATGAGGCATCTATTTGAGTTCTGGTCCTGTCAACACCAATGACCTTCATGAGGCCTTCTTTCGTCCTCGCTTCCAGGTCTCGAGGCAAAGACAGGTCTGCAGGAGGAGAGGATTTCTTCTTCAAGGATAATATTTGATAATCGTCAATCCAAAACTCAATATTTTGCAGGGCCACAAAGGTCAGGCTCGTGGCAAGAAACTGACCAACTGAGAGGAGGTTCGGCAATGGGGTCGTTGTGTTCCTGTAATCCAATACAAAGGCAGTATTCCTGCTAGCCTTGTCCTCGGGCAGTTGAGACTTTTTCGTGAAGAGAGAGTTGCCCTTCCAGTAGAACGCCATGGCTTCGCTTCCGGAGCTCACAAAGGGCTCTTCGCAGTCAGCAAATACGCTGTAGAATCCGACGCCGAATGCTCCGATCTTGGTTTCGTCGGGGTTGCCCTCTGCAATCCTCTTCAACCGACCCCAGTCTGTTTTTGTAAACGGCTGGCCATCATTTTGCACGACCAGGCGCCGTAAAGTATGGTTCGCTATGGCATGTTTTAGCAGTTCGGATCGATTCGTCGTGTTCGGTAGGGGGACTTGGATGGAAGGGATGGTCTCCCATTTCACAATGACGGTCGTGGCCTGGGCGTCGGCGGCATTTTGGATAAGTTCTCGGAGGGTGGTCCATTCGCCAGAATACCTGGCGAGGACCTTGTCTATCAGAGCGCGGGTATCGACGGTGACTGCCTCTTCGTCTTCTCCGTCCCGCAAGGCTGCGGCACGAAGGCTGGAATAGTCCATGTCGAGTTGCACCGGGGATGTATGTTTTCCGTTCTATATCATGACGACGAATATAATCGATGTTTGTTGGCCTTTGGGGTCGTGTTGGAACAAGCCAGTGGCGAGAATGCCAGGCAGAGAAAGGGTATACGTATCAGCCAACGTCACCCGCCACCTCCTTACGCTGGTTAAGCAGAAATGTATGGAAGGATACGGAATGCAAACAATGCTGGACCAACAAAGAAAAGAATCGCACGCTACTGATGCTGGGGAACTTGTGGTCGGGAAGTCTTTACGGAGGCAACCGTCTCCTGCTCGAGTGCTGATGTGCTGTTGGCGTTGAGATGAATGAGCCAACCTGGAATCTAGTGCCAGGCCCATCCGCCCAACCAATGCCGCTGCAAACCTGGTGCCTCCGGCTGCAAGTGCTTCGGCTCCGCGGCGAGCGGGTCCAATGACATGGAGCACTAAAAGCCCCGTGCCTTGTTGGAGTCGGATCTCAGGGGACAACGTTAACGTTCTGGTGCATCGGGAAGGTGCAGATGAGGTCCATGTCGTTGCGTTAGAATCCAAATGTCCCAACATTAAAAAGTCAAGTTTAAGACCAAATGGCGAGTACCTACCTGGTACCTTGTAGCCTAGTAATTAGTACCTCGGTCATTCAAGTGTCTACTAGGTACCTTGGTACTTAGGTTGCTCAAATTCAAATACACAAGGTGATGATGCATGGATAAATTATATCGCCGGCGCAACGCCACATTGACAGGTGGCCGCCTTGTATCAAGCCTGCATGGCACTTGCGGCACATGATTGCCAGGTGGAAGCATTTCCGGGGTTGAACCAAGGCCGCCATTGACGTGGACTTTAGCTTGGAAAATGAGACTACCCAAAATGAGTCAATACTATTTAAACTCGACTTTTGCTGCAACTATTCAACTCCTGAGGCATCTGTAGACGAATATTTCGACTTGTTTATCCACTCTTCCATGCCGAACACTGACGAAACGCCTGTCAAGACACTTGCCTCCTCCGACCTTGAACCAAAACAACGGGGCCGTGGTAGTTGTGCCGTCCTCGAAAGGCGTAATACACCATGGCAACAATCAACGCCGAAACAAATATGGGCGATGCCCAGTTGAAACCAGGCGCAGTAACCGGATACACTTGTGGCCAGAAACACCAGAAGAAACCCCACGTGGTCGTAAGCACCGCAACTGCATTGATGGGCACTCCGTATCTCCCCAGAGAGAAATGGGCGTAGGGTATTGTCTCGGGGTGGCAGACGCGTCGATATAGCATGCACCCAATGCTCAGCGAGTAGCACTGCAGCAGGGACACGATGCAAAGCGAGGTGAGAGCGTAGAAGGCGACTGGGCTTCCAATGTAAATCAGACTAAGACACGCACTCACGCCCGCCGACAGAATGCAAGCATTTGTCGGGATGCTTCGCTTCTTGTCAACGCGTGCGATCCACCCCGAGAAAGGGATCCCTCGGTCGCGCGCAAAAGCAAATAGGTCACGGCTGACAGCGGTCAAGTACGACAGGTTGCCAAGCATGAGGAGAAGCACAATGACGACGAGCATAAAATTCAGCCACGGCAGCGACATTGACCTCCGCAAAACGTAGATTGCCGGGTACGTGGTGTCATCGCCGAGCGCGTCCGTCACACTGGATATGTGATACGAAAGAGTCACCAGCGTGACAAAGGTCAGCGTGAAGTTGATGGCAAAAGTGATGAGCATGACTCTTGGGATGCTCTTTGCCGCGTCTCTCACTTCCTCTGACATGTGCGCCGCCTGAGGGAGTCAAGTGGTTAGTTGGATCCTGGTGAGACTGAGCGACTGACTGAGGCTGACTCCTGGACGACAGCATCACATACCGTATCAACACCCACGAGTCCTGTGATTCCGGGCATCTGGCCAATCAAGACGGCCAATGACAAGCTTGGCCAGCCTCCGGAGTTTTCAAAGCCTGACCAAACTCGGCTCGACTCGACCCTCGGAGCGTTGACCCAGACGGCAGCCAGAAAACCAAAGTAGGCCAAGATGTGAACAACAAAGACGACGTTTTGCCAATACGGCAGCAGTCTGGCGGCAAAGACGTTGGCGCAGAGCGCAATAGCCGTCATGGCCATGACGAGAAGGGTTCCATGCCAGTTGGCCGGCGAGTAGGTGCCGTCATTTATTGCGATGACGCTCTGTACAAGCGAACCGACGATGAACAGGCCTTGGGCGTTGCCAGCCTGCCAGGCAAGCGTCGAGGTCCATCTGGCTCCCGTATGATTTCAATGTTAGAGGAGACACCGTCCGTCGGAATGGACCATGGAAAGGAAGCGGTCTGGTTGCTCACCCCGTCACGTAGCTCAAGATCTTTTGGTACCTGTCTGGGGCAAACTCGCTGACCCAGTGATACTGAGCGCCAGCTATGGGCGCAATACTGGCCATTTCGGCCATGCTGAGATAGACTGGGACGAAGCCGACAAAGTTCCAGAGAAAGCCGTACACCAGAACAGGCCGTCCGCCGTCGGTGAGGCCTGGCGTGATTCCGAATAGTGTCAGCTCCCACGCAGAGGTTGCAAGGGCGACGAATGATACCATGGACCACGAGCGGAAATGCCGAACCAGTTCCTGGGTTCTGCCCATTCGACGCATGTTGCGGGCATCTTCCCACGTCGACCTGTGTCGTTGATCCGGCTCCTCCCTGCCCATCTCTTGGTCACGACCAATGCCAGCATGGTCCGTATCCATGATGCCGGGCTTGGACATTTCGTGAGACGGGCCTGATGAGCTCATGGCTTTGAATAGGAGCTTCACCTCTGCTGTGTTGGCAGCGTTGAGTTCTACCTGATAATATACATGCAAGCGGTGTTGTAGAAAACTGACAACAATCACGCGGATGAAAGGCGGGCGAGCATGGAACAGACACGACGAGGAGAAATAGGATTCAGCATATTGGCCAACACAAATTGGGCGAAGCCGGGAAGAAGGCTGGCAATAAATTGTTCATTGGAATGCCATACCATGGCAACCCTGCCATGCGTAGTAGCTGGAAACAAAACGTGGTTGGGCGAGATACTGCAGCAGCCATGATTGAGATTTCACGTTCGTCCGCCGTCCGTCCGGAAATGCAACATGGAGCATGGTTTCACTTTATCCAACACCTGGTTCTAAAACCTCGTCTAATAGTTGCATCGGGGAAGATTGTGCGGGCGAGCGACTGGGGGAAACCCTTGATCCTGGTCACCCGCCCGGGACTTTTCTGCAAACATTTCCTCCCCCTCTCTGCCCTGATCTCCATGATGCTCTCCATTGACCGCCTTCTTCGTCTCGATGCATGCATCTCAGCAGTTCATGGATGCCGCGTGGCGCCACCGACAAAATGGCCCTGCACCATTTCGACGAGCCGCAGCACCAAGCGCTGATTCCCTGAATTCCCTGATACACATGTTTGCAAAATAGGTGCACTCTACCGAGTATGTACTTCCATCATGGCCGGTGTTGAAGACCACTATTTCATGACGCTTCTTTCGCCTGACTGAATATAGAATTCAAGCTTCAGAAGCTGCATAGAATTGTCTGCTCATGGCGTGCCAACGACCAGACGCCATGGGAGCCTTTAGATTACATTGCGTGGACGAGCAGCAGCACCCGTCGCTTTGAGATTCTACAAGTCATGTACGACACTGCCAATAGATGCCAAGGAGACGTATGAATCGTTTCAGGTCCAACAGGCCCCAGTCCTTCGTCTATCGGGCATCTGCCCATCAAGCCGTGTCTTGCCATGACGCGAGGCTCGACAGCTGCAGAGTCAAAATGTCGGCATATAGCTCATCATGAGCCTTCCATCCGGGAAGAGAAGGAGGTTACAGCGAGCCGCGCCGCGACGCAATTCCATCCAATCGGTTCGTTGGGCGATGCTCAAACAATGATACGGTGCATCTCTGCCGCCCCCAATGTGACGGCACGTAAATGCCGCTGCTCTGCCCTGCAGATGACTGTACCATCATGGCGCCACGTTCTCTTACATAGATAGTGACCTTCGTCCTGGGTCGAAACCAAGCCAAACGCGCCCTCGAGAGTCTACAACATGGCTGAGAATCACGGCGCCTGGCTGATTACCGCCATGGCCATATTTTTGCCGTGGTCAACACTGACGTTTTGTGTCCGCGCATGGGCAAAGCTCGCGTCAAAGGACTGGGGCCGGGATGACTACTGCATTTCCTATGCCTTGGTGGGTTCTGAACTCGACAAACATATCCAGCCATCATCGTGCTAAAACGCCGCCCTGCTAGGCTTCTGCTCTCGCACATGTTGCGCTTACCTGCGACGCGATTCAACATGGATACGGCCTTCCAGAGGCCAAGATTCGGGTTCCTGATTTAGAACATGTCAAATATGTATGGTACCAACCAGGGGTCAGCGAGCTCAACTAGATGCTAAACGATTAGTAGGCACTCTATGCTAGCCAAATCCTATACATCCTCTCCGTCGGACTATGCAGAGTATCAGCCGCGTTGTTCATAGCCCGCATGACCTATTTAGGTCCTCAAGCCAAACCAGCCCATGTGATTGCTACATCCTCGTCCTTGTGGATATTGATTTCCGTGTTCGTTATTGCGTTCAGAGGGCCTTTGGACCGTCCATGGGAAGTGTTGGAAGGTACTACTAGCACACTAGTGAGGCATACTTTCGACCATGACACCTTGCTTTTTGCCCTTGAAGACTGACCGACCCCAAGCATTCTCGTTGGATAGGAGTTGAGGCCACAGGAATTGTCATCGAGCTGAGTCTCTGGGCCCTATCTATACACCTCGTATGCAGCGTTCAAATGAGGGTCAAGAAGCGTGCCTTTATCATATGCGCGTTTGGCGCTCGGCTCGGGTATGCTGTTTGGCCTTTTTTTTTGGGCGTTGGCAAAGCGACTGATGGTTTGCAGAACTGTTCCCATAATAGTCTGTCGTGTCCTATGCATGGCTCCGCGAGAAAATTCCGATCCTATGCTGGCGGGGATCATTCCCAGCGTCCTTACTCAAGGGGCCATTCATTTTTCTATAATGGCGGGGTGCATAACGTGCCTGAGACCCTTTCTCCGAACCTTTAACGCCACTCATACTGTCGAAAGCAGAAGAACGGCGGCATGTGGTGATAGCAGAGGACAAAGCGCCTACTATTATAGACTCGAGACGCTCAAAAGGGTGGAGCGAAACGTGATAGACTCGAACGATTCAGCCAACTGGCGGCTATTTGAAGACTCGTATGAAGGACACGCGGTTGTGTACCCTGCTAAGCCTCATCTTACCACGAAGGACAATAGTACTTCGCGACACGAAAACAGGAACCCGTGTGCTCGACTTCGCGATGAGGTGATGGCCGACGAAGCTGATGGCTTGGATCGTTCGGTTATCCAGAGACCGACGGAAGTATCGTTACGCGACGAGGGAGAGGTTTGATAGCGTAAGAATAAAATATAAAGATCAGAGGGGAGTCTGATTACTTCCAAGTCGGCGCTGCGGGCGTTTGGTTGTTGACTCAAATTTATTATACATGGGTCCGGCACAGTCTCAGACCATCTACCATGCGTCTGTCCAAAAAGGTGTACCCGTCATCTACTCTTCCTATGATGATCTAGTCATCCTGTCGCATTGGCCGTGGGCTTTGGCTGCGCTCTCTGTGATGATCTCTGCGCCTACCCTCGTGTCGCCTCCTGTCCCCGCTATGATAATCTCTATCCTCACGGCGATAGCGCCTCTCTCGGCTTCGGCTTCGATTCCGCTCTGGCCGGAGCGGCCTCTCATCCCGATCGTGCCCACGTCTGTCACGGCTTCGATGTCGTCTCGACTCCCGATCTCGACTACGCCGTCTCCGGTGCCTCTCGTCATCCCGATCGTCATCCCTGTCCCGGCTTCTACTCCGATGTCGCCGTCTCTCCCTCCTCCCTTCATCTCTTCGTGATCGCTCCAGCTTGACCTTCCCATCACCATCTTCCCCGGGCGGTGGTCCAACCTTGGGTCCAATTTGTCTCTGTTGCCCAACATCCACCGCATTTGCACCGCTCGTATTCCTCTGTGGTATCGGCAACCCCAACGTCCGCGCAATCGCATCCTCCTCGGCCTCCTTTATCTTTCGCAGCTCCTCTTTGCGTACTCTTGCTAGTCGCTCCTCGTCTGTCTCTGCTGAATTGGCAGGCGTGTCGTCGGCCTTTGCGTACCAGTTTAGATCTCTGCCCTTTTGCCATCGACCCACGGGTGCCTTCAGGCTGTGGCCTAGGTAGTTCTCGCGGTGGGACGAATTAGCGACTTCGTCCCAGGAAAAGTCGGCGCCGCCGCGGGAGCCTGTTTTGCGGATCGTGTTTAGGAGGTCCATTTCTCTCGCTGCGACTTGGCGTATTGATGCTTGCAAACTGGAAACAAGTCACAAGTCTGGTTGAAACGACGACTTGAGGAACTAGACTTGTTGTTGAACCGGAAGCCCCACCAGAAAGCAGCTGGTCCACCAGCTGCAAGCGCACGCCCCCTTCCCCACCATCCTTGGTGCTAGCCACTGCTAGGGCGATCCGGTCAATTGATTGACATCCAAAGCTTCCCCAAGCAACGCTCAATGTCAACCTCCAACTATCCATTTCATCTGCTGCTCACGACTTTGCACGTCTGTACGCACCATGGACAATCCAAACGACCCCCCGCTAGACGAGATCCAATGGCGGTCTCCCCAAACCCTCGCCAGCATGGGCGGCCTGCATTCCAACACAATCCTCTTCTACTTCGCCGAGTCGCCTTTCTTTGAGCGCACGTCCAACAATGCCGTCATCACCAGCCAGGCCATGAACAACATCGCCATGTACCACTTTATCCAGACGCGCGAGGCATTCGAGGGCCGCTTAAAAACCATGTCGGGGCTGGAGTTCATCGTCGGCGAGGAACCTGCCGAGACGGGGCCGGGCATGGGCACCGGTGTCTGGGTGATTCGTAAGCAGACGCGGAGAAAGCGCTACCAGGAAGAGGACGAGATCACGGTCCACGCGTCGTTCTTCGTGGTGGGCGAGAACATTTACATGGCACCCACGCTGGCGGATATACTGGCGTCAAGAATCGTATGAGGGCGCAAGACCACTGGCATCCCGGGGGGTTTGGATCGGCTCGCTGACTAGGACGCAGATGACGATATCATCGGCCATTTCAAAGGCCCTCCCCGCAGCGGAGAGCGTGCGCAAATGGCGCCCGGCAACGGGCCACGTATACCAGCTCCCCACGAATCAAGCCGCCGGCGGCCGCGCCAAGGGCCAAGACTCGAAGGAGGACACGCCGCTACCAGACACCGCGGCCAAGCCTGCCGCCGCGGCGCAAAAGAACGACGAGGTGCCGATGGAGAGGGCGGCAGAGGAGGCGTTCATGGCACACATGCGACACGGGGGCGAGTACATTGACGAAAATGCCATTACGGGACGGCCGGGCGAATTCCACCTCTCGTCAACGGGCAGAAAGGTGGTTGTGCCTCTGCCGAAGAAGGGGCCGGACGGCGTCGGCGCTATGAACGGCCCGGCGCCCATCAGCACAAAAGTCGATGCGAAGAAGGAGGGGAAGTCGGGGCGGACGCCGAAATCTGCTTCCACGCCTGGCAAGTTGAAAAAGAAAAGGAGCAAGATGAGTGCTACAAATACGCCAGTGGCCACGTGAGCTGGTTTTCAAGTGTTTCGTTGGCCCTGGGTGGGTGAGAAAAGTGTTTTATTTGATGTCTAGAATTGATACCCTGCATTGCTGATGGATAGACTTGAATACATTTGACGATCTGAACACTTTGCTCTGCCGCCATGCTTTTGAACACTGTCTATAATTGCCACAAGTCTACCAGATGCTATGTTCAAAATTGTCCGGAATGGCACATGTATGCAAAAACGCCGTCATCATATATGATATCCAGCTGCTACTCTACGATCCATCCCTTCCCAGGGACCTTCTTCTGCTTGACCTTTTTCGCGGGCAACGGCCAGCCCTGTCCTCCCGTATTCTCCGCTCTCAGGTAGGGGATGACCCAGCACTCTCTAGTCATGGATCCCTCTCCCGACGCAGCTGGCGGCTTCACCTCCTTGATGGGCTTGCCGTAGCTAAGCAGCGGTGTTCCCTTGGCCAGTCCTGATAATTGCCCACCCGTAACGTCTGTGATGGCGTGCATACGCGTCTTGGGCTTCTTGGGGACATCCACGCCGGATGGTGTAGCTCGTTGCAGGTAGGAGTAGACAATGTATTCGGGACACTCTTGGGTGCTGCAATGTGCAAGGGGTGATGTAGGATGGATATATACCAGGCTGTCATGTTCGGGCCCCTGGACGGCGTGAAGGGGCACAAGAGGGATATAAGGCACATCGATTGCTCGCTTGGGTTTTCGATATTGTTCCGGGGGGGCAGGGGCCAAGTCGGCTCGGATTGCAACTTGGTCAACGAAGCCCGCGGCCGCCATCTGCTTGAGGGCACTGACTTGTTTTGGTGTCGGCGGGTCCAGTTTATCCTGGAACTTGAGATTTGCGAAGGAGGGTATGTTGTTCCGCAGAAGCTCTGTGATTTGCTTCCTCAGCTGTTGGATCTCCTTGAGAACCTTGAACCGAACAAAATGCTTCTCGCACCATTCTTCAGTAGGCTCATGCGCAAACTCGCCAACCACCTGCAACAGCTTGATGGCGTCTGATTTGTCATCCAGGTAGCAGAAGTTCTTGTGCACCTCGTTGAACACCCGACGCACATTTGCCTGCCGGTCTTCAGCAATTACATCGGCAGTTGTGCGGATCTCGACGTCACCCTTGGCTGTCAGTGCAGGGATTGCCTGGGCCTCCGGGAGGAAAACTTCAGCAGCAGACAGTCCAGCAACCAACGCAATCGTGTAAGGAAGACAGTCGTGTAAATGGCCGACTAGTAGGATCCTTGCAAATCGCGGTGCAAGTGGGAAGACAGACATTGTCTTGCCGATTTGTGTGATGTCGCCTGACGGTGAAAGAGCGCACAAATATGTAAGGAGCTTCTCGGCCTTGGCAAGACTCTGTCTTTCTGGAGGAGTTGGGAAAGGAAAGTTGACGACATTTTGGAGATTCATGGACTTGAGCTGTAGCACGATGCCCTCAATTGGCATACGAAGAAGCTCAGGATCTGCAAACTGCTGAAAGTCTCGCTCATATACAGCCGACGAGTATATCCGGTAGCAATGGCCAGGTCCAGTACGACCAGCACGGCCAGACCGTTGATTTGCACTAGCTTTGCTGATCCAGCCGATTTCGTAGCTCTGCACTCCACTTTGGCGGTCATATTGTCGCTCCTTGGACCGGCCACAGTCGAAGACGAATCTCGTTCCTGGAATGGTCAAACTGGTTTCTGCAACGTTGGTGGCTAGGATAACCTGACGTGTGCCGTCCGGTGCAGGCTCGAACACCCGGAGCTGTTCTCGCGTTGGTAACAACGAGTACAGTGGCAAAACCTGCATTTTGAGTGGTGCTGCTTCTTGGTCCTCTTCGATTTGGAACTCCTCCTCGTCCTCCTCATCGTCCGATGGCACGCCTCCCATTTCATCCCCGTAATCATCAACATCACCGAACTCGATATCTTCAACCTCCATAGGGGCCTCGTTTGCAGAGATCTTCACTTTAGGTCCCTCTGCTGCAGTCATGCCTCCAAAGGCCGCTTTCAACCTCTTACTCAATTGCAATATTTCATTCCGCCCCGTAAGAAATACTAGGAACCCGCCGGGGGGGAGCTTTCGGTGGCCCCGGGTAATTTTTCTGAATGCCTCCTCGACATAGTCATGCTGCGTCTTCCGTGCAAAGTGAATGGTAACTGGGTGTTGTCGCCCTTCGACCTCAAGGACAGGCGGTGGCGTAGGGAACAGCGTTGAGTTCATTGTCAGGTCCTCGATTCTGAGAGTAGCAGACATGATAATGAGCTTCAGGGGTTTGATTGTGGGGTCCTCCTCTGACAGTTCCGCGCGAAGCTTGATGACACGACTCAGCATACCAATCAAAATGTCAGTATTGACGCTTCTTTCATGAGCTTCGTCAATGATAATGGCAGAATATTTCCGCAAGGCGATGTCTTGAGCAATTTCTCTCAGCAGGACGCCATCGGTTAAGAACTTAATGGCGGTTTTATCAGACACTGTGCCCTCAAATCGAATCTGATATGCCACAGATCCAGAATGGTCACCCAGCTCCTCTGCTACTCTTCGAGACATAGACACCGCAGCAACTCGTCTAGGTTGTGTGACAGCAACCATTCCTGGGGTTGGCGAATCGGACGAACCATAGCCTGCTTCATAAAGAAACTGAGGGACTTGTGTAGTTTTTCCTGAACCAGTCGCACCGCAAATAACGACAATGTCATTATTGTGAACAGCCTCCATTAATCGCTGTTCCTCCGACACCACTGGCAGCTTCATACGAGCTTCTTGTATTTCTGGTGACCTCGTCACAGTTACGCTGAAAGCTTTTCTTGAATCATTCGCAGTAGGCTGAAGCTCCATGGGAAGAGGTTCCTGCTCTGGTGCTCTAGGGACAAAATTTTCTGGTTTTGGTACCTCTGACGGGCCGGTAGTGACATCAATTGGTTGATAACCCAAAGCCTCATTTCGCTGCTGAAGAGCCCAAGCTTTGAACGCAGAAGATCGTTGCGCTGGTTGCTCGGCGTCATTATCCTTTTCGCTTCCCTCAGACTCTTCGTCCCCCTCACTATCGTCACTGGTATCTTCTTCAGAGCCCGTATCGTCATCGACTTCAGGTTCAGTGTCCTCACCCGGTTGGGTTACATTCTTTTCCGAGATTTCATCATCGCTGTCAAAACCATCCCATTCCTCATATTCCAGCTTATTCGGTTGTATGATTTCGATAGTTTCCAGAGGTGCTTTTGTTTTAACTCCTCCCCGTTTCTGCTTCTTCTTGATGACAGGCTTCCCTTCATCGTCTTGTTCCAACGGTCGCTTCAAGCCGGATCCAATGACCTCGGTGTCAGGGATCCGTACGAGTGGCCTGGGTATTTCTGAATTTGGAATTGATTTTTCTATTGTGGACTCAATTGCGACTTTGGCAGATCTAGCCACATTGCTCTCGTCGGCGTCGCTTCCGTCATCCTCGAGTTCAATGGCTGGCTCTTGTCTCTTCTCCAACAGAATCTCGTCGTCACCATCTAGGCCAGCTCTCGACTCCCTCAAGGCTCGCGACAAAGCTTGCTTCTTTGTTTCTTTCCCTTGTCCCAGTGAGCGACTGCTAGAAAACAACGATGTGTCGATGCGGCGTGCGGCCAGTTTGGCGAGAAGTTCTCGGTTTTCGTCTTTTCGCAATTTATTCTCGATGTATTTCTCGAGTCGCTTCGCCTTTTTGCCACTAACTTTAACTCCATCTTGTCGCAATTCCTCCTTCATCCGAGCCTTCTTTTCTTGCCGCTCAGCCTGTGTTGCTGGAAGAAGCTCCTGGTTTGTGTCGCGCACTTCATGCTGGGCAGCCTCTTCGGCCTTTTGTCGAGCAAGCACCTTGTGCTTCCTCTGACGGGGTACAAACCTGGCCATTGTGCTCTAATTGTATCACCGGCGGGCCATGATGCGGAATTTTGCTCAATCGCACTGCTGCTTCATGACTGCCAAAAAGTGGCACTTGACCAAGCAACCATGCCTTTGGAAATTTTGGGCCAGAGCCAATTGTGTCACGACTCACCGCCAAAATCTCGATCCGGTTCGAGACTAGCGCGGGGCTGGCACATCCATGTCACTCCAGCGCTACCCGGAAACCCTCGCACTCTCTTGACTGTGTTGTCTTCATTCAACGCCTCCATCAGCAACCATCTCGAGACATGGCAGGGCTCATGGAAGCAAGGGGAGATGAATTTCCTGTGCCTAGCCGTCAAGCATCAGGCGCTGTCAACGGTGTCAAAACCGATGTCACCTCTTTAAGCTTCAGCGATAAACTCCTGGTGACGATAAGCCAGGAGGGACGGTTGGCACAATGGGTGCGTGTGTTACGTTGCTCAAGGCTGACCAACAATTCAAGTCTAATGCCTCACAGGTTCAAGTCCCACTAGTAGGCTCATCTGCTGGTGCGGTAGAAATGACATTACCCAGCGCAGGTCATGGGCTCCTACCGTCAACCCATCTTACGCCAACGACGCTGTTGGGCGGGGGCGGCGAGGATCGCGAGACCCTTGGCCAGCTTTATGCCGCTCAAATTGCCAGCCACTTATCGCTAAAATATCCCGATGATAGGAGAACGCTTGTGCTTGGATTAGGGCTGGCGAAATATGATGTCGAGCGTGAAGCATTCTTCGACCTGGTTGAGCTGGCTCAAAAGATTCTGTAGCGCCACAGCAAATTGTACACCGAGTGCGCCGTGGCGCGATTATGGATTCCGACATACATTAGCGCATCACCACATCGGGCCGCCAAATCTGTATGTATTAAACAAGGAGTTAACCTCAGGAATATTCCAAGACTTTCTTTGCATACACGCCTTTGTCTGATCGCGATGCTCTACATCCAGCCCCTTGTGACACATGGAAAGTGGTTCCGGTGGCGAAAAGAAGATGACCGAGAACGGCCCATATCGTTCGATTGCTGCGGTTGTCTCTGATGGAACTTTTGTGATTGGCACTCTATAACCTGATCACATTTCTCGTTGTTGGTTCGGCGCGAACAGTTGTGGCTTTTATGACAGACACAGGCCCATTGTCCACCGAGCATGGAGCACCAACCCTCGTGTTGGGCGAGCCTTGACGCGGCGACTCTTTTTCAGTTTTGTACTCCGTACTAATAAATCCGAGTATTTAACCTTTCAATTTTCTACTTTAGTTTGGTTCTATGACCTCGACCACTACTTATGCATATCGCATGCTCAATACTGTAGGGCTGAGCTGTCACTACTACAACCGGAGCCTACCTTTTCGTGCCTTGATGGCGTTTTACAAATGAGACATCCGGGTCCTTGCACCCGGATCCCTGGGGCATTTTGGGGCCGGCTCAAAAACAAAGGACTCGCTAAATAACACCAAATTAACGGCCCAGGCAGGCCTGGCCACCAGGGAAGACATAACGACAAAGCGGAGCAAATACCGGGTGACCAGGCCGCGGCCGCGGTTAATGGATGGGCCGATGAGAAGAGAGATAGCGATAGGGCAACGCTTTCGACTGGTTAGTACAGGCAATGACAGGTCACTATATTTCTTTTGATAGTAAAAGGCCAGCCAGACACAACGTGTAACTTGAGGAGGAAAAAGCAAGTCCTGCATCACCGCTCACCAACAGCTTGGGCCAAAAGAGAGCCATGTGGCAGCTCAGGGGTCACAACGACATCGGGAGAGTTCCGATCGCCCAAACCCGTCAAGACACTACATAATATTCCGATTGCAAGTTCCGTCGCTGTGCCTCAAGATCGTTCGGATCGCACGTCTGAGCGAATACATTAGAGCGTAGAGTTTGATAAATAGCCGGCGTCGATGAGACTTTCCCTCCAGAAGCCTTCGGAAGCCTAGAGGCGTATCATTTGTTTCCCTTGACGATTTCAAGCAGGTTCTGCTGCTCCGAGCGAAATTCACGAAGGCTGCCTTAAAAGCGTAGTTACAAGTCAGAGGCTTATGCGATTCAACGTGAACAAACCAGCTTGTGTGTTTCAGTTAATCGCCAGCCATCCAGTATGTCATCAGCCGTGGACATGACAACCACATCGGACGCAGTGCCGCCCTTATCTCCAGCCTCTTCTTCAAGGTATGTACATAAACTCGAGTGTTCTCTGGTGCAACCCCCTGCATATGGCTGATAGCCACAGTGACCTGAGCTTGGAAGAGCCGGAACCCCATCTATCCGCAAAACCCCTGCCTGTGCCCCCAAGACCCGGATCGCCTATCAAGTTTTGCAATGGAGACACGGAGCTTCCACCGTTGCAAGTAGCTGGTGGCGATCCCGACGGGCTGGATCCGATTGCCGAAGAGGAACTGGACCCAGGCAGTTTTGACCTGGTGATGCCAGTCGAACAGAATGGCAGCACCACTGGCAAATACAAGTTGGAGAAACGATCCGAATTGCTCTTCTCGAGTCGTCATTTGGAGGCTATCTTTGACGACTCGGCTGAACTGCATCGCTTTTCTCAGTTTCTGTACAAGCATCGGCCGGCATCAGTTCCACTACTGACATATTTCTTGGAAGCTCTCAAGGCGCTACGGGCAATCGAATACAGCAATGCTGTATTGAGAAAGCTTGGGCCATTGACCGATTTTGAATTCACTCACGAGTACTTCCAAGCACACCCTACGACGAACCAAGAATTGAAGACCAAAGCAAATGCGGCCTTTGACATTCTAGCTCGGGAGGACCTGCCCATGTATATCACAAATGTGTGGATTGAAACCGTTTCCGTATCTATTAGACACAGGATTATGGGCATGGCCAGTCACGCCTCGGAAGGTCTAGCGGAAGTGTTTTGTCTTACTGATCCATCAAGACACGACAACCCCATTGTTTTCATGTCGGAAGAGTTTAATCGGACCACACAATACGGCGTAGACTATGTCATTGGAAGAAACTGTCGTTTTCTTCAAGGGCCGTACACGAATCCGTTCAGCGTAACGCGAATTAGGGAGAAGGTAGAGAACGGCATTGAACACTATGAGACCTTCTTAAACTATAGGCGCGACGGCACTCCGTTTATGAATCTCGTTATGGTAAGGGAAATGGATGCCTTTGAATCCCAATTGCTAAACTAACTGGATTGATGTATAGATTGCACCTTTGTACGACAGCCGCGGAGTCATTCGGTATTTCATTGGCGCTCAAGTTGATGTATCAGGCCTTGCTATGGGTTGCTACGATCTTTCGTCTCTTAAACGAGTTGCCGACGAAGATGCGAAGCGAGAAGAAGGAGTGAAAGTTCCAAACCATAACAGGGACGAATTTACGCAGCTAGCCGAAATATTGGGGACAAGGGAGCTCGAAATAGTCAGAGATCGCGGCGGTGATATGCATCGCCTGCCTCTCCAATCTGCGACAGGGCTTCATTACGATGAGAAGATTGCTCTGACAAAGCCCAACGTCGACAGCGCCCGGGATAGTACACAACATGCCCGCAACAGCTCCAAAAATCGAGTTATCTTGGGAACAAGCTCAGAGTCCCTAAACACGATGCCTCCCTTGGGTGATTCAGTGCGGCCCTTTAGTTCACTGACCACGGCAGCGACTCTTGCAACGAGACACAATGGCCGTCTTACAGGCGTTTATGAGCATTACCTGCTTACCCGGCCTTACCCATCACTGCGCATTCTCTTTACAAGCCCATCGATGCGCGTTCCAGGCATACTTCAGTCACCGCTGCTTGACCGGATTGGCGGGTCGACTCGCATGCGAGATCAGCTTGTTCAAGCTTTGGCCAATGGCCAAGGAGTAACAGCCAAGGTGAGGTGGCTTACTGCCAACCACAGGAGGCATGCCAACCGTCCCCTGAGAAAGAGAAACCAAGGTGATCACCCATTGGAAGCACATTTGCGCATCGACGATCATGACGATGACGTAAACGACGAGATTGGGAGATCACGATGGCTTCACTGTACACCACTCACCGGGTCGAATGGCCACGTTGGGGTCTGGATGATTGTCATCATAGATGAAGAGCCAGACCCCAATAGCCAACTTCCACATCACGTCAGCATTCCTGAGAAGCCGCGGCCAGATAGTGCGGTGTCGGACAAGTCCACGTGTGGCCAGAATCCGCACCGTACAATCAACAACGGCGCGTCGCCAGCAGCAACCAAGTTGCGCCCAAGAAGGTCATCGGATACTCTTGGACATAACCCTGCAACGTCACCTTGCCGAAAAGAAGACAAGTCAGTGACCAAGGCAATCCACCAGCAACACTCGCTCAACTCGCACCGAGCACCGAAACCTACTCTCCAGACCCTGGGTGTGGCTGCAAGGTTCTATAGCCCCGAGGCCTTGTCACTTGCCACCCAAGCGGGCTCTTCGACTCAACAACGGAGAGAGAGCAGCAGAAGCGCCAAAGCCAGCCCCGAAGACGAGCGCTCAGAAACTGAGCAGATTTGGCCCCTGCCACCCTCCAGCGCCGCCATATCGCGAAGAAATCGTGAGACTTGTATCCGAGTTCCGTCAATGATACGCGAGACATCGTCAGAGCGGGCTGTAGTTTGGGGTACCAGGAGTGACGGAGACACTTCCTCAATTAGAAGTCAAAGCTCCGCATTTACTGTGAGAATAGAAGAAGACTAGGCTGGCTGTTGGATGTGGGTGAAGCGAAAATAACGGGATCATCTGTGTGAATGCCGCACGTTCTCTTGGACCTGTAGACGGAATTTTTCATGTACTCAATCTGGTTTACTTTCTCTCTCTCTCTCTCCCTTTCCTTTTTATTCTATTTCATTTCTTTCAAGGCATTTTTCTCGACGGGGGAGGACTTGAGCGGAAGGAGTGGAACGGGGAAGTGAGAATTTGCATTGCAATTCGACTAGGCTGATTGTGCAAAGACGGCCGGACCACAATCAGCAAGAGGGAATCGTGCTATATAGATATGCAGCAGTACTTGGCAGTCTCAGAATTCCATTTGTATACACTTGTCAAATAATCAATGAGACTAGTACATCTGATTTCGTTGTCAATTCGCCTTGACGAGCTGGATGACACAACTTTGACGCCCGAGTGTATCAATCTTTGGTTTGGTACAATTGTCGTATCCGCTATAATTTCTTTCATCGCATTATCAATATCTCTGCAAAGAGAACAGAAGAAAGAGCTAGTGGCCTAGCAAAGGACTTTCTACAAAGCTTGTGGCGTCTCCCACATGTACTTCCCACGTCGTACTTGTCTGGTCGACTGACCTTGTGCCACGGCCACCTTTCTTCCTCCCAAACAACATAAAAGAAAGACTGCTGGTTACAGCTCCAGCGATGTCAGCAACAGTACTTGGTATGCCGCCGCCGCCATACCAATCCCCGTGGTCCTTGTTCGAACCTCCTCCCTCTCGGAAGGTGGCGCAAGGAATCCAGCTCTTGGTGCACCCTAACCCACCAGGCTTGTACAATTGCCAGTCGGCTGTGTCGAATTGCGTATGTATTCGTCCGAGGCCCAATATGTCAAAATATGATCATTTGGGGACTTTCCCGCCTCGAGACATGCATTCACAGGCTACAGCACGGGAGTCGGGGACAAGGTTCAATGTTTTCACCGGATGGCTCCGACAGAGACCCGTGCCTTTGCTGCCTGGCCCTGCTTTGCCCTCGCTAATTTGTCGTCTGGCAGGGCTCCGGAACTGACGACCCGGGGAGCCCGGAATCCAGCTGCCAAGGAACCGCGCCTGTCGCTTGTTCGAGTACCAGCCAATCGCCAGCCCTTATTCAACTGAAACCTACGTCCAAAATTTGAGTCACGGCCCTTTGCACTGGTCACCTCGAGGTCGATGCCTTTTGCCTGCAAAATAGACATTGGGCCAACGCCTGCAGGAGATCAAGTACGTACTCCGTACATGCGTAGTCCTTGGAACCAGGGTGAAATTCATCCTTATCAAGTGTCTGTGAGGAAGCTGGCCTCGCGGACGGGGTCTCGGCCCGCATACCGGCGTTGCTCCTCCGTGTGTTTCGGCGGTGGTCTGTGCCCCGGCGTCCGGCGGCGCCCGGCGTCCGGATTCGACTGCCCCTATTCATCCTACTGGTGTCGCGGAATACCGACACGATATACATACAGACATCCCATCTGGCAAGTACTATACAACTGATGTCCTAACTTTACATTACAGACCGTTTGAGTTCCAACATGCCATAGATCCGCTACCACGTAGGCACGGTACTTCCTCTGAATGCACAGTGCGTACACGGCCAGGCTTCCCGCACCCTTTTCGATTCCTTTATTCAATGCTTTCCATTTCCCTTGACTTTGTACACATTGCTATTGCTGCGTTCGTTTCTCCCTGACAAATCGGCGTCACAAATACGACGGCCAAAATGAATGACGCATTGACCAGGCAGTACATACAACGGCGTCAGCTAGTCGGAGAAGACCCAGCCAGCATTCATTCCTCTTCATCCGTGGCGTCTGAATACACACAAGTCTTTACAACCCATGGAAACTTGCCAACCGTTCTCCACAAGTGCCTGCCAATCTACAATCACGCTTCTCTACTCCGTATAGGCGTGTGTATTCTCCTGAATTCCCAAAGAGAAGAAATGCAGCATCTTGGAGAAAGTGATGCGTCACATCTTCAAAGTCTGCTGGAAACTACTGGGTCAGTCAGCCAATAAAATTGAAGCATGCCATGAAATGTGTGTTGAGACTTGGGTGTGTAGGAGGCTAGATATTACGTAGGTCATCTCCTTCTTTATATACGCTATCTGTCACCGTTTTAAATATTAATTATGCTAGCCACTAACATAACGTGCTATACATTACGCCGGCCCAACAACTGTACTTTATCTGTTATATTGTACGTACAGGGTATCCCTATACATCCAAGTATCCTATAAAAAAGACCGATTCACATACCACTCTTAAATAAGGGTCTTAAATGTCAATCTCAATAATAGGGCCTTCGTACTCTTTGTTCGCCCAGACAAAGTAGTACACGATGCTGAACAACACCATTGCGCCAGTCATGAGCGGCGCATAGTTCATGTTATCAGGGCTGACAGGCAGAGCAGGCGGCCAGAAGCTGAAGAACCAAATAATAATGAGATAGAGGCAGGCGAAAGCATTGTTAGCAATTCCCAGAGCGCCGGGAATGTGCCAGGGTCCCCAGACAAGCTCGGAGCCAGAGGTGTTGGCGAGAGCAGGCAGTTCTGACGGGTCGGGCATCTTGAAGCCAGAAGTGCAGCGGCGGTAGAGGAGGAGCACGGCGACGATGAGGTAGGATGAGTAGAGGCCGGAGACGGAGATGGAAACTATGCTGTTGAAGGCGGTGACGGAGCCAAGCTGGATAAGGGCGAGCAAGCAGGAGATGATGGTTGTGACGGCGATGGCATACAGAGGAACCGTGGTGCGGGAGTCAACCTGAGGGTGGTTAGAGTTAAAGAGACACGAGAGAGACGTGACAGAAAACATGGATGAGAGGGTTCTAATATACCTTGGATAATGTACGCCAGAACGGAAGACCACGATCACGAGCAAATGACCAGAAGACGCGAGAGGTGGAAGCCAGCATGCCTACAGTTGCGCAGATACCAAGAGCAGTGATGATAGCTGCCATGGCGGTGGCACCGGAGATGCTGCCGGTCGAGTTCAGGAAGATTTGCATGTGCGGGAAGCCGGTGACGGAGTTGAGAAGAGAGTCAATGTCGTCGCCCAGGCAGAACAGCACAGCAACAGTCATGGCAAAGCCGGTTGTGCCGTTGATGAGCATACTGATGAGGATGGACTTGGGCACCACAACAGACGGGTTGTGCGTTTCCTCGGCCATGTGGAAGGCGGCGTCGGTGCCGACAAAGGCAAAGACGTTGCCAATCATGCCGACCATGAAGGACAAGCCCTGCGTAGGCCAGTTACCCGAGTTCAGGAAGCCGGTGAAGATGGCGTCGGCATCTCCATGGGGCGACAGGATGACGAGCGGGATGAGAATAGCAAAGAAGCCCAGGACGTGCAGGACCAGAATCAGGCCCTCGAACTTGGGCAGCGCCGAGGACACGACGGCGTTGATGAAGACGGCGAACAGGATGACAGCCCAGTAGAGCAGGGTGCCGTGCCACGGCTCCGGCGTGTAGTCATAGTATGTGGCCGTCATGGTGATCATGCCCCGGAGCATGTTGCCTGTCAGGAAGCCGCTTGAGGCCACAGAGCCCTGCCATCCGCCGACAGTGAGCCACCCCGTCAAGTAGCTAAGGAACTTGGCACACGAGCGAGGCGCCAGCATGGCCGCCCAGTGGTATTGGCCGCCGGATGTGGGCGCCATAGAGACCAGTTCTGAGAGCGTCGTGAAGACGGAGATGTTGCCGAGCCAGACGATGATGTAGCCGTAGATGACGCCTGCGGGACCGCCATTGGCCAAGCCTGGCGTGGAGAGGACGAGCGTCGCTTCCCAGGTAATAAGGATGGTGCAGCTGAAGCCCAGGATGGACATGAAGCCAAAGTTGCGCTGATAATGGTTGGATCACACCATGTTAGCCATTGCAAGAGATTCGTCGTTGGGGACATGTGCATACCTTGAGGACAGGCTTCTTACCCAGCCGCGCGAGTTGCTGATCATCGGTGTAGCCACTGCTGGAAACTTCATCTACAATAGGCGGCGAGGTCGTGGCCTTGGCTGAAGCCATGTTGCCGAGTTCGTGGGCTGGTTCCGTCGACATCGTTGCCAGCTGTTGAAGTTGTCGCCCTGCAGAGCACAGCTTAACACATGTGGTGCTCACTGCTTGCAGTGGGGGGGGATCAGCCAGAGATGAAATAAAATGACTAGAAGGGGAGACGAATACGGAGTGAGAGAAAAGAATATTAATGGGACGAATGATGATTGTGTAGACAGGTTTGAAGGCAAGGTTAAGTGCAACATAAGAGGGCGTCACTGCTGGTACGAAGTATAAAGCACAGAGTAGGTGCAGAATCAATGTACCGGACTAGACATGTTCCAACTTGCATGTGCTCAGGTGCTTCCTTCCTCACGTTGCCAAGTGGAGCGCCATGCCGTTCATCTAGAGCCAATACTCGATTTTAGACGAGAAAAAAAGATAGATTTTACAGCCTGTCTGCAAGGGGACGTGGACGAGCAACTACTTTTGCCCATTTCGAATTTCTTTTTTCGCCCACCCAGAACGAAAACATGATAGGCGAAAGCAATCGGGGTATACGAATTCGGGTCTAGTGGAAACAAGGCCGCCGAGAAGTCGAGAAGGGCACAATGGCGAACCCACATGGACGCAGACGAGACGAGACAAATCCAAAGTCACATACATGCTCAGGAGAATATCAAGAGATGCAGCCAAGAATTTAGCCCCGCGACGAACCAACTTGGCTGGACAGGGGCCGACATGGGTGTCAAAAGTGGTGGCTTCGGCCAGAGGGGGCGCATCTTGAATCCCAGCAAATGGAATCCATCCGTCTTTTGTCATCCTCCTTCCTCCCTTGTCACGGCTGTCGCAAATCGTCCAGGTCCAAAATCGCTGTGGCTGAACTAGTACTCACATTTTTGTGAGTGATGCCCAAGAGAAGACGAGTGGCGTTCTTGGCTCACATGGGCTGTATTTCCTTTTCGCCAGATTGAACCTGGCCGAAAGGTAACTTACTACTATCTCGTTTGGACAACGCGACCTTGGTGGGAGTCAACCGAGTTTGTGTCGTTGTTGGTTCACTACAACACAGCCTTGAAGTTGTTCGCACCTGGCAAAATAACGCATGTCCCGTTGATCGTTTCCAAGAACTCTCCTTTGCAGCTCTCGCTGTCCAAATCGATGAAGCGGAGTACCGACGGTGGAGATGGGCCAACAAATCGTGACTTTACTGACTTTATCTGGGTCAGACAACAGGTATTCCTCGTGGCATCGTGGACTTTCTGTATCAAGACTTTGACCCTTGTCACACTGCAAAATGTCTTGATAGCCGGCCATAACAGGAACAAATTGCGGTTTGAGATTGGTAGCCACCATCAAACTGATATTATATCTCACGAAACAGCTATACTCTATTACGCCGAAATAATATGTACATTGCTGAATCTGTATTACCCGTCGCCGGATAGGAGTGCTCTCTAACCAAACTAGGACGACACATTTTCGATTTAGTTCCCGCAGCTACCGTTGCAACGCCCTCTATGAACTGCCTCGGGGCGTCTCTACATCTACGTGCCACGTCTTTGTTTGTTGAATGAGAATAGTTTGGCTGGTTTGGCTCTGGCCGTCCCATGCCGCGCTGCCGTCCTGAGATGTGAGCGCTCTCTTGGGCGTGTCCTTTGCCTTGCGTTGTTTCGGAACCTCCACCAGCTCTAGGAGCTTGCTCTTTTGCGATGTTACCGTGTCCTGGCCGCCGTTTGAACGGCTGCTCTGGCCGTACTTGTTGCCGCTCCCTTGGTGGCTGCCGTAGCCATTGCTGCTGGACTTGCCTTGGCGGCGGAGGTCGTCGATGCGAATCTGGCCCGACTGTAAACTGTCGAGGAACGGCTTCAGGTTGGGGATGCAGATTGTCAGAATATTGAGGCACTGCACCACGGCCATAATGACGGACCACTCCCACATATCAAAGCTTGGATCGGCCGTGGTGAGAGACTTGCCCGAGTACATGATTTGGAAGACAAGGGCCGGAGAGACGCTGCGGTTTCCATTAGATTAGAAGACATGGATTCGGCAAGATGCCGCGACATTGAAACAACGAGGGAGCTGGGTTGGCTTACAGGATACGGCTGCCGAATACACCAATAACGAGGGCCTTTTTGCTCCACGACGTTTGAATGCCTCGGATATTATGGACAATGATGCCAATTAGAACGACATCAGTAATCACATTCGCAGCGCAAAAGTATCTCCAAAATGCGGGCTATATCAAAGAGTTAGCAGACGAACCAGGGCCGTCCGATGACCTAGGCACGACATACCCGAGCAATACACGATTTACGAATCATGTCCCATGGCGCCGGTAGCTGGCATTGAAAGAGGACGACAATGAATCCAGTCACTGCCCATGCGATGATTACTGTGCCAATTCCGAAAATAACGTTTCGGTGTGATCGCGACGCAATATTGACGACGGTGGCGGCCGTGGACACCTTTGCGAGGCCGAGACTCGCAATGTACAGAAGCTCGGTAGCATATTCGCCCTGTATTATCGATGAAGTGAGTTGTACTTTTCTTGAAATAGTACGCGTGTTGTTTCTGCTCACCTTGAGGATTGATTCTATTTGCTGCTCACTGAGAGCATCTCCATGCTGTCCTAGACCATTTCCCGCTTGTACAAGGGAAGATATGAATTGTGCAATGGCCATTATCTAAATAAATCAGATTTCTCGTCTTCCGAAAAGGCTTAAGATGGGCAAAGTATATATATCAATACTGACCGTTGCCGCCACGGCTAGCCAATCGTCCGATTTCAGTGTCTTGACCATGTGCAGCTTTGTGCCACACCGCGCAATTGCCGACAGAATCACCACCACCATAAAGAACCATGATAGGATTTGTATCAATGGCGACTTGTTGGAGTCTGTGATTTGCACCTGTTTCTGAGCCATGACTGCGACATGCAACGTTGTCGAGAGAAGCGAGGTTCCGACGGCGCAGGCGGTTTACACTTGACATAACTGCAGCGACTAGCATATATCAAGACATGCCCATCACAACGGCACATGGGCCAAGGGGGAAAAGAAAATACGGCACGTTGACGATTGGCTTGACGAAATCTTAGCAACGGGGCAGTTATACATACATACAGCTCTTGTTACCTGAAGGCTGATTCTTGTGGGGGGCCAAGTTCGTTGGCTGTCAACACGCAGGACCTGGCATGGCTGGAGACAGACGAGATCCTGGAGTCTGTCTTTTTTGAGAGAAAGAGAGAGGCTCGACGCCGTCACTTTTTTTTTCCTTTTGTCTCTTGTTGGTCTTGGTGCATGGCTGAGACTCAGTCTATGTGTGCGTGCACCTTTCTGTACTAGGCCTTGCCATTGGATCCCGGCCTGGATGAAAAAGGGAAGCTGGTGAAGGGGATATTGTCACCAAGTTTTGGATTTCTTGGCCTGCAGGACACCATTTTAGTCGAAAAAGCTTGGTCGATTGCAAAGACGGCAGTCCATGATGCATCGTCTGGCCCGGCCATGGGCACCCTGGGAATGCAAGAGGCCGAGGATGGCATAGCCAGAGCGCCGCCAGCCACTCCGCCGTGACAAGGGCACGAGAATCCCTGCTCTGCTTCTTGTTCATCTTATACCTTATCGCCAGCTCTATGGAGCATCCCGGTGTGCTGTGGCCTGCTTCCTCCGTACGGAGTACTAGGACATCAATTGATAGCTGGGGTCCGGTAGGAGTTGCGCGTCTCTTGGTCCAGTTTATGGAGCAAGCCAGCCGGCCAGAGGTATGTACATATGTATGATGCAGATGCAGCCTTGCTTTGCATCTCTGGACCTGCGAATGCGGGGGCTATTTCACGCACGAAAATCTACCGGATGGTAGGCCTCTGTTATTTCCTTTTTTTTATTTATTTATTACTTTTTTACAAACCATCTACCGACTACTAGTAGGAACTACCAAGCGAGCCATCTTGGACGTGGCAATAGACTCCCAAGCAAGGGGAAATGGCACGCCGGTAAGGCTTGCGCCTGAGACATGCATTGCTGGCGCCCAACTGCCACGATTTTGCACGCAAGAATGATCACGAGCGGCTATGCTTGCCGAGCGCGAATTTAGCCCGTATTTTCCTACGTGTCGTGCGAATTGGGCACCGATGACACGGGGGCTGTGATGCGACAACCACCAGTCGATCACTTCGACACAGATGAGCTGCGAAACAGCCACTATCACGCCGAGCTGTGATCTCGCCAAAGGTCCATGACTACTACCCTGGGCTTGGTGGACCACGGAATAGAGTGGAAAGATGCTAGAAAGACCCTTGTTCCAACTCCCCTCCGTCCACGGCGTTGATTTGGGGTTTCTGGGCAAAACTCGGATCTTATTTCCCCCCTCGGCAAAGAATGCCCACTCTGAGCCAAGATCAGCAATTCCAACGCGGGACTTTGTTCATGCAAGCTGCCTGGGGTTACCGCGATGCCCGTGGAGGACATCGGAGCGCAATCGGGGAAGCAAAAAGAATCGAAAATCCCCGCAGATGCAGGTGCTTTCAAAAGGCGAGCAGAAAACCACCCCTTGCGTGCGCCGTGCAGGAACAAACGCTGCGTTGGGTCCAAAGAGACGACGTACATATTTTGCCATTTCCCTCCGTTGCGGGCGCACTTTGTCACCGAGCCGGTCTTGGTCGCGCTGAACAATCTCCTGTCTGGGCATTTTTGCGCTCCATGACCATGTACCTCTGACAATTGCTTGTAGTCGCCTCCATGTTTGCCCTCTCTGCGTATCCTCTGCCATCCGTCGCTTTGCATCCTCGTCGTTGCCGCCGTTGAGTAGTCTGCTGCCCGGATGGCGAGGAGCCGTCCGCTTGACATGCCCCCAAAGCAATGCGTGAGAGAAACTGCACAGTTCAAGCAGGAAACACTCGACGCCTCAAAAGACTTGGAACCCGTCGATGCCTCGATATGCAGTCCTGATGTGGTAGCTATCCTCAAACCGCCAATCTGTTTCTGTCGTGTCGCACGTGGCCCGGCTGGCAATAGACGTATTTACGGAAGCGAGACTTTCCCTGCCAGTGTCTAGGTATTGACTCCCGATGGAAATTCACATATTCGAGCTGGAGAAAGCTATAGTACTATCCACATGTTGACACTCCGGAAGCATATTGCCTGATACAGCAGCGGAAACATGGAGGCTTTCGCATGCCTGGATTGAGAACAGGAAATACAAGGCAACAGATTTGCCTTTGAGATCAGTGACCTCGGTAAACCAGTCAAGATGGCCGTGTTCGGGTGCCCAGGAGCTGCGACCGTCCTGGGATGTTGGAGCATGATGTTCCGCCACATCCAAGATTGACGCCAAGGATATTCAACGTAGGCCGGTGAGGTCGTATATCAAGAAAACTACCAAGACTGCCGGGAAGCCTCCGTGGTGTTTTCCCAGTCGCGTGGTGCTTGCGAATAGTCCATGCCGCCGTAATCTAAACCTTTGCATGGGCAAATAGTCCTTCGCCTCTTCTCTGCTACACGACTCCAAGGCATCATCTTGCATAACCTCCTTGTATACATATAGAATACTATCAATTCCTACATCCAGCATCCATATACACGCCACCGGCTCGCGGGAATACTTGAACAAGGCGTCGGGGAAGAAAAGGGGGCTACCTAGGTGGAATGGATTACGCTAGCGGGCAAATATATCACCCAGAGTCTTACAGAGACGAATATGGACGGGAGGACGGTAGTAGGACAATTTTAGCCGTGCGTCTTACATTGCAAAAAAGACAGACTGCAAGAGATGGCTCTTTCACCCCAGATCAGATGGGATACAGCCTGCTGCAGATGCTCCGTGTGACGCTACTTATTTTGAAGCAGTGTACTGGGACTATGGTAGTCGAGTTATCTCTTGGGTTACTCCGAATGAACGACAATGTTGGGTAATTTATGGAGTATTGGGGGCTCTTGATGCCGGTTTTCGTTTCAAGAACTCGCACACGGCACATGTAGTGGAGGGAGAATCCCTGGGAAGCAAAGACAACCTCTGTTTTGGGACTCAGCCATTTTACAAATGTACATGGGATACAGCGTGATTGCATTATAGACGGCGAGTATTACCGAATCAGTCTCCAGGTTGTTTGGGGTATACGGTCCATTCTACATTTTCTGTATGCAGCCTACGTGTTCTGCTGAATGGCTTGCCTCGGTTCAAAGTGACCTGCTAAGCCGTTGGAAGCTAATAATTTTCGTATATTGGGGGGGTTATATCGAGAACAGCCACCCGTGTTTCAAAAGTATTCGTGGAAACTAACTAATCTAACACATGTCAGGTGAGCGTACAAATCATCCACCTTGCGTCTAATGGCATAAACGCACCCCAGGCTATGGAAAGGATGAGAAATATTCCACTTGGATACAAATGTTCTAATGAGGCAGACGTTGCTCTGTTACTCGAGTCCACAGTATTCACTTAGCTATGATCAATCGTGAAAATAAAATCCGAATGCCAAAGTAAACTTGTCCTGGGCTGCTCTTTGTGTCGGAGTAGCCATTCTACTGAACTGTCACATTCTCGATAACCCACTGTGCAGGCATCTGACTGAAGCTATCCGAGTCGCAACGCTTTTAGCTGGCAGTGGGCTCGAAAACGGCTTCTTTGCCTTGCATGGTGTCACGCCGTGGACGATGGTATCGTCAAGCTCCAGCCAAAGAAGACCGCTGAGATTGACTCGCCGAGTATGTCTCTTGTAGGCCACCAGATGAGTTGCACAGAGTTCTTCGAACTCGAATCACCAATTCCCACCGCAGAAAGAGACACCATGAGCGTTGAGAAGAATGCCAGCCTTGCTCGCACTCCAAGTCTGTGCACCGTTTTCTGGGGAGGAGGAAGTGTCAACGATGGAGTAGGAGCGATTATGTCGAAGTTGGGAAAGTTTAAATACAAATATGCAAAGCTCTTCTCAAAGAGGTGTGTACTTGCCACAGCCGTGGAACAATACCTTTGTCACCATGATGGACCAGTTGAAGCAAGATACTCGCGAGCGTATTCAATGAAGGGAACAAACCTTACGCTGGTGAGATCGAGTCGAACAGTCTACATCAATGACCGAGACGTGACGACGAGTCCTCACCGTTCCCGAGGTCGAGGTCATGAAATAGATTGTAGCAACTCTTTTATACTCGCGGCAATGTTTCACTCTGATAGTCTTGGTGGCAGACTTGCTGCTCCACGCCGTTTTCTGGCTTTGTTTAGTCTTGTTTCCCCAAATTCCCGAATACAAGGTATAGCCCAAATATTGGAGCGAAATAAAAACCGTAGGATATCCCAAATAAGGATGTGTTGCGGCGTATTTCCAGGTCACTGCGGGACGGGCCATCTGGTTCCAAGTGAAGCCTCGAGCACAGCGCAATCGCATCACACTCCCATCTGCTCGCCACATTGTCACGTCAATTCATGACAGCTTGGCCACCGCTGTTGAGTCGAGTGGCAGGCAAAGTCTGGGTTTGACGTTCTAGATGCGGCCGTGACGCGAAGTCGGTGTAGTAGCCGCAAAGGTACTGCACGTTTTCGGTTGCGCTTAGGAAGTCTTGGGGAAACTCACATACAAAATCAGGCGATGCCATTAACTGCGTTGATCACACCAGCTGTTGATAATAGGAAGCCGGGGTCCTGTTACTTTCTGGGCTTAAGCCGACCTCATAAGTTCATGGATGCAGCAAATGCGCCCCCAATTATGTCCTGATACTCGAGAGAACTCTTCTGCCGGCTCACATGAGAGCGGCCACAGTGATCCCAGCATCTCATCACCTTGTACGGTCAGATGCAATAAGTATTTGCCCACCCTGTGGCGTAGAGTGACTTGAGAGTCGGCAAATACTCATTGCCCGACCGCTGTACTAGCATCAGCTGTGCAGATTTGCCAAGAAACGTATTATGTTGGTGTCGTAAGACACTCCGACGGAACTACACAACGCCACGTACAGGCGGGTATCCAAAATTGGGGGGCCCCTCCATATTGAGCCGTGTTGCCTACTTCGTATCCTTGTTTGAGATTCGTCTACCGAAGAATCAATGACAATAAATTTATCTATCAACGTCTCCGATTTGAGGTAGCCGAAAGGAGAGAAAGGCTGCGGTACTCCGCCTTGACCGGGCTGCGGGGTTATGAACTGATCAAAGCTTGTTCCTGTTAAGCGGTTACAGTAATGCGGGCGCCCGCCGGCGGGCCCTAAACTTGACATGTCGTGCTACACAGGTACTCCGTAGAGGCGAGATGCATTCGATAGGTGGAGAGGTGGTGAAGCTGAAGTCGGACCCCTGCGACAACATGCCAAGGAACTATGACAAAACGATTCGGAGTGTTATGGTGCCCGACAGAAGCCACAGTGTATGAGGCGAGTCATCCAGATGAATCGGCGCCCTGTGAAGAGCGTCGGACGAAATGAAACGACGTGCCTTGCCAAGAATTTGGGGTACCCAAAAACACTCTCTCTTCTCAGATGAAAAGATGCATGAGGGGGAACATTGAATCGGGACAGGCCGAGGAACTATGATGTGTATTCACAGGGTCATGAAAATTGTGACAAGAAAAATAAGATAAGTAGGTTCATGCGCCAGTACATATGCCGAGTTCTTCCCAAAGAACTCCCTATACGCCTCGCTCCAAAGCTGAAGAATAAAAAAGTAGAAGAGAGAAAACTCCGTGGATAAAGCAGCCCTAATGTAATATGATCGACGGGGTTGATATGATGTAAATGCATTCCCATCATGTCCCTCGAGACACAGATTTTGTGATAGAAATTCGTCCTTGTCGGTGTCATGTTGAATATGGTGTGAAAAGGGCATCTGGTACATGCTTGCTGTTGCATACGTCGGGTTGAGTAGACGCCACGCGAAGACAAGTCTTAGCAGCTCAAGTCACTCTGTAGGCACTGTACACAGGTCAAAAACAACGCCACTGGCACACGCGACTAGGAGAAAAGGAAATGAATGACATACTCGATGATGAGCTCTTCACCAGACCACATACCGCTGGCTACCCACAAACCGCAATTAACAATCTCCGCATAACGCTTGTCAGGCGTTTTCACTGTAGCAAACATGCGGAAGCCATATTGGCGGGGATCGATATCCTTGGATTGGCCAGGTCCAAGAAGCGAGTCTAGAATATCACAGGGCCCGGAGAGTGAGCCCCGGGTTCGCATCTCGAGACTATCGGAAAATCCATGTCAGCAATCAATATCAAGAGATGGAATATATACCGCAAGTCCAACTTACACGGCGGGTGGCTGATCAGTAGTTTGCATGACAAAGGCGCCTTCGACGATACGGATGGGTCTAAATCCTCTGGCTTGACCTAGATCATATCCACCGGCCTGTGCGGCTAGTTAATGAACTTGTTCTCTTTACTAGCGGGATAAGGTAGGGGCGATAAAAACTCACTAGCACCCGACCGTTACCAAACGAGCCAGACCACTGTCCAGCAGCGACGGTGGTGATTTCTTTCTTGACCTTGTTTTCCACCCTGGATGGCTCTGGATTCAAAGCCACAGCTATGCGGAAATCGAATTCCAGAGCCGGCATAGGGAACGAAATAGCTGGTCTAGGAAAGTGAGGCAAAGCTCGCCGGCAGGACTCTTCAACGCTTTGTTGACTGAAGATACTACTGCTGACAGAAGTACTGGTCAGCAAGGGCCGCCGAAGAATTTTACGTTGCTAACCTCATCATGGGCCTCGAGAAAGCTTACCTGCTGATATTGCTGCTTCCAGAGTCAGACATGTCATCGCTGTATTCAACTTGCTGCGGCTGACCCAGAGGATGCATCATGAACTGCTGCGGCGGTTGAGGAACAGCGCCTACTTTGGACTCGGGAATAAGACACGGGGTCGTCATATTGGTATCCCAGTCCACCGAGTGTACCTCATTCATTGTACAGTCCTGGTCGGAGTTGTTTATGTGCGGCGGCGGGCAAAGCGCAGACGATGTAAAGTCGGTTGGGGCCGTTGTGGGAGGCAGCGACAGCGTCTCCGTTTCGGTGGCCATGTGTTTGAATTGAGTAAAAGGCTTCAAAGGATCGGACCCCGAGGACTGCTATAAGCCTAAATTCAGGAGATGATGGTTGTCGCTGGAGTTATGCCGGGTGTGGTTATCTCAGTGAGACATAGATGCAGCGCGAGAGGCGTCTACACCAACTAGCTGCCGGTCGCTAGTACTCCGTATAATAATGACTACTTTCCTCCAGTGGCTTCAATGTTCCTGAATTTCTGCCAGCAGCGCAGTTTGTCAAACGGCGGAGGGGAGGTCGGATTCGCAGTTGCGAGGAGCGTGGTCTGATGTAAATGCTGGGTGAGTCGACACAAGGCTCGTCGGCGCTGTGATGAGCTGACTGCTCGGGATGGGGGGGAGGATTTGGCTGGGGTCGTATGTTGGCTGTATGAAACTAGAGTCTGAGTGTGGCAGTCTCTGACAAGACGGGCTGGGGAAAGATCTCTATTTGGACCACAAACCACACGACCTCTGGACCAACTGACTGGCTCATGCGGAGCCAAGGACAGCCATGCCGAAGAACGTAATGGCCGACGTCAATATCCCAGGTAATGGGCGACAGCTTAATAAGGATATTGACGGAAACGGGGGCTTGCGAGGGTGTGGATTCCGGATTACATCCGCAATGAACCTGTCTGAGTGACAAAGCAGAAGCGCGCGCGAGGCCCGACGCAGGGCAGGAGGCGTCAAGTCAGGCCGGGGCTAGGAAGCTTCGGGTATTTGGGATCACCCGGCCTATTGTGGACTGTGAATATGAATTACGGGACAAGGGATAATGCCGACTTGCATTTATTAGAGACAGGTCCGGACTTGGGTTTGCATTTTGGAATTTGGATTTGGACTTGATCTGCACTCGGGGACTTGGTAAATCCGCGTGGGGATAAGACGCCTTTTCGAGCTGGCGCCGTCGGAGAAGGAGCGGACGCCTTTGGTTTCCTTCTTTGTAGCCCGCTCTCCAGTGGGCAACCGCCACCGGCCCGGGCGATTGGAAATCTTGGGTGGCTCCAGCTGTCACCCCTGGCATTTGCTTGGCAGTTCACCAGTCGCTTGCCTTATTTTTACCTTTACCAGAAGAGCCTTGGTTGTGTTGGATGGGTGATGATAGTAGTTCCACATGTTCCCGACCTCCATGCACTCACTCCCTCACACCAAGAGCCAACAGCTGTAGCTGTCTTCGGGAGTCAAGGGATCACAGACGAGCCCTGCAGCCTGCGGTTCGCATTCTGCATTTGCGGGGTTGAAGGCCAGTCGACATCTTCAACCAATTACCATTACACGCCCTTCACCACCAGCCATCGTGTCGTATTGCCTGATTACCTGATGCCCAGGAAAGACACCACAAACACGCAAGATGTCCGCAGTCCGCGGTTGTGTTTGCCTATCGACTGTCACTTAGAACCGCGGGCATGTTGACCTTGACCGGACAAACACGGCTTGTTCGAGTCCGTGGAATGTTTCCACTGCTTTGAAATCGGGCATGGCTACTCGCCCCTTGCTCTAAAATGCCCACTCACTTGGAGGACTTCTGGACGCCCGCGACCCCTTGGCCGCTGAGTGACCAGCGGGCTGGCTGGGACTTTCGCGGCTGGTTCGGGACCCGAGTCGGACTTTTGCGTCCCGCTATTCCTGGGATTGCCAGCGACCTGGCGAGGTGGCACCATGGTTGGGTTAATGCTTGGATGGGCGTCATTCAGCCCTCCCATCCCACTTGGCTGAACAATCACGTCGTGGAGCGCCGCGAGTGTTTGGAGGGAACCGGCAACGTTTGGAGATCAACATGAATCGACTCCCCCCATGCAACATCGTACCACATGTACAATTCCTCATTCATAAGATCTGGAAAACCGCTGATGGGTAGAGCTATCCGATTTCCGTGCCATCTTAGCTGCCTATGCGTGCCGCATTTGTTACACACTAATCGCTTTCAGGTCACAAGGCATTGACATGCCAGTAAGTTAGCCACTGTCTGGCTCTGAGTTTCCTGTGCGGGCTTACCAGCCGTGATTTCTCGGAGGCAGTTCCTGGGTTGTTAACTCAAAACGCATGCTCGTCCCTCATGGGGTCGACCTAGTTTACACCCCTACACTAAACAACCACGAGGAGTGTTTGCAATAGAGACAAAGGGCGCTATTACTAAAACTCACCGACGTCGATTTCAATTGAGCTGGGCTTATCCGGCCTTGACAAGCTTACCCCGACCTGCAAAGCCCGAAAACTCACTAACGCCGCGGTCCTTACCTTACGGCAGGAAGTAGGTAAAACGTGTTTGACAGCGTGGGCATAATCGTCAACGCAAAGTTTGAGGGCTATGAAGTCACCCTTTGACAATGTGCATTTCTCAATGCATTAACAGTTATTAATTGACAGACTCAAACGGGGTCGAGATTCAGAGCTTCCATCGCTGAGACATAACATTCCGCCACCTATGTCTATTGGAGTTTAATCTTGGTCCTGGTAGGAATTAGTTCGGATTATTCCCATGGAAGCACATCTTAAGTCCGCTGGTGGGGCTTTGTCTTGGATCAGCCGTGTTCCCGACTGAGCAACTGAAACTCCTGGGCGAACGAAGCACGCATTGTGGCACAGCTAGAAGAGCTTCAAGAGCTGTCCGCCCAATGAGTATCGTTCATTTGCGGAATGCAGGCCGGCTCCAGGAGAAGACCCGTCTGCTTTACACCTCTTGTCCTCCGGATCAAATACCCTCATTCCAGCGGTCTTGCCGCCCTGGACGAGAAAATGACACAGGACGCTCTCTATTTGACGTCGGCGATTGAGCAGCGTCATTTTCTGTGCCGCTTGTACGCTGATGATAGTATGTATGCGCATGCACTCCGTAATACTACCTAAGTAATACAAGTAAAAGTGGGAGTGCGAACGCTTGGCGCGGCGATACTAAACCGGACAGATCTGACTCGACCGCTCCTGTCAAACTCCGAGCAAATCATACTCATTCGGCTGATGACCATTACATCCAAGAGGAGAGGTTGCTGAAGTCGCGTTTACCTTGGGGCTCAAGTTTCCCTCTCTCAATCGCTGCGCGGCAGTCAGAAAAACCGGCTTTTCGCCCGTGTCATATTCTTATATTCTCATGCTGTGTCAAAAGGCCGCGGAGCACCTGGGTTTGATCCGCTCACTCGGCTGTGCAGACACCCGGATTCTTTGTCGGTACTCCGTACAACTAGTACATGGATAATGGAGACCGTTCGTTCGGAGATGAAATGTGCATGAGGTGTGTCCACGCCACTAACGGACACCATACGGAGTTGATAGCACACCGTGAAAGGGTCGGCAAGTCGTCTTCCGACTTGATGTTTGATAGGACTTTGTTGTCGTAACGTCGGCAATATGAAAACGGTTACACGCGCTGAGGCTGATGGCCTATGCAGAGCAAGCTCGTCTCCTGCGGGGGCCAAGATTTAGGGACCAGGGCGGCTATTTCCGACCCCAAGGAGGGAGCTGGGTGCATGCACGTCGGATCAAGTACTGACAATCGGAGTAGATGCGGCATCAAAAATCAAGATTAACGTTTCGAATCTGGATTCGTCCTTTGGGGCGATAGGAGTTAATGCATATGACGAACTGCATTCGGTGTTCAAGGTTGCATTGCGACTGCTGGATAAGTTGTTCAGAGAGCACACCGCTACGCCACTTTCGCAAGGTGTCACCATCATTGTGAATTGGCATATATCTCCGGACTCGAATCGCTGGGGAGAAGCTGCTTGCTATTTACCGGCGTCAATTATTTCTTTCGTCAGTCTTAGCAGTACGAAACAAAGATGTGGGCCACGCGCAGCGAAGGATATTTTCAATTGGAGGACGCCCTCGACAGCAAACCCAATATTTCAAAGTGCGTAGAACGAGTTGGTGACTTACTACTGACAGGTGAGCCTATATGCCGGTGGGAAAGTCCAGTTGCGTATCCCGCGAAATCCCATCAGTTTATGACCCGCTTGACACTTTGATCCAGTACAACGGAGACCACCGTCGTTTCGTTTCGATGAGTGGCTAGCTGACTTCTGCGGATCGGCTATTGCGGAAGCTGGAGAATGGACATGAACTTCTCTCACCTCACCCATGGCCCTAGATGCTCACCAATGGGCAGAGTGTTGTTACGCAAAGGACCAACATGCAGTGATCAACGGCGAATCGTAGTGTCTTAAGGCTGATCAACCTTCTAAAATGCCATCTTGTCAGAAAATTCGAATTCCTCTATATTCAGCTTAATCTGGTGTCCCCAGTGTATTTCTTACTCCGAGTTAGACGTTGAGAGAAACCCGGCCCACTTTATCCTGCTATGACGATAGTTTTGGATGACTCTTAACCAGAGTTTTATTAATCTTGTGCCACTTCTGGGCCAATATCAACACCGTGATAGTTGCATTCGAACAACGTACCGTGCCCTGGTCACCGGGACTTCAGGAAGGGCGTGTCACTGCAGCTGTTGCTGACCCAAATCGGTATTTAAAAAAAGGACAGTCCCCGTTTTGAAGACGACGCGACTGGGTAGAACAGTTGTATTGCGTTGGAGCAGTCGATCAAGAGTGGAGAGACAAGAGCTTTTGGTCTTTGCAATTTTGGAATATTGCAACAACAAAAAGTTGCCGACTTCCGAGATATCTCTGGGCCTTGTGCATGCCGCCGTATTCACGAGATTGGACCGCCCGCATGGTGACAGGGTGATAGTGATTGCGTGAGGAGGTTAATACCAACACCAAGGCGATTGTGGCACGTGTCAATCCTCATCGCACATGACAGCATGTGCTGGAAATCAAGGCGCTCACTTCAACGTGATGACCACCTCCAGGCAACTCACTCTCCGGATCCTACTCAGCCCATCATCTTCCCCTTCCTCGACAATTACATCATCCACAGTCCCCACCGTCTTGGTCCTCAACCGCACGTCGCAATCCCCCTGCTGCTCGAACCAACTCGCCAAGCTGAGCGTCTTCTCAATGGCCTTTCCCGTGCCCAGGACGGTGACCAACAGTGGCGAGGCATTCCCATAGGCAGTGTTGGTGCTACGCTGTAGAGCTTCCACGCGTGCATGGGTCGATGCATTCTTGGGGGCTGCCGCTGTGTTGCGTAGGGACTTGGTGAGGAGTTTGCGAATGCGACTGACTGCGGACAGGAAGGGGGTATGAGAAGATATGTAGATGACTGGAGATTTTGAGGAGGAAGGGACCTGGGGCCTGTTAAGTGGTCTTTTTTGTATTTTGCATCCTAAGGGCATCAGGCGTATTCTAAACGGGCCATGCGTTGGGCTGCCTACCTTGTGGAATGGGAGGATTTTTGTTAACAGGCGACGGCTCAGAAGGATGAGCCTTTGCCATGTTGGCGGCACGAACAATGTGAGCAGTGCAAGAATTTCAATCACAAGGCACCGCGGCTGTTGATGTCGCCTTGTACAGGGCATGCAATGCACGCGCTGTGGGCGGTCTCGATATCGTGTTGCAGGCAAAAATTACCAAGAGCCAAGATGGAGATGATTGAAGTGCACATGCATCAAGACGCCCGTCTCGTCCCCACCACGGCCCTGGGCCCCGTGCACCCAGCCTCCAGCCCCCACTGCATCCACGCACTGCTACTTGCTCACAGCACTTCTCGACGTCACTTCAACCTCGCCTCCGACATCGAAGCTCGTCGCCGTCTCAACACAAGCTAGTTATGGCGCGGCTATGTCCAGCACCATAGCATAGCTCCATCTACAAAACACCATGACGCTCGAAGTCTGGCCACACATCTCTCCCGAGGAGCTGCAAATCAAAGCCGCCGAGTCCCTCGTAAGTTGCGCCGTCCAGCACTCCCCTACCCGCGCAATTAATAACACAACCATCCGCCCTGCAGGACCGCGAACTAGAATGGATAGTGCAAGAAACAATGACGCTCTGCCATGAGCTCAAGCACGGCATCGAAGACTGCTATGCACTGCTCGCACCCATCGAGCCCGGCAGCACCCTGGTCATGAGCACGCACCGCAACGAAAAGGTCAAAGGCACAATCACACGCGTGGGAACCCGCCTCGTCAAAGGCGTCCGTAGAACCCCCTTTCCTCCGAAGGAAAAAAAGAAAGACAGCCAAACTGACCGAGAAAACAGACACTAAGCCTTCAGCTGCGAACGCTGCCCCCGCAGCAACTCACCATCTCGGCCCTCGAGCCGATCCACATCCCGCCCCTTGACGCCATCTTCACCAATCTCACGCAGTCAATCGACCTGCTGGGTCTCCTGCTGGACAGCAAGCCCGCACCGACCGCAGACAACATTGCCTCTGCGCTGGCCGCGCTAGCCGAGTGTTTGGCCGAGTCGGCCGGGCTGCTCAAGGGGTCGACATCAAGCGAGCCGGACCCGGCGTGGCAGACGGCATCGTGCCCGGCGCACCACTTCTCGCCCGCGATGCCGCCCAATCTGAGCTTCTTCACGACCCTGCAGGAGAGCAGCATTGTGCTGTGGCTGCGGGCGCTGGAGCCGGCTGATGCACCGGTGCATTTCGGCGTCAAGCTGGGCCTGGCGATTGGGACGGTGCGGAGGCTGGAGCACGACGAGATGGACACGGTGTTTCGGTACGACCCCGACGGCGACGGGAGCTGTGAGCCCAAGAGGGGGCTTGGTGGCTCCCGGACGAGCGGCAAGAGGGACAGGGAGGAGAATGTCTTTGTTCGGGAAAAGGTGAGGATAGAAAGCGCCGATCCGAGCTTGATCTCCTTGTATTCCAAGCTGGGCTTCCTGAGTCACATGTTGGGGCAGGCAAGGTATAATCTGGCGGCGGTCATGGGCGTGGAATTGGATAGCTAGGGCGAAATTTATTCATTGTCATGGCGTTTGTTTGCATTGGATACCCACGGAGTTTATAGGCCACTCAGAGCTGCACAAGTGGAACAGGGCATAGAAAATGAGAGATTTCAATGCTCAATACATTTAGTATATCTTCTACCAAGGGGCCTTGACTGATGATACATGATGTGCTACACCGGCGCCATTGACAAATGAACAACAAAAAAAATGCTTCTGTGAAAAAATGCGGCTACATACTTTGAGCTCTCGGCAATCCAATCAATCTCTCCCCTATCGCATCCTCATCTCCCTGCCGTCTGTTTTCCATGCATAATAATGATGGGTTGCACCTTACGCCACTGGTGACCAGGGCATGGGAATCAAAATTCGCGACTTCATGTTCTGGATAAGTGGTACCGTCTTATGGACCGTGTCGCTCCATCCTTCAACCGACCAGCTCTTCTCTCGGCGCTCTCGGCGCTCCTCCAGATTGGCAAATTGCCATAGATGATGGACGGTGTTGAGCTCTCCAATTTGAACAAACCACGCGCCCACACCCTCCATGACCTCTCGTCGAGCCTTAAGACCACGTCGCCAGTGTGTCTCCCACTCCAACAAGTTTCCGGGGTGCAATGTATACGAGCGAAGCTCAAAAATGCCGCCTAGCTGTCGGGGAGGTGTTGTGGGCCAGAAAGAGAACTCCTGCATCAGTGAAATTTTCTTAGAGTTGATCAACAGCTTCAGTTTACTGTCAAAGTCGGCGAAGTCGGGATGGTGGGTGATGGAGTATCGAGACTGGTGGTAACCCTCGTATTTTTGGTATTCCCAGATATGCACTGTAGAAATTATTAGCTTCCGTCCTTCATTTTCCCAAAGGAATCATAGTCAAGCCATACCAAATGTATCGCAGTCACCGATTTCGACTCGCCAACTGCCAACAAGATGTACCTTATTCTCAGGCAGGTTGGCCATTTTCGGATAAAAGTGGCCAACGAGCTCCATATATTCGTCCACCTTCTCTGGCTTCACCTCGTGGAAGACAATCGAGTGAACATATTTGCCGCGAGCGAGAACCTGACTAAAGCTAGCTTGTATTTGTGCCTCCATCTCTCTACCTTCCTTGGTGCCATAAATGAGATTGGACAGGGGACCAGACTTTCGTTCAGCTTCATGCTTCTTCGCTTCGGAAGTAACTCCTGCATCAGTCTTGGATGAGCCTTGGTCCGAAGTCTCGGACGCAGAGAAATTATTAGCAGATAACGCACGTGCTCCCTGTTCTTTCTGTGCCTCCACCAGCCTCTCTCGGAATTCGTGCTGCTTCCTGTTGAACGAATCGATTTGCGCCCTGGAAGGATTGATGTCTCCCATCGATGGAGTCTTGGACTGCCTGGCGGCCGTGGTGCTGAGAGCTCGCAAAACACTGCGCGGAGCTACCGCGGGAGCACGGCGATGAAGAATTCGCGACAGCATGGCGAGGGAGTAGGTGGCGAAAAAGAGGCCCAAGAAGCTCCAAGTCTCAAGAGGCGGAGCACCGCTGAAGCTTGACAAGGCTGGGTGTCGAGGGCAAAACTCCGTCAACGAAACCCAAACGGTTTGAAAACCCCCCGTCGTGTCAAAGGGCTAGGAGCGGAAGACGGAGCTCAAGAATGGGTGGTGTGTTGTAAGTCGGGCGCGGAGAAGCAGCACGGTGGTTTCCTTGGAGAGCAGTTGGCGGCACAAGAGCAGAAGGAGCGTGTAGTGTCGGCGTCTTTTGCTTGTCTGTGAGCGAAGCTGTTGAAATGGAGGGCAGCCTCGACCGTCAATTGGATGCGCGGCACAGGTACGTTGCAACGAAGTCTCTCACCCCGCACTTTGCCAATTGGAGTTACGAGAGATGTGTTATGATTAGGCAGGGGACCGTGGGAGTGACAATAGCCCAATGCTGATTGACTGGGCAGTTTGAACACGGTTTTCCGAGGAGGAAGTGAGGAGGTGAGGAGAATGTGGTACGAATTCCAGTTACAGCCGAATGCAGGTTGATTGACTCCTCAATGGTACCGGATTGCAGCTTCCCAGCTGCCCAGCTTATGATGTCACATGGTTGGCGTTGAGGTGGTCACGTGGACCTCCGCATTCGCAGTGGAGCTGGCGGATGGACCGTTTGTCCTCAGTGCTCCGTCGTTGGCCATTGGCTGCCTGAGGCTGAAACTTGTCGGCTTAAACCGCGGGTGAGAGCTCTGTGGCATCGGCCGTCGAAAAAGGCTCGTTTGAAGTCTTCACCGCGAGCACACTATCCACCATATCCAACCCCTTCCAATCTCTCGAGATACCCACGATAACCGCAATCATGTCTTGGCTCGGCGTCGCTCCCTTCAAGAAGTTCCCGGCTCCTTTCCGTACGTCAATCCCGAGCGTTCAATTGACGCGCCCGACGGCCCCGAAAACGCCGCCTTCCCCCTCGATGCCTTGATGCTAACAATCGCCAATAGTGAAGCCCATGTGGCCTTTCTTCGCTGCCGGTATGTGCTCAAACAGCCACCGATGACGCCGTTTCGACTTTCCGCCGGATTACGCTGCATGAAATAGTGATTAACTCGACTTCCAGGTCTGGTCATTGCCTACGGTGCCAACTCTGCCCAGAACGCCATGATGGCCTGTATGCATCTCCCACGCCTGCAATTGCGCAAATAGTGCACGCATTACTAACAATACATCAGCCGATGAGTGGAAGAACGACCCTCGCAACCCCAAGGCCAAGACCGGCGGCCACTAAGTCGATAAGAAGTTGTGAGAGAGGGTGGAATGAAGAATTTATCGATGAGAGCGAAGCATAATCCGGTCCAATCGAGCGAGAAATGCGCCGGCCAGTTTATCTGAGGTGATGCTGTATCATAGACTCGCATGCGGGGATTTAATAGACCTTGTGCATCAAACCTCAGCTTCCGCTTGGGACGATATGCGTACACTTGGAGAAACGCTGTGAGGTTTCCCTGAAGCCACATTTCGCCAAACAGTGTGCACTCTCGGTTGTATCATTTGGACGCTTCTCGTCGTTTCAGCGTAGGTGTCAGTGCATGCGTCAACTAGCAGATTTCCAGGTCGCAAGTCACCAATGAACCATGCAGGCCACCATGACGATTCTATATGTAACTGGGGTAATTCGACACCCAAATGCGTCGTAAAATACTCAATCCCACAAATCGTCCTTCCATACACCAACATCCATCATCTCACTCGTCCTTGTAAACACCCAACTCTTTTCGCCGAGACTCGGTATTCGGGCTGCTCGCCGGATGACGCATGCCCGGCTGTGACAAATCCACCCACGCGGCGCAAACCACCCCAAAGCCATCTCCAGCTCAACCACTTCACCAACTTCCACCGTCGCGCGCATAGATCATTCCCTTTTCTTTAGATGCTTCTATTTCCACAGACCGTCGCACGACCTAGATTCCCCCCCTTGCGCCGAGTTTCCACCCTGTATAAAGCCAGCCTCCGCACGATGACGGCCTCGACCGAGTCCAACGGCGCCGCTGTGCAGCCAGCCAAAACGAACGGTGGCAAGGCTGAAGTCAAGATCCTCATGCTTCACGGTATGTCGAAACCCATACCCGCCGCCTTCTTCCCGTCGTAAACTCGTTTCCCCTCCACGTACAACCGCGCACACGGCCCGCCCGCTCCAACATCCAAGGCAACCCGACTAACAATGCCCAGGCTACACACAATCGGGAGCCCTGTTCCGCGCCAAAACCCGCGCCCTGGAAAAACTCCTCGCAAAAGCCTTGTCCCCCCTCTCCCTGACGCCGGTGCTCGTCTATCCCACCGGCCCCAACCGCCTCCTGCCTCAGGACATGCCGTTCTACTCACCGCCCTCCGATCCCGCCGAGGAAGACGACTACCAGCCGGACACGTGGGCGTGGTGGCGCAAGGACGAGGGCTCAGGCGAATATCTCTATCTGGAGAAGGGCATGGAGGCCGTGGCCCAGGCCATCCGCGAGGCGGGCGGCGTAGACGGCGTGTGCGGGTTCAGCCAGGGCGGCGCGGCGACGGGCATCGTGGCCGCGGCGCTGGAGGTTGAACGAGCTGTGCCCGAGGGGCCGGCGGGCGAATGGGTGAGGAAGCTGCGGGAAGCAAACGGCGGGAGGGCGGCAAAGTTTGCCGTGTCCTATTCCGGGTTCTGGGCGACACCGGAGTCGTTGCAGTTCTTGTATAGGCCCAAGATAAGCACGCCGTCGTTGCATTATCTCGGCAGCTTGGACACGGTGGTGGATGAGAGCAGGAGTCAGGCCCTGATTGAGAGGTGCGAGAGTGCGACGCAGGTGGTGCACCCCGGTGGTCATCATGTTCCCGTGTCCAAGGAGTGGGTGATGCCTCTGGCTGGGTTTATCAAGCAGCATGTTTATGATGCAGCGCCCAAGGCTGGGCTGTGACGGGGTTTGCCAAGTTTTGCAGACAGTGCAGATATATAGACACTTAGACTAAGAGACTAGATATAGATGCAAGTCAAAATTTTGATGTTACATTAAAATGCCCTCGATTCTTGAGGACCGTCTAAATCTGTACAAGCCATAATTGCATGACTATCAGTCCCGACGACCATTGCGCCTACGTATGTCTCTAGCCCCCTCGCAAGTCAAGCCGTCTACAATCCCGTCCCGCCCGGCATTCGTCTACTTTGCACTTGTGGGTTGAATGCGAGCCATCATCTCCTCCTTCGTGATTAGGTGGTCGATTCTCTCTAGCAATCCCAATAGACTCTTCATGTTATGGCTCCATTCGTTCAAAATATCATCGGCACCTCTGGGTTTAGCAAAACTGACGATTCGAGCGGGGCGATCAATCTTGGCATAGACCGTCTTCGAGGTGACCAACTCGCTGATATACTTTTCAGTTTCATCCTCGGCCAAATCGAGCAACTCGGTCAGACGGTTCATGCGAATTCGAGTATAGTACTTGGCGACGACCCGAACATTGTGCTCGATGACACGCTTTCGAAGGTCCTCCCATCGCTGGTGAGCCTTCGCATCGGACGACTGACCGGGCTGCGCATCGAAGACGTCGGTGCTACACAGGTGCGGACCAAACTTTTTGGCAATCTCTGGCCATCGCATCAGTTCGTGGACGGTGAACAGCCTGAGCAGTTCAGCATCCAACGGGACTTGAGAGTTCCGCGTGTCTTTGAATATGCGGTGAAGTAGGTCATGCTGCTCGTTATCATAAGGGGAAAGGATGACAAAATAGATGATCCGCTGAAGCACCTAAAATCTTATCAGTTTTTATATTGGCTAAAGCCCAGATCAAGCGGGTCAACTTACGGGATGAAGCTTAGCAGGGTCTTCCTCGACCGCTTCGGTATCGAGAACTTGTCGGTAGTGCTTGCATACATCCAGATATTTATCATCATGTTTCGCAAGGGCGATTTGCTGTTCATAGTACCGCAACTTGAGATCTGTGGTATCGTCTTGTTTCTCTTCTGGGACTTCCTCGCCTCGAGCCCTCTTCTTCTCGCGCTCCTTCTGTTCCTTCTCCAACTGCTCGGCAGTCTTCTTGGGCTTGCGGGCCAAATACCGTGTGCTGATCTTGCGGCCTAGGATGCCAGCCTGAGTCCAGTCCTCACTCTCAATGCACAACGCAACTTGCGCTAAGATGAATTCAGTCTTTTCCCGTCGGTCCATAGAGCCAAATGTCTCGACTTGCAATTCGCACAAGATCTCCGTGGCAGCTTTCAGATCCCCCTGCTCCTTTTTGATATCGGAAAGAATCTTGGTCACACGGGCTCGCTCTACCTCGACGAATATCTTTCCCTCTGTAACAGTTCGAAGGGTCTCGATGACTGAAAGCTTCGTCTTGAGGTCTGGTGTGTCATCTAGGAAACCAACCACAGTCTGTACCATCTTGGTAATGGCCTGCTTGAGCTGGCTATGCTTCTTGGAAAGGACGAGCGTTTGCTCATTCATCAAGCTCCAGTCACCGGCATTTTTGCAGAGGGTTACGATTGCGATCAGAACCCGTGATGTCGATGCTAAGTCCGAGGCCTAATATTTCATTAGCTCTGACCTCAGTTGTTAACTGCTAATTGGGCGGCGCTCGGGGCCATACCTGCCGAGTCTGCTTCTCAAGGGCAGTAAGCTTCTCGATTGCGCCTTGAAGGTTGGTCTGCACGCTAGAGTCAGCTTCATGTATCTCTATCGCACCGCTTCGCCTACTGATGGAGGTGTACTTTTGCCAGAGTTTCAGCTTCCGGAAGTTGCTGGTCGACCTCCTTCGTGAAGTCCTTCTCGGGCTTCAACGTAGATTCGGACATGGTTGTGGCTTCGTCTGTATCTCTGGTGCCTGTATCCTGTTGGCGCTGTATTAAGCAGAGCTGCTAGGAGTTTATTGCTGTCACAGTAACGTTGTGGTGTGTTGGGCGGATGTCGCGCGGGATGGTGATGACCGTATGGTGCTTGTCGGGGTTGGTCAATTCATGAGGCAGCACGCAACGCAAGAGGTTCCTGCCTGCAGCTCACTGATGGCGCTACGTCGTCCCGCGTGGAGCTGAGTGGCCTGCGCAAGGAAAATCCTAGGGCCGTAGTTCCGATACTGGAAACATCACATTGTGGGTCAGGTGACCTGGATTAAGACTCATTGTCCGTGTTTCGTACTGAACATCATTGATATGGGCTTGGAACCAAGCACGGACTAAGCCATCTGGCTCGCGTATGCCAAGTTCTCATGGGACTTCCTGACGCATGGGAGCGTTGGCCTCTTGCAGTCAATCATCCATGGGCCTGTTGTGGTAGCTAGATCATCTGCTGAGTGGACTGGGCTGTGTACTTAAGGAAGTAGGCATAAACGCATTAAATTCTTTGTTGCGTCCCCTCATCCTCAGGGAAAACCCTCTCCCATCACACCCACACCATCCTTCTCACTCGACATTAATGCATCCACAGTCTCCGAGAATGTCCAAGTACTTGCACTGTCAGGAATGGGATGTTCCAAGCATTTTGCCTGCCTGCTTATCCATGTCTCGATGCAGGTTTAGCAAACGACACTACCCTATACCACAAGCAATGGCTCAATGTTATAGTAGTTTAATTAACCCTTTCACTGTGCACACTCCGCGTGTATCCAATGACAGATTTGCTTTTGTTCTGCCCCGAGCATTTCACCCATGAACACTTGCATACTTTAAATAGACAGGTAATGGATGATCTGATGTGCACCACGCTTGATACGCTTTGGACTAGATGCGTCGGAAACTACACAAGGCTGAACAACGAACTCTTCCTATGCATAAACTAATTTCATTATTTGGTCAAGATGCTGATGCCACAGCACGGTCCTGAGTCTCAAGCTACGGATCAGCTGGCTTAAACACTAGCTGTACTTGAATACATGTTTATCAAAAACCCAAACACCAATGGTCCCTCTTTTTGTCCCAATGCATACAATGAGAAACCATACATGATAGATACGCACTTATGCCCTATACACTCTTTTCCGTCTCTCGGTCTCCGCTTTCATTACCGCGAGGTATCATACCTAATGCAAGCCCTTCCATATTCTATACTACCAAAATGTGCCTTATTCTTACACTGGTGATTGTACAATCGATCTGTCGCCTCGGCTAACAGGTTCCACAATTCTATCTTGATCCTCTAAGATTTCGCTAGTAGTCGTGTTTTGTTCCTCGGGAGGACGAGTGATGAGCCAAAGGCTCGGTTTCGACTTGATGCCGTCTTCCGACTCAGTAACAGTCTGCACAGTAATGGCAGAGTCCACAGAGCCATTTCGAGTAACGTCCTGATGGGGAGTTGCGTCTTCCTTTTCTCGTTTCTCTCTTCTGCGCCGACGATGTGCAAGATAGATGCACAAAGAGATGGCATACAGAGTAAGTAGGGAAACAAGAGGAATAGCTATGGGCGCCGCCAAACGGAAACGGGGTTTTGACTTGATCATCTCGTTAGGCATATGAAGAGCTTGGGACAAAAAGATGTGAATAGAGCAGTGTGAATATAGCAGAGCGCCTGGCGCCGTAGGGATTGTGGCGTTCAGCTTTCGCCAGGTCATGAAGCGGGAGGGAGGGAGAGAGACTTACTTTTTCTTTTGGAATCCAAGGAGGCGAAATTGTCCAATTTGGATGAACATGCTGACCATTGGTAAGCCAAACTGCGTACAACTCATTCTTTAACGCCTCTGGAGTCCACACACAAGATGTGGAATTCATTGCATCTATCGAAGCATTCTATTAGTGAGCTGAAATATCCAAAGAAAACGACGAGAGTACAAACCAGTCAAGTTGGCCACTAAATCGTACACGACAACACCATCCGCAGGATATGTAACCTTGAAGAGACCCAGCTCAGCACCGGCCTTGACCAACGACTGATTCCACGTCAAGGTGAATAGGTTCCCATTGGATATGCTGTCGTTCCAATCTTCGTTCAAGAACCGCAAGCCGTGACCATTGACATCATAGGCGACAGCCGCAGCTGCCGGCTGGTGAGCCATATGAGAGGTTGGGGACAGTATCCCAGTTGCGGATGGTAACGACCGTAAAAAGTGGCTTCCAGCTCCAATTCATACTCACTCACCAAAAAAACAACCCAGACAGGAGCTGAGCTTTAGACCCCAGGCAGAAATACAAAGACCGGCGGCCACGGCATTATATGGGTAAAAGGCTCTAGGAGTATGGGGTGGGCTGGTAAACGTATGGGGTACAGAAGGGTCTCAGTCAGAAAGGGAGGATTGGCTGCATCGTTGGGTCATAACATGCTTGGGAAGCGTCACCTCCTCTACCAATCTCACGATGCACCGCATTGATGGGCTGACAGATGGCCGTTAGCCCGAATTCGGTCACGATGGCTTCATGTCCCGCAACCGGGGGGACCGCTCATGGCAGCTGGCATGCTACGTTACATGCCTGGTCAACACGATGTTCGGTCAAGTGACGATGGCACAGATGTCGAGTGTGGTCTCAGAGGCCCAACCTGGCGATGGCTTCTGAAGATGACGGAGCCATGGGAATAACGATGGAAGTTTGGCAACATATATAGACGCAGAGGAGTTGGTTAATTATAACTCGAGGCATCTAGTAAGAGATCTCGGTATCGAATGAGGTGTTGCACCCAAAACGTGGGCCCGTCTGTGTATCTTCTTGTTCCATGGGAAGCATCCAAGCTCGACGGAAGAGGATGGTTTGTCTGGCTCTGTGGTGGAGAGCGCCTGTTCAAGAGCCAGCTGAGTGATTGGGCCGACAAAAAAGATGGCCGGTAAATCCGTTAGCCTGTGCAAGAAAAGACCTGGCATGCATTTGCGGGCATTCCAGCGTAAATAAGCTCTTAGGGATGGTGAGACATGGCAGTTGGAGGTTGAGGTTTGAACTTGAGGACACTCGGTGTCAGGATGACGGCCTGACTAAAGCGAAATGTACTTTGTGGGCCAAATCACCACCTGCGTGACATCTTGCGAGAAGGCAGGAACGAGACGCGAGACAAGTGAGGTCAGGTGTGCTCAAACAGGCAGGTGGGCCCTGCGTTCACGGCGCTAATGGTGGACCTGGTCGCTGGCGACTGCCACTTCCCACTTGCCACAGACTCAGGCAAGCCGCGGTGCGACCAGTTGACGCCTACAGACGCCTCGAGACGCGATGTTGTACCTCGCAACGCTCCACCCGAGCTCGGCTGAACAACCACACCATTCAAGCATCGTGAGTTTTTTCGGGCGGTGCTGCCCTTCCCTCCCTCCGCCGGCCCCTTTCCTGTCCCCTCGCGTCTCTCTCTTATTACAACGAGACAAGAGCCCGCATTCTTGAAACTTTTGCGGCCTCCGCACCTCGACACTCGAGCTACACCAGCCTGTCTTTTCTCACGATCCTCTGATCGCGGCACCCGTCGCGGCAACAGCACAAAAACGCCCAGGCCAGAGTATCGTGTCCCTGTTGGCCGGTGACTTAGAGTCGCTTCTGGGCCCGCTGCCCTTGCCTCCCCGAGCAATGGCTACGGCAGCCTCCGCCCCTGGCACGGCATCGTACGCCGGCTGTGTCTCCTCGCTGCGCAGCTCACTTAATTTTCTTGAATCATCGGTCGAGACTTTGGATGGAGGCGTAGCCGACTTTCCACGACTCGTCAAGGTTTTGAAAACTGTCCGGGTGCGAACAATCTCTTGGTCAAAATTCTCGTCTTGCCATTGCACACTCTAACATGTATAATTTGGTAGCACTACGAACTCATTCCCCAAACAACACTTGCCGCTGCTGAATCCTCGCTCCGAGACGAAATTGGTCCATATATTGCACTCTTACTTTCTCGGGCTGATGCACAAATCGAGCGACAGCAACGGCGCATCGAAACACTCAAGGCTCGTGCAGAGCTTCAACAAGGTCGCCTCGCCCGGCCGGATGAGGTTGACAAAAAGAATACCGCTAGGGGGCGCAATTTGACCGGAGAAGACAAATTGAGAGCTCGTATTGTTCGTCAGCGCAAAGAGGCCCTTCGTTACGGAGTTGAGCGGCTAGAGCTCGAGGTGCTTCAGAAAGAAAGGGAACTACGAAGGCGTCTCGACACTTAATGCTCTTGCTTTTGTGAGAGCTATTGTGAGGCGAGCATGATCAAATCGGGATTTTTTGCCATGTGTTCGTGCGCTAGTACCCCATTGGTGTGGTAGACGACTCCGCGACTACTTCGGGGTTGTTCCAAGACCTGACGAACCATGGCCGAACCGAATGAGAAGTCGAGGCGACAGTTCGCCTGGCGCTATGGCTCAGCCTGCCTGCTGCGGCGACAACATGCCTGGTATGTTTATAGTCGGCCTCTTCCGCCCAAGGGTCTCAGTCCATGCTCTCCTACTCCGCCGCTCCTCATCTTGAGGTCTCACCCTCATGCAGTAGTGAAGATGCGGGTCGGCCAGCCATGATACATATTGGCCGGATCTACCGGCTATCTACCGGATATGAAGTGACTATCAAGATTGTTCGAGATACACCCACTGTAGACGCGAGATAACAACTGCACGAGACGATTGGGGCGGAGAAGTGACCGACAGCTCCTGGATGTACTCAGTCTTATACAAAGCCGGCGGGTTGGTGTCTGGGAACGACGCGCCAAGGCCGCTTTTCGCACGATCAATAAGACAAGATTGATGGCTTTGTTTTGAACCCTATCTATCATCACGGTATGAACTCTGCTGCCGATTACGGCTCAACATTATAAGTTAATATCATGATAATTCAAATTGAACGTAAATATTGCCGCGTTCATGGAACATTGGGAACACCCCCCTTGAGGACCCTCGAATCATTTACCTAGCTGAGAAACGGCTTCAAGTCTATATCAGTAGGAGCCTTGACATACTGCAAGTTAAATGGCATCCTTGTGATCTTGGTACACTTGTTCTTGGACCTCTTGTTCTCCTTGCTTTCAAACCGATGGTCCATCCAGGCCATCCACTCGGCCGCACCGGCGGTCAAACTCGGCCGATGGCCTTGCGTAGGAAACAACCTCAGGTGCAGTTCATTACCGTCATGACACGAAGAATTCCACGCCTGGACTGTCGTCTTCCACGACACCGCCGTATCATTCTGTCCCTGGACAACAAAGACCGGCGCCGGACTCGGATCGCCCTGTGCCGGAGCCACCATCTTCTCCCACTCCAGCAGCGTAGGAATATCCTTTTCAGCGCCTGCCACCGAGACGAGCTGGCTAGCGTCCAGGTCTACACTGATGCCAATCACAGATTCCAGACATAGCTGTGCCTCGACTGCCAGCTGCGTCCTGTTCCGCAAGACTGGCGACAGCATCGACTCCCTGTACGAGGGAACGGCGCGCTGCGCCGCGAGGAGCACGTATGGTAAGAACCCGGCGCCGGTGCCCTTCTGCGCGCCCGAGGACGTGGAATTCGCCGCCAAGAGGCTATCCACGAGCTGTCTGATGAAGTACGTCGCGGGGGCAATCGCCACGCTGCCGAGGTACGTCGTGTCGTTGCGCACAAATCTGCTCTCTGCGAGTTTCCAGACGGCGCCGCCGCCCTGCGAGTGGCCGAAGCTCATCCACTCCTTAGTAAATGACGCCGGGAATGCCTTGCGCGCCGCCACCACCGAGTAGTACACGTCGCCTGCCTGCGCGGGAAGACTGAGGTACTTGTGGCTGGTGTAGTTGTTTCCCAGGCCGGCGTAGTCGGTGGCGACGACGGCGTAGCCCCTTTCCAGGACGGGCTGCCAGGTGGAATAGTCGTACAGCGCGGGCCCGTTGGACGGCGCGCAGCCGGGAGAGATGCCAATCGTGCCGTGGGCAAAGGCGGCCAGCCTGTACTTGTGGATGGAGGTGTTTGACGCCGACGCAAGTTCCTGGGCAAAGGAGTAGCGCGGCGTGTAGGGGAAGGCGATGAATCCCGTGGCGGGGACGACGGAGCCGTCGTAGTCGAGGGATGTGTATTGGAAGCGGAAGACGGTTGCGCCGCCGTTGATGGTGAGGTTCCGGGGGTCGAGGGGCTGGAGCTTGAGGAGTTCCCCCGGGCCAAGAGACGAGGAGAAGTTGGAGGCTGTTTCGTAGAAGGGGTAGTCGAACTCGAGGCCGACGACGGATATGTCTGCCTCGATGGTCCTGTTGAGGCGGCGCTGGCAGTCCTGGCCGCAGGAGTGGGCGTTGGCGACGGCCGGCGAGACGTTGAAGTTGGCGGCTTGGAGGGCCGCAGTGAAAGTCGGGAGGAGGAGGAGTAGTAGGGGTGAGAGGGGCATCTTGATCATGTTCATGTTCGCGTTTTGGCCGATTTCTGCGGTCGTGGTCTTACACGGCTCGATGTTGCAGATATCGACGGCCCAGAGCAAGGGATGGATATACTATAAAAGTAGTCTGTTGCGTAGTTCATCTCGGTCCAAATAGCTCACCTCTGAGATCATTGCTTGTTTCTCTGCTCAGAGCCGCACTTACGTACCCTGGGTAGTTTGTCCTAGCGAGCACTTCTTGCCACAGCCGAGGTATTCTGTTTAAACGGTCACAACTAACGGAGATAAAAATACCTAGCCAGCACCAATGACGACTTCGTTGACGCGAGTTATCCACATTGTCCCCGCTTCACGATCGTTGGGATTCCCGATTATGGGGAAGAGGGGCACAAGTGAGAGTGCGAGTATGCTCCGCCGGCCTTGTCTGGAAATAATCTGGGTAATTTGTCATAGCATAGACGTTTGCACTTGTTACAACGTGCTGACTTGTCGCTTCAGCTTTATTGACCTATGGACTAGATATTCCCACCAGCTAGAAAAGCATCCAGTTCTCTCAAATCACCATTGCGACCTCACAATATACACATGTCGCACCAGCCCCCTCTTTCGCCTCGCTCTTTCCATAATTCCCGGCCTCAGTCTTACAACGACATTCCTGTGAGGCGAAGAACCTCTATCCCGTTGTCGGACCTCTACTAAAACAGTACGTTCTGAACCATCATGGGACCAGTCCACCCTTTGTCGAGAACACCAGCCATGTTGAAAATAAACAAGATATAAAAAAAAAGTGAGCAACAGAAATCAAGAAAACTAATCAAGGCTGATGTGGCAGAAGAAATTCTTGCCGATGCCAGCGTGGGATAGTCGTCCAAATCTACTCCATCCAATACATGCCCAGGAACCCATAGTTTTGCGAAAGGATAAAAAAAAACATCAATAGCAAAGACACAAAGTGAAAGGCAGGCGCGAGAGATCAGATGCTCCGCAGTCGTCGCTTTAAGGCGTTACATGAAATAACAGCGAATCAACCAGCCAAGTCCGATTGTGACTGGCGATCCACTGAACGGGCGAGAGGTTGGGCGTGACGATATTAAATTGGTATTGTTCGTCCAAAGTCATATCTTTTGACATACTCGCTGTATGAAAAGATTGGTGAGAGTGCGTGCGTTGTGTGTTTTTCTCGTCGTTAGCTCATAATAGGATGAGATAGTTGCTAGGAGCGATGCCAATTTCGTTAGTACCCCGTCTCCGGGCTTGCCACCACCGTCCACTGACGTCAGATACATCCAGGATTTCATGCTTGCTGAAGGAAATCTCGTTCGCATCTGAAGGATTGGCCTCGTAGCTATAGATGGCTTTGGCCTGATATGGGTAATCAATGGGAGGGAGAACCTCTTCATCGTTGGACTTGTTGTTCGGCTGCATCGTGTTGTTGCCATATGTTGGCATCGTGGGCGCAGTTGGAGCCTGAGATGCACCACCGACGGGTGAGGGGTTCTCGAAACCATTAAGCTGGGCAGATGTATACATCTGCGGCGGCTGCACAGAGTTGGATGTCTCAGGGCGGCCGGTACCACCATAGCCGTTCATTGCTTGGTTATGCATCGCACCGGAGTCCTTGGACAGCGCGAATGAATCCAAGAATGCCCGCGGTGTTGAAGAAGGCGTTGAGCCGAAGTAAAAGATCCAAACAATGACTACCATGGACAGGAGTATGAAGCCCGCAGCCGCGGCCTCTCTAGCCCCATTCTTGGAATAGACGAGGGAGTTGACTCCAGAGGTCACCAGAACCATACCTCCAGCCAAATAACCGGTAACAGCAACGTGGTATGTTTGGATAGCATCGCTGGCGACCACTATTACAACACCAACGATAAGGAACAAGCTGTAAACGACAGCCCACCAAGCGAATGGAGGGAAATTACCGTCGGGGTTGTCCTTGTCAGGCAGTCCCTTATTCTTGTTGGCCTGAACTTGGGCGATGACGCACGAAATAAAAGTAATAAACCAGGCAAGCTATTGACGCGTTTGTTAGTGAATGTTCATGCCACTACGAGGAAGCGCCGTGTTGAAGTGACGTTGATGAGGCATGGCAAAATAAAAATTCATGAGAGTGTGGGACGACTAACAAGAGAGATGGAGATGGTTGCCAACGCAAAAGGATCACCAAGAATATTGCCCAGCGACATTCGCTTTCGGCCACCATATGGCCGCGAGTGTTCCATTTTCACTAGTGACGGAGAGTACTGCGAAGCGTAACCTGGCATAAGGAACGAGACAGCGACTCGGATCGCGAAATACGGCGGAAATGAATCGTGGGCGCGAAGAGGGACAAGTTGGTCGTGTCAAGAAGCCGGCAGGGAATCTGGTCTGCGGAAAGGAGTGCGCGAAGAGAGGTACCGGCGGACGAGTTGATTGAGTGGGCGACGGACGGATGCGAGACTGGGGGAAAGACAAAGACCAAGCACAAAAGTGGCCAAAGAGGACCGGACCGGCACAGCCGCAAGGAGAATCGAAACAGGTGAAGCAAGTCGTGGGGGAAAGAGTGACAGAGCAGCAACAGCCCTCAGTAGAGAGTAAAATTGGCGATTTGGCAGCCGTTCAAGCGAAGGTCATCAAGAGCCGCGATGGTCAATCAGGCTGCAGACTGGATGGAAAGAAGAAAAACGTCGCTGGAGAATGAGACTGGGACCAGAAGCTAGTCTGGCGCTGGTGACCAGTGTCCGTGGGCGTCTGTCCAGGTGTGTTGGCGCCTGGTCTGCCTCGACAGAGCGCGCGAGGTGCGGCGGGGAGCGGTACGTGGCTTTTCGTGGAGCGTGTGCTCGGTTTTTTTTTTGGCGTGCCAGCCACGTATTACGGAGTACCAAACCAGTCTTTTGGCTGCCAACCTGGTGGACGAGACGCTCCCTGCAAAGGTATTGGAGGTCAGACTCCGTTCTGCTGGGTATGAATACGACTGGCAAATTTAGCACTTGACCCGATGGCTGGGTGCGACCGACAGTGGCAGAGGTTGGTGCTCGACGTGCTCGACGTGCTCAAGTGGACTCAAGGTGCTGTTCCTTGTTAGATTGGCAAGGCCTAATTCGCGCCACAGGAGGACGGTGGAGTGTGTTGGTCGTGGATTGCAGGGATGCGCTTTGATGCGAAGAGGCGAGGTCGAAAGTACTAACCGTAGAGTCAATGAGAAGTGGGAATGAACGGGTTGAAGTTGAAGCAAGGCCGCAGACGCAGCGAGAAAGGAGGAAATCGAAGCGAGAGAGGAGCGGCAGTGATACGATTGTTGAAGGATTGGAGGTAAACCCGGAGTCAAGGGCATGCGTAACAGAATCCGGGACACAAGGGTGTGCATGTGGTGTGATGGTCCAAGAGCTTCAAACACCAGGCCGACGGCTGGATAAACTGGGCTGCGTCCTTGGCGTGGCAGGCCTTGATTATGGCAAGTTGAGGAGCGTCGAGGCACGTCGGGGGGGAAGGATATTTGAGTGGCGGTGCAGGCTAGCTCTCATCGTGTTCCAGAGTGCGAAGTACGGAGCGGCTTGATCGGTTGACTGACGGGGAAGCCAAAGCAGAGACAACGGTCGACAACTAGAGACACGGAAGGCTTTGGGCGATCGGATGAAGGCGAAAGGAAAGACTAGTAGCCAACCAGCCGCATGAGAGAGAGACCAAATTCTTTAGCAAGATGGTTGACGATGGATGGCTAGCATGGGGGGTTGAGTCTGTGGCTGCATGGAAACAGGGTTACGGTCAGGGTCGCATCGTCTGAATTGAAGGTGTGAAGGCGTGAAGGTGCCGTGGTGGTTGGACGACGGACGCATAGCCCCCTCGTACTGTGCATTGCCAGCTTGCGGAAGGCGCGAAGGGAAAGGGGTGAGGGGCGGTGTTGTGCACAACTTGGCAGGCACGGAGAGACGCTCGGCTGTCCCTTCCCGTCCACTTGCTGTCCATGAGGAAGAATGACTACGATTGACCTCTGGAGTAATGGGCCATGGAATCCTATTTCGACATAAGAAAGCTAGAGGTCATTGCATCGCCAACATGCCACAGCAACACGCCTGTTACATCATGTTTGATACACTGATGACGAACGCCGCGTTTACGTTTCTTCGGATCCCACCACGTCCGTGTCGCGCCTACCGGATGGTGGCGGGCAAAGGAATGAGCAGATGAACGAGTGTGAACAACGGATTGTCCTTGGCATTGGCACTGTCCATTGTGATCTGGAGCGCGAGTACGGAATACCCAGCGCCGCCCACTGGAATGTAGGAGCAAGGAATTAGTTGCTGTAGCCTGTTTCTGTGTCAATGCTAACAAGATGAAAGCGTGACCAAAAGCGCGCAGGCTGGCTAAATGGGTTGGTCTTGGGTGCTCCTTTCACACGCGCACAGAAACAAGAGCCACATTCAACTGCAGCGCGACTTGCTGGAAAATACCAACATATGATCCAGGGTAAGCGTCTCGATGGGATGTGGTCCAAGGCACGCCAAACCCACAGATGATGCCCAAGCAGAACGGTTGAATGGCGCCACTTTCCGTCGATTCCCACAGAACCCTCGATTGATTAGCACCGCTTTGCTAATGCTCAACAGAGGTTGAGATACTTACCAGTCTAAGCGACTGGACGAAAATACCAAAGCTCATGATAGGCTCCCCGCCTTCCGTTGATGCCGGCCATGACCCCTGCTCGAGACCCAGGGGAAGCAAGCGTTTCAGCACCGGAGTGGTGGGCCTGGCCGTCAAAAGACATCGTGTCTGGTGGCTGCTTCTGTCGTGCTCGTTGCATTGTACAATACGTACACGGCAGATGTCTGAAGAGATTGATGAAATCGGACTACGGAGTACTTACTTTACTACCTGCGGTTCTTTCCCCCCTTCAAACACTCCGTAACCAGTCGTTCGGTAGGACTACCTAGGTAGTTGTGAGCCTACCGCCTCCACAAAGAGCCGATTGCCGGATCCCCAGAAGGAAAACACCAGCGACCTGTCTGTTAGCTTGTCAGACGCTAAAAAAAAAACCCTGGAAGATCAAAAGCTCCTAGGGTACAAACGTGGTTCTACCGATCGGTCACCCTCGCTAGTTGTCAATCCTCGCTGCGCCATACCACGTGCATTATAGGCCCATGAGGACGAACCAAAGTGAGCACTATGTTAACTACCTAGATAACTATTATTTAGGCGCTCGACTCTTCGAAGCTATAACCTAGAATTCAAGCAGCTGGCTAATTGGTAGTCATATAAGGCCTCATCTCTGCGATCCCTCGGGTATTGTTTAAGGATTTGTGTTAAGAGGAGGCTTGAAAACGAGCCACGAACTAGATCAGACACTACTAGTTTCCTGCGGACAGCCCATCAAATAACAGGCCCTCCGTCCAGACATCTATCACACAAGCAGCTTGACCCCAATTAATAATAGTAAGATCAAGTCTGGCTGGCGAATCAACAGACATAATATTTTGTACTCCGTAGTACCAGGTCGGCCGGATCCTGCCGTGGCCTGAGCTCATATCCACGATCCACTTTCTTTTGTTGACTTTTGTTGAAACGGCGCTTTTTCAAAGTTGTCCTCGGCTGTGGGTTCGAAAGTTTTTTGTCTTGAGACGGCGCTTGGGCACTACCGAAGCCCTGCTCATTCTCCATGCTTCCCCTCTGGTCGGCACAGGAGCTTCTCTTGTTGAAACCATGTTACTGGTCCAGTGAATAATTTCCCGAATTTCGTTGCTCGACGACAGATGAGCTCAAGCGCAGTACCGTGAGTGGATGATGACTGTCTAGTTCCGGCCCTAACATCATCCATCGGCGAGGCCGGATGACGACGGGGTTAGATGAACATGTTTTATGGTGCGAAACAAGATCCGACCGTATTGACTTCGACAATAGCGCCATATTCATGCCGAGGTATGGGTTCCATGTACTGCGGTAACATCCACATCGTCGATTCACTGCTTATAATGACATGGGGCCTCTTTTGCAGGATAGAACCTAGAATTCTGCTATCTCGCTTTATCAGACTGTTAGTTCAGCCTCCGAGCCACATTAGAATGCTAGGATGAAGAAATTAAAAACAGAAGACTATAATTATTTTGTAAGTCCTGGCCGATTTGAAGTCTAGGATGATAGATTAACCCTACATCATAAGTTCGAAATTCCGCCATGGCTGCTCACAAAGCAGTCGTTCTTGAGCACGTAGCATTTAGACCGGCTCATCTTGGGCACAGAGCCTACATACCTAGGTGATAACTACATGTGAAGAACGTGACGTTTCAGCAAATCGGCAATAGTCCTCAGCATCACTTGACACTCAAACTTGATTTGCTTGGGATTTGGGGGTTTGATCTACTGTACCCCCACGTCGAGAGCAATGACTTGAAAGACGCTTGGGTGGGCATGAGGATATTTCATGGCCTCGACGGTATTGGAGATTGCTAGAGGCATAACTCTCGACGGAGACGTCACACAGACATGTGCTGTCAGAGCTCCCCCGATGGCTAACAAGTCAATCACTCGCAACCGGTATCATCGTCCGGAAATACCCCATTATTTTTTGGCTTCCCCGGGTCCGGGTTACCGTTGTCTTGCAGACTATCTGCCGGTATCATCTGCACTTAGTGCTTGGTTGTTCTAAAGCGGGACTCATTCGATTCGCACAGGGGTAACGGACAAATGATCCCCAAGTCATGTCGTAACGTAGTATATAGAACATAGCTGTATACTCGATAGTGAGCCAACGCTAGCCGACACTGTAAATTCACCTATTTTCATCGAGGCACCGTTAATCATAACGGCTTCTCTTTCGCCCCCTTCTCTTCCCTCATTCTTCTGGGATCAATTATACATACTCCCGTTAGTGGAAGGAGGCACGAGTGCTGGAGCCTGGTAACTGCAAGCTTCGTAACTCTCACCCGTCAACCACAACCGGGACATTGGCCTTTGGGATGGTGCAAGTACTATGGGGTACAGTTGGAAGTCCGACCCCGGGATTTCAGTGATAAGACCGCCTGAGGCGTGTTACTAGTGTCCTTGTGGACCTGAAACGCGGACATGGTTGATGCCGGATTGGTATGTGAAACTGGTGGTTACGGAGACGCTGTGTGTGCGTCATGACGAGAATTCCGGATTTACCCATTTCTAAACTGAAATCTTTCATCGTATCTGGTGGTGACGGAGGAGCCTGGGGATAAGTCTCGGGGATGGCTGTGGATTCACGCCCAAGAGTTGGGTCACCGGCAAACGCGTTTCGACGATCCCCAATCCCAACATACACTTTAATACTCCTTTCTGGAAGGTATATTAATGACTAGGATTGTTTCCGGCGCGAAATTGCTTTGGTAAAGCACACCGAGGGATATGGATTGGGCTGAGCTTGAGATACACTCTTTGTAGTATTCCATTGAACCAGGCCCAATATTGATGCTGGGTTTTCAGCCAATGAGACAAGAGGGCAGTTTGTGATTTGAATGTTCAAATATAGACTAGTCCGCCTAATCTGATATTTAGCTATGTACTATCATATAATCGTAACCATCAAAGCAGGGCTATGTCGCTGACAATAGTCTCTCCTCAAAAATGCAGGGTATCATGAATGCTTTCAACATCTCCTCGTAATTTTCTTGACAATTGAACTCCCAATGATGATCCTGGCAGGCCATTGCGCAATTGTCTACCACCTATCATGATGCAAACCATCTTGCGGTCTGCTCCAACCAAGCCAGGTCAGATTTGGTATTGGCCTATATTTGCTTGGCGTCCTCAAAAGCCCGCTCTCTCTGCCGAATCTGCTTCTCTATCCGTTCCACCCGTGTTTCGACATCAGCAAGAGACTGAGAGTTGTTCAGCACCCAATTTTCGTACCAAGCGCGGATGACCATCTCGCTTCTTCGTCTTAGCTCAGAAATTTCTGCCAATTGTGCAATCTGGGTTGCCTCGATAGCTTTCATCTTGTCCGTCAGGGCTATGAGAGATGCGCTTTCCGACGGATCGGGTATGGGGCTGTCTTGTACAGCCGTGAGGGAAGATAGCGCCGAGGAATAGGCAGGCGCCTGCGATAGTACGATGGATTGAATTGCGTCGCTTGACAGCTGAGATGGTGGTACAGAGGCATCCGGGGAGTGGAAAAGGTCCGGATTAGACTTGTCTAGGCTTATATCAGTTCAGTGTATAACATAGTAGCGGGTGAGGTTTTGGTGCACACTGACAAATTTTAAGAAGTTCGTTGTAGACTCGGAAATGGGAGATGATCATCGAAAACCGTCTTTCCATATCCTTCAACTTCTGAGCAGCAGAGTCTTTGTGTACATGAGGGAGTGATGTCGCAGGGCCATGGAGGAGATGCTCGAGGCGGAGGAGACGCGACTCGAGGAGATTGATTGTGGCAAGTGTCGTCTGATCCAGGGTGTTGTCCATGTCGGCGGCAGCAGCCATTGCAATCGTTAGGAATCGTTGCTGCAGGAGCCTTCTTGGAGAGCAAGACTGTGTGTGCCTATTAGGACGATGAGCAGACGTATGTGGCAATTAACAAATTGACCCTACCAGTACTCCGTATTCGCGATTCGAGATTCGAGAACCGAGCAAAGCATCACCTCGACGTACCACGCCGCTGATTGGCTGTGAGCCGCACAGGTCACTGATCAGGCCCCGCTCAATGACACGCCGTGTCCTAGCAAAAGCCAGCCAACCAGTCAGGTAAAGGCCACATGCGGGCTTAAGCCAGATAAATGCCAACTGACGCCAAGCCAATGCCAGCCAAATCAAGCCCTGTCTCGTGAGGCGTGACCACATAGACGTCAATTCCGACGGGTGGCCAACGATGTCGCTTCCTCCGCCCAACCTTCCAACTCTTCAACAAACGCACTGCCGGTCGATTCTTCTTCGGTCCTCTCGATACTTGGCATTTCCCAGTCCAGAAATTCGGACTGTTCACTCGTTTCTCATCCTGCGCATACTGCTCTGCGCATCTGCGAGCGCCCTCTCCACGGCGGCCGGGACGGTGTTGGGAGGAGGGCAAAGAAAAGACTGGCCTGCTGGTCATTCCCAGATCTACGGTGATTCCAACTTCCGAGGCGACGACGAGGAAACGCACACAGCACCTGGTGCTGCGTGTTGTTGACATAGTAGCAGCCTGCTATGACCAACTATTCAACCATTTCGGATGGTAATTCTGCCAGACCTCGTAACGACATGCCAAGGTGCGAACCCATCGAACCCATATTCACGTGCGTAGCACAACGTCGCAGAATACTGACCGATGCCCTTTTTCTGTAGGACACGACGACGTGGAGGCAAGGATGGCGGTCACGGCGGGCAAGCCTCGATGATCAGCAGTATCGTCAATCTACTAAATACGAGTCCGCACCCCCTTATCAGTTCACTCATTGGTGTCATGCCACCGCTAATGCTCGCTCTATAGTTGTCGGTGCTGGTACGCTGGCGATGCCTTCGGTCCTATCTCATATGGGAATAATGCTTGGTGTTTTACTTGTAATATGGTCTGGCCTTACCGCTGCCTTCGGTCTTTACCTGCAGTCTAAATGCGCCCGTTATTTGGATCGTGGAGCTGCTTCCTTTTTTGCCCTGTCGCAAATCACCTACTCACAAGCCTCTGTCGTCTTTGACGCAGCCATCGCTATCAAGTGCTTTGGAGTAGGCGTATCATACATGATTATCATCGGAGACTTGATGCCTGGCGTCATGCTCGGTTTCAACAGTCGTGCCGACCATATCCCATATCTTGTCGACCGTCATTTCTGGATTACGGCTTTCATGCTTCTGGTTATTCCTCTCAGTTTTCTTCGGAGACTTGATTCGCTCAAGTACACCAGTCTTGTTGCCTTGGTTTCGATTGGGTACCTCATCGTTTTGGTCATATACCACTTTGCAGTTGATCCGCACGCAGACCCTAGCAATGTTCGAGTCATCAAGTGGGCCGGTGCTGTCGAAACATTGAGTGCTCTACCAATTGTTGTCTTCGCTTATACTTGTCATCAAAATGCAAGTAAAGTTCTCGGGAAAACTGCTGCTTGTACGCGCTGCTAACCGGATGTTAGATGTTTTCAATTGTTAATGAAATCAAGGACAACTCTCCATCAAGCATGGTCAGGGTAATTGTTTTGAGTATTGGATCAGCTGCTAGTATCTACCTTGTGGTCGCCATCACTGGTTACATTACCTTCGGTAATGATATTGTCGGTAATATTGTTTTAATGTGTAAGTGCTCTTCCCATGGCCTTGACTCACAGCCATCCCTAATACAATTCAGACCCCACTGGAGTTGCGTCGACCATTGGCAAGGCCGCAATTGTTATTTTAGTTTTATTTTCCATCCCCCTTCAGGTTCATCCTTGCCGCGCCTCATTAGACGCGGTTTTGAAATGGCGACCAAGCCGCTCGCAGTCAGGCAATGGCCGCATATCATCATCTGTATCTGCCGCGGCAACGGTCTCCCGAGGTGACCACGGCACCGCCCCCATGTCTGACACCCGCTTCGCACTCCTTACTACCCTTATTTTAACGCTAGCATACTTTACCGCCCTGTCAGTCAGCAGTCTGGATCGCGTGCTTGCCTTTGTGGGAAGTACGGGCTCGACGTCCATTAGTTTTATCTTACCGGGCCTCTTTTATTACAAAATAAGCGACCCTGAAAGCTCGTATCACCAGCGGCTCATGAAAGAAGACGACGATATGGAAGACTCAGGGTTGTCGGATATTGAGGACTCTGCGCACCTGGCCGGAAACAGCGCCAGTGTTCTGGACAGCACGCCAGATTCATTAAATCACAGCCCGTGGCGCTGGAGAAAAAAATGGCGATGGGACTTGGAGCACCTTGACCACGGCTTGGTTAGAAAACTTGCCCTTGCATTGGCCGTTTACGGCGTAGTGGTCATGGTCGTATGCTTGTTCATGAACATATTTTTTGCAGCGTCTCATTAGGCTCGAATATTGGAATATAGGTAAAGGGGTGCCTGATGAAGACTGATTATATACCGCAGTTACGAGCATGACGGCGTGCGGGCCAGGGAATCAAAAGCAAACAATTTCTTTGAGTGACGGGCGGACATGGTATTATTTAGCTGGCGCAGGCTGTAAGCAGCTGGCTGTTTTTTCTTGGATTAAGGTTTATTTGTATGTTTACGCAATTAGAGGGCATAATACACCATTGGCATGGGATAGGCGATGTCATCACTTCTCTCCGCTTTTCACACCTGTGGCTCAACTAACTATAGTCTTATTTCATTTGTCTCTCGGTGGCAGCGTACTTCCATGACTTTCCAGAGATGAAGATCTTTCATCGCATGATAATAGATGTTTCCATCTGACCTTACTACTTTGCTACCAAAAAAAAGGTATTCATAACCCAAGCCAACGCCTTAAATGCTCAACATGCCTTCTATCATACAATCCGTCCATTACGCGATCAATAATTGTACATCGGGTCCCCCTTAGCTGAAAACTTCGTTTCCTTATCGAATCTTCACCTTTTCCGCATCGACTGTCTCGTTTTTCTCGCTGGGCTTGGGTCCGAATACCTTCTTCGGCAGGATTCCGACCATGGACAGCAATCGCCACGCCGTGTCGGTAGGCTGGGCGCCAACACCGATCCAGTATTTGGCGCGCTGTGTATCGAGCTTGATATCCTTGTGGAGCTTTCCTGAATTGTCGTAAGGATCGGGCTTGGGGACAGGGTCGTAGGTGCCGAGAACCTCGAGTGGGCGAGAGTTTCGTGCCGTGCTGCGTTTTTTGCCCGTTAGCAAAGGTCGAATTGACGGTTGGCAAAGGGAGCGGCAGGCGCATACCGTGCATGGGCCACGACGATATTGTAGAACGGGGAATTTCGGCGCCCGAAGCGCGCGAGACGGATCTTGACAACCATAGTGGAATTGGCGTCGTGGATTTTTTATTTTGGGAATGGACTCGAGGATTGCGAGCTGGCTAGCAAGTACGTACTGGCACAGAGTTTCAATTGAGAGGAGGTTCTGGGTGGAATTTTGGCCGGATGTCTGGTTTTGCCGCCCCGACCAATCAGCAGTGGCGGTGGCGCCTGTCTGGGGGAAGCTGTCAAGGTTGACCACCTCCCACCTTCCTGGTGATGTCAGTGGCCTCGTTCCAACAACATCTTCGTCATTGTGAACACGAAGGAATGTTGGGCAGTTTTTACCTTTGCAAGACTACCTCTCTACATAGTATCCGCGTTGATCGTCTTCTTGAACACTCAGAATATATTAATCATCTAATATGGCTCTCAAGGTAGCTCCAGCTCTGGCACTGGCTCCTTTGGAGTCTTTGGCTTCGAGGGTAGAGACAATACTAATTTTTACATTGTGTGCAGACTCTAGGAGCTAAAACGGCTGCAGCCCTGGACCAGGAGCTGATGAGCACTTGCGCCTTTTCTATTGACCAGCTGATGGAACTTGCTGGCCTATCCGTTTCCCAGGCTGGTAAGCCATTAACACCAATATCCCATGGCTACAGCATTGTCCTTATCTTGCCGAAGTTTATCGAGTTCACCCGCTGAATAAGGGCCGCCGAGTCCTCGTCGCTTGTGGTCCTGGAAATAATGGTGTGTCGCTTCGAGTCTTGTTGCCACTGATTATTGGAGTCTAACAACCATCAAGGCGGAGATGGGCTCGTGGCGGCTCGACATTTGTTCTACTATGGATATCAACCTACTATATTCTACCCCAAACGGAGTAAAAACGAGCTGTACCAGGTGAGAAGCCTTGGCAGTTGGGCATCAAGTCGAATGAGATTCCGAATTATCGTATAGCGGCACAGTCACTCGTCCCTGGCTGCATGCGTTTAACCCTTTTGAATTGCGTTACTCTTTCTATGCCGTCTATCCCTTATCCGACCTATAAAGAGTTCTCGAGCAGGTGTTGGGCCCAATGCAACACCAGTCTCCCTCTGGTCTTGTATAGCATAGGGGTCAAGTAGAAAAATCCTGGGTGATCATGGTGCTGACGCTCTTCGTTTTCGTAGCGCCTAGCGAAACAGCTTGAAGACCTCGAGGTCCCTTTTGTCGATGACTTCCAATCAGCAGTGGACTCGACGGATCATATTGTGGATGCGGTTTTTGGTTCGATAGTCGCCATTGGTGTATTGTCATAGCGATGTACTGACACGTCTAGTGCAGGATTCAACTTTTCTGGTGATATTCGCGAGCCGTTCCCCAAGGTCATCCAGGCACTAGAAGAAACAAAAGTCCCAGTTACTTCAGTTGATGCTCCCTCTTCATGGGACATCGAAAGTGGTCCTCCAAAGTCTGGAGTAGGTAGCGCTTTCATGCCTGCCACACTCGTCAGTCTAACGGCCCCGAAGCCCTTGGTCAAATTCTTCAGGGGACGTCATTTTGTTGGTGGTCGGTACGTACAAGCGTGATTTGACTCGGTTCTGGCAGATGAGCTCACACGCCCACAAGTTTCGTTTCGCCGTCCATTGCAAAGAAATATGATTTCGAGGTGCCAGAGTACCCTGGTGTGGATCAAATTGTCGAAGTCCCCATAACAAGTGAGAAGCTTTGAGTATTAAGCAAGAAGTGTTAATAGGTGTATAAGATCGCCAATGATAAGCTCTCCTTAGTTTCTTGTGGCAGTCCCTCGGTTTGCTGAAATACATTCTTTTTCTTTTGTTTCTGAAGCATTGGTGTTACATAACTCTGCAACCGCCTCGGAGACTATTGGGACAGACGGGGCTTGGACATTGGCCGTCGCGCATCTTCTCTCGAATGGTGATCAGGCCGTTGGGGCAAAACAGCAACGGTGGATGGAATGAATGGCAAAACGAAACATAGACGAGATATTCTTTCCCGCAAACTGGGCACTCAGCCGTATGCTCCTTGCACATTTATCGTGGCTTGAGAATACCTTGACCACCTATCGCAGCGTGTAGCAGGTGATCAAGTATCATGGATAGGGAAGACCTTGAGTATTGTTTGCATGGGGATGGAGATGTCAAGGGCGAGAAGAGGAGAAATACTTTCAATCCACGTGTTGACCGATTCCAGGTGAAGCGAGTATCGAAGTGACAAGCTGTCAGGACCAAGTTGATATAGGTGGAGGCATTGGCAGGGCAAACAGCCTCTTAGCACAGAACGGAAACACCAGCAGTTGCCACCGTCCGAGCCTTGGCCGAAGTTGTATGGGTAAACGAATGGGTACGGGGGACTCTGGTTCAACCAGTCAACCACTCTACGGGTATATGACGGTCCTGCTGCGTACAGTGGCCTCGTCGCCGCGGTGGCTGGCAAAGACTCCGATGGGAAGCTTGCGAAACTCCCACAGGGAGAGAAGAACAACATGAAAGGTGCAGAAGGGCCATTTCGACCTGATAAAACTTGTGCAGCACCCGCACTCTGCACTGCTGGACGGGCAACAGCATCTGATCCAGGTCGAACTGGGCACGGCAGTGAATGACCGGAACAAAAGCTCCATCTCCTTTGTGATAGGCTGAATCGGTCGGGCGGCGCATACTGAAAGGCTACAAGGTCCGCTTTTCCAGAACAACAAGGTCGTTTTATCCCTCCGTTTTCTGCTTAGGAGATGCAAGCTGGCCGATGTGGGAGGCGGCAAAAAAAATTTAAAAAATCATGTCGTCCGAAAGGGATGAGCCCGTTTACCCTTTCGGATTAACAATAGGTGGGATGTTCAGGGGAGGCTAAGGGGCCCAAGTTGTAGCCAAGTGGTCGCCGGGCCTGTTGAGCCACGCAATGATCGACAGACTGGATAACTAGTTGGGCCTAGGGGGTCAGTCCTGCGAGACTTTTGCCACAAGTTGTGGCTGGTTACGCAAACCCGACGAAAAGAATCTCCATATCCAGGATTCGGCAATTCTCAAAAGATAATCAACAAGAATAGGGAGGCTGTTTACGACAAATTTTAAAAGTCTCGCCCGGCAACAAGTGTCGCTTCATCTAGCACGTAACTAAGACGACTACAAGACCATCCTCAACGAGCTAGACTCCTGCCTCGGCCGCAACTGGGATTAGCACTACGGCGCAGATAGCCGTGGCGGCCGAAGTCCCTGAAAGAAGGGTCCAAAAGCAAGCTTGACAACTAATACGGGATACTACGATATGATACTCCGTACCCACTGGCTAATGAATCGGCGATGGGGTCGTTGCTGGGATCTCAAGCATAGTAGGCTGTTGGGTGAATCAAGGCGGCTTTCTTGTGGCGCACACAGAACATCTTAGCTATCCATTGTGCTGGCGAACCACTAACCGTTCAGAGCTTCTCGGCTCCGGAAAATAACTACTACTACAAAAGGAGAAGCTTTCCATTAGTTGCTGGGTTTCTTGTCATTACTACTATACAAAGAAACTTGCCTTAGGGAACCAGCACGCCCGAAGATTCCGGAAATAAAGATGCCGCTTTAAAAATAAACCGGACAATGTGGTGGCATTATCTATGGTTACCTTGGCGGTGGATTGGGTTCAAAGAGGACCATGGACTACATTTGCCGTTGACATGGCACTCAATGAGTGACTCGCATAATGAAACACGACAAGATAATCAAGTTGCCATCGGCTATGGAGCGAAATTCAGAATGTCCATGTTGACCGCGGCCATTCCGTATCGACATTTTACTTGCACGTTATCCTGTTGGATGGACGGGGAACCTACTCGTACTCGGAATTGACATCTTCAACCTCTCTTTGAAGCCCCGCATAACAACTTAAGTAGTTGGCGATCCCGGCAACCAACGCCGCAGTGGAGACCAAGACTGGCCTCGGAGTTGAATCTGAGTGGCCTTACGGAGTGCCGACAGTAAAATCCTAGCCGAGTCCCTCGGGCAGAAGCGATTTTGCTTGGGTTTGTCAGTTGGCCACCCAACACGTCATCATTCCTTGTTTGATTACCCAAGAGGCATTGCCGCCGGGACACCACGACGCCCGCCGAGTCATTAGGTGTGGCTGGTACCTTGTCAAAAACTTTACTGCTTGCTGCCACGATATGCGTAGGGCCAGCAATAAAGCCACTGTCGCCAAGCCGCCATGCACGAGGCTGCCCCTGGCCCCGTGGCCAAAGCCTGCGCAAACTGGAGGAGGAGGCCATGGCCCTCTGCCGGACGGGAGCACTGAAACTAGGATATCTTCCCGCAAAGCCAATTTGTTGGCTTCGGAGAGAAATTCATGTGGGTTCGGGGCAAGACGCCGGGGCTCCAAATTGCCATGAGCTTGATCCGTCAGACTGGCCGTCCTCCCGTCGTCAGCAACATGCCGGAGCGTTTGCTCCTACGTCGAAATATGTATCAATATGGCGTTAACGGCAATTTCAATTTGCGGCCAATCAGCGCCGTGTGTTAGATATTATTCATGGTGTTTCTGCACGGCACAAAGGATGAGATTGCCTCCGCTGGCCTTTTCCTTCAACTTTGGACCTTGATTCGTCGAGAATTAAGGCAATGCACCCGTGTTATGAACGTACTTTGCTCAATCTTTTCCTCTTCAAACGTTACTGGAAATGGCCTTGGTCAAGGCGTAAGTTGCAAGGCCATGACAGTAAAACAGCCTGGCCAGCCAAACCAAGAAGGAACAAGAAAAGAAGAGAAAAGCAAAGGACCCGGGGCTCTCCACTTTTGCTAGCTTCGTCCATACACCCAACGTGAATAGAAACACCAGCATGGTGCTTCCCTTATCATCAGACTCACTTTCAATCACTCCTATCATTTATTATGCCTCTAGAGACATTGCCCCCCTTCCGGTATTGCCAGCCGCGAATGCCATACGTCGAGGATGCCGAGAAGTACGCATCTGGCGGCTACCATCCGGTCGACATTGGCGACACGATCTGCAATGGCGAGCGGGCGTACGAAGTTATCCACAAGCTCGGCCACGGGGGCTTCTCGACAGTCTGGGTAGTTCGGTCATGTGCGCCCTCACCATCCTACTTTGCGCTGAAAATTCTTTGTGCCGAGGCTGTGGACATGACTGATGGTGAGTTGAACGTCCTCCAGCACCTCAGAACGGTCGCCGGCCCTGGGCATCCGAACGTGGTGGTTTTGTATGACTCGTTTAAAATCTCTGGCCCTAACGGCAAGCATTGCTGTCTCAGTTTCCCTGTTCTCGGCCCAAGCCTACAGAAGATCAATGTTTCCGCGGCGTTATCCAGTAATATGCGACACCAGGTGTGCCAACAAGTTGCCAGCGCTATGGCATTCCTCCATCATCACGGAGTCTGTCACGGCGGTAAGCCCAGTTCCTCAACCCCTAGGCTAGCTTCAGCTGACTGATGAGCATATCATTGCAGACCTCACTGCATCTAGCATAGTATTCGAGCTTCCAGATATTCAGTCTATGTCTCCAGCTCGTGTATCTCAACTTCTAGGCCCCGTCAAGACCGAGAACCTTAAATTTACTAATGGTCTATGCTCACCGCATGCTCCAAAGCAGGTCATTCAGACTCCCGACCTCTCAGGTCTAGACTACTCTTTGCTCACTCAGATTCGAATTATCGACTTCGGACAAGCCTCCTTCACAGATCGCCCGCCACCATCCCTAGGAGTTCCTATCGATATTTCCCCCCCAGAACTCTGCTTTGGCTATTTACCCTCAACTAAAAGTGATATTTGGCAGCTCGCATGTATTTTCTACCAGATTCACACAAAGGCGGTCTTATTTCCCACAGTTTTTCAGATATTTGAGATCCTAATCGGTACGATTGTGAGCTATCTCGGTCCGATACCCCAACACTGGAAGGGGAAGTTCAACTTCGATGAATACGGCTACTGCGAGCCGGGACAAGTACAGGACACAACAGAACCAGAGTGGTGGTTTGAAGATAAATGCAGCGAAAAGACAATTGATAGCCGGATTACCCAGGAGGCAGTGCATCTCTCTACCTATCAACGGGAGGAGTATGTCCGCTTGCTCCACGATATGGTTGTATACGAACCCGAGAAGCGCCTTTCGGCGGTGGAGGTGATACAGCGTCTGGGGTCAGCCTCGTTCTTGGATGAAGACTCGAGCGAATTAGTGAATAGGAGATGAACACTTGTCAAATACCTTGTAATCGGCCTCCAAGTGTTATCACCACCTTCCAATTAAACAGATCTCAATTAATCTTACAGGGAATACCTAGCGTAAAATAAAATAACTTATTTAAGGCAAATTTAATTTTCTTAATACTAATATTAGCTTATATTATAATATGTATATCTTTATTTTATATTTTTAAATTATTAATAAAAATGAAAAAAAGCTAGCTAATTACCAGGACTATATCTAGGTTTTCCTTATAGTATTTTGCGAATACAAAGGCTTTCTAATTTCAGATAGTTGTTTAGTATTCCACTAGTTTTCCTAAGAAGACATTTCTAGTAGATTCATCTGCAAGCGAGTAAAATTACCACGTAATACAGCGAGTAAAAAAAGGTTGTAAAGAACCGACAGGCGAGGGCTGAAGGCGGAAGGCATGCCGATCCACGCTGGGCTCAGCTAGTTGTTAGTAGCACATCGTTTCGTGTATGAACTGCCGTGGCTCTCGTTTTCTTTAGACATATTGCAAAATAAACGTCCATCTTGCACAATGGGGTCTCATAACGACATACGTACAGGGCCGTTAGGGCCTTGCTATACGTCCAACGCTATATCCCATGGTCCAGTCGGTCAACGACGAGGACTTCAAGACTTGGTATGCACAGGCTACAGCCGTCGTTGAACAACTTCCCTGATGTAGATTTCCTCTGGCTTCACCTGTACCTTCTTAGGATCCGGCGGCGTAGGCTCTTGCTCGAATCATCGTCCACGTTTACACCTTTACGCAGCGCACTTGTGCGATGGAGATTGTAATTGGAGCAAGTGATGAGCTACGCCTATAGGGAAATATATGAGTTGACGCCGTTTCTGGGCCTTTCTATTGGGTTGGCTCTGGTCATAGAATACGACACGCTCAGAACTGGGAACTCATTTTAAGGTAAAACGATGCCGTAATATACTGTGCTCATGCCTCGTGTCCAGAAGAACAATGAATCGTGGCCACGGCTGGTGACGTGAAAAGTCTTTTTATTACTGTCCATAACGCATGCGGTACCAACCGATAACGCTTTAGGGTAGTCGTAGTCATGAGAAGTCAGTGAGATGAGCATGAGAATGAGGAAATTCGAAATTCATGCAGAATGGTCTAGATATGGGCGGGACTAGGGGGAGCTTGCTGAATGGACATGGCTAGGGCGGGCGGCCCAACCACATCTGAATGGCAGGCAGTGATATTTCTGATGTGTCAAACACCAATGTGTCTTTGTGAAAGAATCTTGACGGTCAGGGCATGGGAGGGTAATATAAAAGCCCATCCGAGGCAGGGAGCCTTGTTCAAATCTCTCAAACTCGGCCACGATAACGCTTTGCAATGTTATCGCTTTTCCAAGTAAGCTTGTCATATGGTGGAGCTGCTTTCGGATCTCAGACAACGCAGATCATGCAGGTTATTCCCAGGAACGAGCCAATGACATATAATACCTCAGAATCCTGCATATTGCGTTGTCGTTTTAACGGATCCCTCGGTAGTCACAACGACAAGGGAACTAGAGCAATGGGATTTATGCGTAAGGAAGAAACGCGGGGCTTACACACCGCCGATTCCGGCGGTGAGGACCTCAACGGACACTCGCTGAGGCTATACTTTCGTTGAGTGGGCTTGGTATAGAAATATGCTCATGTCACGGGCCCTGATGCCGTATGCAAGACATGGCAAGTTATTTTGGTACTCTCCGCGAAAGTGGAAGTGGCGTCCGGATTGTCTCGCTTCTGTTGCAGCTCTCCTGCAGCCCGGCACACGTCGGACCTTTGTAGGTTGTCAGAGCGCATCGCACTAGCATTCGGGAATCATGGGTTCAACTACCGCCGTCCCTGTGGCCCGTCTCGCGACTGCATTGACAAATCAGTGACCGAGCAAGGTGAAGTACGCAATATCGTGTCAAGACCCACCCAACGTTAAAAGAAGAGTTGTTCTAGGCTGTGGAGGCGGGATGGTAAAGCAGCATGCGCGGTGGAGAGATACAACGTCTACCGGAGTGAGGCTAAGTTGCAGATGAGGCGACTGGTACCAAAATTGGCTCTTGTTCGTGAGACTTTGGCTTTGCAAACATGTCGGTTGAATTCCAACTGTGATTGCCGATAGCTGGGGCTTGCTTGCCAAGGTACTCCGTAAGGCTGAACGCGTCATGAGCATGAGAGCATGCTTGTCTTGACTTTTGAGTGACTCTCACGCGAGGCTGCCACAGGTGGGCGAGCTTCTGGAAGAATACTGCCTGCACGCTCCAAGCACACCAGTGATGAGCTGAATAAAGGTGGCTGTAGACGCGCGGGGGAACCCCAGGGGGAAATACGGAGTATGGAGTGCGGAGTATGTACTCCATGTGATCAGTCTTGAACCAGGGAGTGCTCCGTGCTCGGCAGTGCTCAGTATCTCCTCACGAAAAACCACTTCTGAGGCCACTCTTGCATTGAAAATAACGTGTCTAGTGAACCGGATTATGCCGCACAACCCCAACGCCAAAGTTCGACCTCAATCTGGAGCATGGGGCCGTGTGGACGATTTGCTGGGGTTAACAGGGACGCGCTCCCTGGTGGCGTCTGGTCTGACGGCTTGTGTCGGCCATGAGCATCAGCAGCTGTGTGGAGACTCAAGGTGATGTTGCAAAGTGTGGGAACTGTCAGTACGCAGCCCTTATTGTAAACGCAACACCCAGCTTAGAATCCCAAATTGCATTGTGCAGTTCGGCTTGGGTGGGCCGACTTGTGACCCTTGGCGCCCCAAATGCAGTGATACCTGTTCACGACAATTAAGATGTGGACACACAATATCTGGACTATGTCGGGGAGCCATTGTTGAGTCATTGTCACGGATTGCACGACGTCGGCGCCAAGGGGAGAGCAGAAAACACTCGGCAGCCTGCCGTAATCGGTGTTTTCTCTGCCACCCATGTGAGTGCCACAAACGCCATTTGAGATGAAGGCTCATCGGGATATCCGTCATCCACACGACCTCGGTGCAAGCCACCAGCACCCAATATTGAACCTGCATGCCATGGCGGGTGGCCATGCGCCCTCCGGCTACTCCCTTGCGAGTAGGCTATGTATGATGCTGCTATTAGAGCCACAGGCTAAGCCGGACGACTGAATATGAAATGAGGACATGGATTTCGTCTTGAGATGTTTGACCGTATTGTGGGATAGATAAGGGCTCGTTGTCGTGCCCACAAATGCCAACTCTCGAGGCAAGCATCTCGGATTTCCGTCGGTGGCAGGTGGGCATCGGTTTTGAGACAGGCCGTCGCCCACGTTGTTAGGCTCGTTTCGACGGATGACCTGGAGAAATTGAGATAAGCACAGAGTCTAGGCAATCCTTGCAATGCTCCATCCCCACTGGCTCGCCACAACAGGGCCGTGAATAGGCTCCGCACTTCTCCGCAGCTAAGAAGGCTTGCAAGATATGCCAGGATGATTCTGGTGGTACGACTCGCGTGCTCTTTGGGTATTGGCTCAGCATCTGGGGGAGCTGGGTCACTTCTGGAAAACGGTGGGACTGTTCCAGAAACGCCTCATTTCGATAGTACATAGTACGTAGTACGGAGTACAATGATAACCATTGATACCTAGGCCAGATGATTGCGCCTCCCTCTCTCATTGACCGTTTCTGGCCGTAGCCGTGGGGGTTTACTTTCTCGGAACTGATTCGCCAGGCTCGACCCTGAAATTGCGTAGCTGAGGTCACGACTGTCAGGTCGCCTCTCGAAGGGGGACCATCTTGGTCGTGCTTACTTGAGGCTGTCAGTGTGAGGCAAACTTGACTTCATCTGGCCCAACAACGTTCCGTCAGCGGCTGGCATTCGGTGTCCGCCCTCATTCTCACCTACTTTGTCCTCCGTACTCCGTACGGAACATACGTCCCGCTATTATGACATCGGCGTTCAATGTTGTCAATTTCCTGCTCCCTCAGCATGTCAAAGCCTCAACCAGCCGAGTTGATGTCCTTCTGAATGGCTTTCGGAGTATTCATTGCGTTATTCTGTGGCGACCTGGCCAGGGACGGCGTTGTTCCCCACAAGATCACAACCCTGACCAACTCGAGGCTTGCTGTCAGATAAACAGGGTTCAGCTTGGGTAGCCCTGCAACTTGGTCGTCATCCGACGGGGCATCCTGTATTGTGCATTGAGTTGGTGCTGTGTGGTGTCGTGTTTTTCTTGCAGCTCCCAAGCCATTCAGCCCTTGGGGCGTTTTGAAGTGTCCCGCTTTGGCTGTGTCAAGACTGGGCAGGTAGGACCTAGCTTCCGCTAGCGGAGTCCCCAGACCTCCTTCCCACTTTACGGACGTTAGTTATCACTGCCTGCCCTCCACCTCAAAAAAATGATCACTGCTCTTCCCTAACTTCTCTTCTTTTCTTCTCCGCACTTGTTTCCATCTGATCGATTACCCATCACCGGATCGGAATACATATCGAGTGTTTCCCTTTTCCATCTTTTTTTGTGGGTTATTGTGAATACGTTGGTCATTGAAGTTGGGCCACCTCACTCCTAGCGCCGCCGTTTGATACCGACCAACTGCCCAGCTGGGTCCCTGTCCCGGACATACGGTGCCGTTGACACATTGTCTGGCACTGGCGTATACAACGTCACGAAACCTCAACGTCGCCGCCCAATTTGGATCCTGCTGGTCTCACACCAGATTCGCAAGTCTTTTGGGCCATTGTTCGCGGGAGTCGGCCAGAAACAAGCAGAGACTGTGTGAAACATTGGCTACCCGTGTCTGACATAGCCACCCATCCATCATGATGGAGAAGCACGACGAAAATGCCACTCACGATTCGGAGGCTGGCCAAATGGTTGAGAATGCCGAGTACAACTTAGCAGAACAGCACGATCAGCTGGCTCGTGGGCTAAAGAGTCGTCATATCCAGTTTTTGGCCCTTGGTGGTGCTATTGGTACTGGTCTCTTCATCGGCTCAGGAGGTATTCTGTCTTCCACGGGTCCTGCACCGCTCTTCATGGCCTACCTCTCCATGATGATGATTGTCTGGGTCGTTATGAACTGCCTTGCTGAAATGGTCACCTATCTGCCAATGCGCGGCATCACTGTTCCTTACTTCGTTGATCGCTTTGTTGACCCAAGTCTTGGTTTTGCTGCTGGTTGGAATTACTGGTATGCCTATGCCATCCTCATTGGTGCCGAAGCCACCGCTGCTGGTATTATCATTGATTATTGGGGTGCCAACGTCAACATTGCGGTATGGATCACCATTGTTTTGGCGGTTATCCTCTTCCTCAACATTATTGCGGTCAGCTTCTTCGGCGAAGCTGAATTTTGGTTTGCCAGTATTAAGCTCATCACCATCATGGGCCTCATCATTCTTGGTGTTGTCATTTTCTTTGGTGGCGCTCCCAAATCGGATGGTGTGCTCGGATTTCACTATTGGAAAGACCCGGGAGCCTTCGTTGAGTACAAGGCGTCTGGCAGCACTGGTCGCTTTCTTGGATATTGGCATGCTTTCGTCTCGGCCGGCTTCGCCTTCATCACCTCGCCCGAATTGATTGCCATTGCCGCTGGTGAAACTATTGCTCCTCGACGCAACATTCCCAAGGCAGCTCGTCGATTCGTCTGGCGTCTGGCAATCTTCTACGGCCTTGGTTCGCTCGTCATCGGCATCATGGTGCCTTCAAACGACCCTCAACTCCTGAATGCCGAGAAAGCGGATGCAAGCGCCTCACCTTTTGTCATTGGTATCCAGAACGTTGGCATCCCTACTCTGAACCACATCATCAACGCGGCTATCCTGACCTCAGCCTGGTCAGCTGGAAACTCCTTCCTCTACTCGGGTAGTCGTATTCTCTACTCCATGGCACTCAGCGGCCAGGCCCCCAAGTTGTTCCGCATCACCAACCGAAACGGTGTTCCTTGGGTTGCTGTTCTTGCAACTTGGTCCATTGGTCTCCTAGCCTATCTCAACGTTTCCAACTCTGGCGCCGAAGTCTTTACCTGGTTTACCAATATCTCCACCATCTCCGGTTTCATTGCCTGGATCATTGTTATGATCACCTACTTGCGTTTCCGCCGTACCATGATCTACAACAACCTCTTCGACAGCCTACCCTACAAAACCCCGCTGCAGCCATACGCGACGTATGCTACACTGGGCGTCGTCAGTGTCCTCACAATTACCAATGGATTCCAAACTTTCATGCCCTTTAATGCTAAGAATTTTGTGGCTGCATACATTACGTTGCCCATTTTTGTCATCTTGTATATTGGCCACAAGATTTGGTTCCGGACCTCCCTGTATATCCCAGTCGACCAGATCGATGCCATCACAGGCAAGAAGGAGATGGATGAGCTGGAGGCCATGGAAGAGCCGCGTATCGCCAAGAACTGGTTGCAGAAGGTATGGTACTGGCTTGCATAGACGAGAAAGTGCCTGACGAGACACGAGTGCAGGTTGTTTGGTTGCAAATATGGTTGAGAATATCTCAAGATGCGTCCGTTTTGTTTCCGATGAGATGTCATTTACAGGGATATTTGTATATTTCACCATATTATCAACGGCAGTTGATACCCAAGATAGTTTTTTGCCTGAATGATGAATTTCCTGTCAATTCATGTCTATGTTTCCTCAATCCTCGAAGTCCGGATTACTTTTCATGTTCGGAGACATACACAGTGATCTTTCTTGTAGCACAAGAGGATTGGACTATTAGCGGCCCGCCTGCGCGTCTTTGATACCTGCGTACAAGCCAATGGAAAAGGACGCCATTCCAGCGTACAGTACATATCCCAAACGTAGAAATTTATGCAGAGCATCGAATCAAGTTTGGCCTCTGCGTGTATGTGAAGCAAAGCCCCCTTGCGCGCTCCAAGACGGCGTACGGACACACATGATTCGCACTTGAAATCGAATCCTCCAAGTTGGTCACGGGGATGTGTCTGCGGAAACGGGTTGTCCATGTAAACCCGATAGAGTGTGGCTCTATTTGCGGACAAAGACTGACCCATGTCAAGCATTTGAATACTTTTAGTAATAAGCATGCTTCATTCTGCTGAAACAGAAGCGACGGCTCCGGCTCGTTACAAATTTGACGTGTTATCCTGACTGCTGTGCTGAAGTTTGCGACGGCAGAGGAGGTCTCAATACGCACCTTGTACTATTTCCACCTCCAAATGAGACTTGCATCGGGTTAACAATCTGCAATGCTGCTTCACAAAGTGTTCCCTTGTCTCGCGGCGATCAACTGGAGCGTATTGGTCAATACCGGGATTGCGAAAGAGACGGCTACTAGGCAAATGTGGAATCCAGGGCATTGGACTGAATATAAACGTTTTTTTGCTGTTATTACAACGTGTTCCAGCTTTGTGGGATTGAATGTTTGCGCATTTCCTTTACATGTGGCGCGCGGGCGCATTTGGGAGTGAGAAGAAGCCTTTATGGATCGGGTATATACAACCAACTGCCATGCAACTTGTGTTGTCATGATGCGGATATTTATTGGCGATTTCATGCTTCCTGAAGACTCTTGGTAATGGATCAAGAAAATATTGGAAGAGAGAGAGCCGACATGTCGTGCGCGGTTATTATCTGCTTGTGTGCCAATCGGCGAAGTAGAATCTGTCCCAAAAAACACCATCATGTTTGGCCTGCAAGCTTGGCTGACTTGTAGCACATGGATTCCTTGGTAGTACCAGATGGGGAGTTTCTCTGCATTCTCGACATTCAACAGGCCCATTTCTTCCCGGGGCTCGCTGAAGCGCACATTACGTACTAGTAATTTGATGACTGCTTCTCGCTGATCGAAATTGAGTCTCAGATGCGTTGCTTTTGCTTCCGGAGATGCGCGGCACATGACCGGAAGGGCTTGAGTGGTTTAATAGCCGGTACGCCAATCAACCCTGTCTCCTCCTAGAATGCCGACAGATTGCTCGCCGTCTTGTACCGGGGTTCTCTAGTCAAGTGCATCTACTCCGTACTTCGTAGATCAATCTTGATGGGCGGCGCAGGTGGAAGATGGTTGGGATGGCGACTTTCACCAAAGCAAGCAGGCGGGGACCATTTATTAGTGCGCCGAGAGGGAAATCATCAAGGGGAGTGGATTCTGATATTCTCGTGCACGATGAAGTTCATGATGATGTGATGGTGGTGATGCAACGATGGTCCTGTGAGAGAAGTGGGCACAGAAGCATGAAGCCATGGAAACCTCTAGTCTAGTAATTCGTTGACGGCGTACGGAGCACGGTCAAACCGGAGCCATGATGCTTCCGTCCAGGAACGGGCATCTCATTTTAAGCATGTTTCTGCACAATATGTGTGCCATCGTCACATGGCGGCACAAATACCCCGATGTAACATGGACTACCTGATAGAGCCTGAAACATGGGAGCACAACGAAGCATGTCGGGACAAGGCACGGGCTGTTGCCGGCCTCTTGATTGCTTGAAGAAGATGGTCATCAAAGCTGGGCGCGAAACGGAAATGAGGATGCAATGTGCTTGGCGTTGTGTAAGACGAAGCCGGGGCAAACAAGAGGCGAAATTGCTTCTTTTTGTGGCATCCACCCAGCGATTCGCTTGACAATCTGACCATCATTTGGCGAGGCTTGGCAGATGCATTGGCTGGAGAAGATATTATCCGATCGACCCATGAGCCCGTGACGGCCTCTGTCCTGTTGAGAGGAGAGACTCAATGGAACTAGCGGTTGATGCCGAATGTTGAGGATTCTACGTAGTAGGTTTTGGATCTCTTTAGCTGCGAAATGGCTCGTGGGGCCTCCTCTGCCATATGTACAATCAATTGATCTTCTTAAGTGGAAGAGAAAAAGCCCACTGAGTTGCCAACGGGTAAGTGAGTCTCTACGAGCCATCTCGCGGCTAAAGAGATAGTAGCCCAAGACTCCGACCAGAAAACTTTCGCGCAGCGAGTCCATGGGCTGGATGTATTGACATATCCAATCAATGTCTTTTGTCTCGTAGCCAGGAGTATTAAAGCTGGCCTACTCGGACTAGTAGAGCAAATATTTGTACTAAGCATTCAGACCATTGAATCGAGACATTGAGTGGGGGAGTGGATGTGCAATCCGAAACAGGCAAGGCGCCAGGAACGCAAATTGCCATTTGGAGGAAATGGCCGCTGGAGCGGGGAGAATTGACCCAATCAATGTAAGAGAAGGAGATTACCCAAATTTTAAATTCCACGAGGCCGTCTCAAAGTTGGCAATGCAAAATCGCGGCTGGCGCGGGGGAGGGCATGATGCTTGACTTGACTGCAGGTGTAGCATTCATGCTGTCGGCCGAAGCAAGGATCATGTGATGGGAACAGCGATTCGCCGTTGTAAAAAGACCAAAAAAGAAAAAAACAACGTCATCGAGGGGCGTAACCACCATGACTTTCACTCTTCGCACCGGAATTAGCAGCAGAGTGTGTTTTCATATCAACAACAGTGCCCGCCCTCTACGTCTGCTCCTTGAAACCGAGGGCGGAAACCAAATTGGCCCACGCGCGAGTCCGAGTCCCAGTCCGTGCGTGTGAGCGTGTAAGTCGAGGTTTTCGACTGAGGGAGGGTCGTGACTGAAACAATGAATAGCCACGGAGAGACATGGTCGCAATGAAGTCTGCAGAGTGCGTGCTCGGCACTCGCTCCACCCGCAACTGCTCAGTCCCGTTTCACGCAATTGACTATGCGCCGGTCCAAGTTTGACACAACTCAATTCCATCAACGTGGCCTTAGCGAACACGTCTCGGGATTGTTATGTAGCGCGTCGCGCGGCATGAGAATGATCGCGCTGACGGCAATGAAGCCGTTTGCGAAGAACTTGCTGCTTTCCTGTACTGAGCATTGCGGTAATTTAGGTAGTTGAGTTATTTGTCGCATCGCGAGTTTCGGACCGAGTCGCAGAAAGGAGTTTTGCAGTTTGGCAGGGACGACGTGGAAAGGGAAGCGGAGCCGCCCTGGTGCTTTCAATGTTCCTTCCCATGAGGGAAATAGAGTCAACTAGTCCACCGAGTCCCCTGCTGGTACGCAGTTCAGCCCACGCGACATGGTTGCCGTAGCAGAATTCGCCCTGTTGCCTAGGTATTTCGACACATGGTCGCAGTCAAGGGGTACATGGGGGTGCCTTAGGTGCATGGGGCGCATGGGTCCATCGGTCAAAATGCGCCAATGAGGCGCCGCCCAGGTGGTGAACTAGCCAACGCCGTATTGGAGGGCAGCCAGGGCATCCAGGGCGCAGATGCAGCCACGACCACGACGAAGACAACCACTGGCTCCGGCGGGCAGGTGCACAGGACGGGAAAGAGCGTTGGGCGGCCCTGCCCGGCACGATGTTGGTCTCTGGTTTGTCTCACCAGACGCCCTCATTTTTGGGTTGGGCCTCTTTGGCCTCTTTGGCCTCTTTGGCCCTCTCAGCTCGCCCCCATGCCCGACATACTAATGGCTGTTGCCCCCGTCTCGTCGATGCCTCTTGTTTTCTCCTCGTCGACACCACGTTTCGCTTCATCCTGCTCGCTCACACCACTGTCACGGCTTCGTTGGCAAAGCCTCTACATTCTGCGTTTCACACAAGTCATTCATTCTGTGTTGAATCCATACGACGACACGTCGGGCTGCTTTAAGTATCCCTCCACCACACTCGCTCTCCCCCAACCGAAGGAACGGCCAGACCAGACCCGGTTACAACGATTGTCACTGTCACTGCTGGAATTGTTTCTTCAGCCTGTCCCGATACTCGCCGTCGCGGGTTGTGTTCATCCCAAGTCTGTCTTATATATATCTACACGATCTACACCGGCCCGCTTGGCTGGTATCCGAGTTGGCGATTTCATTGCAATTTCTGTTCCGGGCAAAGCAATCATCAAGGAGCATAAAGCACAGCGCACAAAATGCAGCTGATCAAGTTGGTCATCGCCGCTCTGCCGGCCCTGGCTCTTGCCGATACCAGCGCCGCACCAACGACGACATACACTTACACCAACACCATGACCATGGTCAAGACCATCACTCTCGCCCAAGTCCATACCGTTACCTCAACCTGGGACACCAACTCGACTACGACTACCTTTGCGCCTACTGGTGGGATGACGTCTTTCACACCCCCGGCTGCCACCACTGCACCAGCTCCTGCCACGAAAGGACCCGATAACGCTGCTGGTGTCCTCGATGCCACCAAGGTCGCCTTTGCTGGTGTTGCTGGCATGTTGGTCGTTGCACTGATGTAAAATCAGGCTCGTGTATGATGGACCCTAAGGGGGACTAAGGGTTCAGACATGAGAAAGACTCCGAGTTGGGTCAGTACACTCATTTTCGGCATTTTATTGTGGCAATCCCGCCATTTCGGTCGACCATTCATTCCCTTTGTCAATTTTTGTTCAGCCATGGGCAATTATCAACTTCATCTACATGATGCACCATGATGATGACGACTTCACGGCCGCAGAGGAAGCGAATCATCGTTCGACTCTATGAAACATGTCTCGACTACTACGCACGCTCACAAATGGACATGACGCTCACTCTTGCTTCGTTGATCAACAAGTTCTAGCCATTGCGCTCGTGACATGCGTACTCGCCATGTAGCAGCGCCGGCCAAAACTTGATCCCTCTTTCCCTTCCTCTTCGATGTTCAATTTCTTGCACCAGTCACAAGACACGCGCGCGTCGATTGCGCTGCGCTGGTAACTCAAGATTTCATTATATCTGGCTCTTGTGTGTGCCTGCTGGATGGATATATATTTTTGTGCTACTTTATTGGCCACCTTTTCAACAAGTCTTCAGCTGGGCTGTTCACAGGGTGCGAGAAGCCCAGTGCCACGAGGACACGCCAATGACCAAGGATGACGGGAGCCAGGATGCTTGGTTGCAGAAGGCTCGTCAAAAGCAATCTAATGTTGTGCTACTCTGCAGGCCGCCATCTGGTTTTTGTGTTTTTAATTCGATTCTATCGGTGATACCCTTTGTGCTCTGGAAAGGCATTTTTGGGCAATATGCTCGCAATGTCTAGGAGCTTTTGTTTTTTTCTTGGCGATTTTGGAGGATTGTGAATAAGCATTCTGATTCGCGCTTTAAATATTAAGCAATTATCCAGATGGAGAAGTAGTTTTGGCATATGACAGTTACTTTTTTTAACGGAATCTATCGTATTACATATGCATCATTTTGGTCCAACCAACCTGTTCTTGGAGTTGTAAATGTTTTTCCGAAGACCTCTGGACGTGGCCCATGTGCCCAAGGAGAAAGATGCGCGTCTCTGGTAATGTGTCGCATGTAAAGGTCGTAGTCGTAAACTACCGTGGGGGCGCGGGCGATATTCGTATTCATTTAATTCGATTCGAATTGCCACAGCAGCCTGTGGTGTAGAAGCATAGCGTATGGGGGAGCATGGCGCAACGCTGAATGTTTAGTTGCAGCAATGGGATTTCGGGGACATTTAAACAGCGTAACGGAAGCAAGGTTATGAGGATTGGATCGCGTATTTAGACGACTGACTCAGAGAGGGTGACGTATTCGAAAGTCATTTAGATCTTGACTGCCGCTAAGACGTAGGGGGAGGCGAATGGACCTGGGGTCACGCCGCTATTAATACCAGGGCTCTTCACGTCACGGAGCTCATTCTGCTTCCTGGGGTAAAGGGCAAGTCTCGTTGTAAAACCACTCGTAGAATAGCTGAGCGAGGCGAATTGCGAGGGAAGCATGAGGCTGCGCTACCATCGAAGCGTGCCGACTACGAAATACTGACAAGGAGAGAATGCACATAACACTCATAATAAAAGTAGCAATATTAAGACCTATCTATTCTGTTTGGGATACTAATCTATCTAGTGATGGTGTGTGCCCAGAGGGCAAGTTTGGACTTGACTCTGGCGGCGTCTACATCATGAGCGCCAGGCCAACAGCGGCAGCCAGGACGTGGAAACCGACTGCGCGCTTGGTGGAACCAGCGACCACGGGCGACGTGTTCTTGGGGTGTGTCGCGGAATTGACGCCGGCGGGACGCTGCTTGTCGCCGGAAGGGCTGGGGCCGGCGGAACTTGGCTTGTTGCCGGGACCTGCCTTGTTGCCGGACTCGCCGGGGCCTTGGTGGCCGGCGTCGGCCTTGTTGCTGGGCTTGGCGGGATGCTCGTTGTGGCCGGACTTGTTGGGCTCTGGCTCGTGGCTGGCGCTGCCGCCGTTGCCGGGCTTGCCGGGGCCTTCGACATGTCCGGTGCCTGCTTTGTTGGCGGGGCTGCCAGAGTCTGCTGGCTTTCCGGAATTGCCGTGGTTCTCGGGCTTGCCTGAGCCGGAGCCGGGTGAGCCGGAGCCGGAGGGGGTGGAGCTCGGCGAGCCAGAACCATTTGAACCAGAACCAGGTGAACCAGAACCAGGGGAACCAGAACCAGGGGAACCAGAGCCGGGTGAACCAGAACCAGGTGAACCAGAACCAGGGGAACCAGAGCTGGGTGAACCAGAACCCTTTGAACCAGAGCCAGGCGAACCGGAGCTCGGGGAACCAGACCCGGGGGAGCCGGAGCTTGGCGAGCCAGAACCATTTGGACCAGAGCCAGGTGAACCGGAGCCCGGCGAGGCACCGGGAGCAGGCTTTACAGGCGGAGGAGCAACGCAATCACCGGTACAGCCAGGCCGGGCAGTGCAGTGGCCGTCGTCGCAAACCCACATCTTATGGCAGTCCTCCCCGTGGCAGGCCTGGTGCTCACAGTGTCCGTTGCTACAAACCAGCTTCTTGTCGCACTCGTCGCCGTAGCAGGCCGCGGGCGTGCACTGGCCGTCCCAGCAGACAACCTTTTGGTTGCAGCGGTCACCACGGCACTTGGAGTACCTGCACTCGTCGTCCTTGCAGTGGACGAGCCTGTGCGGGCTGGACTCCGGGGACGCCTCGCACTGGTACTGGACGCCGTCGAAGACGACACGCGTGTGCTGGCACTCGTCGCAGCCGGGGCCGGAAACGCAGTAGTCGCCGTAGCAGGTGACGACCTTGTTGTGCCACTCTTCCGGGCCCGGCCGGGCGGTCACCGTGGCAATCCAGGTCTTGGTGGTCGTCTGGCCGACGGGGCAGTCTGTGACTACGGGCGGGCAGGACGTGACGGTGATGACTTGGGTGCTGGTCACGACCTTGAGCGCCGCGGTAGGACGCTCATTCTTGCGCTCGTAGACGGAGAGGAGCACGCCTGCGGGAACGTCGCCGCGGCGAGCGAGTCTTGCTTTGCCGCCACACACTTGGTTCTTGTTACCGGGGCAAGGCTTGTCGCATTGGGCGCTGCTGACTTTGCCGTCACTTGGCTCGATCCTTTGGCCGCAGTAGCAGTCACTACGTGTTGTTAGTGATGAGTTCAATGTCCTGTTACCTGTAAAAAGGGGGGGTGTTGACTCACGTGTCGTAGACTCCGAAGAACGGCGAAGGGCAGCTCGAGGCGCACAGGTCCAAGCTCATGGCATTGCTCGAGGCAACCTTTTGAAACGTGGGAAAGCCCCTGGAAGAACTGAAGCACCCGAGAAGCTCGAAGGGACCGACTCTTGGCGGCTGGGGATTGCCCGCCGAAGTAGGGCGTGATGAAGTGTGCCCTGTTGAGGACGGCTGTCCGGGCGAAGCGGGCTGGGCGGAATGTCCACCGGACGAGGAGGGTTTGACGAATGATGGTCCCTGTCCGCTGGGCTGGCTCTCAGACGAAGGCTCAGCAGAAGATGGTTTGGCTGACGGGGCCTGCTTGCTGCCAGGCTTGCCGGATGATGCTGCTACCTTTGACGGAACGCCCGATGCCGGCTCACTGAATACCGAGGGCTTGGATGGTGATGGCTGAGAGGATGTAGCGTTTGACCATACCGGGGCACCTGAAGGAGCTGGGATATTGGATGGCGCGGGCTTAGACGATGCCAGTTGAGACGTTGCATTTGACCAGACCGACACACTTGAGCTAGCAGGGACATTGGATGATGCCGGCTTAGAAGAAACCGGGTGAGACGATGTAGCGTTCGATCGGGCCGGCACGCTTGAAGAAACCGGGCCATTGGATGATGACGGCTTAGAAAGTGACGGCTGAGACGACGTGGCATTTGACCATACCGGGACACCCGAAGAAGCCGGGGCATTGGATGATGCCGGCCTAGAAGAAGCCGGGTGAGACGATGTAGCATTCGACCGGGCTGACACGCTTGAAGAAACCGGGCCATTGGATGATGACGGCTTAGAAAGTGACAGCTGAGACGACGTGGAATTTGACCAGACTGACACAACCGAAGAAGCTGGCACACCGGATGACGCCGACTTGGATAGTGATGCTCGAGACGATGTGGCATTTACCCTTGCCGAGGCACTTGAAAACGAGGCACTGGACGAAACCGGAACGTTCGAGGACGCTGAAGCACGCGATGCCGGCGAGCTGGATGAGACGACGGACGAGGACGGAGCACTCGACTTTGCTACGGCGCTCGAGGACGCTGCTTTAGATGACGCCGAGGCACTTGAGGATGAGGAAGCATTTGAAGAAGCCGGGATGCTGGAGGAGGCTCGGCTGCTTGAGGCAGATGAAGCACTTGACGCGGAAGCTCTGGAAGACGCCGAGGCCCTGGATGAGGCCGCAGAGCTGGCTGAAGACGCGGCACTGGAGGATGATGAACCAGACGAAGCCGGAGTATTCGACGATGCTGAGGCACTCGAAGACGCATGCGCACTTGAGGGCCGGACGTTGGACGCCGAAGCACTGGATGAAGCCGACGCTTTCGATGATGCAGAACCGGAGGAAGCCGCGGCACTTGAAGCTGAAGAGCTTGATGCTGCTGAAGTCTTTGAAGATGCCGATGCCTTTGATGATGCTGAAGCGCTTGAAGCTGAAGAGCTCGAGACTACTGAAGCCTTGGAGGATTCTGATGCCTTTGATGATGGCAATACGCTTGATGATACTGAAGCCTTTGAAGATGCCGATGCCTTTGATGACGCCGAGGCACTCGAAGCCGGTACACTTGAAGCTGACGCACTCGAGGCTACTGAAGCCTTTGATGATGCTGAAGCGCTTGAAGCTGAAGAGCTCGAGGCTACTGATGCTCTCGAAGATGCCGATGCCTTTGATGATGCCGATACACTCGAAGCCGGTACACTTGAAGCTGATGCACTCGATATCGATGTCTTTGACGATGACGATGCGCTTGATGATGCTACTGCACTGGATACTGATGAACTCGAAGACGCCGACGCTTTTGATGATGCCGAGGCACTCGAGGATCCTGGCACACTTGAGGACGCTACCGCACTGGAAGCCGATGCACTCGAAGCCGAAGAGCTCGAGGATGCCGACACACCCGAGGATGCTGATGCTGACGATGCACCCGCTTGTCTCTTGACAACCCGACTAGCACGACAAGCCAACGCAGCGTTTGCAGTCTTTCGGTCTCGGCAGGCCTGTATCTCGGCCGGCACTATCTCTTCCCTCCCCGAGACGTCGAGCCTCAAATCCTTGCCTGGCTTCCACACGGCAACAGCCTGGTAACAAGCGCCGTGAACATCTACACCAGAACACGGATTCTGCGCATTGTCAGCCGCCGTCACAGCAGCCGCGAGGGAGACGGTCCCCAAGAAGACGATGCCCCTCATGATAACTATCTAGGTATAACGAGTGAATGGGACAAGCAAAAACAAGGAGAGTACCGAGTCTCAAAAGGCTCTTGAGTCGACACCACTTCTCCGGCACACTTCCCAAGAGGACCAACTCTTAAATAACACAGGACCTGCCGAATCGCCATGAGCCTCAGTGGTCGATGCAGTTCCGGCAATGGGGCTTGATCCTTTCCGTGGCAACATCAGGCGACTATATGCTCTGGAGGAATGCTATCCCTCACATTAACTCTAGTCGGCATCGCGATAATACGAAGTACATGCGTATCCGAGAAGCCACAACTATTGCAGCGGGGACCTGTATGTACAAACATGTAGTACAACAGTGAATGGGTCAAGTGGACGAGGAATGAGATAATGGAGACTCGAGAGCTTGCCTGCTCAGCCTGGCGATGTCGGCATCGGTCAAGTCCCTCGACGCCTGCTTTCAGAAGAGAAAGATACCCATCGTGGTGTGGGTTCGGGAATAATAGATGCTGTTATTGGGGGGGCTTGCAAGGAAGAATGGCATTCATCGTTGGCGAGGAATGGAGGCTTGGTTGAAGCAGGGCGTCGTGAGGTGATTTAAAATTCGATAGCTTCCTTTTCTCCACTCTGGCTGTGAGATGAGATGAGCAGATTCAAAGGATACAGCATGGACAGAAGTTAGAACCGCCCGACAGCAAATACAGCAAGTTGAAGGGAGGCGAGGCGGCCCCCCTTTTCAAGTCGGAGAATATCATTGTGTTGCGGCCCGGAGCGAAACTGAACCAAACCATCCTGATTCATACACGTCTCGAGCTATGCTTGCGCACCGAAAATAAAAACTTGGCGTGGAGAAAGCACGGCCGTGAAAGAAGAGTGCCCTGAGTCCCTGAGTGAAGCTTAGCATTCTTGTTGAGAGGTGCCTATGCTATATCACGTCCCGGATATATACAGGGAGGCGCGAATCTGAACAAGGGCGGTGGCTCGGCGTGGGACGCTCAGTCTGCAGTCTGCACGATCTGAATCTAGAGTTGACGCCATTTACAAATCCATCTGTTGACTGACATGTTGCCTGCCCTGTCCCGGCGTTGCGCAAGGCTATTATACATCATGGCAAGGAGTGTCTTGTTCAGAATAAGCTGTTTTCATGTGTATTCGATGACGTCTCTCGTTTACTACGCTCTTTGCATCTATCAACCTGGGTGCCATGCACAATGTTCCCATCAGGGCAGCACAACAAGGGAGTCTTCCTTCAAATCCTGCATCTTGGCAAAATGGAATCTTGTTCACTTGGCCTACTATCATGCGTACTAACTGGGTCGCCCGATTTGTATGTGCCCCAGTCGCAATCACGTCAACGGTTTTGCTTTGCCGTTGAATGCTGACATTGGAGCCGCAATTCGATTCGGTTCGCCCGTATCATGTACATACGCACCATACAAACCAGACACTCATTCAATAACATGGCCGCCATCCCTGCCAAGCAAGAATGGGCAATTGGCTGGAAGTTGAACTGTCCCTCTTATAGTATGTACATACATACATGAGTCGCAAAAAGTCGACGATGATTTGTCATGCTTGAGGTCGGCGCTGCTCCAGGGCAAAAACACGCAGTTTTTGCCCGTGGCTGCAACCAGCTGAGGCACTCATCTTTTTTAACGGTGTTGTTTCCTGCTTGATAGGACCCGAGACTCCGCGACTGGGTGGGAACCTAGTCTCGCCCGCGAGTGTGTCTGTGAATCTGCCTGAGCCGTCAACGTGCGCGTGGATGGCGCTTCGGGCGACGCATTCCGAGGCAGCGGGCGCGAAAGCTGCGCACGTCGGCAACCGGCAGGGTGGTGCTTGTTATTACGGATCGTTATGGATGATGGCAAGAGTAGAGAATGCAAACGATGTTGTCCCCGCGGTTGGAGACGCTGGCCACGGAGCATCGGCGCGCACACATGTACGATTCCAGGGTGGCCCGCTCGGCATGTCAAGTCGCAGAGTCTATGGTCTTTTCACCGGTATCATGCATGCCAGGCTGTGGCTAATATCCTCGCAATCCCCGGTGTTTTGTCGTTTCCGGTTCCAGGTTGTTGTCCTTGGGGGGCGGGAGGAACGAAAGCGTCAGGTCTGCCGCGCTGTGTATAGTGCGTATAGTCTGTGGTTACCGAGGCCTTGCTCTGACTTTTACCTAGTACGAGTTTGGTAGTTCTTTGGTTCACTTTCATAGAGTATGGAAGGCGTTGCCAAATCTACGCGTTATTCTGTGTTATGCATGGTCTGGTTCACTGAAAAGTCTGAAGCACTCTCCACCAAAGCCCCACGCTTGGACACTAGGTATCCGAGAATTTTATATTGTTTCCCCACGTCTCGCGAACCGTGGAAACTCTATCGGAGTAATTAAGCTTGGCTATTTGAGTCGCAGGGTTGTCAGGACTTTGGCTGGTCGGCAAACTAGCACTGTAGCTCGTGGGGAGGATGACGGGCGAAAACCGTAGCTTTTATTAGACAAAGGGTATGAAAGGATAAATTCCAGCATCTTGGGCATGTTGGTCCTTGGGCAAGTTTGGTATGTACTTAGTTTATGCATGTATCCTGCCACTGAGTTGACGTACTCTGGAGGAGGGCAAAGTATCAGCTTGGCTAATACAGGGTCGAACAGCGTGAAGACTGAACAAGAGAGCAATTCATTGACTTGCAATGACCCTCAAGATGTCCGACATATGTAGTTTCCAAAAAGGGTCCAAATTGGGTTGTTGACCAACATGTTATTCGCCCATTGGTCCAGCTTCAACTCATCAATGGCCACCATGTCGAGTCGAGTCAAAATAACCCACCCTATACTAGCAGCCCACTTGGAAGAGGCAGATCATGTCCAGACATTATTCTTGTAGTTTCTATATATACATGCTCCGCCTAGTTTTTAAATTTGTACAGTCTACGTGAATATGTTTGGCATACTCGCCTGGCAAATATATATGTTCCTAGTATACTAAAACACACGGTGCGATGGCTAATTACATGTTGGGTCAAATTACGTTTGCCTCGCACTGCATGTAAAAGTGTCACATGCATTCATCCGTCCAAACCACAGGGCAGCGTGTTCCTTACATGAATCTCGGCCATGAAGCTTGCCGTTCTTATTTAGCGAATCTACCACGCGAAATGGAAGCAAGCGGATGTTTCTAGATCAGGTCTCGTGAGTCAAGTCTGGTGTACTACTACCGTCCCCATGGTCTAGGGTAAGCTTCTCGCCACGCCAAGTCGATACCAGACTCACATCGTTCCACGCGCCAGGGTTGGCAGGGTCAAGGTCGTCAAGAGCGCGCCAAGCGGCAGCCTCGGCGAGTCTCGTGAGTCCTGTCCAGTCCTGGATGCCCGTTCCCATTCCATCCCTGGTCCTGGCGCTCGACATCGAGTTCGCCGCGAAATGCCAAGACCGCCGGAAGCCACGGTGTGGTTCCGGGAGAAACGCCGCCCAGGAGGCACCCAGCACCCGTCGACATGGGCACTCCCTCTCGTTCGCTGCTCGCGGCTCTCCGCCAAGCGTCTCTCGTCCCAAAGTGGCAAGTCGTCATGCACAGACGGTTGTTGCGAGTTTCATTTCCGACCTGTTGCCGTCGCGGCGCGGCTCCTGGTGGTCGATGCCGGAATCCTGCTGGCGGCGAGTGTCACGTGCGCTGCTCGTCGGCCAGCAAGAGACGTCGGGTTCTGCCGTCACATGGCCTTTGCGGCTGCTTTCCATGCTTGGTCATTGACGTCCGTTGCGCTGGTTCAATGGTTGCTGCCGTGGCGACGCCGTGTCTCACGCTCGCGAGCCTGCTGCGTGATCGCCGTGTCGTGCCTCTCTTTGCGTTGCCGCGATGCCTCACGAATTGGCAATCAACGGGGTATTATCCTGGCGGGAGTGTCTTGGCGGACTTGGCGTACGTACGGCAAGGTTCAGCTCGAATCGCTCAAAGTTTGTTGTTGCGTCGGGAGAAAATGAAGACGATTGAACGGACATTTACGCTGCTCGGCGGGCTTACGTGGCCGGCCTTGGGCTGCGACTCTCGAGCGGCCGACAGGGATCAATTGACCTGCAGAGTTCAATGGCACTACCATGTCCGTTAATAAAACCTTCATTCGGACCTGTCGTCCTTTTGACTTGACGGGCCAGGTGAGACTTTTCGACGCGTGGTTTCGAACTACTCTAGTCTCTGGGGGTCGCTCGGCCTCGGATGATCGACAACCGATGATCGGGTTTGCTGCCACATCGGAAAAATTCCTCCAGATGTCCAGTCGTCCCTTTCGAGTCCGTGGCCCCCGCCGGACCTGGTGTCGTCTCTTTTTTGGCCCGTTGTTGCTGCTTCAAGTGCTCCTTTGCTGCGTTTTATGCGCGTATGAAGCGGCGTCTTGGAAATCGACGGCAACATCGCACCGTGTCCGGCTGTACGATTCAATGTATCTGCAATAACATAGAATGACAACAATGCTGGGCAGGCACACATCATGTGTCGGTGATTTGGGGTGCACCTTTCTGAGCACGCGACACCAGCAGCCCGCCATCTCGCTGCGGCGGCGCCTAGCCAAACTTACCGCCCGTCAAACCACGCTGCCTTTTATGGGTGTAGAATTCGTCGTTGCATGCAATCCGTATTCCGGTCCAGTCTAGTCTCTTGGCAAACCGACTCTGTGCAGTCCCAACCCCAGATATATTGCACTGGAGCACTTGTGAGACAAATACTACCTAGGCCCTTGGGCCGTCCCCAAGTCATGGCAGTCGTCCAAGGGATACCATTGAGCCGAAACCATTCCCTTGACGCCAAGCGACGCCGTTGTTGGAACTCGTCTGGCGTCTTCTTGCGATGCCGCACTGGGCATTGGACGGGTAGACAGGCTGCATTCCTGGGACCGACGCCAAAGTGGCAGCTTGGGCGCGACTGCAAAGAACATTCATGGCATAAAGTTACAACATACATTGGTTGCCCAGCTTCACCCTGTCGCCGAGACACCCCATACTAGCTTGGCAGGAGGCATGTCCCCAGCACCTAGGTAGGTCAGTACATAAGGTTATTTCTCCCATTGGATCATACCCTGGAGGCAGTCCCCCGACCGTGTTCAGCTACGGAGCCGAATCGGCAGCGAGATAAACGTTCTTGGCTGTCACACAAACGGGGGCTGATCAGTGATGACGTGTGCAGATGAAGGGACAAGATATTCGCCTCGGGGTGGACCTTGAGGCGTCCTTGTCGCATGTTCAGTTGCTGCATCTGGCCTGCCCTTGCACCTTGGACCCTGGACCTTGATGCATCTGGTGCCTCAGTCTCGTTTTTTCAAAGTGCCCGTTTGCTCTCCGTGGATGCTGGGCCGGGAGTTGCCAACACGGTTGGGGGGAAAGACTCAACATCACGACTTGGCTCTTTTCCCATTCTGCCTCGGCCGTCCCCTTTTTGCTCCCGCACCCACGAGACCGCCTGCACAGCGCCCGCGAACGAGATCCCTTGGGACCCGTAGCATCCGGGTCGAGCGGCCAAAGATGGCTGACGCGGTGGCATGTGGCGGCCGCGAGCGTGGAAGAAGGTGCCGATTTCCGGTTTTCTCGTCTCCGCTCTCTTATTCCCTTGCTGGCTATTGGCGAGGCCGTGAGCCGTTGGCCAGATGGGGCAAGCGGAACGTCAGCCTCACCTGGTCTGGCCAACGCCCTGGTATTATCAGCTTCGCCGTGCGTCAAGAATAGCACACACCATGGCCACGCAACGTCTGTCTGTTCTTGGCGCCCCGGCTACCTTTGGGCGTCTCGATACCGCCGACAATCCGCTGTTGGCAGATGGCCTTTCTTGGCTGGCGGCGGCTACAAGTCGTGCACTCGTACGGCTTTTTCGCTGTCTGCCGCTTACTTCTTGCCCATGGCTCCTAGTTGTAAAGCGACATGTCACAAAGGACAGAGCAGAGTTCCCTGGCATCTGAAAGCCAGATGTGCTGTAAAAACCAGGGGCCAGGCCAGGACGCAGCGCCCAACTGGGAATCCGTCTCCCATGGATGGAAGGGAAGGCCCTGGCTGTAGTAGAGTTTGCAACAACAAATAGTACATGGTTCTCGAGAAGCCCACACATATCCGTTATGGAGCCCCGGGGCTCGCCAAGAAGTAAACTGAATAGCCAAAAGAGAACGCTATCGCCTCGTCGCGGTGCATGGCCAGCTCCCCTGAAACGCCGCATCGGACGAGCACGCGACCACGCCTCCATGCCCACGCCGTCCAGGACACCCCTGAGGGTAACCATAGCCTGCGATCTTGTTTGGAGCTTGACCCCATCCTTTTGTTACCAGTGCTCGGGTATCGGCTGGGCAAGCCATTCGCAGTGTGCTTGCGCGTCCCAAAAGTGAGCCATATGGTCAAAAGCGTCTGATGCCCTTGGTGACACCACCAGACCATGTTTTGTAAAAGGAGCAACTCCAGGAACAATATACGAGGGCGGAAACGTCTCCAAGGCCACGGCCCCATCTCGCATGTCCAGCATCATCTACACCATACTTGACCCTGCGCACCTATATACTCCCTCATAAGCCGGTTTCTACACCTCACCTGACCAAAACAACGCACCGCATACAATGAAGCATTGTCCAACGCTGTAGCACACCACGCACATCTACCGTCCGTTGCTGAAAATGGGGTCCAGCCGTGTGCTCCTCGCGCTGCGCCTCTGCTCGGCGGCATGCGTCGTCATGGTGCTGACCTCGGGCTACATCCTATTCCAGAGCCCCGTGTTCATCGAGGTCGCGGAGCCGTTCCCCATACCAACCCCCATACCGGCAGAGGGCATCGAGAGGAACGCGCACAAGAACCTCGGCTCCGGCTCTACCAAGTACTACTCGGAACCGGGGGGCAGCTACGAGCTTATGCACTACGACACGCGGTACTTCCAGAAGGAACTGGCGGCCGACGAGCGGCGCACCGTCCTGGAGGACCTCATCCGGAGCTACCTCAACGTCACGAACCACTACGAGATCGAGACGTGGCTGGCCCACGGCACGCTCATGGGCTGGTGGTGGGGAGGCCGCATCATGCCCTGGGACTCCGACATTGACGTGCAGCTCTCCTTCGAGACGCTGGACAGCATCGCCCCGGAGCTCAACTTCACCGAGTTCCGCTACGAGATGCGCCACGCCGACGGCCAGCTCGTCTCCAAGTCGTACCTGCTCGACATCAACCCCTACTACGGCGAGGTTGGCGTCGGCGACGGCAACAACGTCATCGACGCCCGCTGGATCGACACCCACAGCGGCATGTTCGTCGACATTACCGCCGTGCGGCGGCGGGACGACTCGGGGAAATGGAGCTGCAAGGACAGGCACACGTACGAGGGGGCGGAGCTGTGGCCGCTGATCGAGTCGGAGTTTGAGGGCGTCGCGGCCTTGGTTCCCGCCAAGCCGACGGCGCTTCTGCGCGCCGAGTACGGGCAGGAGAGTACGCAGAGGGAGGAATTCATGGGGTATGTCGTTGCGTCTTGAGACGGAAAACTTGTTACCTTGGATGTTTGCTAACGGTGCCGTGAATCTTGTAGACACCACTGGGACCATTCTAACAAGTCGTGGGTGCATGACCCGTGACGACTCGACTGGCATCTACGGAGCCTGCCGGGTGTACATATTGCATATATATCATGGAGCGTGGAATCGACGAGTGGCGGGTACGCATGGTCCTGGGGGGCGGGACGCGGAATAATGGGATTCGTGAAACTTGTAACATCATTGGCGACGTGGACTAGCGATTTCAAACAGCGAGGGGGCGAGTTTGTCAACATGACATGGGAACATTTTGGTTGGCGGTGCAGGCTATCTGGTGAACAGTCTGTTGGGATGCATAAGGACAGCATGTACTGCATGTGCAAGACGTGGTGATATTTACTAAGCATTAGATTTTTTTGTGTACATAACTAGAGGAAAGGGCGAGAGCGACGGGCTCTGTCTCTTTTATGCATACGCTGCTGTACTCTATTTCAATATGGGCCCTGGCTCTGATGAAGTGACTGCTGCCCTGTTTGACTACACACCGGCTCTGGAGAAACAAATGAAAGATGGCGAGGAAGCAAGAGGCTCACTGCAGTATAAGCACCATTGTAGCCAAGACCAGCAGGAGTAGATATTCATCCCGGCTTCTGAGTAGCTGCTTCGACAGGGCATAGGGACAATGTGGCGGTATCAAATGTAAGGCCCAAAAAGTGCCCGGGGGGATTACATAGATCCCGGGGGGAAGGATACACATCATGAGCTTTGTAAACTTGTCCTACGCTGTGTCAGTGCATTCTCGAAACGTCGCTGCGCATGGCGTATTCTTACTCTCGTCACAGAGACACGTGCTGTCTGTTATACCGCAGCGGGAGAAGTCGCTGCAGAAGCACCAGTACGTTAGACATGTCCAGGGCAGGTGAATCAAGAGTATAAGGCACGTACTAAGGACGACAGTTATCTCTTTGCGCGTTGAGCAAACCAATATCTGGGGCCGTCGTCCCTTGGCTCCCATTTATGTCGGTGGAAGAAAGGGATTGTGGTCTGGCCGAGGATCTTGGACACAGGAAAATGGCGGCGAAATGACAAGCTTTCATGCTTGGAGTGACCTAACCAATGTGCCTTTTGTATTTATAGATGCTCGAGTTTGGCTTGCGCGATCAAATTTACTTCCGGCGCACATGGGGAGGATATTGGCGATGGACCAGACGTGCGCGGCATCACGGGGGAACAGCAAGCTCATTTATAAAACAACATTGAAGCCTCCAAATGCCTGAAAGCAAGCGAGCAAGCGACGCCAGGAAACACCACGTAATTAAGCATCCGACGTATCATTTTTACATTCAAAGGAAGAGGGGGAAAAACCCTCGCCCTGCCGAAGCAGTGAACTTCCAGACATGAAAAGAAACGCCCTCGTCGCGAATTTCGACGACCCGTCGGCGACGCAGTTTCAACGTGCAACATGAGGTACGCCGAAACATTGAACCGACATTTATATCCACAGCCGCACATGCGGTGGAAAAACGGCCTGCGTCTGCGCCCACGGATCAGCGGCCCGTCTTTGTCGTCGACGGCGCGTCGTCAGAGGCATGGAGCCGTGAAACATGGGCGCGTCAGAGGCGCCGACGCCGCACGGCAGACGGAGAAAGAAGACGACATCTGGAAGAAAAGGCCTGAAGGGCCAGACAATCGCCCCCGACGTGCGGCGTCTTGTGTTGCTGGCCGCTACAATGCGCGACAAACACGGCGGGTGGCTGGTCTGACCACACGGGGCGGACTGGCCATTGTGCGAAGACCGCGCGTGTTTAGGGGACAATGAGCGCTGTTTGAGGAGGATTTGGTGCCGCTGGCTTCAATCTTCTTTGTTGCGCCTCCTGCTGACCGCATGGCTGTCGCTGCGAGCATGTGGCTCTTTGGACGGCCATCTGCTGCCTTTGTAGCCCTGTACAATGGTGTAGCAAACTGCTGCCGGAGCGGGTGGAAGAAAGGCATGGGTGAAAGGTACCAGGTGTATAAATATATTGATGCAGGTCGAGTTTCGTGCTTGTCTGCATACTCGAGCTTGTTTCTTCATCATCACCCACGACACCCACGGGCCACGACACGTATACCAACATTGAAGACCAAACTGCACCAAGCTCCAACGATGAAGACGGCCATCTTTTCTCGCTTTTTACTATCCGGGCTTGCCATCTCGGCTGCGTCTGCGGCGCCGGGCGAACTAGCCGATCGAGAAGACCTCAGCAAGTGCTGGATAATGCAAACCCCGGAGGCATGCAATTTTTCTGACTTTTCCGAAAGTTGCCTGTGTGGTTATAATGGTAAAGAGACTCCTTATCAATCACATCAATAAACACCGCTAACTACCTCAAGAACCCTACCGCGTGTACGCGTTAAACGCAGCGGGGAAATGCACTCCCCCAGGAGGCCCTACTGAGTTCGCTTTGCACTTGACGCCCAGTTTGGCTTGTCCTGTTAAAACGCCATTATGAGTCCCCTGGTTTCACAAAGGGATTATAACGGGACGCAACTACCGACGGGACCATGCATTCCGCAGGCTGTTTGCGCTCGTGTTACTTGGGTCGGTGGAAGCAGGCTCCTCGGGCTTATACTCTGTCGTGCAACCTGCGTCAAGGTTGCCGCATGACGGACCTCTACGACATTATTAGATATGTGAGAGAATAGAGGAAACTTTGAAAGATGGGGGAAGAATCCTTCTATTGGCTTTATGATGCAACTGCTACACACTAGGTCCGTACTGGCATCCCTAATAAGACACTCTTTTTCGGCAGCTGCGGATGAATAATGACAATGGCTTTGTGAATGTCATGATTTTGCCGCCAATCACGAGGCCACTGTATTGTAAAGTTGAGACATTTTAAAGACGCGGCGTTTATTTCAACTTTGGTCTCCAAATACGCCACGTGGTAGTAGATTAACCTCTCCATAAGCACAAGGCTTGCATGAGAGTAAAGAGTAGAAAAAGAAAAAAGGCACGTGGTAGAGGAACCCCGTCTTGCATGTGCCGTGTACTTTATGCCGACGTATGCCAACTTCTGTACGCGTGTTGAGCTGCATGTGGATGTGTGTGAGGAAGAATGCCCAACTAACTCATCCCATTGTTCAGGGCTACATTAGCTTTACGCGCTGCCAAAGTCAGGTTTGTAACTTCCAAAATACACATTTGTTTTATTGTGGATGTGATTGAGCCGCATATGCACCATCTCCTTGCGATGGGGACGCCGTGTCGTTCCATGAGGCATAGGTCTATCCATGCCTTCGATTACTCCGCGATACATCTATAATCTCCACTTCCAGTTCATCGTCGACAGGGTGAGGAGTCAAGGGATTCAGCATAGCAGAACATTTTAATGTAATTTTATTTTACTGCAGATCCGTTCAATTACGCCAATGGACGCATCTTGGAGAAATCTCACCGAGCGTGGCAGCTAAAAGTTCCCTCCTCCCGAGCGATCATGGCTCGCCCCCAAATATTATCTTGACCATGACCCCTCCTACAAGTATCCAAATTACACCCGCATAGACGCCTGTAACTCGTACAACGCTAAAGGGAACCAATTGTCGATATTCCTCAGATGACTGGCGTGAGGCCAAAAGGTAAGGCGGTGATGTCACAGACATTCAGGTGATAACCCACACAAAGCCCAACGTTCGTTGCCAAAGGTTAGTATGTAGATTCGGCTGATGAGTTTGTCTGGAAGCATGCAGTCTCTTCCAAGCCTCCTGGATACCATCTTCAGCCATGAACCCTAGCGTGAACAGAGGGAAAAAAGTCATGGCCCCGGATTCACTAGGTAGCACGCCCTGCACAGAATCCACCATGACGTGCAAAAGACCCGACAAAAGAAACACAAAAATGTGTTGAGGTACCGCTCCACAGGAGATGGTGAGGAAGTCTGATCAAATCTCTCGCAAGGTAATTAGCCCTAGATGTGAACGGCCATCGCAGGAACTGGTGCCAGAACTTGCTGAATTCGCAAAGAACCATTATAATCATAACAAAAACCACGGTAGAACCACATTTACGACATGATGGTATATCAAGCGTCCGAATGGCAGTATAGCCAGGAGAGGAATGTACCCCCAAAAGTTGCGCAGCGTAAATGCCATCCACATGCTTCCGAATAAAGGGGGCTAATCTTCAGGTGGTGAGCCCCCGAGTCCAACGGCAACCAAGGCAGCAGCTCGATAACTCGCATCGATAAGCACCCTAGCCACCACAAACCACGAGAACAAGGCCATGAAAACATATCGCGGCCATTCTACCGCCCTGACCTCCCGGTAGTCAAACCGCGTCGAAGGGGCCGACGACGATTCGTCCCAAGTCGCAACAATATACAAGACGTCCAGAAAAACGTACTGCCAGGCGAAAATGACCGCTTGTTGAAGAAGAAACGCTGACTTGGGAATTCGAAGCTTTGCCTAAGCGGCAAGAACCTTGGGGTGTTGTGGAATATTCTTGATAACCCATGGGGTACCGATACCTCGCGAAGCAATAAAGAGTCGAGAAGCGACAGATCCTGGCGAGGCCGCTGGACTGGCTTGGAAAGAGTCCCACCCGCAAAGATGGCCTTCATCTACGGGGCTCAAGATGAGGAGGTTTACGGCCTGGAGACTGGCGACAAAGATCTGCATTGCAGCGTTTGAACGTTGAATGGCAATGCTGAGGTGCCTCTTGACAAGAGAAAAAACCGGTACGTCAGCCACAGCGAGCAGGGAATCCATAGGTGACGCAGACGGGAGCCCTTGGGAGTCGTGAGAGCAGGAGGCCGGGGACGGCAGGTTGCGCTATACAGAAGCCGACAACTGAGACAAAAAGTCTAGGCTTCTCCATTTACTTTCCTGTTGAGGTTGAGCGTACTGGGGTTCTTATTTCAGACAGCATGCTTGATGTCCAGGTTTCCCAAAAAGAAGTGCTCAGCAGACATGGCCGGCGGCATGCCCGAGTTGACGCTGGATGTCATATTGCGCGAGAAGAGTTTGCCCAGAAGGGCTCTTATCTGCTGCTGGTGGATGTAAGTACTCTCTGGATAATACTTACCGATCGGTGCGCGGGCTTTCGGACTGCCTCAACTGCCTCGCAAGGTAGGATCCAGGCTGCAGCCGGCTTATAACGGCTTGAACCAGCCATGACAAGATAGATGCGCCAGGTCAGGCGTCTCATGGCAGGTACTTGAGCGACCACACCCTCGCTGTATCTAGCTCTATATCTGAACATTGAACTAAAGAGCGGAACAAGTCACGCTGCAGATGGCAGCTGATGTGGTAGCACCTAGATGCATCCCTGCCACTGCGGACCTTTCGAGGCCGTCACACATATTCCCAAGAGAGGCGACGGGGTCAGTTACATTACCCGGAAGGGCGCATTGTACGGTATCGGGTTTGGCAACGAGTCCGGCAGTGCTGCCACGCACGCCGGGAACTCGGTATCACGGCACGGGTCGAGCCCGCATGCTACAATACACACGAGTCAGGAAGACTTCATCGAGACAAAATTGGGCGAAATCAAGTTGAAAATACCAGTCTCGGAGGAAACTACACTGCAGGAGTGTGGGCCACGCGGCCGCACAGGACACACACTCTCCGAGTCCTCTTCATCACCTGCTGATGGACTTGTCAGAACGACTCTGAGCTCGTTTGACAAAGCCTGCTATTATGACTAGACTCTCGGACATTGATATGGCCGTTTTTAGTATGCGGATGCCGAGGATAAAATGAGCCTTGTCGAATCAGAAACCTACGCTGCAAGAAGTCTGGTGTTCAATGGCCAACGCAGAATGCGGACATAGATGCATAGATGGCCTGCGGCGCCATGTCACAGTTGCAATTGACACGCGTGTCAGTCTTTGATTGAGTCCATCAGACGCATGTAACCCACATGCATCATCTTGTCGTCGAGAGCCTTGCATGTGACGGCACGGAGCAAAGAAACGTTCACCCTCTGGAGCGTTGCAGCACGTTTCACCACCGCTTAGTATTTTAGTTTGACATCACGGACAAGCGCACAAGGCAAACTTGAATCTTGACAAGTCGGCTCATTGTACTCGTTTTGCAGTAGCATTGCTAGGAGTCCATCTGACATTGTAGACATCTCAATGTAAAAGGTTGGTACATTGTTAAGATGCCTAGATGAGAGACTGATTCGGTTCCAGAATACGACGAAACAGCTTGTCAAGCATTATTTGCCAGCCAACTCCCCCGCATCAGCACCGCTCCCACGGTATCCCAAAAGATTTTGTTTCTGTACCAACAGCAGCAATGACGGTGCTGTATTGGCTGCTGATTCCGGTCCTTGGCTTCCTTGTCGGCTTTGCGCTCGACTACGTGTTCCTAGTAAAGTATCCCGCCGAAATACCCACCATCAGATACAGCCGTGGTTTTTGGTCCCATGTCAGGAGCAATATTGGTTACTTTACTAGCCAGAAAAGATGGATCCGAGATGGATACAACGAGGTAGAAACATGTCTCTTCCACAGTCTTATACATGGCAGCGCGATCAAGGACAAGACCATCTGCTAACCGAGACATGCATCGACAGTACAACAAAAAGGGCCTGCCATTTCTTGTTCCGTCGGGCTTCTCACGGCCTTACGACGTCGTGCTGCCTCGGACCATGCTCACATGGCTTCGTGACCAACCCGAAAGTGTCGTGGACGCGCGATTGGCCCATAACGTCAGTGCTTACGGCGACTACAATTTCCTAGACTCAGAGATTATTCGATCACCCTTTGGCATGCGGGCCGTTCAAAAATCGATGAACCGCAGTTTGCCAGGTCTTGTCTCTGCCATGGATAAAGAGGTCCAGCATGCTGTTGATTTGGCCCTCAAGGATGTTGGTAATGACTGGACGAGCATCAACCTCTGGGGCATGTGGCAGGCCATTGTGCTCTTCGTGACCAACAGGATGCTTGTCGGCTCTACCCTTTGTCGCGACGAACGGTTCCTCAACGCCATGGTTTCGTTTACACATGCCGTAATGCGAAACTGCGTCCTGCTGCGCTTCGTGCCGCTCATTCTGCACCCTATTCTGGGCCGAATGCTGGCAATATCCAACTGGGTCCATTGGCGACGGGCATACTGTAGAGTTGGACCTGTAATAAAGACTCGGATTGACTCCATGAGCCGCAAAGCCAAAGGGGACCCGGAGCTGCAGAACTGGTCCCCCCCCGAAGATTACATCACTTGGCTGGTTCGCTTGGCCCTGGAGGAAAACCGCGACCAAGAGCTGGATCCGATAGTCATCTCAAAACGCCTGCTGCCTATAGAGTTCGCAGCCATCGACACGACCGTCATCACGGGTGTCTTGTGGATCCAAGACCTGCTCAAGACACCGTCCGCAGTTGAAGATCTGACCGCCGAACTGCGTGCTCACCAGCCGGCCCCTGGCGAATCTTGGTCTGCCAAGGCGTTGCAATCACTGCTTCAGGTCGACTCATCCATCCGTGAGTCGCAGCGTCTTAGCAACTTCCATTTAACACTTGTGGAACGCGTCGTCGTGGCATCGGACGGCTTGTGCCTACCCGGCCTTGGTTGGAAGATACCAAAGGGCGCCCATCTTACCGTGAATGCGGACGGCAGCCATCATGACGGTGATTTATACCATGACCCCTACACGTACGATGCGCTGCGCTTCTCAACAATGCGCAAGGAGCGTGGGGAGCATCACAACGCCAGCAATGACGCGGCAAAACCTCTGGGTATGGTGACAATGAACGACCACCACTTTCCATTTGGCCATGGCAAGCATGCATGGTAAGCATTGAATTCCCCGTCTGCCAGAAGAATGTCTAGTACGGCAAGCAAGCTAATTCCAATCCAAATCTCTAGTCCCGGTCGCTTCTTTGTCGCGCACGAGATGAAGCTTATAGCGGCGCATTTGCTATTGAACTTTGACCTGAAGATGGAGGACAGTACTTCAAATCGGCTATGGGTTGGCCCTGGTATGATGCCGCCTTTTGGTGGCCGCATCAAAGTACGGAGGAAGTCGTCCTCGCGGGGCTAGATGGCCAGACTGGAGGAACCGCGGAGCTGAGACGTCACTGTCTTGTAATATTTATAGGGCATAGAGAGAGCAAAATCAGGTAGGCGTCCTTGGCCTACGCGTTGGTCTCTTATGACGTCGCGGAAGCTCTGGCGAAGGTGCCGAAGGCCGCTGACGTACTCGCTGTCACTCATGTTGTCTTCCAGCGCGCTCTCAAATGAGCTTTGACTTGGCTTATCTAGAAGTCAGACTTTAGCACAATAGTACACAAGAATCAGGTAAACGGCATCTTACTATATGGAAGTTCTAGCTCAGCATGTTTCTTATTGAAATCGACCAAATCCTGGAGTGTACGGGGCCCGGTATTGTTAAATAGAGCAAGAAAGCGTTTGAAGCCAAACGGTAGCTCACGGTCTGAACCATTTAGTCAACGCCCCTTTGTGCAAATGAGATGCCTACTATAAAGGGTCAATCCACACCGGAACTGTGCCGTAATTTTCCATAATCTTGTCCGCCATCAACAACTTTGCGTTGTAACAAACCTTTGCACCTTGGCCCTGGGCTGTTTTCAAGGCATTCATCATGGCGATTTCCTTAAGCACTCGTGTACTGTGCCTGAACTCTGTCAATCCATACGTGCTCATCGTCACTCGCGTTTGATCGCATATCCAATCCGCAAATTACCAAGTCTTGTAGTCCAGATATACAATGCGAATTCCCTCTCACGATTTGGTCAAGTGTGAGCGGAAATCCCTTCCTAGAAGAAGCACGTTCATGACGTGGGCGCAACCCTGAACAGACTTGGCCAACGGTCCAGCCCTGTCGAAACCCATGCCCCCAGACAAGGTTCCCTTCATGTCGATAGCCCCCACGGAACCCTTCATGCTGTACAAAGCAGCACGAATTGCCGACTGCACGATTGACCCGTCCGACTAACTGCCGATGCTAAAGGCGGAGAATCCTGCTGCGGTGCCGACAGCAGAACCCGACGAGGAGCCACCAGGCGTCTACAAGATACCGGGTCAGCAGACGCTGAAGATTGACGAGATTCTCGGCTTACGCTACAGCCCAGACATTTGTCGTTGGGGTCAACACCCCCCCGGACGTACGGTGTTTGAGTCTGCGGACCATTAGCTTATCAAGAACCAGGTGGTTCCGTCATCTCAGTCTCACCTGGCCGCCAACAGCAGACCAACCTGAGGTGAGATTTGCACCCCTACAATTCGCCCATTCCTACACCATGTCAGTATCGCCTTGACCCATAGTGAACTCACGGAGGAATTGATGGCGTACGGAAAGATTTGCTAGGGCAAGTGCGATGCAGCCAGCGTCTCTGAGTGAGGTCGCAACCGCCGCGTCTTCAAAAGCATGGAGGCCGTTCAACGCAAACGATCCACAAGTCGTCCCCAGACCAAAAGACGGAGTCAGAAAAAACTCCTTTCCCGTCAAGTTGGCACGTCAAATCAGCACTTTCGGCGGTGGCCAGAGAACAGTTATCAAACCTGTAAAGTGACGGGGATTCCATGGAGTGGCGACCTGGCACCGGGTTTCCGCCGTTCCAGGTCCAAGGCCCTGGCTTCTTCGAGAAGGATTTGAATTTGAACTGGTGCCGTCGTTGTGATGGCATGCAATTTCATGCCAGTGTGGTTGTGCCTGGCGATCTGAGCGAGATAAAGCTGGACCAACTCTACACTGGTACATTTTCCGCAGCCAAGCAGTTAGCGTAGGTCGCCCGCTGTGGCTGCAAGTATGTCGAGCGACGGCTCTGGAGTTTGTTGAAGCGTAGCCATGGGTGCAAACGCGGGTCTCGACGTAAAGAGAGGGAGAAATGATGTGGCCAATCTCGCCCAAAAGAAAACCGTTCGCTGGGGAAGATGGAAAATTTGGGTGAAAAGGGCCTGGCTTTAAAAGGAAAGAACAACGGAGAATTTTGCAGGAGGCCATGTTGGGGCATGGACCCTCTCAGAAAGGGTCAATGGTGGCACGATGAGCACGACCTAGTTGGAGGTCCCTGTTGTACTTTACCGTCGACGCTTAAAGTAATTAAAGCTATTATAAAGTAGCGTTTATTAATACGCGCGGTAATAAATTACTATCTGGGCTAGTATATTTAATGTTTCGCGAAGTGTTTGATGTTTTTCTCGCGCTATATTCCGCTCTTACAACCTAGTATAAGCTAGTTATAGTATTACTAACAGTTTTATATAGCCATTAACCTTTTTATTTTTTTAATAACTTAATATTTAAGAGCACTAATTAATCCGGGTTTATATATAGGGCTAATATTATATGTAAATTATACTCTTATATTTACTACCCGTATGTACTACTTGAAGCTCTGCTTTGTAATTCAAAGTAAAAAAAAATATAATAGCTTCTAGATTTCTTCATCTCCAGAGAGATAGATACGAGTTAGTCCGGCCGCACCGCATTTATTAAAGACAGCACTGTTGACAATCAACTCGGATCAGACCGGGTCGCGGGTCGCGGGTCGCCGTGACACCACGCAAAGGAAGGATATCGCATTATCCGAGGATACTCGTGTAACCATACCCCAACATGAATAATCTGGTAATCTGGAGCGGGGTCTTATCTGCCAGATCTCTAATTCCAGGATCACTGGCCTCCCTCGAATGGATCTTGATCGCCGGCTGCCTCTGCTATAAGAACAGCTCGATTAATCCTAAGCTTCAACTTTTCAACTTGTTACCATTATTGAAATTATGTTACCCCAGCTACAGGTTTCGCACCCCCGTAATGAGCCGCGACCGACTGCTCTCCTGAACCATGACGTAAAGCCAATTGAAGAGGCCAGAAGAAATTGGAGTGCGTTACCACGTCTCTTATCCTTTTTCCAGCTTAAAATTGACCATGACCAGCGTGGACAGCGTTCCTTGCCCTGACAACGACCATGTCTTTCAACATGTCCAACTTTCAAGCCGTAAGATTGAGACGTTTCCCCTTGAGTACTTGGTGCTAATTTTGCCGTATCTCAGGGATCCAGTATGCTATCAATCGGACTAAACTGGTGGCAGGCATTGATCACGCTCTTCTGTGGCCATGTAATAGTGGCACTACTTACCATGGCCATCGGTTTCCCAGGACTCTACCATCACATCTCCTTTCCAGTCGCCACCAGAATAGCTTGGGGCTTCTACGGGTCCATCTTTGTGGTACTGAACCGTATTATCCTGTCGATTGTATGGTGCGGTGTTCAGTCGTGGCAAGGCGGACTCATGACGTACGTCTGCCTTCGCGCCATTTGGCCAGGTATAGACAATCTTCACAACACGGTTCCAGAAAAGACTGGTATGAACCTGCAGCAATTTATTGGGTTTGTTGTTTATTTCGTCATCCAGCTGCCGTTTGTGTTTCTTAACCCTTCACGGCTGAGATACCTCACATATATCGGGAGTGTATCCGGGTGCATAGTCCAGGTCATCCTTGCTGGCTGGGCCTGCGCTACAATGGGCTCTGGCGGCTTTGGAGATGTCATGGCTGACGAAGCATCTCCTCTTGTCGGTTCACAGGTGCCATGGGTGGGTGTGTACTCAATCAGTGTCACCATTTCCTGCATGATCGCTGGAGCACTCAGCACTTGCGATTATACGCGTTTCGCAAAACGTCCCGCCTCGGCTCTGTGTCCACAAGCCGTTGGGTTTGCTCCGGCATGGGTGTCTAATGTCCTGGGCATCCTGACCGTGGCTGCTACACAGCAACGATACGGCGACAGATTATGGAGCGTGGCCCAGCTGCTTACTGCCATGCAGAGTACGAATCCTGCGACCAAGACTCGCGTTGCTGTATTTTTTGCTGCTTTCGGCTTCTTTCTATCACAAGTTTCGCTAAATGTGATGGGCAATACGTTTTCTGGCGGCACTGACATTGCATCCCTACTACCAAAGTATATCAATATTCGGCGTGGGCAGCTCCTTACGGTTTTCCTCGGTCTCGTCATTAATCCCTGGTACCTACTTAGTGGTGCTACTATTTTCGTATCCGTCATGTCGGCGTATGCAGTCTTCTTGCAACCCTTCATTGGCATTCTGCTAGCGCATTATTTTGTCGTGCAGAAGAGGCGTATAAAAGTGTCAGATTTGTATACTCTGGATTCTCAGGGAATTTATTGGTATACTTGCGGCGTCAATTGGCGATCAGTAGTTGCGGTATGTGCACACCTAGTCCCACGAGAAAGGAGTCAATCATATTAACATACCAGCGAGTGGGTTGCTGCTGTTGCACCGCACATACCGGGTTTCCTTATGACAGTCAACCCGTCAATTCAAGTTTCAACAGGAGTACTGCAGTTGTACTACCTGTCTTCCATGACAGGTTTCTTGATAGGTCAAAACTCCCTGCCTCCGCACGCTAAAGTCATCTCTAACTAGAACGTCTAGCATTTTCCCTTACGGTTGTTTTGCACTCAATATTCCCAGTAAAGGCTCAATCCATGTACATTTATTCATCTACATTTGGTTCTACAAGAGAAGAAGTTGAGGATTATATCAAACAATATGAGCGTTAGTGTTCGACTTCGAACACCGGTATGATGCCAAAAACATTCCCCGAAGCAGAACCTTGAGAAAAAGAAATAAAAGTTCACGCATGAGGATTGAAGCTCGAACGACGCTCAACCTTACAAAGTTGGCCAAGCAACAATTTAAGCAGTCTCTATCCCATCATACTCAGCAGTGAGATTTTATACTTGGCAGTGTCTAGAGTCCTAGACAAGTCTTTACTGTGAATAAGCCTATAATACCCCCTGCTCGTGACACAGAACGATTGTATGGCACAGTCCGGATAAAATGAAAGGTTCTTGATTTACTACATAAGGAGTGCAATAATACGAAACTAAATACTTGTTGTAATAGTGTTGCCAGGTAGGCAGCAGTATCGCGATGGCTGTTGCCCCGAAGGAGCGACTTGACTTTGACATACTCTTTGACTGAAAAGTGGGCAAGATGTAGCTCTTAATCGGTGGCGTCAACGACTGTCACTAAGCTGGGACAATAGTCTAAAACACCCGTCTCACGAAATAACCGACGCCTGGCGTTATACCCTCGTGGCTCGTGTTTAACCCGTGTTGCTATTACTTTTTAGACCTTGGCCAGCATCAGAGGTAGCTTCAAGTACGCTAAAAACTACAGAAACCGCATCGCATTGGTTTTAAGCTCTATTAGTATGCGTTTGACCTTGCGTTGGCATGTCTCTTCTAGGTTCCGCGGCAGATGCAGAAACTTCCTCGATAGCCGCTTTGTTAGGACATCAAGCCAGCCTATCTAATCGACGGAATGTCCACCTGAAACTAAGCAGAGCGTCAGCAAGCCATCGGTATATCAATCAAAGCAGTACTATCTCACACAACAGCTCCCCTTTACCCCGATCCCTAACTTGCGGGTGACTGTGGAAATGCAAGAGACATTGTCGCTTATTACCGCGTTTACTTAGCCGTGTGCTGAGCATGTCCGACTTCCTCATCAAATCCGGCCTAAGTCAACTCAAAACTGTGTGACATTTTGTTGCCCAGAATATTTCTTCGTTGCTCCCAGCATCTGATGCCAAAGAGTTCTGGTTGAGAAATCCACGGTCCTTGAGATTTCCTGCTTGGCACTGCGACTGGTCCATGCATTTGGGCGACTCATTTGTTGTCTTTGGTGTCCAGTACGCATATCACAGGGTAAGAGCGTGTGCCTTGTTGCCTCAATGTTTTGTTCAAGTGCTTGCCATTTTACATTAAACTTGGCCAACCACGTCGTCATACGACCTAATGCTTGGTTGCACAGACACATGAGAACTTTGACGCGTCTGCTGGGGATTAGTGGAGGTATTATTATTACTACTAATAATTAATATTTATCCTTCTCTCTACTCGCTCAATCGTTGCTTTTATTAGGAAGATACAAATGGTATCTAATACTCCCACAGTTACCTTGCTTTGCTATAGGAACTCTACCCACCACTCGATATGAAGGCCACAAAGATTGCTTGAGGATTCTGCCGTGAATCTCCTCGAAAAATCTTGACCCTGGTCGTTTACAATAACAACTCCACGAGCATGCTTTGGCCATCTCGACAAACATGGCATGGAATCAAGTAGATAGGCCATGTGAGCTACGACGACTGACTGGAGAATTCTAGACCTTGTGCAATCATTTCCAGCGGGATGTTTTTCTCCAGGATGAAGTTGACAGCATGCGAGCTCCATGATGTGGATACCAGGATCTGTTGTACCCGGCGGGCCGTCCCGGTCAGCCGGCCGGGCTATGATCCACATTCGGCCGCAGATTTCCTATTGTAGCTCGTGATGATACGTCGTCAGCCACACATTCTTCCATTTAGAACAAGTACGGGGTATCAAGTAGTATCCTGTTCCGAATTATTCGGCAGGACTTATGGCTCCGCGGCTCAATCGCAGCTTTAAGGGAGGCACGAACGTGGCTACGCTCTTATTGCGCATAAAGCGTCCGTAGAGCGTCCAAAAATTGCTAGGCATTCTGCCCAGCTCGTATAACTCGAATGGCGGCGTAACTCTTCGAGGCTGAGAGAAATGCCACCTGGGGGCTTCGTCTGTGTCAGCCACTGGCAATCTAAGGGGCGGCGACATCCGCAGATTTGTCAACACGCTGGCATCAGCCCCCAGGCCAAAGCCATGTCTCCTTTTAACCTCGCCCACTAAATGCAATAGCCTGGGGCTGTGTGACTAGAGAAGTAGGCACACAGGGCTGAGCCAGCCCAGGTGAGCCATCATAATGTATTAATAGCCTCTTCAGCCGAGTGTGTCAGAACGGGTTCGAGGCCTTGCCGGAGTTGGTGGCGCACCCAACGTGCGATTCCGACGCCTAGCATTGGACACTGTGCGCAGGCCATTGAAGAATATTGATTTCAGCTCCGTTCAGGTCTGCGCAGGTCAGAACTTCACTGGAAACCATCCAGCATTCGTTGCGGGCGCCATGCTGCTGATCGCAGTCGGGATGGACGCGTCGCCGTGGAAATCGCGTGCAGCCAAGTTATTAAATGCATGCTCCGCTCCGGCGTGAAGCATCTCGAGCACCCTGATAGTCCAAAGAGCGAATCACGCACGTGCGACAGTAGACATTCCTGCCGTGCCCTTCGAGAACCCTTGCCCGCCATGCCGACAGACAAGGAGAGTCGTTCGAATCTACGCCGACTCCGTAGTCGCCCGGTATGCATCATCTGCGGCCGACCGGCAGAAGCACAGCAGATTGCGCGGGCTCTTGGCATCGACGACGAAAAGCACCGGCTCAGCGGCCATGACGTGTCCATGGTAAGAGACGGCCACACATTCCACTTGGGCGAATTCAAACTACCGTCCGGGGATATCCTGAAGTACTACATTACGAGTTCCTTGCGCCAGGGAATCCAGTCCTTTGCCGTCAGCGCGGCCATACTCTTCAACACGCTTTCTCCTCGGTTTGTATTGCACGCGGGCGTCTGCGCCGGCTTCGACGACCCCACGGGGAAATTGGGGCTGGCGCTGCGCGATGTAGTATTTGGCGAAGCGGCCATCAACTATGAAGAGGGCAAGTGGGAGGCGCAAGGACCCGGCGGCAATGCGGTATTCCTGCCGGACTACAAACCGGTCGCTGTCGAGGCCGGAGACATGCAGGGGTTTACCAAGTCGCACAAACGGCACGGTATTCGTTACGGCGAGTACATATCCGGGTCTTCGGTCCGAGGCGACGCCGCGCAGGTATTTGAGAAGATTCGATCGTCGGTGGGTAGATGTGCTCATTCATTTACATGTTGGACGAAGCCTGATTCATAGACTAGGTTGGCCGAAACGCCATCGCCCTCGACATGGAAGCGAGCGCGTTCATCCAGCTCTGCAAACATTTCGAGCCAAAGGGTCCCATTTGCCTAGGTGTGGTGAAGGGAATCTCTGATTTTGGGGATTCCAAGAAAGGGGAAGACACGTCTGCCGACTCTGACGCCCTGAACAATACGGCCGTTGCCATAAAGGATTGGCTCACTCATAGAATTCCCAACACGAGGTGGGAAGTTGATGAGAGTACGTGTCGGAGAATTGTCATGGGGTACGTTGATGGAAATGCCAGGACTGCCACTGACTTGTACATGTAGGCGATGAACCTGGTGCCAAGTTAGTGTCCGGGTATTACGAGAACTTTGTCCGCCGTGTGATAGACAATTACCTGGAAGGGCTACCGATTGCGTATAGACACCGGCCCGAGGTTGCGGTACGTTTGAAAATGCCTTCCTGACACGAGATACCACTAAATGTTGGCAAAGATACCTGCCAGCGAGATCAAGGGCTTCATTTCGGTGCTACCGAAAGACCAAGACCCACAGTTTGTCAAGGAAATCGGCCAGATCCAACGGACAATATTGGAATATGGTGTAGAGGAGATCAACATTGGAACTGTAAGCGTCCTTTCGGGCATTTGTTTCCTGACGAGCACCGCTGACAGAAAGAAAGAATGCTGCCCAGCGATACGTTCATTACAAGGGAGGGTTCTTCCTTGACTGGTGCCGCACCGTAAATAGTCTTGTTGACGAGGAAGACGCCGAGTATCAAGTTGGCGTCTTTGGGAGAACCTTGCGAAAGCAGGCGTATTACAAGCAGGCTGAAGCCAAGGGTCCTCTGGCGCAGGTTCTTCCATGGGAAGAGGCGATGCACTTGCTAACCGACCTGAAGAATGACACGCGGAGCATTCCTCGGCCAGATGTAGAACTTGTTGGAAAGAGATATGAAGAAACATTGCCCCGGGCTAAAACACCGAGAGGCTCTGCTATGACAAAGACGGAGCGAAAGTCGTCGGTCTCTCAGCTATTCGCGTTTGGAAGATTTCGTCGACACCATAAGCCTAGTGGCAAGGAACAGGAGGCAGCAGTGAGCCCTCTTCCAGTAGTTGGCTGCAAATGAACTTGATCTGATTTATTTTGACGCGTTTTGTAGAATAAAGGGAAACATTGGATGGTTAATAGGTGGTGTATTTAGTATAGTATGGATGTAAGACCAGCGGTTCGAACAGCAGCAAGTCCTCTTTGATCAGTACGGAAATAGAAGAACATCCAAACTTGCCTCTCGGATCTTTCACGTCAATTTACCTGCGACTTTTCACGATTTCTTCTGCTATGTATATGCGAGCATGTTCACAGAGTAAATCCCCGAGACCAAAGGTGGTTGCACGGGCTGCCAACAGAGCATTGAGCTGACACGAATGTGGAGAATGGGGAAGCACCAAAAGGGGCAGGCTGAAAATTGTGGCGTTTGATAGTGTCAGCTCGTCACTTTTATTGTTGTGGTTGTGAAACATATCAGCTTATGTACATTTCAGCTGCAGTGCGCCTTGCCATCGAGGCAGCAACCGCCTGCAGGTGGTCGGCCGTGGTCTCGAACTCCCGAGTTTCGACCAGGACCAGGGTGTAAATCCCGAGTTGACTTGTTACCCTCTTCTCTTCCATCACGGAAGCGTAGATAAAGTCGTACGGCACCCAAGATGTGCTAGATGTTGGTGCTATTTACACGCAGAGCGTTCAGAAGTAACTGCTCAAGGCCTTCAACTTTTCAATCTTCGGCGGGGCGGTTATTCATTCTCCTCATGGAAGGCTCCAGCAAGAAGAGAGCTTTCAGCGCCTCTGGCAATCCCGGAGGCGAGCAGGCGGCAAGGAAGCGACACCGTCTACCTCAGACCTGCGAGTGGGTTCGTCAGGAGCCAGTATACCAGGCGTGGAAGGCGTGGAATGAGAGCAGCTCACCCGTCTTATGGATTCAAGGCCCAGTGGGCATAGGCAAGACGTTTCTGGCCGACTTCATTGCCGGCGACATCGTAGGGATCAGCGATGAATCACCGGTACTCACGACACACTGTACCGCACAATCTACTCCAGCGGTGCTAGTACATGACCTCGCAGCTCAACTTATATCATGTCCAGAAACGCGCGACCTTGTCAAGATACGGGTTTCCAAACTCATCGATAATACAAACCCAGGCACAGCGAGTGTGCCGTACGATGCCAGCTACAAAATCTGGGACGAGTTCAGGTTTATCGTCAAAGAGTCACCGCGCCTGACGCTTATCATAGACGGGCTGGACGAGTTGTCAGATGAGTCCTTATCACACTTGAAGTTTGACCTTCCGTCCAAGTTGGTTGAGCTGACTACGATACTGGCCGGACACGTCAGACTGCTTGTGCTCAGTCGGCCACAAGCCAGCATCCTACGCGCACTCAGGGATTCGCCCACTATTCAAGTAACAGCCGCCAAAGTTGCCGACGACATGAGACGGTTCTGCTCGTCAGAAGCTGCCAAATACCCACAGCTAGACCCGGAAGCCGACAATGTCAGCACAGCTGTAGCCCGGAAATCGGAAGGCATCTTTGTCTGGGCGTCACTTGCCATCAAAATTGTCGCGAATGACACCGAAATCAACAAAGGCAATATTGACTCACACTTGGAGCGCCTTCCTACTTCTCTAAGCCAACTTTATCGGGACTCGTTTGAGCAGCAGTCCAAGGACCTCCCCCAGACACGTATTATGCTTCGAGACAGTATTCTGCGATGGCTGGCCTTTTCAACAAGGCCAATGACACTTGCGGAAGTGGCAAATGCCATATCTGCAGAAACCAACATATTCATCGCTGACTTGGAAGCTACCGCGGTGCAAGTATGCGGATCTCTGGTCAAGTTTGAGGACGGCCATGTGAGACTTGTCCATCACTCCCTCCGGGACTTTCTGCACAGCCAGGCGTCGGCGCCTGCTGAGAATGAAGCTACGTGGATCGGCGAACAGCATCAGAAGATGGCGACGTGTCTGTTGGCGTATCTCATGCACGCGTCATTCCGGCACATTGATGATCTGCCGAGCTCGAAAGACTTTCGTAACCTCTATCCATTGGCAGACTACGCATGCCTCTATTGGGTCTACCATTTGAGCTTGAGCAAGGACGACCAACACCTGAAGGACCAGGTTGAGCTCTTCTTTCAATCTTCAAATGCAAGGGAGTGGATTATCAAGCTACTTCCCGAATTACTCGCGCACTCTGTCCTGCCTATTCCACCTCGGCCACCAATTAATGCTCGTTTCTTCTACATTTCCATGCTCAAGGCACAAGTGGTGAATTACTTTGAGCAGGACCGACGGAGTCAAGTTCGCCAGAATCTTGATAGATGGCTGGAGTCGATTTATGAGGGACGCTCTGCGGAGATTAGCATGAATGAGAAATTGACTCCCACCGAGTGTCTACGCCGCCGGGTTGAACTAGCCGAATTGTACAGCTGGCTACCGGAGCGCGGCGATAGGGTCGCGGCCCAGCTGAGGGAAGCAATCGACATTTCGTCTCAATCCATGGATGGGGACAAGTGCCAGGACTTGCTCACCGCGGCTCGACAGGCACTAGCAGACGAGCTCAAACGCAATGGACGCTACGCAGATGCGCAAGAGTTGCTCAAAGGACTAATAGAGGATATTACACGCACGTCCTCGGACGAGAATCCAGCACTTTCATTCGCATACGACAGCCTGGGTTGGGTCCTGTCGCGTCAAGGCAACCTCGAGGAGGCAAACACGTTTCTCCGGAAAGCCCTCGATGCTTCCGTCAAGCAATTTGGGTCTAGCTCTCCGCATACGCTTCGGTCCCGTCTCACGCTGGCAGAAGTTCTGGTGAAGCTTGGCCGTAATGATGAAGCACAGGAATTTTACAGCTTTCTGGAGAACCAGCTGCGCAAATCGGATCGGGACGGTGGACAGATCACAAGTGACCTACCCAAGGACGCGGTTGCGGACCTCAACATTCTCGCGGGTATTTACATGCAACAAGGCAAATACAGTGAAGCCAAAAATACATTCCGCATGGTGGTGGACGAACGAAAAAAGATGTTTGGCGCCAACAGCCGCTTGACGTTGTGGGCGGAGATGCAATATGGTCTTGCGGCAAACGGGGAAGGGAATGCTGAGCAAGCAGAGGCCATTTTGTCAGGGTTGCTTCCGCGGCAAATCGACGTCTTGGGCCTTGAACACCAGGATGTAAAGGATGTTACGAAAGTGCTGCAAGATATAAAGGAAAAGCAGACTTGAAGTGTCGATCCTGGGGACACAGGATTTGGGAGCGGTATTATCTAGGTCTAGGGATTATTGTGGCCTGCGGAGACCAGGATGATCCGGCTACAAGCCTCCTGCCGAAGATCCATTGATAGTTTGACTGTCGATATGCCGTCGGAAGATGACGTGCTCATCCGAGCCCCACGCATGCATCAAGATGCTGTCGGCCCCAGAGTCAACGTCAACCAACTAACTAACCAACTGCTGTGCCGGCGTATTGACCAGCGACACTATTCAGGGAGGGAATGCAGAACGTTTATTTTCACTCTAGATAACAACAAAGTATAGTTTATCCTAGTGCATATCTTTATTCAGGCACTTAAAAAAATAGTCAAGCTTAATTAGCTGTCGTTTGATAGTTCCTGGCGGGTCTTGACCTCCGATGATGTGCTCACGCTTACATGGCTCACAAGTGGATCCTTAAAGTTGGCCGACGTCAAGAATCATGTTATAAAGAACAAGGTTGAACGTCAATCGGTTCCCATTTGTTCATGTCTTTCTTCTTTTATGCAGGGCTCTCGCCGTCATCAGCACACGCATCCCACGATGGGTGAAGCGAGATCGCAACGTCAGCCGCCTCTGGGCGCTGGAAATCCCGGAGCCACGAATGAGAAAGCAGAGGCTGCTAGTAGCTCTGGTGATGATCCAATTACCTCCCCCAAACCAAGCTATAATAAATCGTCCGGGGTTGACGCGGCCCTGGAACTTGTCAACAAGACCCGAGACTTGTCAACAGCTCCCCTGGATCCGGCGCAGGAGAAACGCCTTGTTCGTCGCATCGACTGCCACATTATGCCGCTGATTTGCGTCGTGTACTTCTTGCAGTACATTGACAAGACGTCCATTTCATACGCCAGCGTAACTGGCATCCAAGAGGCCACGGGCCTTGTCGGAAACCAGTTCAACTGGGTGGCGTCCATCTTCTTTTTCGGCCAACTCGCGTTTGAATTTCCAACCATTCGGCTCATTCAACTCTTCCCTCTTGCCAAATACGCCTCCATCAATGTATTTCTCTGGGGAGTTGTCCTGGCCTGTATCGCAGCTTGCAAGAATTACGCTTCTCTACTGGTGTGCCGATTTTTACTGGGTGTCTTCGAGGCCGCCGTCGTCCCTGCTTGGGTGCTCTTCACTTCACAATGGTATACCAAGCAGGAACAGGCTTTTCGAGTCGGCATTTGGTTCTCCGTCTGCGGAGCAGCCCAGATGTTCGGCGGATTCTTCGCCTACGGTGTTGCCAGACATGTTGGCAGCGACCCGGACGCCGCGCTCCAAGGGTGGCAGATTATCTTTTTGTTCCTGGGTCTGCTTACTTCCGTGGTTGGAATTGCCTTTTACTTTCTGATCCCCGATTCTCCCGCCACGGCGAGGTTCTTGACCATGGAGGACAAGGCAGCCCACATTCAGCGAATTCGAAGCAACGAGCAGGGCATCGGGTCTGACAAGTTCAAATGGAGTCAGGTCAGGGAAGCTCTGACCGACTCGATGACTTGGCTGTACTGCTTTTGGATTTTTGCAGCCAATATCCCCAACTCTACCGCTACCAGTTTCGGCAACTTGCTGGTAAAGGGCATGGGCTACTCTAGCCAGGAGTCTCTTATCCTCGTCACTCCTCTCGGGGCGTATGAGATCGTCGCCTTGTTGGGCCTGACGTGGCTTGCGATGAAGACCAGACAGCGAATATGGTGGTGCATTGCTGGCCATGTCCCGGCCATTATTGGAGCAATCTTGATGGCCACGACAAGTAGAGTTCCCGCGTTAATCGGGTATTACTTGACTGGTGGTATTCCTATTGGTTGGACAACGATTCTTGGATTACAGAGCACAAATGTGGCGGGTTCAACCAAGAAGGTTACGGTTGCATGTCTTGGAACCGTTGCCTACACTGTGGGCAACATCATTTCGCCTCAGACGTTTCAGAAGAAGGACGCACCGCGATACCTGCCGGCCAAGATTTCCATCTGCATTATTTACTTCTTGTGTGTAGTTGATCTGTATGCCATGAGGTGGGTGCTGGCTAGAAGGAACAGAACTCGTGATCAAGAAAAGGCAGCCGCTGGGGTTTCTTACGTTGTAGAAGAAAACCACGAGTTCTTGGATTTAACAGACGTCCAAAACAGGGAGTTTAGATACGAGTTGTAATCACATACTGTCGAGATAGTGGTGGTGTGTGTCGTAGCCGAATGGGAAGAGTCAGAAGCTTCGTCTGAAATGCTCAAATGGTTACGATGGACGTCTCGAGGACCCCAATTATGCACATGAAGGCCGTGATGCAGAACTCTTCACGGCCTAGAAACATCATTGATGACTTATTCGAGACTCAAGTGCTTGCATTTTGCCAGAAAATATTCTTATTGGACCGCCAGAAATTTATCATTCACGCGTCTGTAAACCCTGCTTGGCGAATCAAATTGTGGAGTCGTGATTTCGACACCGCCTTCAACGTCACACGAGAAACGCGGGCCCCAAGTTGATAAAACGACGCGTCTTCAGCCACCCAGCAATGTGGACAAGCTGCTCAGCACATGGTGTCCATTGATGTATGACCTCGTGCCGCGATGACGCCAATCCAGCCGCAATGCCAGGTGAGGTGTAAAGATGTCCCCTCGACGAGAGCAGCACTAACCGCCCTTCGGAGCAGGCCCTACGTTTGTCTGATGGCCAGACATGCCAGGATGTCGCGACAAACGCAAACGGCCTCTTCTGCAGGCTCCATGCCAAGCAGGCTTTTGGTCTATACAAGGGTTACAAACGGCGTAATGCCCAACTAGACGCGATAGACGATGAAGCCCCGGCCTATCTTAAAAACTCCCACGTCCCTCTCGCCAACGACAATTTTGAGCGCATCCAAGACGAGACGGTGCTTCGACAAGTGCACTCCCATCTGTTTGAGAAGTATGTCTTGTTCAGCAAGGTCATCGATGCACGCAAGCTGCACCACAAACACTTCTACCCACTTCAGGTTGACTATGGTCACCAAGCATACCTTGACAAGCTTAGCAGCCAACGTCATACTGTTCTCCGGGCCTTGGCAATGCTTTAAAAGCGAACTGCCCAGGTATTATACGAGAAGGAGAAATGGTTTACTTGGGTCCGCAAAGTACAGGAGACGGAAGAAGCAAATGGCGAGAAGGAGCAGAAGAAGGTGAAGCAGGAAGCTGCCCTCTTCAAACGTCATATAAAGAATCTGCAAACCAGGCTAGACCTCATTCGACAAAGGGAGGAAAAGAAGCGCCAAGACGCATACCTTGAGGATGCATATAGAGAGCGAATGTCCACGTCGACGGATGAGGCAGACGACGATGGAGACTGTGATCCTATTGAAGATGCGGAACACGACAAAAGAGACAATTACATTGACTTGATTAAGCACTTTCTCTGGATGCAAGTACTGGATGCGGGTGAGGATCCTGTACGCGCGGCTGGTTCAGACGCTACCGCTCAAGAGGCTGGCCACAGCAGTGAGCCGCAGGCAACCGCCACCAAGTCCAAAAAGAAGCAAAAGGCCAAGGGCAAAGCAGCTTCTAATAATGGATCCCGTGGATCTTCAGGTTCTCCCAACGTGGCTAGTAGAGGGCAGAAGAGACTCTTGGCAATGCAGGAAAGCGGACAAGCTACGACTGGACCCGACCAGCAGGAGCCAAACATGATCAACATTGAGACGGAAGCAGAAATGAGGAAACGGCTTGCAGAAGGAGTCAAGAAGAACTATCATGACGTTTGGGGTTTCCAGATTGTGGGCACATTTGAGAATCCCCACGAGACTGTCGAAAAGACGGCACCCATGACGGATGACGAGATCGAATCGGTCATCATGGACATCAGGGAGATTAAACGGCTGCTTTTCAGCCGCCTCATCCTCGCAAAGGCATCCATGCTACCCGCTGCTATCCGAGCCCACAGCGTAGAGGAGTTCCTTGACGACGCCGATGTTGCCGAATCTGATCTGCGAGACATCTGTTTAAAGGTTGCAGACCCTACTCTTCAAGTCATAAGAGATGCGTGTGCCGACTTTGCCCGAGGAGACGAAGCGGACGACGACGTTGAGGATTCTCTCGACGATGAGGACGATGAATCATTTTCAGAACTGGTCACTGAGGACCGGCGCTATGCGCATCTTCATACCCATCCCTGGCTAATAGAGAAATATCTCAAGAAAAGTGGTTTGTTTTCACAACAACAGAAAAAGTCCAAGTCACGCAAGACCAAAGTCACAATTTGTGGCAAAAGCATCTGGAACCACGCCAGCGAGAAGGCCATGTCGCGAGATGGCTGGCTCCAATTTTCTGTCATGGCCAAGGACTGCAGCTTTGAAAATGCCATCCAGTTATGCCGCAACTGGGCTGAGTTCTCGGACCTGAATCTGCTTACTCTCTGGCAATTCTTCCCAGCGTCCAACTGGGCCGCGTGGGGCAGTAACAGAATGGTTCAGCAGCTTCAACAACTAGGCTTCTTTCCTTACTTTATCGATTTCGAGGCTCAACAATACAGCCGACATACTCAGGTCGGTGGTAGAGGCCACGGTCGACGTCAACATGATATTATTGAGACGCGAAACATCATTGTTGGCCACATGAAGCGCAATGACGCCGTCACTCGCCGATTTTTGCAGTATCTTGTAATGCGGGCTGGAGAGCTGCTGGTCCTCGTGCGTGATGGCAAGACTGGTCGCGTCATTACCGCTCCTCCCGAGGAACAGTTGTGGACATACCGCCAGAAGCAGGGTATTGGAAGAGCTTCCAAAAATGAATATGTCAACGTCCTGGAGGTTGGTCCCGTATATTTCCAGATACTTGACGCGTCGCGGAAATGGCGTTTTGGATTCGATGACTATTACGACGTCTTCATTTGGGACTTTGTACCTTGTCAATCGGCCATAGAAACTTACAACGTCGTCATACAAGTAAGTTCCATGTCCCTCACACCGGCAGTTTGGATGCAGGGTTGCCTAACAGGAACGCACTTCAGGAACTTAAGAATGCATGGCGGATAGCTAATGCGCGCGACATTTACGCACACATGGAGCCGCTCTTGCGCACTCTGACCCGGGAAGAAGGCTCAATGCGCACTCGGCAAATTAAGGCAGGCGAGGACGTTGAGACCCTATGGCACAAGCTGACGGATGAAACGAACGAGTTCGTGCTTCTCAACATTAACGGAGAGTCCGTGACTAGTCGAGACGCATCAGACGCGTCCATCTCGCCATATTTGTTTTATAACGAAGCCAACGTCGCCGAAGATCGAGTACTATTCCCGGATGAGCTCATCTCAAACAACCGAAACGTGCCTTTCAGGGAGATTAAGAATGGCGTGAAACGAATCGAGAGCGGTATTTTACCCAGCAGGCTCCGGCATGCTATCAAAAGCCTGAAGGGCAGTGCGCCACTGCAGTTAGAAGATGAGCTGCGAGGGCCGCCGTCTGACGCGAATTACGATGAGGAAGATGGTCATCTGTGGGATCTGCCCAAATTATGGGAGTCCGGTATAGAACAGGTGCGAAAGGAGACGCTTATTGGTGAACGAAATAACCTTCTCAAGCGGACGGGGCTAGACGCAATGCAACAGAGCTTATCATTTGGGGAATGTCTTGATGAAGCAGACAGCATGGAACTAATGGAGCGTGACAGGTCCTCTGGTGAGTGGAACTAGCTATGACTATCGCAGACGAGGCTAACGTATATGGCAGAGTTTAAGGAATCAATTCATGAAGGAGATCTTGAACCAGGAAGTGTTGAGAAGTATTACCAGGTTCAAGAGAAGATTGATGAGATCCTTCGGCATAGCCATTCTGGGTCAACAGACTGGGTCTGGTTTGTCGTCGAGATAATGGATTGGCTTCAATTGCGTGCCAACTACGAGGACTATACTCACGACCCCTTCTCGCCATGGCCACACAGTTTTATTATCCACGATCTAGTCCGGGCATTTGCAACCATGGCCATGTTCTTTCCCGGGTTAGCAGCGACCGAGCTTGTAACCAAGTTTCTTGAGTCAACTGAGTGTAAAGAACTCTGGAAATCGGATCTTTTTAGCCCGAAGCAGCGAGCAGTAAACCTGCCTGATCGAAGAACTCGAACGAGTTACAAATATCGCAAACCAGAGTTCTGGGCAAAGTGGAAGGAAGTCTTGGGCTCACGGAACTATTTCACCGATGTATACCCCTTTGACTGGAGCCTTGCGATCCGCCCCATCATTGCACATTGTCAGTCAAATCCCGCCAGGCCATCCCCCATCGTCGCAAAGTTTGCTAACAGATTGACAGTATATCGAGCGGGCGTGGTCGCGCCCGCATACTATCAAAGTGATCCGCAAATCGTCCCTGGCACGGCCACGGCCAACACGGAGCCTCACCGGCCCGACAAGCTAGATCTCTTCATCAACTATGAAGACCCATACAACAACTGCCCCCCGACGTACCCCCCCGTCCTATATTCACCCACACCAGTGGCCTGCCCTCCTGCCGCTTGCCCAAAAATTCGCCAAGGACCACCAAAGCGCGCGTTTTGCGCTTCTTCGGCTGTGGTCAGCGCCGCACTTCTACCCTCTGATGGTTGGGCCGCAAAGCCGACACGGAACCAGCTTCCTCGACGGCGCCGGCCGAACGTGGCAGTGGAAATTCGTGCCCAAGGATATGCCGGGGAGCGAGTTCAGCGCACACCTCACCACTTCCAGGCGAATAGAACTATTGCAAAAACAGTTTGGAAAACGTGTCGTTAGTCGTGGAGACTTGATTTTTGTCATGGCCGAAGACGCCGAGGAGCTGCTGAAGACTTGCACGGCCGTCACGTTTGCCATTCAGACGAAGCCGTGGCTGAGAGAGGTGGATCTTTGGAAAAGCTTTATTGATGTAGATTTGGATTTTTTGGAGAGCTTGGACGATTTTTGGCTAGATTGATAGGATAACGAGGCCTTGTTGGAAATTCAAGTTGATACATGATTGATTGTTTCAGTTTCCCATGGGAAGATAAATAGAAGACGACCAGCACGGGGAACAGCCCTTGCATGTGCTTGTGGTGTCTCTGTTGAATTTGATGGCCGTGCCTCTAGTCATGGCTTTGTCTTCCGTAGAAGACTCTTCAGAAGGTGATGGCAAGATGGGCTCGGTGCTTGTGAATATATTTTGCGAAATTGTTTGTAGGTTTTGTCATTTTGGCAAGTGAGAAATGCAAACAGAGTACATGTCGGAACGCACCTGGACCGCATTCCATGTCCTACCCACAGCCTGGCTCTTGGCCATCTTTGAAAGCTAGAGTTTGGCATTGGACATGGGGCAGCGGTTTACCGCTCAACTAAACATATATACCTCGTAGAGCTAGCAAGTCTGTCAACGGGTGAAATACAGAGCATCTACAACCGAGGGGTATACAAGGTTAACTGAAACAGGCACTTGTGGAATTCCCTTTTGCTTGGCGTGGTTTAACCTTGGCATGCTCCAACACTCCAACCTCGAACGGTCTATTAGGCACGGTCGTAACGTCTTACCAGAGATAAGATGATTCGCCGCGCCGTCCCGCAGAGTACAATTAACGCCTAGTTGTAAACAAAAGTGCATATAAGGCATTGCTCATAACCAATAGAATATCACGACGTGTCCTTCTGTTTAACAATGACCAATCAACAGCCACAGCCCAACGTAAAACCGCCTCGTTGCAAAATGGCCAGGCCGCGATATCAATTGTCTTCATTTGGATTGTCTTGTAAGAAAACTGAGCTCGTCAATTTGTATTGATGATTTTATGAGTTATCTGCGCTGCGCCCGTATTGTCCGAGGCTTTGATTTTGGAACCTTGCTGCGTCTGACCAAGTGTTACACGGAAACGGCCCGACAAATCGTGAAGCCCAATAAAGGGGCTTTACTAATAAAAGACCTATTAGTTATATAAATTAAATACGTGCTTAAGCAAGAGCCTTAAGTATATATATTCTCTTCTTATATATAATAGTTATTATTCCTTTTTTTCTCTTAAAAAATCAAGGACATTAAACACTTTTTAATATTATCTTTAAATTTGAACCTCTACTCTCTGAGCGTCGTCAGACCCTCCTCGCAGCATGGATTGCATGAGCTCGAGACGCTTGGCTTGCGGCTCCTGTGTTTTTTTTTTTTCTTCAGAAGAGCCCGATACATAAAGGGCGAGTGTGTTCCCTCTGCACGGCCCGCAGTTCTCTCTTCGCGGGAGATTTTGCGATTGGATTTTTGACGAGGGTTCCCAAGGCATTCTGGGAACGGCATGCTACCCGACAGGGCAACAACGAACACAGTTCGTCAATGGATCAATATATTCCGTGCCTGCAAGGGCTTATAAGTGCTCGATGCAATGAGAAAGAAGGATATGACGAACGAACATACCGCTGCGTGAGTGCCCAATAGTATCTGTGGCCCAATTCTTATTGCCAGTCACAGCCCAAATGAGCAGAAGAGTAACAGAAAGAAGGGAATTCGGATAGAGATAAATGATGGAGGCTCGCTTTGGATGACAGTCCTATAGTCGACAAGCACATCCAGAACTGAGGCAGAGAGGTAGAAGACTGTATTGGCTTCGCAGAAAAAAAGGAGCAGAGCTGTTGTGACCTAGTTCGTACTTGGCTGCTCTTAGAGAAAGAATCACAGTAATTCATGCCTTTATCAGACATTTCTTTATCCGGCTAGACACATTGTATGATAGAGAAGCCGGTAGTCTTGTAGTAGTGTTTATTGGCTCAAATACCGTCTTTTCACAGTGAGTTGGTGGGTGGTGTCTTGTTGTAATTCGAGCCCGCATTCTTCTTGATTACAAGCCCGCTTCACGCCAGCCACGCATTCTGCGAGAAAAAGTGCCTCTGTTGGGCACTGGAATTGGGAGTGTAGCGAGATGGAGGTTTGGGAGGACTGATGTCGAGACCTCTGACATGCGTCAAGGCCTGAGACATGCATCAGGATATATGTATGAATGCTGGAATCCGGTATTAGGGTCTTTAATATTGCCTGCGATGGTATATACAACTATCGGAAACTAATCCGGTTGGCCAAAACATTACAGCTTTCTGAAACTAAACACAATGTTGGATGACAGGTCCGAATAAACGGCATACCACGGAAACCGATCCTTCAAAGCCAACGGCCACCGGATATGTAACGATTTTCAGGACAGATTGCTTGTTTCCTCATGTGCTCGTGGCCTGGGTATCAACTTTATCAACTTGAAAGAGTGTAGAATGAAAAAAAGAAATTGTACAGAAGTATACCTACAAGTATAGTAGCGTTGCTGCTTGCAGGAAAGCTTGTTTGTTTTGTTAACGCACATGGAATTTATGCTATTTGCTAGTATAATCTTCTCTATGCTTCCTCCTGTATGTATTACGTGGTATGTTGCGTTTCTCTGGCTGGGTACGGCCAGGCACATTGTGCTTTTCACTTGCCCCTGCTTGATGTGGTGACTGCACGTCTATTTGGATGGGTCAAAACATGTAATAGTAAATGCTTCCACTTGCAGGAAAACCATGCCAGGTTGGTATCTTTGGTTGGGTGAAAAACCTATGCCCGCATCCCCTGCCACCAAGCCGCTTCCTCCCCTGAATGTTCAAATACTGTTTTGCAATCTCGGCTGCAAAACGTGCCGCTTGCCCAGTTTAACCACTGACCCTAGAGCTTGAGCTAGAGTTGGCCAATTTTTCTGGTAGGTTTTGTACGCAGACCCATTATGTATATATCACTTGACGTATCTGGGTCTTTGGCGGGTTAAATGGTTGGCCTTGTATTAGCAAGAATCTAACATATTAAAAGCGTGACAATATACTACAGTTGGCGGTTACTCTAACCTACCGCCACCAAAACACCATTGCCTTGACAACCCAGAGTCTCTTATTCTGTCCAAATACCGACATCTGTCCAAACTACCGTGCTCTGTGCGGCCGCGGCTAGCAGTCTGATTGGTGCTCCATCATATTTCCGGCGTCAACGTCCAACTCTCTTGGCAAGCAAAAATATAATGTTTGGTATACACCAGACTCATTGTAGTAGAATGATGCGTAGCTATGTATCGGCGCCTCGCGCTTCCGGTTGAGATCCCCACTAGAATGAATCCGGTTAATGTGTCTATTCGCGAGAACTCTGAAGCGGTAAAAGGGGAGGGAATGTAACGTACAAGGCAGTTTCAAACATGTCTCTATATCTTCCACTGGAAGCCCACTCTTGGTTGCATTGTTTCAACATGATTTCGAAATTCTCCACCGTATCCGCATCGCTTTTCATGTAGGCAAAGACTGGCACGTACAACTTCACTTCAGGGAGGTCTTTACCGGGGGTAATTTCCAAGGAAAAGAATAGCTTCATGGCTTGTTGTACGGCGTCATTTACCGGCTTTTCATAATCATCAGCGACTTGGTCCTTCTCCTGCATCATCAGGTGCCAAATCGTCCTCAGGGTCTCCAAGCCTTTCATGGTTGTTTTGTCCCGACGTCGACCGCCTAGGGTTAAACATTGCCGCACGGTATTAAACGAATTAGTAGTGGTATGAATGTACATTTTAACCCGGGCGCGATGCAAATCCTCTTCATCAACGAGCTCAATTGACAACATGTCAATAGAAGGGGATACCACACCCTCGAGGAGGAATCTGCTCCCAGTCAGCAAGAAACCTAATCAAGGAAAACGTAGACGCAGTAGCGCAAGGTGAATTTAGGATAGCAAGCTACACTTACTCGGAGATGGCCTCGACAGCTTTGGAGTTTATTGGGGGCTCCAGATTACGCAAAAGGTTCCAAATAGTCTCATTTGTCGAGCTTCCAGAGCCAATCTCCTTGACTTTTGGACTCACGTACAACTTGGGAAGAGCCCGGGGCCCATCCAAGTCGAAAGCAAACGCAGCAAAGGGCAGCCTTGATACGGGTTTTATTTCCAGTCCCGGCGGCAGGAGGCTTGCCATCCACTTTTGCAGGTTTTCCTGCGATCTCTTTGCTTCTTCGGCAGTGGGAGTGAAAGCCTCTAGTAGCCTGTCACTCCAACGCCTGCTAAACCCTAGTTCTGCGCAAAGGGATGTCAAGCATTTTTGTACCGTCTCCACCGCATATATATCGTCGTCCTTGGACCAGGTCGAGCCCAGGACCTCGGCGCAATATCTCACCGTCGGCTTTCCAGAGCAAAGATTGAGGCTAAGCTCTATGGGCGAACCGCTATTTGTAAGCGAGCTTTTAATAGGATGTAGCGCTGTTGGTCGAGGTCCAATATTGGGAAGGACATGTTCGCAGAGGATTCGAATGTGTTCGCCTTGGTCCGCAGCTGAATAGCCAGCTGCCCTGAGGAAGGCAATCAAGGGTGAGATGCTATGGCGCATCCAAAAGCCCAGGTCTAGGCTGGTGACCGGGCGAGTTTGATCAGCCATTGCAGCGTATGGCATATAAAACCGACGAATAAAATCGAGGTTCTGTGCCGGGGAGAGAAGCAGTGCCGGGGTTGTATACGTGGTCAGGCTTGTGATACGGCTTCCTATAAGTTTATGAGGACCTGTTGGGGTATAAAAAGACAAACACCCGAGGTTGTGTACCGTTACTTCGCGCATGCAGTTATAAAAAGATTTTCTCATTAGTCTAACTTGATATATGCTGATGTTGGGCGTAAGAGGAAAGTCATGCATGTTCATTTCTGCAGGAGAAGTCGATTATGGTAACCAAACCGGCGGGCTACATACATGTGATTATGGGTCTGTACGACATATAGCCCCAATTTCCACATGTGCGGAGCATTCGCTACTCAAATTAAAGCCGTACGACGCTACAAATATGCACGTAGCTGCTTCGTGGCTATCGCTACTCGATGCATGGTGTTAGTGCCACACACAGAGAGAGAGAGCCACGAGGGCACACTGACAAGATGAATATCGGCCATGTTTGGACAAGAGCTGCTATCAATGGATCCTCTTGCTCCATAGATGAACAGTCAAACCCGATAGCCGCCGTGACTCTCGGCCCGAATTACACCTCCGTCCGTCCGCTCTTCCCGCGCTTGACCTCCCGCCTCCGCTACTCTACCCGCCCTGCATGAATAAAAGCTCCAAATATAGGTTTACATGAGCTTAAACATCCCACAGCTATTGACCCTTTGTGTAGTCCTCCTTCCCGGGGTTCCCCTCTACTCCAGCGTTCGCCTACGTCTCTTTGACAGTGTGTTTTAAAATTCCAACCATCTGTTTTCGCTTCATAAACTTGAGCACCCTCGCGGCCTCTCTCATGCAAGGTCGCGACCAGAAACCCGTTTGAACAATGAGTTAGCTGGAGCCCACCGCGACCCGCGCCTACGTAGCGGCCAAGCAGCGGCGCGGCTCATCATGCAGCTCTCCTTTCCAGGGTGCTGATATGGGGTCGTATCGTGCCGCTCGACGCCATGACGCCGTGTCACTCCTCATGTCACATTGCGTCTGTCGATGGTATGTTTCCGTTTGCGACCCTCTGTATTTGCGCAAATGCCGCACGTGCTGGCTGCCCTCTGTTCCTGTGTGACGTGGAACAACATGCCAAACAAAGAACTGCCACACTCGGGTATTTTGTGTCCCTAATCTGCTTATTCAGGGCTTCTATTTGCCGATCCATATTGAGGCGTCCTGTGATGTCTTCTGTTGGTCGCATCTGCATGAACTTGGCCTTTGTCTGTCTGGAGTCTCGACAGATTTGTTTAGGATAAGTGGGACAAGATGATAGACTTTGAATTTATGTAGGTAAAAGAGTGCATATTGGTCTTTCTGCATAATGAGGGATTTACTGCCTGAGCCTCTTGATCTTGATACAACGTTGGCCATGCTATCTGTAGCCAGCTCGAAAGTAGGCGCTCCTGTGAGTTGCATTCTGCCTTTTTAATATCCCGGTCATATCCATTATATCAGTACACTAACGCATCGCAATTTAGTCTTCAGCCTAGCCGATTCCCAAGTGAGCAGCCTAGTAGTTTCTTCTTATCGATGCATTATACAACAAGAAGCCTGTGAACACACACGTATAGCCCATCCATTGGTCTGCCGGCAAATACAAAAAGGTAGCTTGTAACCCATCACCCTGTGACGGCGGAGGATCTAACGGTATCAAAGCTGTTAAAACTTGAGGCTTTCAAACCCCGCTGCATGGAGGGCATCGGCATTAGCCTCCTTGCCAGAAAACCCCATTGTGTTATCTCGAATCAGCGAAGCATGCTTTGCGCTTCGAGGGGTAATTTTGTAGGGAAACAAAGCCGGGTGATCAATCAATCCAAATCCGCTAGCCACCACCGGCTCTATTTCCTTGCCGTCGTCATCAAGAGCCTTGCTTACATTAAATACAGCAAGTATTTGGGCAACGGTAAGAAATATAGCGGCATCCGCCAGGTATCTCCCCGGACAAACCCTTCGCCCAAACCCAAATGCCACCTTTGCGGGATCCGGCTCATCCCGCGGTGGCAGGTACCTCGCAGGGTCGAATGACTCCGGATTCGCGTATACTTGGGGATCGTGGAGGAGCCACCACACGGCGGGCAATATAATAGCGCCCTTGGGGACAAGGTATCCTTTCAGCATGATGTCTTTGCTGGCGGCATGCGCCACGCCCATTGGTGTTACGGGAAACCACCGCAGCGCTTCCTTGACGACGCCGTCGACATACGGAAGTTTGCTGCGGTCCTCAAACTGCGGGAGACGATCCGACCCCGTCAAGCCATCAATCTCGTGCTGCGCTCGTCGCTGGACTTCGGGGAATTTGACAAGGGCGAGAATCACGCTGAAGAGAGAAGAAACGGTCGTGTCCGAACCCCCGGCGTACAAGATTCCCGCCGACCACTTGATCGTCTCCGCGGCCACGGGGTCGAGCCGCAGGTCCTCATCTTGCAGTTCTTGAATGAGCCTAGAGACGTAACACGGCGTGTGATCCTGCTGCGCCATCTGCTGTCTCACAAAATTGTACGGAACATCCGTCACAATCTTATTGATATCCGTCGACTTCTTGGCAACTCGTTGGAACGAAGCGCCAGGGAACCACTCGGGGACGTGTCTGAGAGCAGGCAAGAGATCGACTGCATAGCTCATGGGCACGAGGGCCTCGGAGCCCCTCCTCATCATTTCTTCAATCAGTTTCACCAGGGGGTCGACTTTTTTGTGCTGAACCGTGTAGCCGTATGTGATCTTGAGTATGATGGCTCCGGCTTTCCTGTTTGCTTCATCTTCAGTCACTCCAGACGAGAAATGCGCGCAACTCGGACCATGGTAGTTGAACTCACGTTTTCAAGCTTTGCCAAAGATTTTGCGGATCCTCCAGAAGCCGCAGGAGCAGTCGCCCAACTTCTTCCTCTTGCACGGCATGATACTTGTCCACTAGTGCCTTGGTCCCGAGTTGCTGGTGTACGACTTTGCGCTGCCTTCGGAAGCTGTCGTCGTAGGGCCGGAGACTGAGGTACTTGCCGAAACCAGACAAGCTGTGCGCAAACTCGAATCGCGGCCGTTCCGATGTCATGAGCGACTTCTTTTCCATCAATTCATGAATGGCTTCTAGGTCATGGATGATTACCATGGTCTGTCCGAGCACGGTGACGGAGCTGATGGGGCCGTAGGTGTCCTTGTACTTGAGCCAATGTTGATACTCGGGCACACCCTGCGGAGGTAGGTCCGTAATATTCCCAAGGAGCGGCCATGGCTTGGGGCCGGGCGGGAGCTGGGCTTTTCTTTGCCTGCGGACGTAAAATCTGTACACCAAGTAGACACAGGCAAGAAGGGCAGTGGCCGTGATGGAGGAATGCATTGTTGCTGCAACGGCTGGGAACTCAGATTACGACATGCCATACTCCGGCCTAGAGGACGACAAATGAGGGATACTGCACGTATTTAAGCTCTACTCTACAGCTCGCTACATTGGTGCACAACGACGAAACGGGTGAGAAGAAAAGGATGGAGGCGGGGGAGGTTGTAGTTACATTATACACACGAGCTGACTGTAAAACGCCGCGCGATGACGTGGCGGAATGACTGGATACGGAGAGCTGCTTCTGCAGAAATTAATTGTGAGCAGAAACTGCTAGGGGCCAAATTCATCCGGAGCTCCTTGCCCCTGATGGTACGATGAAGGCATCGGGACACGGGATGTGCTCTATGGGATGTTGTATACGACTATACCTGAGACTGTTCAGTGCTTTAATAACCCGGAACCTATCCATTCTGTTTAGAAGAGATATTTGGAAACAACTCGAGATCCAGCCTTTACTCTGTGTGCCGGCGGGTATCGCAAGCGTGGCTAGTCCTACGCTTGCTCCCAAGAAGCTGGTTGGAGCAAACTCCAAGGGTCTATGGGCATTTCAGAATTTCCAGAGGCTTCCCAAAAGAATTCAAGGCTTTCCAAAGGCCGAGGACTTCTAAGAGAGAATGATGCAGGTAAAGGGCTCCGGGGATGTTCCCAGGTACATCGTCTTTGCCCAAGGCGGAGAGAAACCCGCCACCGGCTAAGGGTTTGCGATTGATCAGAAAGACTGCCATCAAGCACATGTGTCTGAAGATGGTTTATGGTTCCTCCAAAATTTTGATGTTGCGGATGACATTGAAATTGGCGACGTCGACTCTGGAATTATCCAATCACCAACTGCCTGTTGCCACAACCGTCAACCGTTTCTTTTTAGTTTAGCCTCCAAAGTCTTTTTCAGGAATTAGCACTACAACTACAACCGTGGCTGTGTCGCCAAGAATATCACAACTGACAAACTTGCATATTTGAATTCGCATACCGGGGTCTCTTCCAATCAACTGCCAAGTGATGAACCCGCAGCGTGACCTACCCATGACTGCTTGATGTCATTATTGGCGGTTCGCAGGTAACATGACGGAAACAAGACACCACAGCCAATAGTCATCACCCTAGAGTAGGAATTGCGTAAATGCAGGGCTTCGCGTATTCGAAAGCGGGGTTGAGAGGAAAGACGCGGAAAGGAGTGTGTCATAAGACTGATAACCAGGTTGATTACACCATCCTGACAGCCCATGCAAGTGACTCTGTTGATGGCACCGCCCTGTGGGTGAGCGTAATCTTGTCGCCATCCTGCTCACCACGACGCAGGTTGGATTCGCTACCAGACTTGTCGACAGACAATGCCAGCCTTCTAGGGAACGGTCTGCAGCCTTGCTCCGTTCTCCATCTTGTCCTACTTGTTTTCGTATATAAGAAGTATAAAAGCTGCTTCTCGCACTGGACCAAAGACTGCGTGGTAGCAAGAGCTGGGCGTTTTCACTCACATAGATGTCTACATTTCTTCCGAAGCGCATCCTTGGCATTTCAGGTGATTCCAACTAGAGAGGTTGTGTAACCCGAGTCTTGCGACGGACTGCTGCAGAGCATATATAGCGCACCACCTATCTCACAAGATAACAAGCCAAGATTCATCGGCGTTTCCTAATCCTGCCTAGTGCGTAATAGCTGTTATCGGTCCGTAGCACAGATCTGGCCAACAGTGTAGTCTTCGGGGTTGAGAATACTGAATCATGAGTCCCTGTAGCCTTGAGAATTCTGAATAAGTGAGACTGTAAAGTTTTGCTATTTTTGGTGAAGTTAGACTAGGCGCAGAGCAAAAATAAACGTCGAGAATAAACGTTTCTTGTAGCAGGGCCAATATCAGATACCATAGATCAGAAACGGGTCGCCATCAAGCATCATTGATCCCTGCCACCATGCCCTGTGACAGTCATATTGATGGAAAGCCACAAAATTACTATTGGGTCAGCCGCAAATGTTGACGTCGGAATATACTCGAGATACCCAACTACCAAGTTGTATGAAGTCACCACTCTCCAATGGTGTCCGCCAAGTTAAACCTTGCACTTGAGAGAGGGGATAGGTCAGAACAGGATTGACTCGTCGATGCCTGCGTCCAGCATCCATGCCATATTCTCTCAATGGGGCGAGAGGGCGGCCAGTCTTATCTCAGTAACGGCTTTCCGCTCCCATCCAATGATAACGACCCGTTATGGCATGCAGACTGACATGTGACATTCGCATTTAGACTGAATTTCAGGCTTTGCAGATGGCAGTATAATAAAAGGGTTCTTAGTAAATGACAACTTATCAAGCGCCTGCAGCACAGCCGGGTACTATTTTATTTCATGGTAATTAATTGTGCGGCTATTACGACGGTTATCGGGCTTGACCGCTGAGTCCTGGAGCCAAAAGATCCAGCAATAGTAGCCCTTGGCCGAATACTTCCGATATCTAGCGCATAAGCGTGAGCCTTGAGCTCTCTCTTCTCTTGTTAGGCTTGACACCGCATCATCAAATGACACAGGGCTTGGCTGCACAAGCACAGGAGAACACTGCCATATCTTCTTGATATCTATAGGGGTTTTGTTAGCACTACTGGCGATAAGACTTTTATAACAGGCAGAGCGGGCCTCGAGTTGTAGGCTACGCAGAGGCACTGGAAATATAGTCTATTCCTAGACTTTTAAATAATCTTGACGGGATCTATTACTTTAGGTGTTATTTAAATGATCTCGGATTTGTAGAGCAGAAACAAATTAGCCATCCCTGTCACACGCTTGGCTCACAATAAGGGCGTTGAGACACTAAAGGCTACACAACAACAGAGGCAAAAGATCACGAGGCCCGAAGTCGGTCTTAAGCGAGGACTCTTCGCCCTCACCAACCTCTTGTATATATAGGGACCTCCCGTCCCTTAACGCCTCGTGGAAAACCAAGGACCTTAAATACCTTAAAGTCACATGCAGTTATTATAACATTGAATCTGAATAGAACACTACGTTCCAAGTCCAGTTGCCCTGTCCTTGTCACCATCAGCGACTAATAATTCAAAATGGGCGCTTCCCAGACTACAATGTAGAATAGACTAACGCACCCACCAAGACAGCTTACTTGCCAATTAGCGAAATCATACGAGTCTCGTAATCACCAGGCAGGTACTCCTGCAGATCCTTGGCCAGAGTCACACCATATACCCTCCGTCATGTCAGGAAGATATCATGATTCATGACCAGAAAGACTTGTTGGTTAAATGCCGCTCACCTGTTTAATTTTGGACCCTAGAGACCCCTTGTGAGACCACGCTGGGCACAGGTACATTGTATCGGGATAGGCTGAATGACTACGCTCTGAATGGTGACGGCAAGGATAAATGAAGGCAATGGTTTCACCACACCCCTGCGTTTCTCTCTTGCATTAACCAGTTGCTAACCAGATAATATTATGCGTTCTATTACGGTTCCCGCCGAAATTAGACCCACATTACTAGTACTCTCTTAACCGGAAGGGGCAAAGCGTTAACCAAGTCGTTGATTACCCTAGCTTATAAACACGACCAAAGTACTTGGTATATCCCTAAAATACTACGTTACATCTTGCATGTATTATTTACTAATAAAAGCAAAATTATTAATATATTATAATTTCGTGGGTCAAATAAGCACTATAGCTATTACATTAATTACCTAAATTAGCCTGTAAATAATCACAATTTTTTATATAAAACTCTAGTTTATCTTACAAGCATTCCAAGTAAGAACCTCTTGTCTCCTAGTACGCTAATTCCTATCTTTATATTCGAGTTAAATTATAAAGTTACCGGCTAGCAGCGTCCTCGGAGCTGGCGGGTAAATCGCCGTCGAGTATTTGCGGGGCGGCATATTGGCACCGGCGGGATGTAATGATACCTTGACCGCACGTGTTCAACTCCCGTCTGGTGGTAGAAGCAGAAGCAATTGCGTCGGGCACACAGCCTTTGACCGAACAACAACTAGGAGCAGGGTCCTGCAATTTGAGACCTCGTATGTAAAATCAATAGTCTTTACTAGTCAGGCCGTCTTGAAGGCATAAAGAATTATCTTACTTGTAACGCAGCTATGCGTTGTTGTATTTTATACATACTGGGAATCTGACTAGTTAGCATTTATTAGCATTAATACTACCCTGCTTGACAAGGTCCTTTAATTATGCCAGTGTAACCTGGAAACTAAGAGGGCTGTAAGACGCCATCTTCCTTCTACTGTTACATATGTACTCTAAGCCCTCTTTAAGCTCTTGTCACATCTACCTACTTATAGCCTGGGCTTTTCCTCCCTTCTACCTGCCCTGATAAGTCACAACACAGGCGAGATCGAAAAAGCTTCTTATTAAGTCTTTGGCCGGTAACGTGTTTTTGCTCGTCAGACCTTATTCTGTAAGTTGAAGCTGCCCTTGCCGAAATTTATATATTGGCCCTAACCTTAACCTGGACCGAAACCTAGTACGCTCTACCAGGTCAACTAGTCCCTACATCATGATGTCGACCCTTCGCTTGGCGTGCTTCGTCCCGTTGCTTGCAGCGCTTGTCTCTGCTCAAGTTGACAGTTCTGACCGACAGCCCGGTGGAAAACACTTCGGATGCATCCGCGCTGTTCAACAATGGGAGGATTGCGTGGAACAACCGCGCGCAAGCAACAGGGAGTGCTATGAAGCGCATTATAACTCTATCCGGGCGGCGTGCCCAGCCGAGGTCGCCAGTGCGCTGTGGGATGCCGACGTCGGGGGCGTATGGCAGGTTGTCAACGAATTGACAGCTGATGAGCAGTAATTTGCACCAGACCATGTCAAGATCCTATGGGCGACGGTTGTGTATAGGACGCTTGGGCATAGGAGGAGACAGCCTTATTGCTAGACGAGTAAATTATGTTCTTTTGGATAACTTATCCACTTTATGTTCATCTTTAGCTTAGATCGATATAACACTTGCGGGAGATATTCTTTCTCAATTTGCCCCTGATATTAATACTCTTCATGTCCAGCTACCTCGTGACTTGGGCTACCTAGTCGAATGCGTAATACAATTTCATGGTAGCTTCGTATCTCATGTCAAGTCACAGGACTTTGGAGTATCCGACTGTTACACGAAAATGGCTTGCTGCACAGGGGATATGATCACGGGGCCTAGGGCAAAGTCCCTCAACGACTTCTTGTATTTAAAGACCCTTTTAGTCAACGAGGCCTTGAGGAAAGCCAAGGACCTTTGATACCAAAGACTGTTATTAGATGAATTCAGTCATGTAACTCCAAGCCTTTAACCCTTGTCCCATGCGGCCTGTTTCGAGACAGCCGTCGCGTTTGGAGCAGTCCTGGCAGGCGTATATGCTCTGCTTTCAATAGTCGGACCCCTTGAGAGGTATAAATAGGAGTCCGTCTATTAGGAACTGCATACATAAGCGCTATAACCCATATGATGGACCACCGTACTAGATGCCAACAGGCTCTTCGAGTTCGTAAACGAGTTTGAAATAAAATTAGACGACGATATTATCACCGAGTTAGGATATAGGACGCCATGTCTCTGGTCGAGCCTTTTCACTGCTGAAAATGAAGGAAACGTCAATGACCAGGTGGTTGATTTGCTCAACCGCCTGCTGCGATATATTTCTCGCGTATGTGTTTTATGTGCCGCCGGCCATAGATTGCTCGAGGCTTCATAGGAACCATTATCGGCTCGAGAAGCGTTCAATCACCCGTTTGTCAATCAATATCCAGAAAGATCTTTGGTGGCTATGCAACGCTCAGGCCGATTACTCGAATCGTGCGCAAGCCAAGTAAAGTCAAAATGACATAATTTGCACTGAGCGAATGCTATTTTTAAACCAAGACGTATTCGTTGCGGTGTGTGAATATTATATTTCATCCAAGACCATCGTGTGCCACCCGTAAGCTTGGGTGTCGACTCAAGTATCCGTCCTGTCAGGGCCTGCAATACATCGTATTGGCGCACAGCACCGTCCATTTCCCAAATCATCAACTCATAATACAGCATTCCAATCAAAGGCAAAAGTTCGCGCAAACCGACCGACCATCCTTGGTCCCGAAATGTCGAAGACGGAGATGTTCGTATCCGTGGGGGGGGGGGGTTGCTGCCATTCCTCGAGAAACACGTTGTGACGCTCATCGCACCACCCAAGACGCCGTACATCTGGCAGGAATCCTTCTATTTAACAGTGGCACTGATTCTTTTGAAGACGAATCGCCTGCCACGACTGCGGCGTTGATTATACCCTCCTATGACGCCGGCTCATGGCCAGGATCAGGAGGTCCAGGATAGCCTGCGTTAACTGTGCTGCCTTCATCGTCGTCGGAGTTATCGCAGCCCTGATGCCACAAGCACAACGGAACCTGCGAGCTGTCTGAGCAGTGTGCGCCATGGCTGCATTTTTTGCATCGACGTCTGTTGGCCGGCTGGGAAGTTTTGGGAGACCTGGGCTCTTTGGAGGGCAAAGCGTTGCCGATGCTACTGACAACCTTCCAAGCAAACTCCATGTCGTGTGTAGTAACAAAGATTTGGGATAGAGAAAAATATATGTCGTGTAGATTTGGTGCCAAACAATTCTGCAAAAGGGAACTCGGTCGGTCGTGTGTGTTGTGTAGGATGCTGGTTTCGGGAGACTGGGCAAATGGGTGGGATCTCGTAATATAGACGGCCTCTGACTTTACGTAGTCTTGTTCATTAGCTGTCCTAAAATATGGATTTTGAGTGCATGTAGTGAATTTATTGAGTTCAGTCGAGTTCAAGGTGGCGTTGCTGGCCGCATGGACAGGCTCGTACATGTAGGGTCTGGTGTTTGGTGTCAGTTCACTACGCCTTAGTGTAAGCGCCGCCTTGCTCCTACTAATACATATTCAAGCAGATGGGAAGACTTGGCCTTGTATTCGCTGCTTTCTTTTCCGTGGTGTTTCCTTTTGACAGCTAGATGAGTGGCCGTCTGTGCAGCACGACGAATGAAAGGTCCATACCAGTATCTCTGTACCACTTGGTTTTTCCGTTTTGCTTCTTTTATTGAAGAGTACTTTGCAAATGTATACGTAGCTTTTTCACATCTTTTGCTATGGCAGGCTAGTAGTATACTTGAGTTCTGCCTATTTTGGCAGTGAACGAACGAGGCGCAAAGAGTGCCTGGCTAGAGCGCCACCGGGCTATTGCGCATTGCACTACTCTCAAATAAGCTTGAATATAGGATTGCAGTGTTTAGTTGATATACTTGTGCAGGTTTAGGGCAAGTATACTTTTCCACAGACTGCATGTGCATTTTAGCATCTCTAGCATCCACGTCGCGGCGCATGTGTCCAGGCACGCCGGTATTCGCAATACATCTTCTCGTTTTACGCACCAAAGCCCAAGCGAGCGGCGTCAAGTGTATTTTCCAGAATTTGTGCGCTTCAGCGGGCTGATTGTTTTCGTCTTCAGAGCAGTCGTAGTGCTGACTGCGGCGTCTGTGAAAGTCAAAGTCACTCAAAACCTGAGTGGTGGATCGACTAACCATCAGATGTGCTGGTTCATCTGGCCCCAATTAGCTCAAGCATGGCAATTCTGTGAACTCAGATGGTGGCTCAAAGAGGCTATCGAACATGGCCTGAACATGGCCTGAACACGGCTTAAACAAAGGCCCAAACAATTTGATGCCACACAAAGGTCAACTGGTTGGTTCTAGGGAGCTAAGCCCCTGGCCGTGCGACGTCCGACATGACAGGTCCTTTTCTTGGCTAATCACGGATTCACGCCAAGTTCAGCCCCGATTCGGATGGCCACGTGTGAGGCTGGTCGACGGGTTTAGGCAAAGCATTGCCGGGGCCAAGACTCAGCCGCAATTCACGTAGGACATGTATTCCCTGTGCAACGCTTCGAATGCGAACACGGAGATTACGGTAGAGACATCCCTGTAAGGCTGTGGCTGAGCCATTCCATGTCGCAAAACGACGTGCCTGTTGTGTTGGCGATGGGCCGCGACCAACATTCATCGCAGATACGATATAGTACATACATAAAGAAGCCGGCGCCAGTCTATTGTGTTGCCGGTCAAAACACCATCCCGCTTCACCCGACCATCGCATCCAGAAAACCGGGTCCCGTCGGCCGAAACAAATTGGGCGCAATTGCAGATCAGCCGACGGCCTCCACCGCGACGCGGTACGATGTGCATCGGCCGGCATTCTCGTACCACTACCATGTCACGGCCCACGACAGCAAACAGACGCTCTACCACTGCAACATCACTCGGTTCACGAAGAGCTGCACGCCCAATCTCGTCCTCCACGCCGGACGAGACAAGGCCGCGCCGCCCGTGGCACTGGCCCATATTCTCCAGTTTTCACAGAGCTTCAAGATCGGCTTCAAGAGCTGCGCCGACGAGGACGCGGTGGGAGTCTGATGAGCATATTGACGATGTATGAGAGATGGGAGGAGCGTTGAGGCGGCAGCGCGGATGGAACAAGACGAGTCCGATGGAATACATCAAATTTGTTGATGACAAAATGAAGCTGCCATGAGGATACGTACCGAAGACGACAGGCATCGCACAGGGTTAGCAACCCTGGAGGCTTGGCTCGGCCGTTGGTGCGTTTTAGTCTAAACTCTAATCACACGCAAATGGGACCGGTTGACCACCAACCCTGCCGACGCCGCCATGGAATTTGCAAGCCGCTCCCACCACACTCATCTCGTCCGCCAAATCAAGCCTGCATTGGGGTCGACGCCACCGTCTGCAAGCGTCCAGATGTCCTGGCTCGCCGCAGGTGGAGTGTATCTCTCCGGATGCACGTCGATTCCCGTCTCCCTCCAAGACAACCGCCGACCTCGTCTCGGACACTTCGCATCTCGCCGCGTGCCATGGCGACGACAAAAGCGAGCCGCGCGGCCAACGGCACCGTGCCGCAGCGCGTCATCCTCGTCACCGGTATGTACTCGACATATTTCCTAGCAAGAGCCAATCCCGCCATCCCGGCGCGGCGGGCCGCTGACGGCAGCTCTCTCCAGGCGCCAACTCTGGCATCGGCTACGACATGACGGCCGCCCTCGTGGCCTCCCCCGAGAACCACGTCATCATGGGCTGCCGCAACTACGAGCGAGGCACGAGGGCGCTGCAGCAGCTGCACGCCCAGCCTCACGCGGGCTCCCTCAGCCTCCTCGAGGTGGACATCACCGACGACCAGAGCATCGGCCTGGCCGTGGACAAGCTGGCCGCCGAGTATGCCGTCGTCGACGTGCTCATCAACAACGCCGGCGTCGTCATGCGCAACTTTCCCGACCGCCGCTCCGAGATCCTCGACACCATGAACACCAACTCGGTCGCCCACCTCGTCTTCACCGAGGCCCTGGTGCCGCTGCTGCAAAAGTCGGCCGACCCCCGCATCATCAACGTCTCGTCGGCGCTGGGCTCCATCCACGCCCGTCTCGACCCGCGCGATCCCGCCTACGGCATCGCCTCCGAGGCCTACCGCATGTCCAAGGCCGCGCTCAACATGGCCACGGCCTGCATGTATGCCACCTACAAGGTTTGGGGGGCCAAGGTATGGGCCTACTGCCCGGGACATGTCATTACCAACTTGACTGGCGAAGGGGACAGGGGGGTGAGAGCACCTGCCGGCGCTGCGAGTTCGACCTCGAGCGCCGCCGGCATCGTCGAGATTGTACAAGGGAGGAGAGACGATGACGTGGGCCAGTTTTTGCAGATGGGTGGAAGGATATTACAATGGTAGGCTTTCTTCCTTTTTTTTTTTTTTTTTTTGGGTGAGGGTATACGGCGCATGGATACTTTTTGGGAGGACGGTAATTTTTTTTTTCCAAGGCTCGACACGGTAGATTGGTTGGCTGTAATGCTCAATATGTGGCGGCTACGCTGTTCCCGGCACTGCTGTATATATTCAAAGGTCTGGGTCCCAAAATCGACTTGACATACATGATATCCCACAGCAAACGTCTCACATCGCTTCGTTCTTGAACACATTGACGCGGATATTGATGGGAAACCCCGTGGTTGGATCTGGCATTTGCGCCAGCTTGCGAAAGTCGGGGCCGTGACTGTATCTGTTGCGTCTTGGTTTGTATGGTAATGAGTCAGCTTCTTATCAAGATGGACGGCGTCTTCCAACCCTGTGAGAAGAACCTGTCGCAACGTCATGCGACTAACTGAGTGCTCTGCGCCAACGCCGTCGTCAGACGCTCTGCTAAAATCTTGGAGACTGGGAAGCTCTTGGTATTTCTCGGTCATGAAGTTGAGGTAGTCTGGTGGAATAGCAGTGGTGTTGGCAACGATCTGGAATAGGTCGTCCGGTATACAGGCAGCGAGGCAGTGAGAGCCTTCGGGCGATGTCTCATCGCAAAGCTAACCGAATCGGGGAAAAGCCGCCTCTTCAAGACCCATAGATGTCATCTTTTGAACTTGGATCGAGTTCGTTGTCGTTTCCGCAGAGCGAGGCATATAATCGGCCGAATAATGTATGGCTTTATAGGAAATATGACTTTGAGAAAAACTTCAGCCGTCGTTTTCATGCAGCTGTGTTGTGCCGGCTCATAGCGAAACTTGAGTGCATGGCCTGGGCCGGACACTGTGAGTCTGTTAGACTGTCACCGTGTGAACGCGACCGGACATTGCATTTAACCCTGGGCACAGCCAACCTGTGTGGAGGTATTGATCAGACAATCGCGCCAAGTTTGCCAAATCCCGCTGTTCTGGGTTCAGGAGTACACTTCCACTTCAGAATATTGTCAAAGTCCTTTGAGATGGCATCCAGCGTCCAAGCAAAGCCCGGCTTGTCCACGATGACGGCCTGGGTTTTGCAAGATGGCCCGGATTAACTTCGGAAACTATGGACGAAAGACGAAACACGCCGTCATGACCGTCGACCAGGCACCAGCTGGACATTCACGCTCAACACCTCCACCAACGGGATGCTCCCATTGACGACACAAAAGGACTGCCAGTCGGCGTTCAGCCCGGCCGTGGGCTGTATGAATCCTGCAACGCTCGATCCCGCATAAGACGACATGGTTAATGTTGCCGGTAGGAGCAGAGGATGTTCCAACTGCCGCCGACGCAAAGTGAAGGCGAGCATGGCCGCATGTCACTCACTGACCGTCGCCTTGCTAATGCGACTTGCCATAGTGCGATGAGGCATTCCCGCAATGCGAGAAATGCACCACCAGGGGCCTCCGATGCCCCGGACCCCGGACGGGAGCGTTTTTCGTGCATGTGCAATCGGGAGAGTCATCGTCCCGAGCGGTCCCTGAGCACCACCCGCGCACAGCGTCCGCCGCCCTTGGCCCCGTGACACCGAGAAATGCGTTTGTGCATATCCCCCTGGTTTCCGACCCGAGGTCGTGTAGAGCAACGGCGTTTGACCAATTGTTCGTCTCCCATTTCGTCGAATCATTCGGCCAATTCAGCGGCGTGAGGTTCCCCATCTCCCCCAACGCCAACTGGCTGGAAAGGCTGCCGCAATATGCATCATCCCCCGGAAACTCACTTGCCAAAACATCCATCCGCTCAGCATCAATGCTGAGCTACGCGACATGGGCCCGCGATGAGTCGATCCAGATGGAAGCGTACAAGTGGTATGCCAGAGCACTAGCAGGCTTGCTGGCGGCGCTGTCGCACCCAGCGCCAGCAGCAACCGAGTCCAATGTATGCTCTGCCGTCATGCTCATTCACTTTGAGACATGGGCGGACACTGCCGAGGGTGCCTGGCTCAAACATGTTCACGGCGCGTCAACTCTGCTAGAGGCCGCGGGGCCCCGTGCCTGTCGCGAGGGCTTCATGCACAGGATATTTTGCCATCTACGATTCCAAGCAGTACGTCTCTGCTGCCTCGGCTAAATCATGTGTCCGTGTGGTATGCGGGCTAACTTGTGGCATTGTCTGCAGTTCATCGCCACCATGCACGAAAACAAGCTCTCGGAGTTTGCCTCGCCTGAATGGATGTGCGTCCCATTCGAGATTCACCCCCCCAACATGTTTGACCAAATAGTTACGATTTTATTTGACGTTCAGGCGTGTTTGGCCACCGCCCATGGGGTCACGCAAACGCACGACTTGGCGGCAAGGGCCAAAGTGCAATTGAGAGCGTTGGCCGAAGCAACCGTGGCCAAGCTGTTGCAGTGGGAACAGCAGTTTATGCCACCCTCGACGACTCAAGAGATGAATGGCATCTGTAAAGACAGTTGGCCTTCGGCTTCTTGGCCCTCGTCACCGACGGGACCAAGTGCCGCGCATGATAGGTTCCCACCGGCTCATTTCACGAGTATGCCAGAAGCGGCCTTGCTGTCCCTGTATCACGCTGCTTGTATAGTTGCCTGCCGCTTACTAGCCGTGGCGCGAGACGACGTAGCCGATGGCGATGGACTGCTGGTGCACACCCAGGAGATTATACGGGCTTACAAGTTTGTGGAAAGGGTTACGGACAAGGCGCCTACCAGTAATTTGGGGCCGGTAATGATGGTTCCGCAGCTGAAGATGGCGTCGTTGTGGGGTGTGGACGAGAGTCAAAGAGTGATGGCTATGCGCATGTTGAAGCGAGTCGGTCGCCATCAGAGCTTCGCCCTTGGAGATATTGGGGACTTGCAAGACGGTTATTTCGCGAGCGTGGCGTCTTGGGCGGTGGCGTTGACTGATTTGGTGGACTGTGGGCGCTCTTGCGAGACTGTCGAGAATTGATGCCATTTTAGACTATTCTTCACTGGCGAGCTACTAGGCGAAAGACGAGTGTTGGATCGCAAGATGCTGTCGGGATGGTGTGGGAAAGTGGGAGCTCTGTGATGCGGATAGCTTCAATGTTACGGTTCGTCGCCATGGTGCGCATACGATTCACGTCAATAAGTCGCTACGACCGTGAGAGCTATTTTCGCTCCTGAATATAAAATCGCACGGCGTTCACATGTAGGCTTGCCAGCCATGTAGAAGCCGGCACAATGGGCGCACACTGAAGTTGAAAGTGGTCGAAATGTCTGGTCGCAGCGGGACTCACATGCAGCTTTGACAAATGGTTCCAGCTTCCCAGGTGCCATCAAATCAAGTCAACATTGGATACCACCAGACATCAGTCATAATTCCAGATGTCATTGATCAATTGAATTGATGTCTCCATAAGTGCCAGGCGCTAAAAGACACGGCGCTAACATTCAACTGAGGACCGCCCAGGTCAATGCAAAACACGCACAAAGCGCGCATCCACAAGCCTGTCCAGACACGTGGCGACCAGACGTTCAATCCTCATCTCCCTCGACATCTCGCCTCGTGTGTCGGCAGGAAACTCTGTCATATTCCATTCCCTCATCCCGCACACCACAATCTACTCCTTCTTTGTCAAGATTCAACACTCCGTGTCGCCCACCATGTCGTCGTGCTGCGACAAGACTTCGCACGACAGCTCAAAGCCAGAGCCCAAGAATGCACATGATACAACGTCAAAACGCTGGCCGCAGCTGCAAAATCACTCCCTCGCGCCCTTCATATCAGCCCTTCTCCACGGCTCGTGCTGCTGGCTCCCGGTAAGCAAGGAGACGGCGTAGTCACCCTCCCCGGACGCATTGCTGACGTTGAACGGGGTGTCTAGGCGCTGCTGGATCTACTCACCGTCGGGTCCGCCTCCGTGTCGGCGGTTCATCGCCTGCAGCCTGTTTTTCTGGCCATCACCTTGGTTCTCCTGGGGGATCGATTTCGTCGCAGGGGGTTGACGAGGGATAATATGCTGCATCTCGTCTTTACTTGCGTGTTGCTGGGCTTGCCGCGGGTTCTCGAGGCCTTGAAGAAGCCTCAGCCTGTGGCGGGCCATGGCGGCCGGTGCCATTGAGCGGCTATTTTGTTGGCGAATTATTTTTATTTCTGAGATTGGTACGGGCTGTTGGGGGGGGGCGAGATTTGAAGAGGCTTCAATGTTTAGCTCGGTTCTAGACTTTTTTTTCTTTTTGGGCTATGCCTATGACCTAGATTTGTGCTTGTGCGGTTCTCGGATTGTATTGGTTTTTCTTGGCTTGTTGTCTGTATTATTGTATGCGTAATTTTGTATTTCTTGCGTTCCAGCCTTGGTATACAATGTCCGGAAGACTGTAAATCCAAAGATGCCGCTCTTGAACGTTAAGTGGTAATTATTTATGTAGCTCTTTCGAGGCGAGACTTGCCAAAGCCATACAAACACTTTCTTGATAATGTTATAAAATAGATGCAAGTGAGATGGCTTTGATATTTATAAAGTGGTCTTCTTACTAGCCAATCATCAGGTCCCTTGGTTTCCCAACCGGGATGACCAGCTTTCTATAGCTAAGAGAATTATAGTGACTTTTATTATTATATTATTTCTTAGTGTAGAGATAAACCTTTAAATATTAGGTTTCTGATTGGCTAGAACGCCAATTCGTGACATCCGCTGCACCTTACCACAGCCAAAGGGATATGCATTGTCTGATAATCAGATTGTTCTATTACTCTGCGTCGAGTTTGAACTTTAAGTGGGAGCTATAATCTATACTTTATCTTCCGGTATAGCCAACATACATTTTTAGAGTACTGCCATGGATTGTGTTTGTGGATTTCGATAGTATTATGCAACTCGTTTCTTCCTCACTTGCCAGGGAGACCTACGCGGCTTGGGGTCACTGGACGAGGAATAGACAAAGATACAAAGGACGGAGCACTTAAATATACGATTACTGATGGCAAATATCGCTCACCGGATACATGTGGTCAATCATATAGCAGCACTTGGTCTACCAACTCCCTCCTGGGGCTAGAATAGTGTTGCAACACCACTTGTTAGTGCTGCGGACAATATAGACACGCTCCGTCTCATTGGTTTACGCTGTCCGTCCTCCAAAGACGGAATGCTCGTCCACCGGCGCCTCATTTTCTCCGAGGATTCCAACACCCCCATGGACTTGGGAAACCACTCTGCCGTGTCGCAGATGGTTCTCGGGATTATGCAATAGGGGTCATGCACGACTGATTGTAGCGATACAAGAAAAACGCGTCAAAGCGACCCTTTGAAGCAACTCTTCCATTAGCAACTTCACGCCTCTCGGCTCGTGGAACACTGGACTTGTAGGGGCCATGCTTACTTCCGGTAATGTACCGCGTGCCATGCAGCATTTGGCAAGATCTTGACCCGAGTTTTGGCATGCCGCGTTTCGATGGCAGCCCTAAAGCAGAACCACGCTGTTAGCCATGTCAAGTCCTACTACAACATTGAACATTGAATGGAGATGGCTGTATTGCGCCCGGGGCCCCAGAGCATACGGCGTTTTCCCAGTCGCGCATATCGCACCAGGCGCGATCCATCCACTGCTCACACTCGAAATCTCCAAGTGCCGGGCAGCTCAGGCGGTTAAATACTGGGCGATCAAATTGGCTCCATTTGTACTGCGGCGCACAAGCCCTCATGTACCCTTCGTAATAGGCGCCCCCCTATGAAGGACCTGGGTTAGCTGCCCGTATCAAGGTCCAGTTCTCCCGACGTCTGGTGCAAGCTCACTCCAAAGGGCAGTGTTCTGCGATAATCGCAACACTGTTTTGCCGCGAGGCCCGATTTTCCCTGGCACTGAGCAGCCTGTGCATCTCATGTTAGGCTGTGGACCGTCTGCTTTGATAAACCCATGATTTGTACCTTTTGACAGCCCTGATAAATCCCACGTCGTCAGCCGCTCTTCCCTGGGCCCATGTTACTCTCAGCGTCAAGCACTTACAGCGTACAGCCAAGTGAGAAGACCACATGCCCTCTTTTTCATACTCCCACAGTCAATGTAGGGTTTCTGCAGCAGACGCTTGCAATTGATCAAATCTTTCCTTGGACCGGCTGACGCTTGGCTCGGCCAGCTGTCCCTGCCATCGTCACTCGGTGCGAGAACATGTTGCTCATTACTTGGCCCGACATATCTCGGGACATGGACCGTCCTTTCATCTTGTCCTGGAAGATCACCACACACACCAGAGTAATGGCTGAAATCACTGGTGCCCTGTCATGCGGAGAATCAGCGCCTTGATCTCGAATTCGTTGTCAGAGTCGCTGCCCATCAGTACTTGCCTTCACTGCCAAGGGGCTGCCGCAGATGTTTGCTCCAGGATCTCGGGAGTTGATGGTGCTGGAACCGAGGGATACAGGTCCGAAGGCAAGGAAGAAAAAATAGCCCAGGAGCTTCATGGCTGCTTAAAAGTACATCTGTTGGTTGAGCACTGTCGTCCAGTCTTTCAGTATAGACTGTCTTTAGGTCGTCAGCAAGCTACGGGGCTCTAGTCATGTATCGATTTATAGTTTGGGGGCCTGGGAAGTTATATGTAGGTAATTGGTCGGTGAGACAGCTGGGAACGGAGCACTTTGGCGCGCCTTGTCCGGTACGTAGCCGAAGGTAGCGAGGGACACAATATACGTCATGCTTTCGTATAGCAGGGTTATCAAAGTGTCCTTATCATGGCCAAGGTGGTAATCGGCGCTGCTGTAAGCCAGAGGGTGGCTACAAATCGTCAATATACGTTGATCCTAGTATACATATACGCTTGTGGGGAAACAGAGCGCACTCCGCCAGCTCAGCATTCGCCAGCTGCCGATTTAATATACCTTGACTTGCGGAGTATCCGGATGTACGACTCTTATGCATGTTCCACCGAAAACGGCTTCTGATAGTCGCCCGAGTCAGCTGTATGTATTCAGCTGAGTCGGAAGCACTTTCAGCCCCCATGATATATGCATCGGCATGAGCACGGCGCCAAGCATAGGACAGCCATGCAGAGTTTGATACAAGAGGGAGGGGTCTGGCCGAGCAGTGCCGCGTCTCAGTACATGAGAGAACTTTGGCGTCGTCGATTCAGCGTTGACCATGTACGGAGCAGAGTAACAAAGACATTGGGGCATTTCCGGACTGGTTTCGGCAGTCATGGCAGCTTGGTTGTTGAAATAAGTATATAAAAAATTCAAATCCCCCTCGTTCCATGTTCGATTACCGAGTAGCTACGACATGTTTCCTTCAAATACTGTGTGCCGCCATGAAGAATAATTGGCTTCCACTGGCCCTCTGGGCCGTATTCATCTCTCTTTGCTCCGGCACCGGCAATTCCATTTTGCACAAAGTCGAGCACCAAGGCCCGCATCTGTACGCACTACAATCCGACGAGCCCCTGATAGTCTGGCGAGGAGACACTAGGAGCCCAGACAACGTTAGAAACATTCATCGAGGGTTCAGCCCACCAAACGAAATAGAACATCTCACCAAGCAACAGGCTGAAGATGCATGTAGCCTATACCAACATCCGTATGGTGGTACCCGCAGTTTTACTAAATATGTCTCGTCAAGTACGGATCCGAAAGTAGCGAGACTTTTTGCTAGCGATTTTGATGATCCCGCAAATCGCGGATACATTTATGAAATCCAAGCCGACGAGAAATTCATTGACGTGAAAGCCAGTCTCGGGAAGTACGGGCGCTACCCGGAGCAGGTGGAACAGGCAGCATCGAAACCCATCGGTTGGGACCAGGTCGAGGGTTGGTACGACCTTGCCGAGTTCTTACCGCACGAGATGGCGATACTTGAAGATGCTGCTTCCGGGCCGCTCAAAGACATGTCACAATTCGTGCACCGATTTCACGAAAATCCGGACTGGGATTTGCACAAATACTATGGGCGCAAGGGCGCGGGCGCCAGACCTGAGCTTGCCGGGTTCAGGAAAGACAGCCCGGCATGGGACGAGGAGCCATGGAGCCAGTACAAGGCCAAGCCGGTCTCCAAGGCATGGAAAGACTACACCGAGAGGGTGTGCGCGTCCCCCGTGGTCACCACGTCTCAAGGGGTTGGCATCTGTCCTGACGACGTCCTTCCCCAAGTAGAACAAGAATTTACTCTGGCAGATCCGCTGGGCGCCAGGGACTTGACGGGACAGTTGCAGTCTGCAGACCCGGCGCAGTACAAGCTAGATGTCAGCTTCACCAAGGCCAGCGAGGCCGGCGAGATGATCGAGGCCGACGAAGCGGCCCAGGCGGCCGAGGCTGCAGAGATGGCTGAGGCGGTGGCGGACGCGGCGGCGATTGACGCCATTGAACTGGCCGAGCTGTTGGAGGGAGAAACGTTGGTTGACATCATCCTTGCTTTTCTTCTCTTGTGACGGATCACATTTTCGGGCTCATGTAGCACCTCCTTGTTGATGGGCGGGTCGTAGGACACGTCTTCTGTCAGGGCCGGCAGCAGTATCGCAACAAGCATCTACTTTCGTACGACTCTACCTTGTAAACATGATAAATCTAGGTGCCCTAAGTGCTGCGTGCTGCGTGCTGCGTGCTGCGTGCTGCGTGCTTCGTTCTTCTGTTCTTCTGATTGACATGATGCCCCCGTGCTATGCTGCTTTTGGCAACACATCATGGGATGGCATCATGTCAATCAGAAGAACAGAAGAACGAAGCTCCAAACATTCAAAGTCGTCAGTTCCGTCGGGTTTTCCTTTAAACCTACGCTTCATACTACCGGACAATTTTTCTCCCCATCCACCATACTAAATCTCTTTCTCCTTCATCTTCACATCACTCCAGGACTCTGATAACTTGTTGTTTACTCCGTAGTCCATCCTTAATTATACCCTCAGGGATACAGCCAAAGCAAAAACCTCCCACACGACGGCGGGCGGAACAATCATCCACCCATCAATGGCCTCCTCGTTGCAACGTTGCACAAGGTGCCTCATTCCCCGGCCGGTAACGGCGCCCTCACAGCTGCCGTGCAAAGTCGCAGCCCAGGAGGTCACTGCAAAGATCTCGCACCAACAGCTTGGCCTCTGTCTCGTCTTGGCCACGACTCTCCCAAGTAACCCCCGACACCCTTGCGGGGGCGTCCATGTCAACAGAACCAGCAGCGTCAAGAGAAACCACAATGTTGAGAAGCACCACTTCGGCGCCCGTCCAGCTGCGGCAAAAGTGAATGGCGACTCTGCCCTGGCCATCGGCAGCGTCGGCGTAGATGAACCACTTGTCTTCCATTGCCCTCGGTATCACGCCGTCAACAAGCTTAGCCAAGTCCCTGGCCGAGATGTCGCCTTGCCACGTTGCGCTCGAGGGCTTCTCCATGGGCTTGTACTGCCAACTAGACGAGGTGGCTTTGGTCATGATGGCGGCTGTTTTTTTTTTAAAAGAGAATGCTTGAGATGGCAACAGGAATCGTTCTTGTTCTGCGCTGAGTTGAATTAGATTAAACTTAAGCCAGGCTTATAGATATATCCTAAGCCCCAGGCCCTGCTCTAGGCAGCTATTACAGCTGGTTAGCTCATAGATTATAAAAATCAAGGAGAGAATAGACCACCAGACTGGCGAAGAAGCGAGAAGGGCTGGGCGAGGAGGTGCAACAGACAGAAAGGCTTCCGGCTGGGCCGAGGTCAGCTTGAGGGCGCTGAAGGCATAAGCCCAGCCATCTTTTGGCCAGCGGCTGTGGCACGCCTCCCTGCTCATGCAACACACCAATTATTCCGGTGTGATTGCCAGCTGTCAGCTTTAGTTAAGGATTTAAATGCGGCATCATGCAAGTTTACGTGGATAAATAGTCGGCAGCTATGGGTTATAGCACGGCAGAATTCAAGCACAGCATCCAGCGCCTCACTCCCGACGCGATTTCCATTGACGGCATTGCTTGGCCGGCTTAGACTCCTTTTCTGGTGCTCTTTGTTAACCCGCCAACTCCGTCACACATCTTATTGGGCCGTTATAGGGGGCGTAAACTTGATTGACTGGCGGTGTATAACCCCTTCTGACGCTATAAAGGAAAGGAGAGCAAGGTACAGAGTAAATCTATTGGCGATCTGTAATAAGATTTATTAACAAGCCAGGTTTGGCAGCCAGATCAAAACGAGGTGCGGCCATTTACCTGGTCATATATAAGAGGTGGGAGGTTAGGTCTGGTAGTATTTACAATAAGTGATCTAGCTGGTTAGGCCTAAGGAGAATTAATAATAATATCCTGCTTTATTTAAATAAGGCCCTGGCCGCAGCTCTGCCACAGATATCTGAGGCCTTTCGTCGACAAAAACGGGCGCACGTATAGATGGGACCGACGAGTCGTGACGCGTCTCAACCAGCTTCCGTCTTTTTGCGCACGTTGTACCGCATAGAGTTCGGTGAGGAGGCAGATCCTCTTGAAGATGTGCAGACTTGCGAAGTTAAAAATGGAGCCGGCCTCGCCCCGTCCTGCTCCAGATGCCGGGGGCCGACTGCCCTGATTGACGCGGGTAGCGCCGGGTTGTCCCGCTGACCGTGGCAAGGGGGTACATACATGTACATATAGCCATTCGAACATTGCTTGACATTTGAGTCCAGTTGACTGACTCCTCACCACACATGCACACTGGCCAATGAAGAAGCTGCACCAGGCATGCAGTGACACTGCGCCTGAAGCCACCAGACAACATCCGCAGGGGCCATGAAGCTGTCATCCGGTGTGCCGACTGCGCCGTAACGTAAGACTGGTGTCGTATTTCCTGCCAGCATTCGGCATGGGCTTGACGCTTTGCTGTCCTGCACCCCTGAAAGCTATCCTTCGTTGGCATGTCATGCCCATGCCTCATCGCTGCGGCAGAGCGCTCCCTCAACACCCACGCCGATTTCCACTAGGTATTGACTCTTCATAACGCCGCAAAGAATCGTGAATAGGACGTGCGTCTCCCAATAGCTGGCCCCATACAAGGCGATCCAACACCTCAGCGGTCTTCTAAATAAGTTTAGAGAAGTAAATTATAACCTCCCTCTTATATAAAGCACTTTAAACCTGGCCCGTGATTAGCTCCTAGGCCTCCTCTTAGATAAGCTATTAAAAATTATAATCTAGCTTATATTTAGTACTTATAAAGAGAAGGCTAAGGTATTATACAATATTTTTAATAAGGTTAAAAAGGGTGTAAAAAGTACTAAAAATAGGTTCTTACTAGACTTTTACTATAATTACCTACGCCTTTTAGGTAAAGTATACTAAGTAAAGAACCTAATATAAAGTATTCTACAAAACTTAGACGTACTAGCAACTAACCAGTTATTTAAGACAGTAACTAAGAGCCAGATAGCTTAGCTTAAAAAGGCGATTAATTAACTATTCTACGTGGAGTTATTTATGCCAGACTTAGATTTTAATAGCCTAAAAATAAATCTTAGCTAGAGTATTTTATCTAGGGGAATAGGGTATTAGTTTATTAATAGCAGCTAAGACCAGAAAATTAACTCTGGTAGTAGCAAAATGTTTATTGCGCATAGTATCAGTTTCAGTGCTGAATGATTGTGATAAGGGCCTAGCTTGGAGCAATTTACTTAATTCATCTAATAACAGTCTTTGGTATTAAAGGTCCTTGGTTTTCCTCAAGGCCTTGAGGGACCAAAGCCGTCTATTTATACAAGAAGTCGGTGAGGACCTTCTGCCCTAATCCCGTGACCATAGCCCTTGTGTAACCAACGCCATTTCCGTGTAACAATGATGAAATGAGTCGCTTGATTCAACGCGAATGCCGAAATATCTCGGGGAATAAAAAGCATGCGAGAAAGCACCATACGGAAAGAATAGGAGCAATCTATAGCCAGCTGATAAATTAGCATGTATCCCGCATTGGTACCAAACCAAATACGCAATGATTGGTTCGAGTCAAGCTAGAGGTCGCACATCCATACGTTGCACGTACCAGAGTAGAGCCTAGGTATGGAAGCATCCAGGCGATATAATGTACTAAATCTGCCATCTTCCAACAGCTAGCCAAAATTTCATATGCAAGGTCTTTTTGAGTGAGGCTGCTACCGGCACGGCGAGTAGGAAGATGGCAGGGAAATATGGCTGGCAAGACGCATGGCAGCCAGGGGTGGGATCCAAGAGAAGATCGACTTTGGCCAGAGACTGTGCGAATCCAAGAATAACAAGGTCGATTGGCAATGGTCGAGGAAAATTGATTGAATTCGCAGCCTTACTTTTCCTGTACCAATGCATAACCTGGCATTATCCATTCCACCATGTCCAAATTACCTATATAAGTTATAACTGTACATCTGTCGCTTTGCTCTCCTGAAGATGGCATCAAACGCACATTTAGCGACCGCCAAGGGACGAGACATAATATTGTAGAGTTTGGGAGAGAGGATCCTCGACGTGAATGTATTTCGACAAACGGTAGGGTCCTATCAGCCAACAATACTAGTTGCCAATATCTTGACAGTCATCCAAAGGCCCAAAGTAATCCTCTTCCTCCTTGAGATACACCTTCTGCTCCTCTTGCTTCCTGGATAAGAACGCTTTTCTATCATCATTTTCCATGAACAGCGCGATTTGTCGTGAAGTGATTTCGACGTACTTCTTGGTTCGTTGCGGTGTACGCGGTAGGAATCCAACAAGAGTGTAGCTGATGAAGGACCAGTAGGCATCAAAAACATACTCCGGGCGGAGTAGGGCACATACCACCAACGTGTGACACCAGCCTTTCCGTCTATCCCACTCATCAGAAAGTAGAGTGGAACATGCAAGCCCCAAAGATTTCTCCTCATCTCGCACTATCTCGCACAACTTGCTGACTTCAGAGTTGTAGAGTATCTGGCCAAGGCACAGAAAATCGATGGAGTTGCCATCTAACCAGGGAGGGGGGACAAAGAACTGCAATGGCATGACGCTGCTCCATTCCCAGTCGAGCACCGCCACCAAATTGAGGTCATCGTCCCACAAGAGGTTCTGAATGGCTAGGTCACCGTGAACCAAGACAAACGGGCCGCAATCTTGAGCTGCATCGAGCCATGACTCCATTACAAACCTTCTAAAGTCGTGCGAGGCATATAAACCACGCTCACCACGGATGTCAAGCATGGAATTCGTCCCCTTGTCGAGCAGATTGTCTCCCAGCCAGAGAAGTGCATCCACGTACTCCTTTGACGTCTTGAATGTTTTATGCTCGGGGAACCTGGAAGCAGGCGCTAGACCCTCGCGTTGCTGGAGAAGAATTTCTATACATAGTGGCCGGTGGCGAACCCGGATGCTCTGGTCATGGTCCTCCTTTGGAAGGCCAAGAGCGCCAATCTCGGGGAATTCCAGCTGCCGTAGTTGAATGTAGACCTGGGCCAAATTCTGGTACATTTTCTCTCGGGCTCTAGTGGGCTGCGTGGTCACTGAGCACCAGACATCAAGGTCCTTCGGAAAGCCGAGTTCCCTGAGGTTTTTCCCTTTTATGTAGTCCATGATGATGAACGCCATCTTGATAGGACTATTCCTGGCGGAAGAATGCGCCCGTATCCTGGGGACAGGTATTGTGGTGTTGGCTGCCACGTATCTACCCTGTCGTCAGAGACATCCTTTCAATACAAGCCTCGGAAAACTCACTTCATCGTGGCAATCTCTACGTCCATCTTCTCATCTATCCAAGGGACTTCTTCAGGGATAGGAAGTCTCACAACCCATCGGTCAGGCACCCCATCAGAGCTCGGCGTCGCGAATTGCACAAAGAAGCAGACATTGAAGCTTCCATGCTTGACAGGTTGAAAAACCTGGCAGGGTTCATTGTCGTGGTACGATGACGCAAGCTTTAGAATCTCGCTCTGGTCTATTGACGCAATAAAGCGATGTGGTGCTTCTTGGGCTTTTGCGTCGAGGATTAAATCTCTCATCTTGGAGGATGGGTGGATGAATGAGAATGGTGTTTATCGCGCGTACTGCCTGAAATTTCAGGACGCAATGATTACGCGCTCTTATCCAATCACATCAGGAGTGCCAAAGGTCCTTGCTTTTCTAAGAGCAAAGGAGGGAACGGTAACCACTATATATACATGAAGGGAAGGCGTGTGCCTACATGTAGGGCTCTTGCCCGGGCACATGCATGTGTTTAATCTGTGTAACCAACAGGTCCTTTGTCGGTGAAGCTGCATATCCTGAACGTCAGACGGCCGGAGCCTCCCAGCAGTGTCGATGAGCTTATTACAGGCAGGGGCTAGTCAGAGAGATCCAATTGACTTGACAGTGATATGCGGGGTTAAACGCCCGGCCTACCTAATAGAGAATTGACATCAATGTCCCCAACATCCGCGCCGAGGATCCTTGCTAGCTCGATGTCCATGTCTGCCTAGAATTTAGGCCATGTCCCATGTCCCGCTCGGGAAGCCCCAATAGCAAGAGCCAGGAGAAGTGTCTGGTACATATGTATAAAAGGGTGTGCCAGCTTGGGGTGTGGGCATGCACTAATATGCGGCGGTAGCCCAACTGCATGCTCCGTACTTAAGTATTGACTTTATATAGCAGCAAAAGCCCTCGGGAGCATCCCAGGACGTGGACTGTTTGGTCCTCCAGTTCCATGACACAAAGCAATCCAATACTTGGCCTTGGGACCGGGCTCTTCCCCAAGTATCCAAGTATCTTTGGGTACGAAGACGTCCATATAGTTTCGTGCGATGGCTAGGATGCTGGTAGTTCCACATCAAGCGAGCCTACACGTTCCCTCCAGTGCCTTGTTTCTCAACCAAAGAACCACCTCCATTTTTCCTTTGCCTACTCTATTGCCCTAAAACTACGATACGCTGTGTCTCAACTACTATCCAGCTGCCCTTGCCACGCGGCATGACTATTGCTCTTCCTTTTCTTCCTTCTCAAAGCCGCCAACGCCAATGTGATCTCTCTCGCTGTCATGAACACAAACACCACAATCAGGCAAACACCTATGAGGCAAACGACAAGCATAACAGCCACGCAGAATCCCTCACCAACCTTGTACAATGGACGCCACGAATTCTTTGTGGTGCCATATAACCCCTGTTGAGAAGAGTAGCCCAGCTGGATGGAGCTGATAAAGATGCTCAAAACGCCAAAGGTAAACAACAAGGGCCCGTAAAAACGACTAAAGTAGGCATCGTAATTGCCGTAGACCTTGAAAAAGACAAACTTGCGCAAGACAAACTTTCCCCAGAAATTGAGGGGTCCAAGGCGCAGCTGACCGTATTGATAACGAGGGCTCACATCGGCATCAAGTATTGCCAAGGGCCCGAACGCCTGAATAAAATTGATAAAGGAAGTATAAGTAATATTGGAGTTTTCTTCCCCAAAAGCCAGCTCTGCAGCTACACTTTCGCCGTCTGCTCTCTTGTATATCGAATTGCAGTCGATTGGCAAAAGGCCGTGTTTCTCTGCAAGCGCAAAGTCCGAAGGATGCTGCACTAAATGCTGGTAGGTGCGCATAAATCCCAAGATGGACTTGTACACGGCGTCCTTGTTCGTGCCGGCACTCGGTTCTGGTTCCAGGACCGCGGACCAGAAGGCGTAGGAAAGCAGAAACGGCGGGATGGGCTTGAGGAATACTCGGTGGTCGTGCCAGACAAGATGCAGCTCCGGGTTTTCCGTCACCGTGATCTCTCGGCCGACGGCGACTTGGTGAGTCAGGCTGAAGACGTGGCTGCTGTCCTGGGTTGACACGAGCCAGAGCCATTTTGAGAAGGCGTCCAGCTGCGGGGTGCGGAAGTCGTTTTGGAGAAATTGAAGAATGGCGGATCGGTCCAGTGTTGTTTGGGGGTGGCCCGGGAGGCGACGGCTGCTGTCGCCAATATCTGCTTTGTGGATGCCGTGGAAGAGACTTGGGAAGGTAGGGAGGGTCATGGTGTAGAAGCGAGTGCAAAATTGTCGCCAAAGTCGGAGGATTAATTTGGTTATTGAAAGGCGTGACTTTGATAACTCCAAGGATGGGCCAAGGGAGGTGTGTTCGAGACAATCGGATTCGGACAGCAGGCGGTATTTTGTGATTTGCTCACGCATCTGAGTGCCGAGGGGCTATCCGATGGCCGCCTTTATCTTGTCAATCTTTTCAAATGAATTCCTGGACAAATCAAGAGTTGTCAGGGGCCTTGATGCCGGTTGGTGGTACATAACACATAGCCAGAGGTTCCAGCCGCTTATCCGCAGCCAAAACGATCTGTGAGGCTTATAGGGTGATCGAATACTGCAGTCTGATATCTGCACAGGCTTTTGGCATCTCGAGTGGATTCCTTGGTAGACAAGACGTACGGCGGCAAAATCAGTTTTCGCCCGGCGACATGGACAGTTGTCCAAGGGAATAACAATGGTGGTCAGCTGCCCAACTACCCAATTATGCAGCACTCCTTGTTCTTCTTGGAGGCTGAGCATCATGTCTGCACATCTTTTGCCGTTTACAGCATGAAAATACACCCCGAACGAGATTGCTGCAGCGGAACCGGGACGGGCCGCAGGGATGGAGAGATTTCGTCATGTTGTTGTGTAACAATAGCAGATTGACCACACCAAATTTTCAGAGTTGGTTGCTCATTTCACCATTGGCAGCTCTGAGCTGAATTCAACAGTAGATTGGTTCCCGATTGAGACAATTTAGCTAGAGAATCGAAAGCCCCTGACAGATGACCGATTGAAATGGACAGACTTCTGGCAGTGATTATTGGGATCGGCCATGAGGTCATGGAGTAAAAGAAATCCAGAAATAGCGTCCCTCGGCCGAATACGCTTAATATACCGCTAATAGGTGTGTTCTTTTGACTGTCTTCGGCCCATGACACTTGCGCTTAATTTCAAGCTTAGTGTCAGTATATGTGGGTATATTCGGGTAGACCAATCATTATGGTGACATCTGAAAAAAGTTCACGCCATGAGAGTTATAGAATGACTCAAATCCCCCGGCTGATGAATTCAATACTAGGGACAAGTCCACTCTTTAATGTGTGAAAAGGGCAGGAAAACTGGGCTTGGAACGTTGGGCTCACATATCAATTGAATAATCGACTCTAAGGTATTAAAGGTCCTTGATTTTTTAACAGGTTTAGAGGGGCCAGAGGCCTCTATAAATAAGAAATCGGTGAGGGCTAGTGCCTGAGGCAGCCCTCGCTTATGGACCGAGTCCGGGCTCTCGTGATACCTTTCTTTGTGGTTGTGTAACCTTTGTAGTCCGATGTCTTTTTCTAGGTCTTGACCGTGTGACACAATGTTCGTAACGATCACTTTGAATGGTTAGATTGAAGCTTAAACAAAAGCTTCCATGACCGAAGTGAAGACCGGATTGATGACTTGTTGGCAGATATAGATGACGATTTTGATTTACGTTTCTCACAACTACTGGGATAATAATCGCCAGCCCTCAACTAGGAGGCTGTTTTTTTCTGCTCATTCTGAGGAGCCTAGCCCCTACGTCTCATCACCAAGAGGCCGACATAAACAGCCAAGAATACATAAGTATCCGACTCATTTCTCCATCGCGTTCCTTAGGATTACAGTCCCGAATGGATTGTACATGCTATTTTTGCATCATACGGCATGCCATGTATGGCTCAAAGTCCACTGCAAGCTTCGCTGATCAACGCCTTGCAAGAATTGGGAACTTCCAGGCGTAGCCAGTCTAGAGACGGAAATGGCAGTTATTTCACCTCGCGTATTCACACGGAAGCACTCTTATGGTCTTGTTGCCGAGGACATCAGACTATCCGCGTGGCCTATTTTACGACTCTTCAGCGGTTGCACCGCCTCTAGTGCCAGCTTCCGCAGATATTTGGCAGCAATATCGATGTCGTGATACGTATTAGCCTGCCCGGCGGTAGCGACACGTAGTGACACATTCTGAAAACAATCGAATTCATATGGACTCGGGCGCTGACTCATGCTTGAAGGGCTGCTTGACTCATTGTAGCGAAATCTTGGTGGTTTCGAGTCTGCACCCTGCTATTCTGCAACAGGCCATCAAGTCATTCCTCGGCGTCTCTAATGGCACGCAGAGAAGGGGCCCGAATCAGGGTGCTCGTGACGAGTCAATTGGTACACATAGACAACATGGATGGCCAGTCGGTGTGTCCGGTGAAGCTGCGGCGGGAAAAAAAAAATTAACATTGAAGTTTGGCCTGCGCAAAATCCCCCCTCTCTCCCGATTCACCCCACCATCGACCGATGTCAAACCACCCCACATGCATTGACTTGCCCCGCCGGCATTGCGAACTGTCGTCCCAGATTGCTCTTTGGGTGAGCGGGAGCAGCCATCAAATATCAACCCATACACATCTACGAACTATAACAAGGGGTAGATACTGAGTTGTACGGAGTAGTGAGAGATATGAATCGTACAACAAGCTTGCCTCACAAGACAGCTAAGGATTACCTGCCCGGGCTGGAGAAGAATTTAGCAAGCTTGTAAAAGTTCACGAGGAAGGTGCTTGAGACTTTCTTGTTATGTGATTGGCACCTGCCGCCAGTTGTGGGGACTGTGAGGTCGAACACAACCAGTGCGCTGAGTCACCTTCCAACATGATCCCGAGTCATACATTAAGGCCAGAAATTACCTTTTCTTTCCAGAACAGCTCTCTCCTCGCCATTCAATTGTCTGCTTCGACTGCATTTTTTATAACACAATGGGAGACGCCAGCGCTAAGGACAAGTTCGATATCATTCGCGAGAACCTCGCAGAGGTTCTCAACCCCGAAATCATCGAAAAGATTCTCGACGAGGGGAGACATCCGAAGATTTACTGGGGTATGTACATTTCGTTCGACGGCTACATACGTGTCCATTCACTCGTCAATAGCCAATAATCGCCTCCTCCCCAAAACCAAATGCTAATGTGCCTCCTCCCTAACCAGGTACTGCCACCACTGGCCGCCCTCATTGCGGCTACTTTGTGCCCGCCATCAAGATTGCCCAGTTTCTCGCCGCGGGCTGCGATGTCACCATTCTCCTTGCCGACATCCATGGATTCCTCGACAACCTGAAAGCGCCCATCGAGCTTGTCGAGCAACGCGTCCACTTCTACCGTTATGTCATCACCGCCATGCTGGAAGCCGTCGGCGTATCGACCGAGAAATTGCGATTTGTCCAGGGAAGCTCTTACCAGAAGAGCCCCGAATACATCATGGACATCTACAAGCTGTCGTCATTGATATCCGAGCACGATGCTAAGAGGGCAGGTGCTGAGGTTGTTAAGCAGACGGCCAATGCCCCGATGAGTGGTTTACTCTACCCTGTTCTGCAGGTGCTGGACGAGCAGTACCTGGATGTTGACGCGCAGTTTGGTGGTCTGGATCAGAGAAAACTATTCACCGCGGCCAAGGAGTGGTTACCCAAGATCGGATACAAGCAGGTACGTCTGTTATGCCATTCGCACAGGCTACGCGAATCAAGCAATTTGATTTGCTAACTGTATCTTTCAGCGTGCACATTTGCTCAACCCCATGGTTCCTGGTCTTCAGGGTGGGAAAATGAGCTCAAGCGACCAAGGTAAATACCCAATTCTCGTCCTGTCTATATGCGCCTAGTTGATAGAGGCTAACAAAAGTACAGATAGCAAAATTGACCTCCTGGACGCCCCGGAAGTTGTCTCCAAGAAAATCAAGAAAGCCGTGGCTGCACCGCAGGTCGTTGAGGAAAACGGCGTGCTTGCTTTTGTCGAGTTCGTACTGCTGCCAGCGTCTGGTCTGAAGAATGGAAAGAGATCATTCACTGTAGACCGCGAGCGAGATGGTCTTGAGCCCCTGGTGTACGACAATATTGCCCAGATGCAGGAGGACTACAAAAATGATGTGGTATGTTTACTCTTTCGCTACCCAAGTCCCGCGCAAGAATCGTTCTGTTCAAAGAAAAGGCTCTGACATGGTGAAACCGCAGCTCAACCCGCAACTACTCAAGCCTGCAGTCGCCAAGGCCCTGAACGAGCTGCTTGCCCCTATGCAGGCAGCTTACCAGGCGTCCAAGGACTGGCAAGAAGTGGCTCTCAAGGCTTACCCGCCGCCACCCAAGAAGGAGAAAAAGGTCAAAAACAAGGGCACACGCCACCCAGGCCATGTTGTTGAGGTCGACGGTGTTGCGGAGAAAGTTAAGGAATTAAACGTGTAACCAACTAAATGTGAAAAGTTATGCATGCATTAGCGGGAGATAGACACTGGATAGCTTAGCTCATATACCATTTGCTTACGAATCTACGCATCTACCTTCGCATATCCCAAACACAAATGATGAATAAATTAGGCGGCATTCATGATCGCGTCTTATATACGGATGGTATGGCCAGGCCATTATTAATGAACATGGTGTCTATTGGACAACCGCGCAGGGCGCTGCATCTAGCACGCCATGCAGAATGAGGCAAAAAGTACTTGGCCAGATCTGGTACCGCGCTCTATACGAATATACTGCAGAAATAGTGGCATAGGTAGGTACCTTAAAGTGTGTAGTACTTTGCAATACGCATTATTCTCTGATGCCAGAGCGCCAACCGCCAACCGCCGACCGCCTCCCCCCGGGTGCCACTATTACCCAACTGTTTTCCATCCACCACTAAAGCATGCAGGCTATTATGTACAAGGTATCCAGAGTGGATCTTCCTCAAGGTTGACGGACGTCCCATCCCCATCAATCTTCTCAACTTCCACTGGTGCCCGTGAGATAATTTCTCCTCTGCATCACAACACGGCAGAGGGCTTGTATTGCAGCTCGATCAATCCACAAAGTCATGGCGTCCATGGCCTCATCTCTGCAGAGGGCGCAAGCCCCTGTTCGTAGAGCACTATGCAGCACGCCCGCCGCCGCCCGATCCTTTGCCACGGTCCCTTCTCCTAGCGACTCGGCCAAAGCCGCCAAACCAAGGCGCAAGACCTACTTCAAAGATACAGACGTCGCATCATTCTCCGACTTCATCGCTACCTCGTCACCAGCCCAGCAGCTCTCCACCTCAGAGGCCTACTCTCTCCGAACCGCCGAAGTCGGGCCAGCCGGCAAGAAGAGAACAATCACACGACTGCCCGAGTGGCTCAAGACGCCGATTCCCGCAGGAAACGACAACTTCAAAAAGATCAAGAGCGATCTGCGAGGTCTCGGCCTCCACACCGTGTGCGAAGAGGCACGATGCCCCAACATCTCCGAGTGCTGGGGTGGTTCAGATAAGAGCGCCGCCACTGCAACCATTATGCTCATGGGCGACACCTGCACGCGAGGATGTCGTTTCTGCAGCGTAAAGACGAACAGGGCGCCCGCGCCGCTGGACCCCCACGAGCCGGAACACACTGCCGAGGCCCTTGCGCGATGGGGCCTGGGCTACGTCGTTTTGACGAGCGTCGACCGAGATGACCTGGCCGACGGGGGCGCCAGGCACTTTGCCGAGACGATTCGCAAGATTAAGCAGAAGAGGTCGTCGCTGCTGGTGGAAGCGCTGACGGGCGACTTCATGGGCGACCTGGACATGGTCAAGATCGTGGCCGAGAGCGGGCTGGACGTGTACGCGCACAATGTCGAGACCGTCGAGGCCCTGACGCCGTACGTCCGCGACCGCAGGGCCACGTTCCGGCAGAGCTTAAAGGTGCTGAAGCACGTCAAGGACGTGCGTGGCAAGGAGGGCATCATCACCAAGACCAGCATCATGCTCGGCCTCGGCGAGCAGGAGCACGAGATGATGGATGCTCTGCGGGGTACGTACTGGAACCTACAACATGCCCCCCCCCCCCCCCCCCCCCCCCCAGAAAAGTAGACGTCGACGTCGTCACCTTTGGCCAGTACATGCGCCCTACGAAGCGCCACCTCAAGGTCGAAAAGTACATCACGCCCGACGAGTTTGAAATGTGGCGCCAGCGAGCCCTGGACATGGGCTTCCTCTACTGTGCGAGCGGTCCTCTGGTGCGCTCATCCTACAAGGCCGGCGAGGCGTTTATCGAGAATGTCCTACGCAAGAGAGCAGGCGAGAAGGGCATGGCGTCGCCCGCGGCGGAGGAGAATATCGCCAAGGCGGTGGCTATGGATGCCGAGACTCGGCGATGATGGATGATGGGAATGAATGGCAGATACACATACAATTCAGAGGGGCCATTCAGAAGCTAGATGTGTAAATGTTATATATCGGCGACAGGGGTTCGCATAGATGGCGTTTTTTTTCGGGTACTTGACGGTAGAAGGCAGGATATTCAACAATAGGTTCTTTCAAGATGAAAAGATGCAATGTGCGTCATGGACGTATGTACGTTTTGGTGCATGCCCACGTCCAAAGTCGGACGAGAGCCGACGATGTGGATGCCTGGATGTACGACATTGCAGGAAACTAGCATGCTTATATTCCACGAAGCTAGAGCAGATGTACCACGGCTCGGTCAATATATGAAACACTTTTACAGTCATTTACACGTCTTCGTCACGGGTATCGATCCACAGCTACCTACTTGCCGTCCCACAGTCCCCTCAGCGCCGTCAGCGCGATAAACAGCGCCTCCTCCGTCCGGATCGTCCTGCTGCCCTGCCCCGGGAGCACATTCACCCACTGGTCGAACAGCTCCCTCGTCCGGACGCCCTGGATGTCCATCTTTACCAGTTCCTCGTCGTTCATAGACGCAAACTCCAGCCCGCGCGGTCCGCCAAACACAATGAGCAGGTGCTTGAATTTGAGGGGTTTCGCCGAGAATGCCTTGGAGATGGGGGTCCCGCGCTCCGAGGTGCCGATGCTGAAATCATAGCCGTCCTCGTACGGGCTTTCCGTAAACACTGAGCTGAGGGAGGGGCTTTTTCGGACGGTATACCCCCAGTAGTAGCCGCCTTCTGTCCGGGGCGCTTGGGGGTCCACGCACTGGGGATACTGGGACTGGTCGTCGGGGAAGAGGAGCGTGAGGCGGGTCTTGGGCGGGATGTCCTCTTCGATTTCGACGGGTTCGTCGAGCCCGACCTCCACGAGGGTGCCGCTTCCCGTGCTGGTTTTGCCGGGAACGGTGACACCTTCGCGGTAGGAGATCCAATCTTTGGGATTGGGGTGGTGAGGCATGTCCAGGCTGGGGAGGAGCGCGGTCAGGCGGAGGTTGGGGTGTAGTGGGAAGAGGGCCTTGCGCATGAACGGCGGCGCTTCGAGGAACGAGAGGATGTGTGTGATGAAATGGGCCGGGTCGGTGTCGCCTGTGTAGCCCGCTGTGTCTGTTTGTCGCGGACGGGAGGAGGCTGGCGAGTCGTCGAATACGACGACCTCGTCAACGGCGAAGACGGCGAGGGCGCGGGCGATTCGTCCCGGTATGGACATGCGTTGGTCTGCGGTCGCTAGGCTAGGAGGCGTGTGTTAGTAGGGCATTGCGCGGGCAGTATACGGGGCGTATCAAGAGGGCTTACTTGGTCAAGATGCTGGTTGGGATGGCGACTGATACCGTCCAATCTCTGCCGCCTTCCGTGGGAGCGAAGCTGGCAGAGGGCTTGAATGAAGTTCTATCTTGCTGGCCATTGTGGGCCGTCTTCCGCTTCTTTTTGCCTGGTAAGGTTGCAACTCACTATCAATTTTACAGGGATACACTTACTTTATTATTACGCTCGTGAAAAGACATGATGGCTTTTTTATACAGCTGTTTATCAAAATTGATGTCAATATGAGAACCCCGGTCGGTGAGGGTTGTAGAAAAGTCGAGGCAGCTCAATAGGTCCGGCAGAAAGCGGGCGCACCTCGATTCACCGCCTGCCAATCCTGGCTTCACGCCACCTGTTGGTTGGTCAGCCAGCTGTTGGAGATGGCATCATGCTGCATTGCTGTCCACTTCTCCATCTCATCCATCAATCTCACTGCAGACTTTACACAGGTCAACGTGGACATAATGAGCGGTCTTGTTGAAATTAAGTCTCCTTCAGAGTGGCAGTCTCTGCTCTCCAGCACCTCCGTAGTCATCGCCGACTGTATGATTCACGCCATTGCTCCGCAACCGGGGAGTCCACGCAACAGGTTAACTAACTCATGATAGTCTATGCCGACTGGTGCGGACCATGCAAGATGATCGCTCCTCATTTCCAGCGTCTCGCAAGCCAGCACTCTTCTCCCAAGAAGGTGGCCTTTGCCAAAGTCAACGTCGACTCCCAACCCGAAGTCGCCAAGGAGAACCGTGTGTCTGCAATGCCCACCTTCAAAATCTTTCACAACGGCACCTGCGTCGAGACTATTCAGGGTGCCAATCCGACCGCTCTCTCTGAGGCTGTTACCAAGGCAGTCCAGCTCGCAGGTAGCGGCAAATCTGCCGATGGTCTCTTCAAGACCCCTGGTCGAACTCTGGGGGGAGGTTCGCCTTCTGCGGGCGGCGGCTTCAACTACAGCGGCCTGTTGAACCTTCTTATCGCCTTCGTTGGCCTGTACCTGGTGTCCTTGTTTTCGGCACGTAACCAAAAAGCGGACTAGCTGTCAAAGGAAGAGAAGTTGCTGACTGGGTTTTTCGTACAGTTCGACGCGCAAAAGGCTGCTGAGCAGTCGCGGTTCAACGTTCATAAAGCGCCGCAGAGACCTGCTCCTCCACGCGCGTCGCCAGCAGCTTCTGGGGCTGGGGCTGGGACTGGATCAGGTGCGAGAGCTCCGGGGGGTGCAGCCCATCCCCAACAGAGGGCCACGTTTAAGACGTTGGCCGATCTATGACCGAAATGGGCAAGTGTGAGCGGCTTTAGTTATTTGCATGGCGTTGTGGGACATGATAGGATTTCTTCATTCATTCCAAATACAAAGAAGGTTATTGTAATGCATGGTTCAACGCGAAAACTAAGCGCTAGTTCGACTTCCAGACTATTGCAATGGGGCATGTGAGTAACTATGACAGAAAGGGAGTATTTGATCAGGGCATGTATCTGGCAATTGCGCTCTACACTTCTACATACTGTATTGTTGGTGTATACTTGGCAATAGGTAAATATAACTTTCCAGACTGCCAAGTAGGTTCACCACCAATTGCCTTACGGCCAACGCAGCTCACCATCGGCACATGGCAGCCTTCTAGCACGCAGTCTACAGTCACCGGCAAGACTCGGTGTCCCAAATACGCATAAATTTCAAATAATTTCTCTTCCCTCTGCAACTAGTATCATCCCGTTTTGAAGGGGACCTTTCGCAACTGTAATCACCCAATCACGCCAACAGCATTACAAAGTATCGCGATCACGTGATAACGCGATAAAGAAAAAGCTCCAACCTCGACCTCTGCGCGTTTCCCTCCTGCAGCACACACTTGTACAATATGTTGTAAAAATGCTGTCATTTAGAGGCATCCGACATGCATATTCTAGTTATGGCTATTCTACCTCGCTTTTTTTAAGAATTTCTCATTCACATTCGTCATTTGTCAGGGCGCAAAAAGGCTCGGTTTCAAACGTCACTGGGGGCGGCGCATTTTGCACAGCTCTCGCGGGGCGAAATTTTTCTATTTCCAGATCACTAAGAGCGATCCAGTTGATAGAGTCAGAATCAACAAGCCAAGAAGACATCGAAAAGGTTGTGCGGGATGCAAAGCAACGATTTCGTGACACACTACCGCGCGGCTACCTCAACGATCAAGAGTATGCGCTGTACGAACGACTGTATGGACCACCCTTGCGAGAAACCCGACCAGAAGATGTCGGAATTGACACCCATGCGGACATGGGACCTGTTCCCCCCCGGCCGAACGACGAGGGCACCCTGCTGCGACAGCTTGAAGGCGGCGAGTTTGAAGAGGTGACCTACAAAATCGACCGACAAGCACAGCCTATGGAGGAGTCGCATGAGATTGGTACGGAATACCCTGACACCAGAGAACACGATATAATTGAAAAATCTCCTGGGTATGTGGATATTGTGGCTCGAAGCCAGAGGGAACATGATGCTCTGAAGAGACTAGCGGAGGACTTTGAATCCGCTCAGAAGAGCAGAGTCCAGAAAGAAGATGAGAAAGTGGACATAGAGGAAGAAGGTATGGAAGAGGATGGAACTTCGTCCTGGCTGCCGGAAGAAGAGCAAGTGTTTGGCGAACGAGAGTTGGGAGAAACCAGGCGATTCCATCGATACACTCTGGAGGGCAGGTTTCACGGTAGCCCTGTGGAAATACCGCTGCCCAGAGACGAGTTGATATCACCTATCCGGGAACTTCTGGAGCGAACTCATCTGAAACATGTCAAACAAGCCGCGGAGGCAGCCTTTGGCGGACCGGGTCTCCCAACCTCGCCCTCCACGCCCGAAGGACGCAAAAATGGCCTGATGGGAGGAGTTGGGCTCCCTCCTGATCAGCGACAGATGTCTGAAATTGAAGCAGATGCGTTCCTCGCGGGCTATCTACCTCCGGCATACGTTTCGATCATGTCGATTCTACGAGAAGTCCGGAAGCGAGTAGGCAGTGAATGGATACAATCTCGCCTCAAGCAGGGCGAGCAGGGCGGGTTAAGCGTCTTGGATGCAGGTGCTGGCGGTGCTGGCTTAATCGCGTGGGAGCAAATCGTCAATGCCGAATGGGATTTGCTCAAGGAGAAGGGCGAGGTCAGAGGGCCCCAGCCAACGGGCAAGAAGACGGTTATTGCAGCTTCAGATCGCCTCAGGTACCGCCTGAAGAACTTTTTACACAACACGACATTTTTGCCACGGCTGCCCGACTACGAACACTCGGGTGAAATGCAAGGTGAACATCTTGACGCCGGAACCAAGCCACAGACTCGAAAGAGCTTTGACATCATCATTGCTTCGCACCTGTTCCTCAAGGAGAAGCAGGAACACTACAGACAGGCTATTCTCAACAACCTCTGGAGTCTGCTTGATAAGAACGGCGGTGTTCTCATCGTCATTGAAAAGGCACACCCCAGAGGCTTCGAGGCGGTGGCTCATGTTCGAGACACTGTCCTCAACCAGTTCCTCCTCCCACAGTCTGGGGAAGCCAGAGTCAGTGCCGAAGACTTCAACCCAGCATATCATCGGGAGCTTGAGCCGGGCCACATCATCGCGCCATGCTCCAACCACGGGCCATGCCCCATGTATAAGGAATCCGGCAAGAGCAAGGGCCGCAAGGATTACTGCCACTTCAACCAGCGCTTCGTGCAGCCGTCATTCTACAGCCAGATGCTCGGAAAGCATGCAAACAACCAGGGCGAAGTCGAGTTCAGCTACGTTGCGATCCGGCGAGGCTCGCCCAGGAGCAGCCAGCTCACGGGGCCAGAAGCCACGGCGCTAGCATTCCAAGGCTACGAGAAATCACAAGAACATCCCGACATGCAAACACTGCCGCGACTTGTCCTGCCGCCGCTCAAGCGTAAAGGCCACGTAACACTGGATCTCTGCACGCCAGAAGGCAAGATTGAGAGGTGGACGGTGCCCAAGAGTTTCAGCAAGCTCGCCTACCACGATGCGCGAAAGTCAAGATGGGGGGATTTATGGGCACTGGGGGCAAAGACGAGAGTGGCGCGCAACGTGAGGGCTGGCATCGGCAAAGACGACGGAGGCAAACGTGCAGCGGCCGCCGACGGCAAGAAGCCTCGCAGAGTCGAGATTGCCATGGACAGCGGGCGACTCTCAGCGACGGAGAAGAATGCGCTCAAGGACAGGAGGCCCAAGAGCAAGGCCGCCAAGCAGCGCGACTTGATGAAGGAGCTGTTTGATGCGGAAGCCAGAGAAGAGGCACAACTAGACAGGGAGCTCGACGAGGAAGCCGAGGCAGAGCTGGAAGAGGAGGAAAGACGGGCACGAATGCGCTGAGAAACCTTGTACAACCACTGTAAAATATATAATGAGAGGCATCGGAAAAGGATATCGCCCCCAACGGATCTGTACTATAACTACCACGCAAAGCACATAGCTGAAACAACGAGAACAAACATCTCCGAGGACGAGCAAAAAAAGGCGATAAGACACGTCCGCTATCAATTGGACCCCGCGACGACCCGAAAGAGGGACTCACCAGGGGTCTCGAGGCTCCTAATCCCCGCCGCATGATTGGTCCGATAGCGGCCCCATTTTCCGGGGTTAGCTCAATGGCGTCACATCAGGCGCAGATTTGGCAAGCAAAAAAATCGGGGTATCGCGGAAATCGGCGAGCGAACAAGCAAGAATGATAAGGCAGATGTCGTCCAGGTGAAAAACCAACAAAATGGCGTGCTTCCCGGGCCGTCGGGGGCCCGAGTCTAAAATACACGGCGTCGCTGCACACAAACAGCCCACTGCGAATGCTTTCCTCCCGTCTATGCAATGCCAGACGTCGCCATGGCTCACGACACCAACACGATGCTCGCGGGCGTCTACTGCACCGACAACATCCACCTCGTCGTCGGGACGAACCCGCTCGCGGCAGCGCGCTGCACGGCGTCCCTCGCGGCCGGCGCATGTCCCGTGCTCGTGGCCCCGGCCGGCGCAGACCTACACTACAACCTGCAGACCAAGATCGAGCAGGGCCTGGTACGCTGGCACCAGAAGGCGTTTGAGGACGAGGACCTGTTCACGCTGGGCAGGGACGAGGTCGGGCGCACCGTCGACGCCGTCTTCGTCACGTCGGCGCCGAGAGAGGCGCTGGCGGCGCGCATATCGTCCGTGTGCCGGCGCAACCGCATCCCCGTCAACGTCGTCGACGCTCCGCTCCTGAGCACCTTCAGCCTGCTCTCGACACACACCGACGGCCCGCTGCAGATCGGCGTCACCACCAACGGCCGCGGGTGCAAGCTCGCGTCGCGCGTGAGGCGCGAGATTGCCTCGTGCCTGCCGCCCGGCCTGGGCGCCGCCTGCAACCGCCTGGGCGAGCTGCGCCGACGCATCCAGCACGACGACGCCCTCGCGCCGGGGGACCTCGACGACGCCCTCGACCAGAGCAGCCAGTTCAACCGCCTCGTGGGCGACGACGAGGCGCGCACCCGCCGCATGCGCTGGCTGGGCCAGATGTGCGAGTACTGGCCGCTGAAGCGCCTGGCCGCCGTGACGGACCACGACGTCGAGAAGCTCCTGCTCGCGTACCCGGGGCACAACTCGTCCTCGTCGTCATGGCCGGTGCAGCTCGACGCGGCGGCCGCCTCGCCGAGGGGCAGGATCGTGCTCGCCGGCTCCGGGCCGGGACACCCCTCGCTGCTCACGACCGCCACCCTCCGCGCCGTCCAGACGGCCGACGTCGTCCTCGCCGACAAGCTCGTGCCCTCGGGCGTGCTGGACCTCATCCCGCGCCGCACCCCCGTCCAGATCGCCCGCAAGTTCCCCGGCAACGCGGACCAGGCGCAGGCGGAGCTGCTCGAGACGGCCCTCGCCGCCGTGCGCTCGGGCAAGACGGTGCTGCGCCTCAAGCAGGGCGACCCCTTTGTGTACGGCCGCGGCGGCGAGGAGGTGGCCTTCTTCCGCGCGCGCGGGCTGGGGGAAATAATAACTCCAATGGCAAATCCGCAACACAACCCAATAAAGGATAGTACTTGCCAACCAGCGTGGATTTTCCACCGGCCAACCAACAACATGATGAAGGATCCCGCCGCGCGCTGTGGCCCCCCGATACGCCGTGCGCCGTCGTCGAGCGCGCCAGCTGTCCCGATCAGCGCGTCATCCGCACCACCCTGCGGCACGTCGTGGAGGCGGTCGAGGCCGAGGGCAGCCGGCCGCCGGGCCTGCTGGTCGTGGGCGCCGCGTGCGAGGCGCTGTTTGAGAGGGAAAAGGGCCGCGCGTGGGTCGTGGAGGAGGGATTCGGGGGCTTCGATTCGGGGCCCGACGACAACTGGATGGCTGCTTTGCAGGGCGCCATGGGTGGTGATGCTTGAAATTGCAGGTTTGGCGGCGGGTTTCCATTGCATGAGCGTGCGTTGGACAGAGGGGCACACTGGCTGGAATAATTGGACCATTTTCATCGAGACACCCGAACTGAATGGCGGGTTAGGTACCTCGTACACACAGCATTGCTTGGAGTTGGGCATATCATGGGCATTCCACCTTTTGTTTATAGAGAGTACATCCCTCAACATGTTTTCCAAATACGTTGCGAGACTGCAGGCCAAAACGTGAGACCATCATTTCTATTTCGAATGAAAAAAAATCCAAACGAGCCTACCGCCACTCCACCTGCTGCGGAATCAATGACTCCCAAGAGCGAGTTATATACCCCCATGTTTGTCCTGTGCTGCCGCCACAAACAATATACAAGTCTATGCAACATTTCTACAGATAAATCTTCCCTTCTCTGCCCCAAAATTGGCACAGATGGCAAAATGCTAAGCCCCGTTTGTGCGTGGATCAAAAGAATATTTACAGCTCGAATATATATGAAAGAATAAAAAGATAGCCTTCCAACGGTCATGAAAGCCGCCAGCAAACTCCCGTGTGCCTAGTTACCACGTAAAGCTTTCCTCGATGAAGTCAACAACGGTTTCGCCCTGGGCAGCCCGTACAGCACCTCGTACGTCATCAGCAAGGGCGCCGGGGCCGCAGACGCTCACCACCATGGCACCAACTTGCTCTTGGACCTCCTTGGACACCAGAAGTGGGATGTTTGGTCGACCGGGGAACAACTTGACTGTAGTGCTGCTAGCCATGACATCGCGGGCGTTTTGTGGACGAGTCACAAACACCTGAATACGAAGGATGTCCTGACGGTTTGGTATGCGCAGGATGCTGTCCATGTACGGACGCACCCATTCCAAAGATTCATACTCTCGGATGATCCACACCAAGGTTAGTCGTCGAGTAGCCACGGTGCCGGCATTGTAGCCCTCCAGGTGGTATTTGAGGTACGACAACTGATGTGTGATGCCGGTCGAGCCAGCGAAGAGCAAGAGATGTCCATATGAGTCGAGGTTATGATGTCCAGCATATGGCCCTTCCATGGCTGCTCGGATGGTGACGCCCCCAGGGGACATTTGGGCCTTGGTAAAGAGCTGTCGGGTAAGCCCAGTCTGCGCTCCGATGACGAACGTCACAGAAGTCCTCGCTTGTTTCTTATCCAGGACGCCGTGGATAGGCTCCTCCTTCTCGTACGTGGGTAACAAGTGATCCGGACAATGCTCGACCCAGGCGATGGAAAACGGATGGCTCTCCCAAGACTTCATGCCTGAAAAGCGCAAGTAGGCGTGGGTGCCTGGTGAGATGCTCTTGTATCGTGGAAGCTTTAGTGTAACTCGAGTTACCTCACCGGGCATGGCTTCACAAAAGGCGTCGGTGAAGCCCTTCTTTGACCAATTGGTGTACGCCAGTCGAAAAAATCGAGCAAACCGATCAGCAAACCACAAGGACATGATGCCCATGATCCACGACAACTGCGGCAGGCCACCCGGTACGCTGGCCGTTGCACAATGGATCCAGGTGCAAACGAAGACGACCAGGGCAAGGAAGATGTGGAGATTGAGAAATGTTTCATAAAAGGCGTGGCGAAGAGGCGAGACAGAGGCGATTAGCAAAATAATCATGGCAAGCGTACCGACGAGACCCGATGCAATAAATGGCGTGGCGATGAGGGATTCGAAAACACCTCTCCAACCTCTGTCAGCTACGGCTGGAATCGTCCATGCGATGGTGTGGATGACCGACTCTGCGACGACAATGCGGCCCATCCAACGGTGCAAGAGGTTGTACGTGTCAAAGCTGATTTTGAGCATGGATATCAAGGGGTTGTTGCGACCTGCGAAAATAATCAGTGGCACCATGTTGACAAGCGCCAAGGTGCCGGAGCGTCCTCGCAGCTCTGCACACAAGGAGTACTTGTTCGGATTTGACCAGTCGAGGATGAACATGTAGGCAATATTGCTTCCAAGATAGCCAAGAATGACCAGCATGTGAAGTCGGGAGGGCAGTGTGCCCACGTTGACAGCGGATGAGAGCTTAAACTCCCGATTGTGTCGTTTGTTCCAGAGAGGGGCATAGGTGAGGTGCTTCTTGACGCTGGGCATCCAACTAAACTGCGAGGTTTTCCAGTAGAGCTGTTTCTCTCGCGGGACCGTCATGGCGGACACTTGTCGGAGTTTTGCCCACAGAATTTCCATGATGCGAACAACCAGCACTGCAATGCCGGCAATGCCCAAGGTCCACCAGAGAACATCACGAAAGAACAGGTTCATTGGCTGATTGACGCCATTTAGCGCGGTATAAAAAGGGGCAATTGTTGAACTGGGCTGTACCTGTTCAGATGCAGGCGATCCCCTAGACTCCAAAGTCTTGGTTACGTCCATCTTTTCTAGATTTCTAAACGTGGCGAGCCAGCGCCAGCGAAAACGAAGGGGCAGGGGAGAATCGAAGGGATCGAGGGAGAAGGAAAAGGAAAATGGGGAATCTTTAAAGACTGTGTATATAGGAATGGGAAGATTGAAAGAAAAGAAGCTCTCGCGTGTTGCCGTGCCTGTCCTGTTCAGAGACAAGACAGTCACCCGCTCCAACAATGCTCAAGACCTCGAGGGCTATAAGCGATCTCTGTTGCCAGAACAGCTACTAGAGAAAGCAAGCGCACCGAAGAAGGGCCAATGAATGCTCTTATGTGCTCACGTCGATTCGCATGATGGAATGGACGGGCGGAAAAAGAGTGGCGTGCAAGGCAATTCACGGCGAGAGCGGGTGGTTCAATGGCGCCTCCAGGTTTCGCCAAACGTGGGCACCAGATTTGCTATGACCACGGTAGAAACACGACACAATGTGGAAGGAGCGAACGGGACGGTGGCCTGAATCGGCCAGCCGCCTCCGTGAGAGAGAAAATGAGCCGTGTATCCGAAAAGCAACGAGCCCTCGTCGACGGGGGTCCCGAGCGTTTGTGAATAACAGGAAAGTGAAGGGAAAGTGAGGATGCGGTCAAGGCAAAGTGAAGTACATGAGTGTTGACAGCAAAACAAGGGAATGCTGGTGTATCGGCGGAATGCTCCACGCGGCGTCACACTCAACCAAACTCTGTTCCTGGTTCCTCTTTGGTAGATCCCTTGGCTCGCGCAAGAAGAGGCGAAACGATGGCGTTGGATGGCGTCGGACGGCGTCTGTTGATCCGCCAAACAATCCAAACCAGGCAACGAGACGCAAGCCAGAAAAAGTCGATGCGGTGTTTTTGTTTTTTTACTTTTTTGCTCGAGTTCGAGGATGCTGGGGGTTTCAAGCAGCGCCAGGCTGCGGAAAGAAGGGGTCTGGTAAAATAAAGCAGCGAAGCAACGGGTTGCGAAAGTACGGCCGATGACGATTTCGCAATATTGTCCTTGTGCAACCTGAGAAGGGATTTACGAACGTCTTATGTGGTGACGCCAAACGAGTGAATCAGGAATGAAGCAAACGAAGCTGCGTCCAGCCGCGCAGAGAAATGCCCAAGGTCGACGAGAGGTCTTGAGACGAGCCGGGGGCCGATGATGTTGGTGGTCGACAGGGCCAGCGCTTAGCAAGGCCAAACTCAAACTGCTCAGGAATGTAAAACGTGAGATGCTCGGATGTAACGCCAGAGAGGCTGGCGCGAGGGAAAGGAAAGAAGAAAACCCGCAGAAGAGACCGAAGAAAAAAGTGGACGAGACATCTCAGATATGAAGGCAAAAAGCAAAGCGCAATAACACAAAGTCGACATTTCGTGGACACTGGATGAAGAGCCGAACATTCGACATGCTGGGTCGACCCCTGGGCACACCCTGGCAGCAAACAATGGAGACGACAGGATGCACAGGTCGATCCAAGAAAGACCAGATGAAGAGTTCTTGTGCACGGGCAATGGACGGGCCCCAGCCCAACGATTGGCTGGCGCCGTCCTTTTTTCTTTGCGCGTCGCGGCCTGTTCGGCAGGGGTTCCAGAACAAGTGTTGCCATGCTCCCATGCTCGAACGAGATGAATGGGCACGACTGCGTATTGGCATGTTCACGGAGTTCAATGCTGCCCATTTGGTGTTCAGCGCCCCTCTTAGTCTTTTCTTCCTCAACGGCCCCTGAACGTCGTCTCCAGCATGATTGTCTACTGCTGTCTCTTTTTGTTCTTTTTTTCCCTTCTCCTCCTCCCCCCCCCCCTTTTTTTTCTTTCTGCCGTTGCCGCTTTGTTAGCCATTGCGGCATTTCGCTGAAGCGCCACGGGAAGAGAGTCATGGTGGCGGTTACGTCGACCAGATCCCACGCAGCCACGATTTCGACGGGTGCACCTGCGTCTTGCAGGGCGACTCGTGAATGGCTGGCCTGCTCTGGCTGACCACTGATTGGCCGCCAGTTGCTGACTGACGACGGGCCCTGACTGGCTCTGGTGCCACCAAGTAAGGGCCCCAACTTTTTGAAACTGTCCCCTGCCGCCGCTCCCCGTCGTCGTCTTGTCAGGGACTGCCTGGGCATTCGACGGCTGGCGGGTTCCATGGCGCACGCTAGGCGGCGGGTGGCTGCTGGGCACGCTTGGGTCACATGCAGGGGAACACTGAGCGTACCAAGAGTTTGGCGCCCCTCCAGCATCCATTCGCCAACCTCACGCAGGCACGCAGACAAGCAAAACCTTCGGTACCGTCATAATACCACGCATTTCTGCAGTCGTCCGTCGTCTTCAAACAGCCTGAAGCTATGCAAATGATGTCCCCGTGTCCAACGGCCTTGTTCGCAGGCCCAGTACATCACATTGCCGTGCCGTGGGTTCCGAAGATGCGTCACCCGCCAGTCGCCAGCTCCAGACTCTATCCATCTCCTTCACGGCTGAGGCAGGTTTCATCCCCAACATGATCGTGGACTCCCATCGCCGAAGCGACTCGCCATCGTCCCATTCATACTCCATCATTGGAACCGAGCATGTACGTGCATGGAGTGTTTTACGCATCATATGATCTGTTGATTGTCTTCATTCAAGTCCCACGTTTTGCTTACGGCCCTTGGTCCTGTCAATCTGTCACGTTCTTGGCACGACCATTGTCATCCAGGTTCAGAGCCCGCTTTTGCGGTACCAATAATTATGCTTGTTAACTAGGGCCCAAATCTCATTTCCAATTTGGCGTACAGTGCGCAGCGTCCTCCACAGCTCCTCAGATGCTCAGGTCCTCTAAAGTGCTGTCGTTACTTCTGACTTCATTGACAATTCCGCAATGCAGTGGTAGTTGGGGGCCGAAGCTGATATCCGCGACTTCAACTGTCAGTGACTGATAGGCTGTAGCTATCCTTTGGTGTGCCTCTGGATCCCAGTTGCCAAGGTCCTCCATAGTCAATACTAAAGTAAGAGGCTCCAAACAGTTTTCCCTGCTCGTCAAAAAAGTATACTCCATCACAGTCTCTTGGAAATCTCACGACTATTGCATCTCCCTTTGAAAGTTAAATTAATGGTGCTTGGCTTGGCAAATGTTGGCGTCGGATGTTTCTGCCTGTATTCTTCCCATAATAGAAAAAAAGCGGAACAGAATGACAGACGGTGGAAATGGACTTTCTTTCACCAGACAGGCTCCAGAGCAGCATAAATGTAATGATTGACCACCTAAATGAATAGACCTAGTCTGCAATGCAGCTGGGGCAGGATGCATGTCACCACGAGCACAGACCATACTTTGGCTGTGATCCTAAAAACCGCGGCTGAAAGCTAGCTGGCTGAGAGGAGACTTGGGCCACCAGTGAGAGTGGGGATTTTCCACCGTTTTAACTTTTCCCGACTGATCTTTGCCAAATTCAGCAATGATTTTTCACCGCCTTCTATGGTCTGGTATTCTTTTCATCAGCAAGGTCGGGCAAATCGTCAGCAGCTACGGAGTAGAAGCTATCAACCCAATTGACATAACTACATCTTTTATCAGGTATATCTCCTTATCTTACGGCATCAGCGGCCATACTAACTCTTTATTATTCTCAATAGTTCATCATGTCTTGGAATAAGTCAATAACGCTGTATTTTCTCGAGTTATTGCTCAAGGCCCGGCGGAATAACCCCCTTTTAAGTGTTAAAAAGACGGCATTTCGAGAACTATGCAAGTCATTGGTCAAGGACATGGAAGTAAAGTTTCCTGATGAAAATTGGACTGTAAAGAAACTCGAGAACAAGCATAATTACTTACGATGTTTCTGGAGGGCATTTCGCGATGCAGCGGAGCGGCCTGGCACAACGTACAATCCGGAAACAAAGACGCTGCGTATGAGCGACCAAAACATCCATCTGATTCGGTCAAAATACCCAAGAAACGGCAAAGCAGTCACATCGCAACCCTTACTAACAAATGACGCGATTGACTATAACGAATGGCTTGAGATTTTCTCCCTCGAGGCTCCGGCCGGCCAAGACTTGACCAAAGCCGATACTATAAAAGTTGGCGATGCAAATGTCGTGGAATCTAGTCGCCACTCGTGCGTTACCGATTGGTTGAAAAGATGCGCTCATAGTATGGACAATGCCTCATCGCCGCTGACCTCCGTTGAAGATGGCGATCATAGTGGTGATATTGTTGTCCAACAGCCTCGAAAGCGGCGGCGCACTTTGCGAGCGACGTCACAAAGTTCAACGCCTAGTCCGACACTGCCTGCTACGCTCCTAGACGGTCTTCAGAAGGGGGAACCCCAGCAACTAGCTGCATTCATCGCCCTCTCCAAAGTCATTGACGGGATAGCTAGACAGGGGGGGAAGCATAATATCATAATCCAACCAGTAGGCGCCGAGGACCTTGAGAAGGCCTGTATAGATGCGCAGAGGCTTCGCGAGGAACATGGGGTGACCCTGGTTCTTCGGGTTCTTTCATGGCTTCTGAAAGACCCGAGAAATGCGATCATATGGAATGCTCTCGTGTCAAATGAGCTTAAAATGGCGTGGATAGCTTCAGATTTTGGCCAAAATGTATAGATGGCTCGTCTTTGTAGTGGCGTGTTGAGGAAAATGTGGCCTCCAATCGAAGAACGCGCTGCCGTGCCAAACCCAGCATCGCCAAGGTAACGCGATTGGGGCACCACGAAGAAGTTCAATAAAGCTTTTCACAATGTTGATACTACATACTCACTATTAGACTAGCATCTTCTCCGCCTCTGCCTTCGCTTGACCGATGGTTGCGGGGAACCCGTCATACTACTAGTACGTTGGTCAGATAACGGCGGAAGCACGACACAGTGTCAAGAAACCAAGTCCACACTATTGCTGGCCCATTCGGGCATTTTTGGACATTGGAACCTGGATGCTGGGGCGGGCGAGTGGTGCCTGGACCTTGCAGTACCAAACAACTCGACAACAACCTTGGATTTCATATTTCAATAGTCGACCCCGTCTAATACAATCAGGACTGACCTGATACCTGTCGATTCCCCTTTGATGCAGAGAGATGGCTCAATTCGGCCCAAGACAGATTGTTACCTCCACCATGCCCCTGCATGGTAAAGTTGAACCGTGGACACGATTTCTCGCTTCGTATACGAGGTTTTTTTCTTTTCACCATCGCTTCAATGAGCCATAACTTGGGTAGCTTCTTATTGTATCGGGTCATGGCGATAATGATGCATGCAGGCGCCAAGGCAGGCATCCCATTATTTTGCTGGGAACTTACGTAAGATAAAGACTTCTTTCATTGGCAATCACAGAATGCGCCTTGGCTTCATTGTTGCAGCAGCGGCTTTGTCACCCGTCGATGAGCTCATGCGGCCGTACAACAATGGGCCAACAGTTGCAAGACTGCGTTCCCGTTGGAACAATGTATCCTTTGTGAAGAGTCGGCATTTACCGCTTATGACACCAAGCATCCGCTTGTTTGTGTACTTGAGATCTCGTCGAGTAAAGTGACTAGATGTGAATAATTTGACGCCGCCGAGCAACTATGACATTCTTCTTGAGATCTAGAGGACTGCTTGCTTGCCAGTGTGCGAGTCGCGACAAATGGCGGCACAGCCACATCGAGGACAGAGTGCCCAGCCACCGCGGGGCTTGCGAGTGATGCAACTCGGGTGCAGCCCGGGGACCAACAACGCCTCAGGCACCAAAACTTGGCCCCCGGGAAGTGACGCAGCCGAACTGGTGCCGGAAATTTCCAGGTCGCAGACCGGATCGCGAGCCGCCAGAGAAACATAATTGTCGCACTGCCATTGAGCTCGACAAGATGGGTGCCAACGCGTCAAAGCAAGAGGCCAATGGCCAGTACGAGTGGAAGGCGTAAGTCCAACTCGACCGCCCCCGGGGCTGCAACAATGGCACCGCTAACCATCGTCTCGAGCAGCTCAGGGCCTCCCAGCGTCTCCGTCGAAGTCCTCGATTCGCTAAAGTCCAGCCCAGAGGTACGGAGTACCAACTTCCTGATTCTCGTTCCTGATCCGCTTCTGGATCGCCCACAAGCCGCTGCGTGTGTCAATGCGAGTCGTCTGCTAACCAACACAACATGACAGACCGACGCCTCCCGCGCCAAATTGATCGAGCAGCATGTCCAGGCGCGCGTGGCCGAAGAGCTCAAGAAGCTCCAGAAGAAGGAATCCGAGGCTCTCAGTGTTGCCCACGAGAAGATTGCGTCGTCGGAAAACAGCGACGAGAACAAGCTCAGCAGCTTCTCGCTCGGAAAGGAGGTTGACGAAATGCGGCGCAAGCTGGATGAGAGGAAAAAGGTCCGCGAGCTACCAGAGAGCGTTGAGAACGCCCGCGGCGCTGTGATTCGATGCTTGAGGGAGCACGACCGCCGGCCGCTGGATTGCTGGCAGGAGGTGGAGGACTTCAAGGCCGAGGTGAAGAAGTTGGAGAAGACTTGGGTCGACAAGATCACGTCATAAAACAACGGGTGCTGGGCCGGTTTTTCGCCTGTCTAGGGGAACCGTATGAGCGTGCTCTGCTAGATCGGGGGGGGGGGGTTATTTTACTGGTATTTACATGCTGCTTGGGGCACTGACAGCCGCCGGATGGGGTTACGAGATGGGAAAGCAAGCAAAAGCTACGAGGCTAGCCGTGTACATTACTGCATTGGAGAAGCGGTATAGAGAATAAACAATGTACAAACCTGTTTGACCGTCACTCGTCAGCCGGTGTCGTGTTGAAGCCATGCTGCAACACTGTATGATGGACTTGTATCAACCAGGGCGGTCACAGTCTCTGACAAGGCGTCTTTTTGCCTTGTGGTCCGGGATTCGCCAGCATAGTACTACCAAGAATTGGCAGTACCATGGGCGGCAAAGTTGCACGTACCTTGTGTGTCAAACAATCTGTGACTCCCAACTCTACACATACGACCGTATCTATACCCCGTTCCCGGTTGCAAGCCACACCATCACCGACCACAGGCCAAATATATATACCTTTGCTCAACGCATTACACCCGAGTTACGAGAGCCCAGCTACTCTGCCAACAGAGCTCATTTATCCCAGAACGCCTACGCCAAACCAAAGTCTAATGCAACGTACAAGTCATCGGCACTCTCCCTCCCGCCATTATCCTCATCGACAACACCCTCCGCCGCCGTAGCCTTCCTCCGCAGCCCTTCAGCCCGCATTCTCTCCCTCCTCGCCGCAGGATCCTCCCACTGACGCCCGTCAGAGCCCATCCTGGCCAGACTCTCCCTGAACGCGCCGCGGAACCTCTCAATCCGCCTCGTGTTCTCGGAAAACCGCTCGTTCCCAATATCCATCAACGCCCGCAGATACGAGCCGGACACGAGCGCGTACCGCTTCCCCTCGAGCTCATGCCCGACCAGAGACTCAAACCCGAGCCCCATGGACCGAACGGCCACCATGGGCGCCGCCGCGGCTTCGGAGTCCGCCGTCAAATTCACCGCGCCCGATTCCCTAAAGCCCGCCTGCAGCGCAGAGCGCAGGAGCAGCTGCGCGTGGGCAAGCGAGGCCGTAAGAACATGGAGGATCTGTTGTTGTTTTTCACACAAGTCACGTAAGCTCTCGTTATCCGCGGGCAACCAGGAACAAACAGCAGCGGCCGTCTTTCGCTCACCATGGGCTCAAACTTGAAGTGAATCAACCTCCCCGTGCGCCGGGCCTCCCCGTCCTCCAAAGCCAGGGTCTGCAGCCAGTCTTGGCCCTGGACCGGATCGTGCGAGACATACAGCCACGTTCCGCCGGCGCCCTTGCCCCCGACGCCGGCTACCTGTGCTGGGGGCTGCTCATCTGCGCCTGCGCCGGCGTCTGCGTCTGAGGATTCTGCCGCCTTTCTGCCTTCCAGGAAGACGCTGACTCTGCCTGCGCAGCTGCTGGTCGTTACGAAGCCGTCTGTGCTGTTGATCTCGTCGATGAGGCGGCGGATGCCCTTGTCGACGGTTCCCTTGGGCGAGAGGTCCGTGTATTCGGCTTCCGGCACGGCGAGTCGGTCCAGGATCTTGGTCTTTTTCTCGGCAAAGGCTTGCGACGGGCCGGGGAGGTGCGGCCGCCGTTGCATTTGTGACGGACGGTGTTGCCTTTGCCCTTGTCTTATGTTTTCTTCTGTCTGGTACAAGGTGGCACTCGGGCGGTTTTGTTCACCGGGCGCAGGACCAACTGGGACTACAAGCAGTATAGTACTCGCAATACTAGCAACCACATATACAACGCGTCTTGAATCGTGAAGATGAAAAAAAAATTGTGTTCAGATATCGCGGGAGTGCAAGTACATAGGCTCGCGGCTGGCAAGTCCGTTTGTGGTCTGGTTCTTTTTCGCCTGGCCGTCGCCCACTTCCCGCGCACCAATCAGATGGCCGCGCGGGGTAACAGCCCAAGTTGCATCACGCGGTTTGTTCAAATTCCCAACGTCGATGGACGTCCACGGTGGCATGTACGGCTCATGAGAGGATTTTTTTTACAATTTTCTGATTGATTTTTTCGTCACTCTATGTTGCGCTAACTATTATGCACGCATAGGTTTCTTTCCGTCGAAAATTCCACTCCACGCACGCTGCCTTGCTCCAAACGCCGGGCCAGATACACTCTTGGACAATGCATCTTGACTCATAAACAAAAAAGACAAATCACCAGGAGCAGAATGTGCGTGCCTGATGAACCAGTACCCCCAACTCCTTTTTAGTCGATGTGCAGGAAAAATTCATGGATTCATTAAAAGAAAGAATGGTTTAGCTGGCAAAGGTGGCTGCCAGAAACGCACACACACAAAATGGTGTGTGTAGATGCCACAGGGTCAGGGCGGTCCTTTTTTCTTCTTATGAGACGGGAGCAACTTGCTTTGCTTCCATCTCGGCAACAAACTTGGAATATCTGGATTTCTTGTTGTGGATGCCACACTCGGTCTTGGACTTGCCCTTCCAGCGGCCGGCACGCTCATCCTCACCCTCTTTGACGGGGGAGGTGGAGTGCCAGTCGCCGACGGACTTGTATCCCTGGTCAAGGAGCGCGTTGTAGGGCACGCTGTGCTCCTTGATGTACTCGTTGACTTGGGTGAACGACCAGGTGGCCATGGGGTTGATCTTGATGACGTTGCGCTCCTCGTCGAGCTCGATGATGGGGATTGAGCCCCGGGCAGCGCCTTGGGAGCGGCGGCGGCCGTTGAGGACAGCCGTCACCTTGAGCTCCTCGTATGCCCGCTGGAGAGGCTCGACCTTGACGATCCAGTCGTACATCTCGTCGGCCGTGTTCCACAGCTCCTGGCCGTACGTCTCCTCAAACTGCTCCACCGTGTCCATGCCATCGGGCTTGAAGACGTTGACGGGGACGTTTGGGTAGCGCGCCTTGACGCGGGCCAGCAGCTCGTGCGTCTCCTTGAAGTGGTACAGGGTGTCGAGGAAGATGAGCTGGACGGGCTTGGACTCTGGGTTCTCGTCCTGGATCTTGGAGAGCATGTCCATGGTGGCGAGCCCGGTGAGCCCAAACGCCGTTGACTGGAACAGGTTGGGGAACAGGATCTTGCAGAATCGCAGAATGTCCATCGGGTGCATGGGCTCCATTTGCTTGTTGAGGTATTCGACGTGGGCCTTTGTCAGGAAGACATCTGGTCGGGAGGGCTCCTCCTCGGGCGAGTAGTCGGACTGCCCTGAGGCATATCCTGATTCGGGCTCGACTTTTTCGTCAACTAGGGACGAGCGAGAGACGGGTTCTGACATGACTGAGGCCATGGTTGTGTGCTGCGATGTCGAGTATACAGCCCAAGTGTTCTCTGTGGCTGGCAGAGCTCAAGAAGCGACAGAATCTTTGGGATGGCGCTGGAGGTGGTGAACCAAAGGCTTGCCGAGGGACCGATGCTTGCTTATATCTCGTTACCCAGGTATTGGCCCCTTCAACTGGCGGGAGAGATGTGGAGATTATAAGAATGAATCTGACGCTGACGAGTAGACAGTATTACGGCAACACCTTCTATGGGTAGAATGGAAGGGCAAAGAAGACGAGGGTACGGCTACAGGAAGGAGATTCCACGGTTGTTTAAGTCCGAGGATGTGTGTGATTTCAGGCGGAGGAAGGGGGTGGTGTCTATTCGCCCTGACTAATTGCGTGGTGCATTGCTTTCTCAAAACACACATCATACACTTTCCGACCACTTGTCCGAGCAATGCTCTGTCTTGTCGTCCACGGCCAGCCCCAAGGGAGGCCAAACGAAACGTCCGCTTTGCGTTTGGGAGCGATCACGACATCGACGCCATTGCTTCCGCGATGTTGAACGGCGAAGCATGATTGGCTGGTGGGCAGACGGGAGTGGCTCGCATTTTGTAGCGGGTACTTGGTTCTGCACGCAGCCACCCGACGAATCTGGGGGTACCTTGTACCGATGGTGTCACCGGCCTAGTTTTCTGGGGCTAGAGGAAGGGTTTTCTGGGGCGAGCATAAATGGATGAGAAATCATGGCTTCCTTGGACGGCCGTCGTAATGATCTCATCGCCCGAGGATGAAAAGGGGCAAGTACACGCCGTCTTGATGATTCACCGCATCGTGTAAGCCTGTGGAGGAAGGCATCTAGCAGGGCGTGAATGGAATTAGAAAAGTCGAGGCTCGTCGTGCACATGGAGAAGTAGGAACCGCAATAACTGGGATATTTCACGCCTTTTTTTTTTGTTCGAACAATTCTATTTTCGTGTAGAACATGACCCCGTCGTAACGTGCGGCATTGTAATACTTGACCAAGGACTTGAGCAATTGAGGCTGACTGACATGTGCCGCATCTTCCGAATCCAACGTGATGCCCTGACCCGTACAAACACCGGGTCGGGAAAAAAGATGCCACCCGTCCAAGTGCAAGACTGCTAAGTTTTGTAAACAGAATAGGCTCGTTATGCTCCAATAACACGGTCATGCCGAAACTTGAAAGCCTCACCAACACCAGAGGTTCATGCCAGTGGGATGTCGGAGAGACCCCGGTCTCGGCTCGTCGGGAGTCGTGCGGGTGTCGGCGCATGGCACCGAGCGCCGCGGGCAAAATGACGAACCGTCAACTAGTGTTTTGCTGTGGGGACTGGATCCAGGCACAACGCGAGCAATCCTAGACGGGTGCAGCAGAGTTCTGAGTTGAGCTCATTATGGGATTTTGGGCCCATGTTTGCGGTGCATGCTTGCCGGTTTGGCGTGCAGGTAGTTGGAGTCGCGATGTATGTGTCAATGGTGTTGATGCAGATTCGGACAATTTGGTGTCTAGGGTAGGTGATAGAATAGGCGGCGTGGCTCGGCACAATTACCCCTAACCCTAACCCTTGGTGAGCAAAAACACTGTTGACACTTGTTACTATTGTTAGCCCATGCTTTGACAGCATAAATTCAACTACTCGTGCCCCTATAGGGCCCTCTGTATATTGTGCTGGATTCCCGTGCTACTAATACCATTCGTTCCCCGTCCCATCGCCCTCCGGTTTAAGGAGGGTTTGCTCCGAAAAGCGTCTAGTGCCTCCTCAGATGTTATAGTTTCTGTCAGTCACTTTACGGAGTAGTCTCCATGAGCTTATTGACGAATCGACGACGATGCACAGATTTTACATGTTGCCAGGGACGCTTCTAGGCCCGTATTGGATATTTTGAACCCCCTCAGATTCAGATTCAATTGAACCAGCGGCACCGAGCTGGGCCAACACCGAGTGTCACAAGCCAGACTCGGTATCTACGTGCAATCAGCAGCTAGCAATAATTGATAACCAACACATGTGCCTGGAGATGTACGGAGTACTCCGTATTGTCGCAGCTGTTGTGGTGCATCGGCAACCCACAGCCAATCACTGACAGCCATCGCCCTCCTGCACAGCACTTGAGGTCATATCTCAACATTGTGAAGAGTCTGGTTGACCATTTGACCCCCCTTGCTCCTGTTCCTGTCAGTTCAACGGCTGCGGGGCGCGCGTTCAAGTGGCCCAGAGCCAAGCCAACCTTGGCAGACAAGCCGCATCACTTTTTTCCCCCATGTGGTGCTGCCGCAACGCCTGGGTTTCATCAGAGTCCAGTCTGCTATCTTCCTCGTGTCTGCTCACAATTGCCTCACCGTGAGCACCGAATCGCTCTTCTCGTGAGCGCTTTTCTGGATTCCGGGCGTCCAAAAGGCTGCTCGACTTGACGCCTGCCGGGGGAAAGAGCAACCGGCCCTGACTTGACAGCTGGTACGCCGACGTCGCACACGCAGCCTTTGGCCCAGTCACATTCTGGTCGTCGCCATCAGAAACATCGTGGCAGCCTCTCTCAGCATCTTGGCCGAGCAATCATGGCTGAGACCGCCCGACGCAAACCGTCCGCGGACCGTCCGCAGATGGACAAGATGCGCCGCAGCAGCTCTTACTTGAGCGACCACCAGCAGTACAGACCGCCCAAGAAGCCGGAGACGTACCACGGCATCGACGAGGTGGTTGAAGGCAGCTCTCCGCCCAAGCCGTCCTCCCCCAAGTCCGTGTTGCCCTTCCGCGGCGTGCCACAGGACGATATGCCCGCGACCATAGTAGAGAGCGGAGTGAGCCACAGCCTGTCGCATCCCAACTGCGCACCGCCGCCGGGACACAAGTCGGATCGCCTGGTGGCGACGTTATTCTACAAGGGCGCCTCGCCCAGCTCTGCGCCTGCCTCGACGAGATCCGCCGGCCTGGCGGAGAGCAACGAGACGCTGCCGCCCAACATGGCGCCGACCACCAACATGGATGCCTTCCCCCTGGAGCCCCCGACACAGGAGGCAGAGCAGCTGGACCACATCTACGGCTCGTACATTTCGCCCCTCTGCATAGCGTCCTTCCTGCACCTCATGTCGACCTTTCCCCAGCCCCGGGGGGCCGACGAACCGCACTCGTCACACCGCTGCCTCGATAACCCGGACACCCCGCGGATTGTAGAGCTCACGCTCTCGCCGGCCCCGTCCCCCGACTGCCTCAGCCTGTCTGACCTGCGGAAGCATGAGATGATTTACCGCTTCGAGCAGGAGTGGAACGTGGACGTCGTGCTGCAGCCGGACCTCGTCTGGAGAAGACACCCCCGCCTGGTCGTCTTCGACATGGACAGCACTCTCATCACGCAGGAGGTGATTGAGCTCATGGCCGAGACGATCAAGGAGCCTGCGGACCTGGCGGCCCGCGTGGCGGATATTACTCACCGAGCCATGCTGGGCGAGTTGGAGTTTGACGCCTCGTTCCGCGAAAGAGTCGCCCTTCTCAAGGGTGTCAGCGCGACCGTGTTTGACGACCTGCGTCCCGTCCTCGACGTCACCAGGGGCATTCCGGAGCTCATCAGGGCTCTCAAGCGACTGGGCGTCAAGACGGCGGTGCTTTCGGGCGGATTCCAGCCTCTTACCGGCTGGCTGGCCGAGAAGCTGGGCATTGACTACGCTTTCGCCAACGAGGTTGTCGTTGAGAATGGCAAGCTGACAGGGGAGGCGGTGGGCAAGATTGTCGGCAAGGAGCGCAAGCGTGATCTCCTTGTTGAGATTGCGGCCAAGGAGAATATTCACCTGTCACAGGCGGTGGCTGTTGGCGACGGCGCCAACGACCTGTTGATGCTGGGCAAGGCTGGGTTGGGGGTGGCGTGGAATGCGAAGCCGCGGGTGCAGATGGAGGCGGATGCGAGGTTAAATTCGGAGAGTTTGCTGGATTTACTGTACCTGTTTGGGTTTACAGCCGAGGAGATTCAGATGCTGTCTGTATGAAGTGTCCAAAAAAAAAGGACGTGTGATGTGCCAAGTTTGTTTGGGGAGATAAAAGCCAGGGGGGGTGGGTGACATTGGGAACTCGGGGAGTTGTTTGATAGCCAGGTGTTTGTGATTGGCATGGTTAAATGCGGCGCTTAATGCATCATGAGAAATTTCATAGCGTCTCTGAAATTGGGCTATCCCAAGGCAAGCAACAATTAGCTGGACATGTTCGAGGTCGCGGAAATATGAAAACGTTGTATATGGAAAACGGGTTCGGCCACCCGTTGCTCGTTCCATGCTCAACTCGCACAACTAACTTTACATGGACAAACTACACGCCACCCTCTTAAAGATACAATGTAGCCTGCCGGTTCTTTTGTCAATAGCCCATTGCGAAGAAATTCTCGTCATGTTTTCTGGTCTTTTTTTTTCCGTCTCCCTCTGTACGCCTGATTACCGCCCTTTCCGCTTTCCGCCTCTTTCTCAATTCTACACGTGCTCAACACACAGCCCGTTTACGGATATCCCTCCTTGCCCCATTTGTTGTACTTCTCATGCAGCTCCGCGGGCAGCGTGACGTTGGGCACGACGACGACGTTCAGGGCGCTGGGAGCGTCCTTGGGTTCCTTGGAAATATCACCGCCGGGGTGGTACTTGTATTTGCCTTCGCCCTCGCCCTCCCAGGGTCTGCTGGCGATGGTGACGGGGCTTTCGGAGGTGGACTTTGTCGGGGAGCGGCCTGCCGGTCGATATATTTAGCAATGTGTACGGAGTACCGGGGGGTTTTCTTTTTGACACACGAGACGGGGGACCCGGAGAGAGGACATACCAAAGTAGAAGCCGGCTCCGCCGAGGGCAGCGACCATGACACCACCGAGGATCTTGTACGTGTTAGTTTGACTTGTCTTGTTGTGCAAGCTTTCCCGGGGAATTGAGCTGCGGGCTTTTTGCAGCTATTGTTGAGGGACGCACCATAAGCTCGGGGTTGCGCTTGGACTCGCTCTTCAGGTCGCCATTGGACTGCAGGCGACGGGCGGTAGTGCTGAACAGGCGTCGGGGGATCTGGGAGGCCATTGTTGCGGTGTTGATGTGCAGAGGTTTTTGCGTTGGAGTGACGGAGGCCGGGGAACGTGGGTGGAGGTTGCAAGGCAAGAAAAGCCGTGAGGTCAGTCAGAGAGCTTTGGTGTGGCTTTGGGGAAACCGGCCCGGGTGTGTTCGGGCGGTCGTATGATTTCAGCACGCAGCTTGCGAGAGATGCTATTGGTCAATGGGGGAAGGACCTGGGGAGCATGTCACGTGGGGAATCACGACGGCCTTTTTTTGCGCCTTGTCTTTTTTTTTTGGAAGAAGTACGGAGTAGTACTACCTGTACGGCGCATCTATGATTTCATGCAGGGCTGAATGGGGTCAGTGACGGAGTGATGTGGGCGCAAGACGTCATGGCTACGTTTTTGCACCTGCAATGTGTGTTTTGGTGTTGTTTTTGACTTGTCTTCCTTTCTGGTTTGCTGCTTGGCCGTTAGATGGGGGCTGTTTTGCGCACGGCCAGGCCGATGTGCTTGTTATGTACTCCGTAAACGCGGCGGCATCATGAGGGATGATGCACAAGAGGATAATGTCCTGATGCTGCCCTGATGCCCGGGCGATGCACCTTGGACAGCATGAGTGCCGGCGGCGGTTTTGGTATTGACGGGGCCGGATGATCCGAGGATTATGCATGCAATACGGAGGATCTCGTTTGATGGTACGAAGTACGGAGTACTCCGTAGGTCTTGAAGTGAATAATCACGTCCGGTCTAATTGAACCAGACCAGACGCTTTGACTGTGTGATCACTGTGATGGCAAGTCTCAAGTGCTGTGGCTGCCAAGGGGCCGGGGGGGTTGGGGCCTGGTGCTCTGCTCTGGTCAAGTCTGGTCAAGTCAAGTCAATGCTTTGCTTTCTACGGACATGGAGTAAAGTCAAGTCTGGTTGCTTGCCTGGCTTGCCTGGCTTGGCCTAGATCAATGCACAACGCCTGCTGGGCCCCCCTTAATGACATGGGAACAATGCATGGGCATCCCCAGCGCCAGCGCCTGGTCGCAGCGGCGCGCAGAGGAGGGAACATCTCAGCCTCTGACTCCTGCCAATCGGCCGGCTGCTTGCCAACTTTGGAACATTTGAACTCTACTAGCGGGCGGCGCACTGGCTTTGGTGCGGCGCGGAAAAAGGAACAAGCCTGCCATCACTCCATCGTCGCCTTGGCCTCTTTTCCTCTTCGGCACTCCTCGACCGTCGTTGGCATCCTTGACACGCACATCGTCGTTAGCCCGTCTTTTTCGTCTTTTCTGACGCATCATCCATCGGCCTGCGCCGTCCGCTCCCTTTCGCCCTCTTCTACTCCGTGCTTCCTTTTGTCACAGCTGCACCTTTCTTCGTGTCGCTCCCTTTCGATGCCGTCGTGTCCAGCCAACCGTTGCATCACGACCTACCTTGCTCCCGCGACCAATCTCCCCGACTCTTCTCGACCAACCTCATCATCCCGTCTCACCTTGAATTGATCTGCCGCGTATCGCGACACTTTGCCGGGCACAACATATACTCTCTGAATTTGAGAGGCCGACCTTGGGCTTGTGCAACAGCCACGCCCGTGCCCGCTTGGTAACCTGAGCATCGACTGTAAGCCTCTTGTGGCACGACACGGAAATTCGGTTATGCTGTAGCGCCAACAGACGAGATCGCAAGGCACAGAGCATCACCATCATGCTCTCCCAAGACCCGGCGGACGGGGCCGTGTCACCAGGAGAAAGTAGTGGCATTCCCCCTCCTTCTGGGGGCAGCAGTAATCATCGACCCTCGAGTGTTGTCTCCTCGCGAATGACCGACATTGCGAGCGATGATGGGGGCGAGCCAAGGGCCAAAAATGCCGATCCATCTCGACCAGAAACCGCCAGGACCGGCACCTCATCCAAGGCTACCTGGGCAGGACCGGCTACGCGGAAGGGTCTGGCACCTGGGCTTCAGCCAAAGAGAGGAAGTGTTGCGAGCACAATTGCTTCGGCACGGGCACCTAGTTTGACCACGCGGAGTCATGTACCTTCACTGACCTCTGGCGCCTTCTTTCGCCCCATGAGTTCCCAGAAGCTACAAGCACAGCGGGGAGCTGGCTCGAGACCGGTCCCGATGAATCAGCAGTTACATCCGCCGCCCGCGAATCTCGACGACAATGAAACAGACATGGGTGGTAGCCTCATCGACGGAGCGAGTGGCGGCGAAAATACCCAGAGCATTGCTCAGCTACAGCACAGAATCAGCGCGGGACAGAGTGTGCGCCCCCCGCCATCACGGGGCACCGAAATGACCGACCAGGAGACGTTTGATCGTTTTATTGCCAATGCGAGCCCGACCACGGGACATTATCCCACGGCGAGCATGTCTGACAGCGTTCGACCCCTCCAGGGACCATCCGACCAGAATAGGGAATTGAGTGTTCATGTGGACAAGAGTTATAGGGACCTCGCAAACCTCCCCAGTCCAGTTAGGTCGACGAGAACGTTCCGCTCGAGTTTTCTTCTGCCAGGAAAGATGGAGCAGGCACAATCCAGTCGGCATAGGGATACCACGGGTGCCGAGAAGCTTTCCTCTACGGCCTCATCGCCACGATTCCCGAGGACAGAATCGCACTCGGGACCTCGGCCGTTGACAACAGACTCGCAAAGAAAGAGTCGGGGTCGTGTTCATCAATACTTTGATGGCAATACAGTCTTTTGCTTTGGCGGTAGATGGCAGAACACTAAGCACACACCCATCAACATTGCAACCGGGGCATTTGTCGTTATTCCGTGTGCTTTGTTTTACGGCTTTGAAGCACCCTGGCTATGGCACAACATTTCGCCTGCTATCCCTATCACGTTTGCGTATCTGACCTATATCTGCCTGTCTTCCTTTATCCATGCTTCTGTTTCAGACCCCGGCGTGAGTTATATCTCGATCAACCCTTGCCGTGATTGTAATGTGATGCTGACTTGGCGCAGATTCTGCCCCGAAACCTTCATCAATTCCCCCCAGTTGCCGACCAGGATGACCCCCTTCGACTGGGACCGCCAACCAACGACTGGACATTGGTCAAGTCTGCTGACATCTCGGCCGCTGCTATGGAAGTTCCAATAAAGCACTGTCGGACTTGCAATATTTGGCGGCCACCTCGGGCTCACCACTGCCGGCTATGCGATAATTGTGTCGAGACGCACGACCATCACTGCGTGTGGCTAAACAACTGCGTTGGCAAACGCAACTACCGCTACTTCTTTACATTCGTCACATCGGCCACAATTTTGGCCGCGTACTTGATCGGCACGAGCTTGACACAAATTCTTATACATATGAATCGCGAGAGCATTTCGTTTGGCGATTCCATCGATCATTTTCGGGTCGCATTTGCCCTCGCCATCATGGGAGTTCTTTCGATTGTGTATCCGGGGGGCTTGATGGGCTACCACTTGTTCCTCATGGCACGTGGGGAGACGACGCGAGAATACATTAATTCGCACAAGTTTGCAAAGAAGGAACGATACAGAGCTTATAGCCAGGGCAATTGGCTTAAGAACATGATTGCGGTTCTCTGCCGTCCTCGATCACCTGGATACTATCGCTTTAAGGGCAAGTATCGACCGGGGGATCAGCGACTCGGGCAGCATTATAGCCTACGGACACGGAAGAACTCGCAAGGTCTCGAGTTGGACGAGGTGCCACCAGGCTCACGAGGATTTCAGGGACCGGCGGCCTTGCGGGGAGAAAGTCGAGCATCATAGGTGGCGCTTAGCAACCGTATCCCCCTTTTTTTGGCGATGATTGCATTATCGGTGCACACATCTCGGAGCACAACTGTATTCTACAAGCTTCTTTCGTTAATTTGTCTTAATCTGCCAAGACGTTGTTTTAATCCGACTAGAAAGAGGAGGTAATGGGCCAACAAGGGCCAAGTATTCATTATGTTATTTTGGTGAGGAGCGTGGCGGGTGGGAGTCTATGAAGGAGACGGGACAGGGACGGGGATTATCATATAATGTGTTTTGTCTATTATACCCTCAGCGACCTGAGTTTTATTATGTGGCGGAGATTTGGGGCGAAGGCAGCGGAGAGGATGTAAATAGAATATGGGGTGAGCCATGAGGATGGACCATGGCCACTGGGCATAAAGCGGATGTTTCGCAAATACCAGCTTTGACATGCGTGGATGAGGTGTGTTTCGCGAATGCTTTTCTCGGCCAAGAATATTACTTGTATCCACGGCAGCACTGTGTAGTACTCGGTTCTAATATTCTGCGACATATTCCCACGACGCCAACCAGTTGCCTGCCCCACGTGGAAGTTTCCCAGCGTTACGGAGTACAAGCACAGCGGACATGATACGTCTGGTACTTCCTCGATGGGGCTCAGCTGGTGGCGGCACCAGCGTACTTTAGATAAGCAGATAAGCGGACAAGGGGGGAAATTTTCAAAAAATTTCTGGTTCATGCGGCCCAACTAGGCTAATAACAGTGTTACAAAACCCACATGCACATGTCCACTTCAACTTGACCGCACCGTCTCAGCAGCCAGCAGACTCGCGCGCTGCAGCAAGGCTTGACTAGTAGCGCTACCTGGCAAACATTCTTCCTCCCCATCCTTACTTCTTTCTTTCTTTCTTTCTTTCTTGGTCTGCAGAACGAGAGAGAGCGCTTGTAGACTGCGACAACTCCATTTGCCCTCGCGGCTCAAGGACTCACTCGTTACTCCGACAAAAAGACGGCAACAAGACTGAAGGAGGGGCAGAAGACGAAAAAAAAAAGACCGAAAACCATCATCACCTGCCGGTTTCCAACTTCGAGTTTTCCCTGCCTGGAAACACACACTTCTCGAGGCCGCCCACGATGCCTCACCCCGTCTCACCACCTACCATGGTGTCCAAAGACGCCGCCCCTCCACCGTCGCAGGAGGACGTCGCCGGCTTAATCAACACCATCTCCAGCGCCCAGACTTCTGCCGCCTCTGTCGACGCGAGCTACGGCCTGTGCGAGCTGCTCCTCAACTCGGTCGGCTATGCAGGGCTGAACCAGTACGGTGTCTTGGCCGAGATCAAGAAGGCTGCTGCTGATAAGAAGAATGGCCTCAAGAGGGAGAGCAGTCAGAACCTCCTGGGCGCCATCTTTGAGCGATTCCCCCCGAAACAAGCCGTTTCCGAGGTCGTCTTCCTCGTCCAGGAGGAAGGCCTTGTGCCTTGTGCGCTGGACGCACTGGCCGACAAGGGCGCCGTCGTTCGCGAGGCTGCTCAGTATGGCCTCGATGCCCTCTTCAATAACCTGAGTGCCGAGGCCCTTGTCACCGGCTTGCTGCCTGTCCTGACCAAGTACTTGGACAAGAAGACGGGCAAGTGGCAGGGCACAGTTGGTGCGTACAAGCTGCTCCAGAAGATGGCCGACAAGGCCAAGCTGGCCATTGGCGCCAGCAAGGAGGAGGCTGAAGAGAAGGATGTCCTTCGCGAGGCCATGGGCGCCAAGCTTGCCGGGCTCATCCCCATTGTCGAGGCTGGCATGCACGATCTCAAGGCCGAGGTTGAGAAGCAGTCTGTCCAGACTATGAACTCGCTTACCACGCTGCTCTCCAACGACGACGTTACTCCTCGGATCCCGCTTCTGGTCGAGACTATGCAGCACCCCTCGGCTCAAGCTACTCAGAAGGCTATCCATGCCTTGTCCCAGACCACCTTTGTGGCCATTGTGACCTCGCCTGTTTTGGCACTCTTGACACCCTTCCTTGAGCGCTCGCTCAACTCGCCCAATACCGCACAGGAGGTCTTGCGTCAGACCTGTGTTATTACCGAGAACTTGACCAAGCTGGTCCACGACCCCATCGAGGCTAGAACATTCTTGCCCAAGCTCTCGCCCGGTATCAAGGCTGTCGCCGATCGTGCTTCGCTCCCTGAAGTCCGTGAAATTGCTGAGCGCGCCCTCGCCATTATGGAAAAGGCCATGGCCAACGACAAGGAGGTCATAGCCAGAACCACACTTGACGATGTCGCCAAGATTGTGGACGAGCAGATCAAGAAGAACGGTGGTCTCGCTGCCCAGCAGGATATTTACAAGCTGGTTCAACCTTATATCAGTGACATGGTTGCCGCCGATGTCAACTACCGTTTTGTCAACCGCATTGCTGCTCGCATTGCACCTTACTTGCAGCCCCTTCTGCAGAAGCCTGAGGCGGCTCAGAATATTGCCGACGCTATTCAGCAGCACTATGTTGATGAGGATCATCGCCGGTACGGTGTTCCCGAGAAGGAGGATGACGGAGAGGTCGAGATTGTCAATGCCGACTTTTCATTGGCGTACGGTGGTATGCTGCTTCTATCGCACACCAACCTGCGCCTTCTCAAGGGCCATCGCTACGGTCTGTGTGGCCGCAACGGTGCTGGAAAGTCTACTCTGATGCGATCTATTGCCAATGGCAAGCTTGAGGGGTTCCCTCCCCAGGATGTTCTCCGCACATGCTACGTCGAACATAACCAGGGCGAAGATGCTGATATTTCCATCCTCGAGTTTGTCGCAAAAGATCCCGAGATTGGACCCCAGGGCACTGAGCGCATCTCCGAAGTCTTGACTGAGTTCGGCTTCACTCCTGGCGCCGAAGGTCGTCAGGCCCAAAAGGTCGGCTCCCTCTCCGGCGGTTGGAAGATGAAGCTTGCCTTGGCTCGTGCCATGCTTAAGAAGGCCGACGTTCTCCTTCTCGACGAACCTACCAACCATCTGGACGTGGCCAACATTGCCTGGCTCGAGAATTACCTCAAGTCTCATCCCAATATTACCAGTCTGATTGTCTCCCACGACTCTGGATTCCTGGACAATGTCACCACGGATATCTATCACTACGAGCCCGGCAAGAAGCTTGCCTGCTACAAGGGCAACCTGGCTGCCTTTGTCAAGATCCGCCCGGAAGCCAAGGCCTACTACACGCTGTCCGCCTCCAACGTGCAGTTCAAGTTCCCTCCGCCCGGAATCTTGACGGGAGTCAAGTCGATGACTCGTGCCATTATTCGCATGACCAACGTCTCGTACACATATCCCAATGCGCCTAAACCGTCGCTGTCAGACGTCTCGTGCCAGCTCACCTTGTCCTCCCGCGTGGCCATTATTGGCCCCAACGGTGCGGGCAAATCCACTCTCATCAAGCTGCTCACCGGCGAAACCATCCCCAGCTCTGGCAAGGTCGAGAAGCACCCCAACTTGCGTATCGGCTACATCAAGCAGCACGCGCTCGAACACGTGGAGATGCATCTCGAGAAGACGCCCAACCAGTACCTCCAATGGCGGTATGCCCACGGTGATGACCGAGAGGTGCACATGAAGCAGACCCGTGCCTTGTCCGACAAGGATCGCGAGCAGATGGACAAGTGGGTTGATTTGAAGGACGGCAAGTCCCCCCGACAGATTGAATCTCTTGTCGGCCGTCAAAAGTACAAGAAGACGTTGCAATACGAAGTGTAAGTTGAGCAACCCTCCCTCTTTCCCTTTGACGCCCCTATCCGATCCCACAATAGCAACGAATCAGCAGCAGCAAACTAACACCATGCCATGCAGTAAATGGCGCGGCCTCCTCCCCAAGCACAACACCATGATCTCTCGCGAGACCCTCACGGAACTAGGTTTCGACAAACTCGTTCAAGAGTTTGACGACCACGAAGCGTCGCGCGAGGGCCTCGGCTACCGGGAGCTTCAGCCGTCCGTCATCTCCAAGCACTTTGAAGACCTGGGGCTGGACCCGGAAATCGCCAACCACAACGAAATCGGCTCCCTCTCGGGCGGGCAAAAGGTCAAGGTGGTCATTGCGGGCGCCATGTGGAACAACCCACATCTGCTGGTGCTCGACGAACCGACCAACTTCCTGGACCGCGACTCGCTGGGTGGCCTGGCCGTCGCCATCCGCGAGTTCAAGGGCGGCGTCATCCTCATCTCGCACAACGAGGAGTTCGTCGGCGCCCTGTGCTCGGAGCAGTGGCACGTCAACGAGGGGCGCGTCGCGCAGCGCGCCAACGCCGCCGTCTCGCTCGACCGCTTCGAGGACTCGCGCCCCGGCAGCGCCGTCGCCAGCACCGCCGCCAGCTCCGTCGTCAGCAGCGCCGTCAACTCGGGCGTCGAGGACAACTCGGACATGAAGTTCCGCGCCCGCAAGAAGAAGAAGATGACTAAGAAGGAGCTCAAGGAGAGAGAGGTCCGCAGGCGCCTGCGCCACATTGACTGGCTGAATAGCCCCAAGGGCACGCCGCATCCTCCCGATACCGACGACGAGGATAATTAAATTTGTGCCTGGCTTCTGTTCCTATTCTCCTTGTTGCGTTGCGTACTCTAGACTAGTATAGAACTTTTAGATGAAATTGTGGGAATAGAGGCGTTTTGGATAGGGAAAAAAGTAGTTGTTTCGATAGATGAATAGATTACATCTAATGCAAGTTTCATTTTCCATCTTCATTCTTCATCCGTCTGCTCGTGCCACCACAGCACCTCACCCTTCACGCCGCGCAAGCCGCCACAGACGGAAACGCATAAAAGTGTACAAGGCGTGAATTGAAGCCCTACATCTGTATTTATGTACTTGCCGTCCATCTACCGCCCATCCCTGCCTACCTAGTATATATACCCGAATACAATGCACCCCCTTCGCCGCATCCAATGTCAGTATTAGTGCTGAATTTTAGACAGAAAAAAAAAAGGACAGGTTCCACGACCGTCTAGCGACTACATATATGTCCGTCTTGTCCACGTCTTGCCCACGTCTTGCCCGCGCCTTGCCCACGTCCAGGTTACTTGGTAATTAAGGAGCGTAAATCAGGCGATACCAGATTGCCCACCCAGAGGATGTCCAAGCGCGTCATGCAAGATGGACCCCAAAAAACAAAACTCCATTCCGTCTATGCCATGCAATGAGTGAAAAAAGCAACAATAAATGAGATAGACACTAGAGCAACGAGGCTTCGAAATGCCCTGCCACAGGTCTGATGAATACACATGACTCGATGCCAAAAAAAAGTGTATGGCTTTCAGATATTATGAATATTTTATAAATTTGGCCTTGTCCCCCCTTTTACCATGAGAATGTCATGAGGGCAGGGTTCAGCGCCAAGGGGAGGAGGAAGTGACTCGCGGCAACGGTGGCCATGGGCAAAATGGCCACAAAGTCGGTGATGCGCCAGTCGTGGGGGACGAACGGGGCGACTGCCAGGATGATCATGCCGGCAATGGCAACGAGCGAGAAGAGCATGGAGAATTTAAACTATAAGACCATCGTACGTTAGCAAGTCATGCATCACATGGGCACGGTTATTGCAGCCTCAAAGTTCTGGAAAGGGTGACGTGGAAAGTATTGGAATGTGGAACTCCAATACCAAGAGGAATCTCTCCCTCGAACTAGCGAATCCTGACGGGGATCCTTCCGAGAACACCCCCACTCGGCGTACGGAATGAAGAGATAGGGAGAACAAAAACGTGTCCAGGTGAGGACGTGTAGTAAAAACTCACCTTCTTCAAAACTTTGGGGACCTCGATGAAGAAGTTGGAAAATTCGGCTTCCTTGCTTGTGGCACCCCAAGTCATGTTGATCTCAAACATGTGAGCCAACAGGGCCTGGCTGACGTGCAGCGACAATCCACCCAAGAAAATTGCCAGCATAATCGTCCATTTAAAGTTCTCAAAAAGCGCGTACAGAATGTTGCGCTCACCGACACGATATCGCATCACGGCGAGAGCGATATTTCCAAGTCCGTTGAAGACGATGATGATGGAAAACCACACCTTCCAAGAGTCGACATAATACTTGTCGAGGTACCCGTTGAACCAGCCCATGAGGAAGTAGTTGACAGTTGTCATGATCCAGGCTGCGCCAATGGCGTAATACGTTCCAATGTACGACACCACGGTGATTTTGGAGGTGAAGCGAATGTTGGAGAAGAGGAAACGGCGGAACAGGGGCGTGAAGGGACCGCGCCAGAGCCAGGTGCGGATGGGGTGGAAGAGCAGTTCGTTGCAGCCGTAGGCGTACTTCTCCCATCGCGCAAGCTCGTCATACACGGTCAGGGACACGCCCTCTTTGAAGCCTTCGCCAGCCCACGCCGCGAGACGGATGATGTACCCATTGCACTGCAGACGAAGCGACATGTCAAAGTCTTCAGACACGTGGCTCTCAGACCAAAACTTGTCATAGCCGTCCTCATCCTGGTAAGAAACTTGCTGAATGGCAGACCAGCGAAGAATGGCGTTGTGGCCGACAAAGGGAGCAACATCGCCGTTGGAGACGGTGTACCGAATCGCCGAGTAGATAAGATTGGTGAAGAATGTGATGCCGTTTTCGAAATAGGTGTGTACAACTTGCATGACACCGGACGAGAATTGCATGATGCCGACGTCGGGAGACTGCTCCATTTCAGAGACAGCGTCAAGGAAGCAGTCGGCAGGGACACGCGTATCAGAGTCGATGAGAAGGATATAGTCGCCAACACGAATGTTTCCGTCCGCCCAGGCGCGGCCATCTTCCTCCAGGACATCCTTGAGAGCCTGCTCATAAGCTTGGGCCTCGTCATGCTGACTCCATTCAAGGGGACGGTTGATGGCCTGAAGCCTCTCCTCGACCTTGCAAGAGATCATGAGGGCAAAGTTCATGTTGGAGGCCTTCTTGAACTTGCCCTTGCGCTGGAAGCCGTTCTCTCCATGCTTGGGACGCGCAACCCAGCCAATGCTGTTGTCGGCATAAAATTCGATGCGGGCATGACGCTCCTCCTCTGGGATGAGCTGCAGACCGTCATCATTCACAAACATGTTGGCTGACCCGCCCTGAAGTTCATAGGTCGACATGGCTTGCTTGATGGACTTGACAGTGGGGATAATGACGCCTTGCAGACCTTCCTTGTAAACAGGACACTGGATGGTGACGTGAGGCAGGACGGGTGTCTGCAGGCGAGGCGGAGGTCTTGCCGAGTAGAACTTGGAGTTCATGGTGAGCTGCCGAATGGGGCCGAAGATCTGAGCCAAGCAGCCGACAATCACTTGGGCGAAGAAGAGAGTAAAGAAGATTTGGATGGGGAACAAGGCCACAAGCGCCAAACGAACATAGTTGCCATCGACGGAGACTTCAATGGCCAGTTCACGCCAGGCAGCTCCAAGAGAGACGGTCACGAGGATAAGAGTCAGTGACACCAAGACGGTGTTCTGTAGGTGGATAGGTCGCTTTTCAGGCTTCACTTCACCGCTCTCCTCGTCAATCTCGGCCTCGGCGATATTGCCTCCCCTTTTCTCGTCCTCTTCATCATCTGTATTGCCCGCCTTCCACACGAGTTCCATGAGCTCCGACTCAATGGCTTTGGCACGCTGAACAAGGTGTAGCGGGTCATCGTCCCACACGATTAGCAAACCCTCAGAAGCGACAAAAGCAGCAAATTGATGTTTTCGCGCGCGAGGAAGATCCTCGATTGTGGGCAGAATTTGGACCCGCAAACCGTTCATCAAAGGCACGTCGACAGCGTCGGGGGACCACTGGAGGAAGGTTTTGATAACGCGAGAATTGACAGTCATGGCCGCCTGAACATTCATGGCTGAGCAAGCCAAGGCGAACGGCGAGCTGCCAAGCTGAGGAGGGCAAGCCATGTAGTGGCCTCTGACTTTTCTAAGAAGGACACCTTCAATCTCCCCCGATCCATCACTGACCCAAAGTTGGGAACATTGTTGTTGGTACAGGTAGTTGACCATGACTTCGTGCTTGATGTCGTCAAGAAACATGGAACTTCCTGCTGTCGACGGTGTGGATCGTCCTGATCGACCTGAGCTAGACTGCGGCCTTGAATGGAAGCGAGGAGTAGGTGGCTGGAGTTCCATGTCGTTTCCGCCGATGTTAAAGGAAGATAGTGGCCTGTCCGACAACGAAGAAGGCTGCAGACTCCGGATCGGTCTCGAAGTTGGAGCATCTAGCTGAGCCTGGGCAGGTTCTGACTTGTTGCCAGTTTTGAAGTAGTTGGTAAGACCCATGTTGGGCTTTGGACCCGGATCCGAGTCGCGTCAACTCGCCCTCAGATAAAGTTGATGTTTTGTTCCAAGGAGACTCGGCGGCGGTTGGCTCGAGGAAAGGCTATGGATCGGTTTGCCGGACTGAAAGCAGACTCGTTCACTATATACTAACAATCGGATTCCAAAAGACGTCGAATTAACGAGGGCGGCGGCGCGGATATTATGTATCTGTAAAACAATTGCGGACTAACGAAGGACGTCGATGAGGTAGCGAATGTTCTCGGGCCGGACTCGTCCACAACGAAGCGAGGTAGTGGTAATAAAACGAGAGCGAGGATCCCGAATCGTCGGCAAAGCGTAACCAGCCTGGGAGAGCACCGGAAGACTTAGCGGGCTGCCAACGACCAAAGAGGGACGGGAGATGGGATGGTATTAAAGAGAGAAGGGACGGTGAGGCGGGCAGAAGCAGAGAGGACGTGAGAGGCATAGGTGAAGATGGTGGGCGCTGATAACAGTCTTCCCGGACGTGCATCCAGGATCCCAAGTCCAACCAGAACGAGAGGTGGGTATGGACTTACAAGATCTGTAGCCTCTGTGCGATCTTTTTTCTCAACAGCCCACACACGCCTGGAGCCTAGGAACAGTCTCTGGCAGGGGGGGAGGGTGGGTTGGATGCTGCCAGATTCTCTCGTCGAGACCGGAACTCGCCTTAAAGATGGAGACGACCTATTCTGGGCGTTTTTTGTCGTGGCGGATATGCCTTGACAGAGATGTAGCGAGCAAAGGGAATTCCGCCAGGGCACACAGAAGCTCTTGGACAGGAAAGCAGGAGACCTGAAGCCCTTTCATCTCGATCTTGACGGGACGGACCCCCCGGCCAAGAGGAGGGACGAGCAGAAGTAATGATATACGAGCGACGCAACATGAAAACGGCAGCAGGCTACACTGATGCGCAGAGGGATGGGGCCCCAGCGACCTGGCGCCCTGGCGTCATGGTGTCATGGTAGCCAGGAAGAATGGGCCGGAGTCAGAGGGTGAAGCTGGTGGACGATGCATCGTGTCCTGCAACACCCGCTCGGGGATTGTCTTGGGCTTCGCTTCGTTCATGGGGATGCAAGAGGGGCGTGTGCTGGGGAAAGGGGATAAGGGCCACCCCAGCCCAGTCCACCCACGTTTTTTTCTTCGGTGCACCCCACCCCCTGCCTGGCTCGGAGTGGTTTGAAGCCAAGGACAAGCTTGATCAACCCTGTGAAGCGAACGAATGGGCGGGCTGAGGCGCCGGCACACCGTTCAAAGTGGCCAACGGTGCTCGTTGAAGATACTAATCCTACTCATGAACGGTTGCCCGCCATTGCCATCCCCAGGTTGATCTCTGTTTGTCTCGGGTCAAAAATAGATGTGGGCTGCCGATGCCCGGTGGATACAAGCTCTGCCGCGGTTAATCGGCCAAAAGAAAAGAAAAGGGAAGGAAAAAACAAGAAAACTAGGAGAATAAAGCACCCAGATGGGGTCGGCGGCGGCAAGCACGACAACGACAGGTCAACAGGCAATTCATCGTCAGGAGCGTGGGTGGATAATGGCAAGCTTGCCAGCGCTTCGCACGCGCTTGGCGAGACCGGCCTCTGGGACAAAAGCAAGCCAGGCCACGGGTTCCTGGCGCTACACTCGATTTGAACGCGCCGTTTCCCGTATACCAAGGTAGCGCTTTGGCGACAGGGACGGCTGCTTCAGAAGTTGGCGAGCGCCCACATCGATGTCAGCGAAGACCCAGCGCCAAGGCCAAAGGGGCCAAAAGCTGGAGAGGCCCAGAGTTCTCGGAGCTTGAAAACCGACGAATTCATTACCACTCGCGCCCTTCTCCTCCGTACTCCGTGCAATAGTGGACGACCACGGCCCGTTCGGTACTAGCGCCTCGGTGCCAGAAGTGCTCGAGTGCTATGAATTAGCAGCAGTCTGGTGCCCTGAAAACACGGGCGGGCTTTTGCACCGGACTCTTGGCGGGTCCAGGGCGCCAACAGGGCGGGTTGACCGCTCGGGCTTCTTTGGCTTCGAGGAAAACGGGGTCCGCCACAGCAGCGCCCACAGATAGTCATCGGGGAGGTGATCTGGTTATCTGGGGGTGCGAGGCGCGGCAAGGCCTAGAGGCTTTGGTGCTCAAGCCGCCTAAACCACGCAGAGGGCACGTAAAAGCGGCGATGCGCATCTTCCCCATCTGGGCCACCTCCCCTCGCCCTCCTCAGTGGCGCCCGGGTCTACCCCTGCCCAGCTGTGGCGCAAACGCTTGCACGCTTCTGGCCTCGGGTCAATAAGTTCGTCGTTGAAACGCAACTTTGCAATTCCTGCCCGCACCACACACACGTTCGTTACTGATGCCTTCTTGGAACAGTGCCACCACTTAGTTTTCTTACAACTGCCCTGACCAGACTTGACTCGCTCATTCGATCCGAATTGGAGGGCAGTGTCCCCTCTGTTTAACCGGAGACTTGCACATACCCGCCTTCGTTTCACCGTTGACAAAAGCGTCTTGACAGGCAACCAGATATCTCGCGTGGCTTTCGCTACAAAACGCTGATCCGGCTGCATTTCCTAGCCCTGCCGACATGGGTGGCAGCCATCCCAGAGGGCTGAAACTTGCATGTCATTATCAGAGCAACGCACATACAGCAAGAGGCGTTTGATAACACCCTCACTGGCCGAGGGCCTGCATCTCTAGTCTCAGCATCATTGAAACCGTCCAAGACGGTGACGTTGCCCGAATGGAATACGGCCGCGTGAGGCGCAAGACTTGACCGTCTTGCCCATGAGGAAGCCGTCTAACCGTTTCATCGGCCAGTTCATGGAGACGCAGTACAGACAATCAATGCAAGAAACAATGCGGGACTCTGACTGCAGCCCGTTCGTTCCAGGCCCCCGCGAAGTGAGACAGTTCCCTCCATGGCGGCGGCTCCCGGTTTGTTTGTCCGTGGCTTCGCTCCAACCACCATGGTTCAAAAGGCTGGCACAGGGCCCTGTCGCTACGGACGCAGAATGCAAAATGGACACAAAGAATGCGAAACAGAAATCCGATTCAGAACCCCAGTCATGACCAAAGGAAAAAGTAGACATGATTCGAATCAATTGCGAATCTCAGGCCGTGGTGGCACAACAGTCATTGTATCGATGCTGGACTCTGGCGTGTGGCTCTCTCTCTCTCTTCATTTGCCGGCCCCAATAAGCTGCAGGGCGATTATCGCCGGTGTTCAATCACGTCGGGATTTTGAGAAGCACAGCAGAAAAAAAAAAGCCAACTTTGGGGTGTGTGACCGTGGATCGTCATGGTGGACAAAAACAGCGTTCGCGCCTCATGTGGTGGGCGGGAGTCGTCGGGCCGCCACCAGCCTATTTTTGGCCTCGTATTCCTGCAAGCTGCCGCCCCAATGCACAACCTGCATCCTGAACCTGAAGCTGGATGCCAGTTCTTTCTCTTGTCTTTGCCAACAATGCGTGTTCTGTGGCGGTGGGGAGGGGCCGAGGGGGCGTGTCTGTACCCGAATTTCTTCACCTGGCTGCCCACGGCGAGGCCAACATTTCCATCCATTGTGTTTGGCAGTCGGTATATGCACTGTCACCCCAAGGCTCTCGTCATGAGATGCAAGATGCACGAGGAGCTGAACTCTTTGGACTTTTTGTCGTCCTGCTGACTCTATATTGCGTGGGATTTCGCAAGCACCCATTGATGACGGTTGATTACTAGCTTGATTGTGAAACGAATGGTGCTGTTGCTCCATGAGCACGGCCACGGCCACCAACGCCGTGGGCTGTTCGCCGTTGTTCCTTTTGCACGGGCTCTCCCCGCCTGTGTGTACAGATCATGACCCACTGGCCAACAACGACGGGGGGAGAGCAGATGTCTAACACCACGCGGGCCTGCAATAGCTACAAAACTGGTGACGAAAAAGCAGTTTTCAGCCAGGCCGTTAAACTCGGACGACAAAATGAGCTAGTACTTGTGACAGGATTAGCACTCACGGTACGGAGTAAAGCCAGTCAAAAAACGGCTCTTGTAACACGAGTCGGAGGGCTCCATCTGGAATATCACAAACTGCCAGAGATGACGATTTGCTGCTGTGCTAGGGCTGCTGGGATTCATTCAGTCTTGTCCAACCACGACACACACGATCGGGATATTGAGAGCCAGGGTTAGCATATGGGTAGGGAGCTTTGGTACGACGGAAACGCGAGGCTGCTGAGCGGTAGCCGCGATTTATTGAACGGTGATGGCCTGGATGTAATTTCGCTCCCAGCCGTCCTGGGCGCACTGACTGACTGCGTTTGCAAATACATCTACCAAATCGGGTTGGGTTATTGCCGGTGAATTGGCATTGTATCAGGGATGAATGGTGGTCACGGCCAAGGTGCTTTTTGTCAGTTGACACCAGGTCTGTCTAGACGAGGCTCGAACCTGACTTCGTCTTGGTGTTTCTGTAGTCGGCAATAGTACTAGTACCACCATGTCCAGACCATGTGCTTGGTAGTACCGGGCCTCTGCGAAGATTCCGGGTCCCAAATCGAAGAGACCATGGCGACTCAATTGGGGCAACACAGACTCAGAGCCACGACAAGACGGTGCCGGCATGTCGTGATACCTGACATTGGCACTTCACAATGACATTGCTGCCAGTTTACACTACTTGGCATTATTGATGCCGGGCCCGGAATGATGCACACATCCATGGTGTCGCCCGAACGATGAGCCATGTTGCAGCATTTCACCGGGAAAAGGCGCATCTTTCATCAGAGACTAACAAGTGCTGTCTACTAGATTGGGTCTCTGGACCAGGCTAACGACTAACACGAGGTTGAGCAAAGATTTGAAATGCTGTCATTACAGGGACCAGTCAGTGATTATGCTCCGTCCCTTGTCACGGTCCATCTGAACTTGAGGACGTCACGGCCTTGCTCCATCCGCTCCCATTGCAGCATCTCTTTGCCAGGATAGCAGGGCCTGAAGTTTACATCGTCCCATCTCATACACAACAAGCAAACAAACAACAGTATCCAGGCCCGCGCGGCTGACGACACCCACCGCCCTCGTTCATGCCGCCCATATCTTGCCTCGACGAAACATACGCCCAGTTGTCAAGTTTAGGTCAATGTTTGACATTTCTCTTCCGTTAGCCACCAGCCCGGTCGAAAAACAAAGCCTTGAACCCAAAAGGCTATTTACACTTTTCGATGCCGCGCAGACACCGACAAATGCCAGTCCCTGCACTTCATCTCGTCTCTCTGCCTCGTCCCATCTCGTCTTGTCCCCATACGTACATGTACATACATGGAGCATGCAGACCAGAATAGCACAGCATAGACCGAAAAAGGAAATAAGGTTTCAAGCTCTTTTGTTCGGTAGCACCACGGAGGAGCCCATCATCTTCACGCCCGTGACGCAACGGGACCCGTAACCGCAGCCACGGCAGGAAATTCAACCACAAGCCTCAACGGTGGCACTATTCAATATCACGCCGGGCAAACCAGGGGCCGCGAAGCAAGTGAGATTGACGCAGCTGCGTACTCCGTACATAGGTATGTACATACGGAGTACAGGTGAGAGGGCTGAGCTGAATCTTCTCTTGGCTCTCGCCCATCCATGTCGGGCTCGGCAGGTTCCAGAATGTCCTGCCTGGGCCAGGCTGAGCATCCCACCCCTTGTACGTTGCATACGCAGAGACTCTAGTACGCAGAGACTCTAGTACGTAGTAGACGCCGGTGATGGCGCCGGGCTGGGCGGGGGGGCGTGTTGTGGGACCGGCCGGTGAGCGACTCGATCCATTCAATGTTGATTCAGATGCTTAAATGCGTGGCACTCAGTAGTCGTCTTTGAGCCGCCTGGCCACCGGGGCGAGAAATGGGCTCAGAGGGGCCAGAGGCGAGACTGGGGTGTAGATTGTTGCGTTTGCTCAATCACCGTCTTCGCCGTGGCCATGTAGCTGCGCAACAAGCTGCTTGACATTTGTCATGGTCGGCTAGCGCTGCTGTCTGTATGTTGTATGTATGTATTTGCGGAGCGACCCCTGTTCTGCAGTCCGTGCCGACCAATTGCGACGACCAGCATTATCAAACTTTCCTTCAGCCACAAAAAAAAGAAAGAAAGAAATTTGCATCAAGTATACAAGTATCATCTTCAGTACAAATCAACAATAACCCAGAATGATTGTCCTCTCCAAGTATTCAAAATACAAAATGTTCCCAGGTTTTCATATCCCGCTCTCCCCAAGTCTATGATATTACTAATGCTCCTAAAAAAAAAAGTGACGTGTATAATATGTATGTAGTCATATGTCATTTGGCAAGACCAGCCAAAACAAAATCGCCCGTCATCACCCCCGGTGGTTTACAGAAACACGTTACAATTCCTCATCGCCGTCACACTGCTGCAGCATCAAGACGCGACTGACTTCCAGCTGAGGCTGCTTCCACGTCGCCTGCCAAGTGTCCCTGGCGTTCCAGAAGTCCTTGCGCGCACTGGGTGACCGGTCAAGCCACGGCTTGCCGGACTTGCCATCCTCAAACCAGCCGTTGGTACCACCGACGGCCAGGTTGATAATGAGATAAAACTCTTGGTCGAACGGCGTGTTCGCCCGACCAGTTTCGCTCCACGTGTTCTTCAACCGTGTGCCGTTGGAGTTGGCGTCGGGGAAGCCTCCGCGATTCCACAGGGGCTTGTCAAAGTTGGTGTACAAGACTTGGAGCAGACGGCTGTTGACATAGGTGAAGAGATACTTCTGAGACCATTCGAGGCCATATGTATTGAACCCGCTGCTGTAGGTCGTGTGCAGGGCCTGGCGCTTGTTGTTGGTCTTCCACCACGCATCATTGGCGGGATCCGGGCCCCAGTGGAGGGCCGACGACATGATGTTGTTGCCGCCTTGCTCGTAGGTCCAGTTGTTGCCTCGAGACTCCATGATGTCGATCTCTCCGGACGCAGGCCATGGGCCGTACGTGTCCTTGACAGGCATCATCCAGATGGCGGGCCAAAGCCAGTCGCCTTCGGGAAGCTTGGCCGTAACCTCCACGCGGCCGTACTTGAGCTTGGCGCCTTTCATGGTGTTGATGCGGCCAGATTTGGTTGGAGGGACGACGCTGGAGTTGCCCGTCGTGGTGTTGGTGGCAGCCACGCAGCTGTACCAATCTTTAGACGTGCAGGTTCCGTCCTTGAGCAGGTTGATGACGTTGTCCTTTTCCACCTTTTCAGCGTCTTGGAGAGTGGCCTTGATGACTAGGTTGCCGTTTTGGATAAAGACATTTTCGTCGCCCGCAGTGGTCTGCTCGAACTCGCCATTGCTGCGACATGTGTTAGCAGTTGCGCCTCATTGAATGGACGGGAAAGAAGCCAGGACTCCTTACCCAAAGCCGCCAACTTGGGCTTCCTTGGTCCAAACGTTGGTATTGAAGCCGCCGTCGAAACTATCGTCCAAAACAGGGCAGTACTTGTGGTGCACGACGTTGCGAATGCCGTCCCAAACCAAAAACCCAGAAATACCCAAGCCAATCAAGATGCCGATGATTGGCAGGATAGTCACCCACTTCTCCTTGGGATCCTTCTTCTCCAGCCAAGGCTTTTCGATATCGCCCTTCATTACTCGCCTAGAGTGGAAGTAGAGCTGGGAATTGACATCATATCGAGGCCCCATGGCGCTTGAGGAGCCAAAGCTGGATGCCGGCCTTGATGCATCGGGGCTGGTGAACGGATTCGTGCCTCTTCCCGGGCGGTTCAAGGATGCCGTATCATTGTCGCCAAATGGGGTGCGGCTATTGTCTGTGTTTGGAGTTCCGGATCGGATTGGCGTAGGATTGACGGTTGTTGTAGCAGATGGTACTGGATGGCCATAGTAGCCGTGGCTATACGGATCTTGCTCCATGGTGGTGAGAGCGCCGGGACGCGAGGTGAAGGATGGGAGGATGAAACACCGAGGAAATATTACAACAAACAAAAGACAGAAAGAAAAAAATTAAAAAGAAGAAAAAAAAGAAACAAAGACCTGCGAGTTCGACGACTGCCCGCACCAAGACAGCAAACAGAGCGTCACCAATGCTTCTCTTGGGAACCGACGCTGTTTCTTGAAATTGGGGATTACGGAGCGACCCCGTGACGCCGTGGGCTCTGGTGTAATTGCAGAGACTCGGGTTGTCGACTCGGATCGCTACAAGAATGAAGCAGATGCAGAGTGTCTACGGACAAAAGTTCAAAGTCCCAGGTCGGCGTGTGGGCGGGACTTGATGGAAGAAGCAGCAGACAGCTACGATCTCGCAGCAGTGGGCTGGACGCGGTGCCACTCGAAGAGTCCAGTCACAGCATTTGCACAGTTGAGACTTTTCAATTGGGGCCGTCACAGACTCACAGCATTGAACGGCCAGCGTGAGGCCCACCACCAACCATATGGGCACTGCGCAAGAGCTGGGTGTCAGGTTCAGTCGGCTGCATCTGGCTGGTAACATTGAGCCAGTGACCAGACCCTTGCTCGCCAGCTCGCCCAAGAAGGGGGAAGGGGTGCGCAGCTCGTGGTGGATATCGAGAGGAAGGAGGGGCCCAGCTCGTGCGCCGCCAGCCACTTGCACTTGTGTGCAGCTGCCCCTGGAAAACCTCCGTATTGTACGGAGTAGCGACCATGGCGCCATCCGTGGCCGTTGGCGGCAAATGGCAGGAACGACCATGGCACACGGGCACCGCGCTGGGGGCTTGCACTCAGGCAACCCACAGCCTCGCCTCGCCTCCGTGTGCCCTCGGACATTGATTGGCCGCCTCCACACTGTTATTTCCTGACGTCAAATGTTCGAAGTTGCCGTGTGCACTGGCCTCATGGCGCCGTCAGATGGTCCAGAGTTTGCAAAACTTGGCTCCGGTTTGTGTGTTTTGATGTTTCAATGTTTATATTCGGGCTGTCATTTTGAGCTCCTTCTACAAATAGCATCATCCCCCGTCGCCCACAACACGGACTAGGCAGCGTATTGTCAGTCCACCTTCAGCCCTGTCCGCCCACCGCATTACAGACGTGATGATCAAGTCGATGAGTTCTGCCTGGGTTTACTCCGTATTCTCGTGTCCTGATATGATTCGAGGTATTATACGGAGTACAACGACTGACTCTGATTGTACGTGCCTATTGGCTCCAGCTTGAAAGGCTACGGAAGCCGTCTTCCGCTAAGTCAACCACCCCGGCGCCTCCGGCTGCAATTGACCGTCAGGTGTAATTTCCCGCTTTCCCGCCGGTGCACTACGTACGGGACTATTGGACAGATGATATCACTACAACATGATACGGAGTAGTAGTAGTAGTATGTGCAAAATGCATTGCTTACGTGCTAACTATAACGACCCCGAGGCCAGGTAGCCGACTCGATCGCATCTGAGACTGTTGGCTCCGGGCAAGTTGACTGTTTGTACAGAGTACCATCGTGGCCCTTTTACTTTTGAACGGACCGCAAGGACGGCAAAACAGCACAGAACCAAATATCGCAGTAGCCAACTGGTCATGCCTGTGTTCTGGACGGGTACCCTTCCAAGTAAAGTTTGCTTGGGTTCGTCTCGGGTGGGGCAACACGGAAGCTGAAGAAACAGCATCGCAAAAGCGGCAGCAACTGTGGCTGATTAAGGTGCTTGTGGCGTCGACCCGATCCCTGTTCCTGCATGATGTGGCCGTCTAGAGACACGCCCCTTGCTGGTTCTGGCGCCGTCGTGTCTGAACTCAACGAGGAAGGCAGGCAACATTGAAGTGCTTGGAACTTGGGAAGTCGAGCTGCATGCACCGCGGCCATCCCAAAGCACGGCAGGGAGCACAGCAGGGTCGACGACGAGCCAGCGCCAGGGCTGCGAGCGTGTGGTTACATGTCGGGAGATGCGAGCGATGCAACCAGAGCTCTTGGCCGTCATCCATGTGTCCACGGCCTGCTGTGTCCTGCAATATTATGTGCGCGCCCAGGTCAACAGATCAACCAGCCAGCAATCGCCCATGCAGGGCCAAGCAAGGCGACGATTCGTGCCCACGCCGCAGTCTGTTCAGCTTCGGTCAATATTGCGACTATGCGCTCCTTCGTTTAACGTGACTGCTGATATTGCGCTGCAGTATCATGGAATCACACTACCACGTGCATGTGTGCGCTGTGTTGATGTGAGTCAGCGGCCTCATTACCATTTGACGTATGACTACAGCAAACGCGCGTGCCAAGCCGATCCCCTTGCGTGTGTAAAGGCTGATGATGTTGATGGATGTGAATTTTATAATCAAATACAACGGGATTGTGTTGGCGTGGTATCGCACTAGTACTAGTTAGTAGTATCTTGTCAAGTGCAAGTGAGATAAGAAGAAAGAGGGAGAAAAAAACACGTGATAACAATGCCCCCCAACAATGGCACCTGGAATGCAATGGCACCTGGCCATGGAAGCTAAACTCACCGACTCTACGCCCTTTTGTCCCAAGGAGATGGTTCACAGAACAACGGGCCGAAACGAGCGAGTCCACCGACCCGAATACCAAGAATGTCAGTCGCATTGACGCTTCCCACCTTGGCAGCGCCTGGACTCTGCTGATTTGCAACCGAGAGAGTTGACCGCCCCTTGACAGCAGGGCAACATGATGGGTCGAGTCTAGCGCGCAGCATTGTTGGCCAATACCACTCTATGTGCGCGACGGCGCCTTGTTGTCGATGATGACCTAGGTATCTACGGAGTGGCCAGCAATTCTGAATTCGGTTATCCCTCCAGCTTGTCTCGGTCATTCTTCACCCCTTTTCGATCCAAGCGGTTCCGGACACAGGGAAGCGCAACGATCCGGGGCAGAGATGCATCGCTGGCGCTCTGGGGCCGACTCGGAGTTTGTTGAACACGAAAGACTGGCGAAACGAGCAAGGCGTGCTGGCAAGACCAGTTGGCCGGCCCCAAGGCAACTTGACAACGCGCTATCGCCAACTACTATCGACATATGGCTCCTGTCATATACCATTATTATTATTATTATTATTTATGCGCCGCAAGATGCAGGAAAAAGCCGCATCTTGTTGTCCTTGCCAAGCCGGGGGCATGCCTCCGGAGGCCCGGGGCCGCGATACGGGGTCCGACGCAAATATCCCCTGGAGATTTCCATCCGTTGGCTCACGCTGAATACCCAAGTCTCCACTCTGTAGCCTGCTATCGTAGATGAGATGGACGAGGTCGAAAACCTGACACTTGGGCCCCTACAACTGACATGTCAAATGCACCAGTGGCAGACGACCCAGCGAGAGGCGACGACTGGCCATTATGCAGCCCGATCTGATCCAAATTCTGCAGCAGAAAAGAAGGCGGTTCCCACTCCCAACCAACGGTGTTTGCCGTCAGAAAATGCAGCCAAGGAAACAGGCATCGTGTCGTGGATGTATACCCGCCCTCCTCGCAGTTCAAGCGCAGCTACACTATACACTGAGACGGATCCCCCTTCTTACCAGCTGGCAAAGACTAGTCGCTCTGCTTTCAAAAACGAACGGGGCGTGTTTGCGTTCCGGGAGAATGTCTGCGTCCGGGGTGCCGAATTGTATGTAACTACTCCGTACGTGAGTAAATGACGGGAGCATAAACTCCGACGGGCTGCGGGTGGAAACACGGCCCTGCGATACACACCCGGGCTTCGGGCAGGGGAATCCCGGGCGTTGGCTGACATGGAGCAGGGCCGGCAGGCAGACATTCTCGTATTTTCTTACTTCGTTTCTGCTCTTGTTCCCCTGTCGAGTACACACACACACACACACTTGCGTTGGTCAAACTGTTGCGGCTGCGGCTGCAAAACGCAAGATGCATATTCCTGTTGGTGCACCGTCGCACAGCACGTTTTGGCATGGGTTCGCTCGGCATTTTCCACATTCTGCCATGGACCCTTTTCCCATGTTGAGAGCGTCGATGCGGTTTCCTAGGCGCGTACCCGGCCGCGGACGCGGTAGATATCGCAGGATGGGCGGTTCTTCGCCCAAGCAAACTACCGCGAGGGGAACCTGGCCAGGACGTGCCTTTATTCGTATAAGCTGTTTTACATGTTCTCTTGCTCCGTATTTTAGTCCTCCGCACGACGGCTCGAGTAGAACAAAACAGTGTGGCATGCCTGGCAAGGTGCAGGGTAGTTTGGCCTAGTGTACTCCGTACCCCGTACGTGGCAACTCATCGTGGGAATGCTAGATCACGCCCGTGACCGGGGATGCGGCTGCCCCTTGTCCTTTCGTCCGCACAATCCAGAGGTTGTGTATTTTTTCTTTTTCTTTTTTTCGGTTCGTGCGTGGCATCGCCATCGTACGAGAGCCGGGGAATGTTGGTACACGGCAGGCTGCGGGCACACGGAAAAGGTGAAGGACGACGTGGGTGCCAAGGCCGGCGTTACACCCGTCCCCGAGGAATGTGAATAATGGACTGCCGTGACAGGTCCGGTGCGGCCGGGCGCCCGAAAAAAAAAACGACATTTGGAGTTGAGGATCATCTCAAGTGTCACTGGGCGGGTTCACAAAGCCTCGGGCGACCGTGGTCGTGTTTTCGCGCCGATCGCCTCGTATTCTGGAAATCTGGTCTCGGGCCCCTGTGTCCCCTGCACAGGACCGGCTGGAGCTAGATGCAACAATGGGGTTTGACAGATGGCCGCGCTTTTATCCCAAGTGCTCTTTTTTTTCTCTTTCGTCGCGTTTCCAAGACTGGCTGCCGAGACACTGATTAAGCGCCGGGAAACCGGCAACGCACATGATGCCACGCCCCTCGTGTTGCGCCCTCACATGTGCAGCTTTTTTTGCAAACGCCAGGCCGATGCAGTGGACGCCGCAGACAAACGCTGGCCATGATGTCGCGACGTGGTTTTCGCGGGCGGGAAGCTAGTAGTACCAGACTAGACTTGACCAGCTGGCGTCGCGCACCGGCCAGCTGTCACGTCGCGGCACCAACAATAACGTCGCTTGTCGTCTGGTGCTCTTTGTCCGTCTCTTTGTCTGCACACGCGGGCGACGCAAAACTCCTCTCGGGGCATCTTGGACATTGATGCATCCCTTCCCCGTATAGCAAAAAAATAAATAATTGCTTTCCTCTTCTTCCCCTTTTATTACAGCTCCTAGTGCCTTTTGCTGCCCGTCAACGACAACAATGTGGTTGCAGGCGGCGCTGAGCCTGGCCGCGTGGGTTACCGCCGCCGTGGCAGACGACAGCAAGGATCTGGGCTCGGTGCTGGCTGCCAACAAGAACCTCACCAAGTTTTACGAATTGATCAAGGTACCGACTGCACCGGTTTGGGCGTGCAACCCTGCCTCTGGCGGCTGACCTTTTTGTATAGAAATATCCAGACGTCTTGCTGGAGCTGCCGAGTGACAATGGAGTGACGGTGCGTGCGAGATGCTCCCCCCCCGTGCCGAGATGATGTCTGGTGTACAGAGTACTTGACATATTGGGTTTCCCGCGAGGGACGGAATTCACCACGGCCGCGCTGACGCTCCCCATCAGATTGTCGCGCCGTCAGACAAGGCCATGGCCAACATTGCCTACACGGCGCTCCAGCCGCTCTGGGACGACGACGACAAGGACAAGACGACGGCCATCCTGCAGTACCACGTCCTCGACGGCGCCGTGTCCGCGGCCGCCCTGCGCGACGGGCCGACGTACCTCGAGACCAGCCGCCTGACGAGCCCGGCGCTGACCAACGTCACCGCCGGCCAGGGCGTGCTCGTCACCCGCCAGCGCGACGACGTCGTCTTCACCAGCGGCGGCGGCAGCCGCAGCAGCCTGGTCGAGGCCGACATCCCCTTTGCCGGCGGCCTAGTCCAGGTCGTCGACAACCTGCTCGTGCCGCCGGCGCAGCTGGCCGGGACCGCCGACGCCTTCGGGGCCCGGTCGTTCCTGGGCTCGCTGTACGCCGCGCGCCTGATGCCCGCCCTCGCCGTGCGCCGGGACGTGACCATCTTTGCGCCGCTCGACGACGCGTACGGCCTCGTCGGCGGCACGCTCAGGGGCCTCAACGCCTCCCGCCTCGCCCGCGTCATGGGCTACCACGTCGTCCCGGGCCGGGTGCTCTCGTCGGCGCAACTGGCCAACGGCACGGGCTACGACACGCTCGCCACCGACGCCGCCGGGAAGCCGGCGCGCGTGCTGGTGCGCCAGGAGGGCAACAGCAAGTTTGTCAACGCGGCGCGCATCGTCCAGCCGGACATCTTGCTGGCCAACGGCATCATGCACATCATTGCCAACGTCTTGAACCCGGATGCGGAGCGCGCCGCGCCGGACCCCAGCGCCGCCACGCAGGCGCCTGCCTTTGCCGTCTCGACCGTGTCCGGCGTGTTTACCAGTGATTTGCCCTGTACGGCCGACTGTCCGGCTACTACTACTGCTGCGACGGCGACGGGCGGCGCTGATTCATCTGGGGCCACGCCCACGACCACCAGTTCGTTGTTTAGTAGCACTTCTCGCGGAGGGGGGGCCAGGTGTACCGCGCATGTGGTTGGCGCTGCTGTTGGCATGGTTGGTTTAGGCGCTGGCGTGGCGTGGATGTAGAGCGTATGTTGAATATATTGGTTTCATGTTGGACATGGCGTGTGATGCGATTGTTGCCGTGACCATTCTCCTTTACGGATGTTAACGCTGGTCAGTGTAGGGTATGTGGCAAGAATGGATCCCGTCGTCAAATGGGGAGGCTGCAGATACGCACACGAAGAGAGTGTATACGGCCTAGACACACCAGAGACCTTGTTCAACTACCAGACGTGTACGCTGCTCGCCTCAACTAGTACTCGTGAGGATAAACGGCCGCGCATGTCAGCGCACGTAAAGCTGCCGTCTCTCCGTCAATGTTTCCACACACCCAGGTTGTAGCACGAGCCTAAACACACTTCATTGTTGTAAAAAGGAGAAGATTCTGGCACGCCATACATTCTGGTAGCCATGTACCTAGGTATCAAAGCAAGAAAGCACCAGGCGAAGAAGCCAACGCTGACAATGCAACTGTCCACTGTCGCCCCCAACGACAGCATACACGCCCATGGCCTTATTTGCAACGCAGGCTCGACTCAACGCCAGGAGTCCTCAAAAGCCCCCTTCGTCTCGGATATCTGCAAGAATCCCGAGCCACCCCGTTGCAAGTCGACATCGGGCTGCACAGGAAACGACAGGGACTATTTCCGCCGCGTCTCTACAGAGAGGGGCCCTATGCGCTGGGAAGAATGAGGCTGGAAAGCAAGGGCCGGTAATGTCGGCACAATGTTGAGCCTGCTGCGTGCAAGCACCCTGCTTGGGGGCCTTTGCCTATGGGAGCGACGGCTGCGCGGGCGATGCTTCTGCTGCAGGACGAAGCATCCAGGAATAGCTTCGGCGCGTCGGTTCTCCTTCTGCAGCATGTGTACGACGTCATGGGATGTATGGTCCATGATTACAGTCTACATGTTGGCCACGTACATGGTCGTTTGAAAATGATTGCATTTATTATCCCTGTTTAGACTTGTCGTATAGTTCCGCCAAGGCAGGCAGCGTGGCCACTGTAGACTTCTGATGCTCCGTAGAACAAAGCTGCAACATGACACCGTGACCGTGATCCTTGAGTAAGCCATTCCCATCGCCAATAGACTCGGACATCCACGGGCTGATCAACCAAGACGCCGCCCCAACTTGGGGAATCGACTCCACCTAGGAGGACCTGAACGCCAACGACCAATTTCACAAAATTTCGCATCCACGCCCAAAAGCACACCCTGCCCCAGTCATCACCGGTAGCCTCGCGGGCTTCGACCCGCGTAGCTGTCATAACTGCGGCTGCGGCTGCGTCGTCTGTCATCTTCGTCTTCGAATCTTCCCCCTCCTCCACCTCCACCTCCCCCTCCGCCTGCACCTGCGCCGCTCCCACCACCACCACCACCACCTCGTCGTCTCGGTCCGGGTGACCTTGACCGAGAACGAGACGAGTACGAAGCGTTGGATCTGCTGCGGTATCGGCCGCCGCCGCCGCCACCACCACCGCGGGACGGAGGTGCTCCTGGAGATCTGGACGGCGAGCGTGACGAGGGTCTGTACACGTCCGACCTGGGACCATACCGACCGGACGGAGAGCCGCGACGACGGCCGCCGCCGGCGTTGAATCCTCCTCCACGGCCGGGAGGACCGGCGCCACCTCGAGGGCCCGACATGGGAATGCGAGGATCAATGTTGGCGCCTCTGCGGGCTGTTGGAGGCGGCGGCGAGAGTTTTCGCCGTGGCAGCACAATAGACACGTTGATGGTGGCGCCGTCGACTTGAGCTTCGTGCATGTGTGAGATGGCGGCTTCTGCGTCGGCTTCGTGGTCAAACAAGATATATGCGGTGCCTCGGTTTGTCCCAACTATATGAGCACGTTTAGTTGCAAGTTCTGCAAGTTCTCGGAGATGGAAAAAAAGAGAGACGTACAAGTTCTGTTCATGGGCAGATCGAGATCCTTGATGGGACCAAACTGGCCAAATATCTCGTGGAGGTGATCCTCGTTGATATTCTTGGACAAGCGTTCCACGACAATCTGCAAGCAGGGTCAGCATTCCGGTTCCATCACGCTGACGAGTGGCACGTTTCTGAGCCGACCTTTGTGCTTCTTGCCAATGGAGACTCGCTGGCGTCTCTGCCGTCTCTTCCGCGGCCTCGGCCCCAGCCTTGACTGTCGCTTCGGTATCGCCCGTTGCGACGAGGCGGCGGGGTTACGGATCGCGACGGGCTGCGCGAGTCGTAGCGGCGTCGTCGGGGAGAGCGCGAATCGCCGGAGCGCGGGGACGCGGAGCGCGTGAGGGACCTCTGGCGGCCCCGCGAAGGGGATCGAGAACGTGATGCCATCGAACAATTCACGCGGGTTGCGCCTTTCAATCACTGCAAATGCACCCGTTGACAGAGTACATGATGGAAGGCTGAAGCTTTTATCGCGGGTGGATCTTGCCCATTGGTCTGCTCGCAGGTGTCAAGCTCTCTGGACCCGTGTTTGGCAGCTGCAAGGCACCCTCACGTGATCATGCTAGCGTGGCTTGCCTCGCGCGCCGTTGCCAAGGGAGCTTTAGCCTTTCCCCAACAATATCCAAACCTTTTTCACTTGGATTGATGTCACGCCCAAGCCAGCCATTAAACGTTTAATTTTGCGAGCCGAGGATTGTTTTCATATTTGGCTGCATATTGGTAGTGTCGTGAAGCTCGTTGGGTGTGGTTTTTAAATGGGTGATTTTCCTCGCCTTGGCTGTGATGTGTCATGCGAAATGCTGAGAGGTGAAGTCCAGGCCCTCGTAACCGTCTCTGTAACAGGGCATCATATAACTGAGCTGTGCCTTTCCTGACCGCGTTCTTGATGGTACAAGTCGCAGTATGCATCAATTTTCCGAGGCAAGGGCAAAATGGGAACATGGTCCCGACGAATAGTATGCTTTAGTGCCATGATATCAATGCCCTTGCTGCCCAAGACAGCTTTGAGAGCATATAAATTCCTTGAATCCTCGTTAATGAACCATATCGGAAAGCCGCCAAGGCCAAGGTTGTTGGCAAACTCCAGTCTGACTTTAAAAGTGCCCTCGCGGTCATAGGAAACGTACTAGTCGTTGTTCTATGCCATGTATTTTGTCCGAGTCACCTTGTTGTAGTACGTATTAATATTATTTTGCTTCAAGAGATTCATGATTTCGAATAGGCAATCGTCCCACGTTGTCCAAGTAGTTTCTATGAGCTACACCGCTTCTACACTGACAACCTGGTTGCGAACACGAGGAATGAGATGTTGTAAAGGATCCATTATAGAAACCAAGTCTGAGGTTTAGCTCGCTGGTAGGAATACTGTTTATCTAGAACAGGTCTCGGGCGAGTTTAATCGTGGTGAGATTGGCGCGGGAAAGAATATCATTGCCTGAAGCAGCGGTAGCGGTTAGTGCTTCCACGTTTACCCATCTCTCATTTGTACCTGATGGTTATTTTGACGAGTACACTCCACACCTGTTTGGTTTTGTGCATCTCATACGGCGTAAAGGTCACAGTTGCTTTGATACGTCGCGTTGGGGTTGTCAGTCACATCACAGGACTCAGTTGACGTACTACGGAAGCCGAATTGTCTACGGCAACTGTTGATCGATTAAGATGAGCACTCGGACAGCTATCAGAATAACGTGACCAGGCTGAGACCATCAAGCCTCATGAATTGGGTAGAGGAAACTCGGGAAACATGGTGGATAATCGATGCTAAACCATTTTGTCGCTTTTGATGTCATTTAATATACTATTAGTTGGTGCGTATCTGCGGCTACTATACCGTGATACATGGAAAACAACGTCGGGACTCCCAACACCTCATCTACACCTTTAGCTTTATAGAGTCAGATGGCAACGAAAGGTGGGCGGCATATAATTTACCAAGAATATACGAGTTACAGATACCGTCTTGTCCGACGAGAGTACGCTCGGCCATTAACCAGTTACCGTCAAACCAGGATTTTAATAGCCCATAACTTCCGGTAATAGACCAAGACTCATAGAGATTGATTTGCTTCATGCTGAGTCGGACAGTCAGGTCGAGTATTTGAACTAAATTGCAGGGCCAATGAGGGTGAAAGGAGACAAGATCACCTGTTGCGCGACTCGGGGTTTAGCACATGAAAGCGTGTAGAGAGTGACGAAAATCAAGGCCACCGACGGCGAGAGGAGGATTTAGGACGTAAACAGTGAGAAAAGTTTAGAGTCGCCGCCGAGGCGGACGGGATGGAGGGGCCACAGACTTGAAATCCTGGGGGAAAAGTTCCAGATTCGATGTGTGAGTTTATCCCCAGGCCCAACGGCACTGCCATGTTCAATGGGAGACAATGGCAACATTGGACTTCTTCTCGCTTCATACCAACCGTGACTAGACTCAAAGGCAGCCAGAGCCAGGCGCAACGGCCAGGGAGACTCACTTGGTTCTTACTCATGGAAAGATGGGCGAGGAAGGAAGATGCTCTTGTGGATGCTCTTCGGGCTGAGCACAAGATTCACCAAGTGTTTGCGGTTCAGCGGCTCGGCGCGTCTAGCGAGAAGTGCTTCTTCGATGTCAGTCGTGCAGAATGCGTCCAGATACACGAGAGAGGACTTGGCTGGGTGCATTAGGCCTTTTTAAAAATTTACCCTCGGCGATGGAACCACGCCGACAGAATAAGCCCGACATGTTGGCACGTTGGATGAGCGGCATGTCGTCTTCTAGCGCATTGCAAAGGTTTGCCCTCAAGATCGGCTAGACAAGGTCCTCGATTTCGCGGCGGTCATTGTGGGAATGCCACCCCGAGAAATCTATATAGCTAATGATATTCTCAGGCTCCTATCAGGTAAAGCCGGATGGAAGAATTGTCGACTCAGTAGTCAACAAGTCCCATGGTATTATCCGTTCCAAAGGTGTTCAAGGTATTCACCTCATAAAGATGCCTAGCTGAGAATAAAATAAACACCCCGGAAAAGAGCGCTGGTAGGGTTTGGCGAACTTCTCTTATATTCAAGGTAAACACCTCACAAAGATGCCTAGCTAAGAATAAAATAAACATCCCGGA